TAAAGAGCTCATCTTTTCGCGGCTTTAATAGGAACACTTATAGCAAAGTGTTTAAAATAGAGTGAAAAGGATATCTTAACGACTGTCCGTCCAACAAGGAGTAAGAAGGATTTGAATTGTAAGGAGTAGTTAGACAGGCACTAAGATATTAGTATAGGCTTGTATTAAGACGAATCCTTGAGGAGCTATCAAGCCTCTCAGAGGGATGATATATACCTACGTCACGTGATTGTGGCTGGTGTGATCCGACGGTGCCCCGAAGGGTTCCCAGTGGCTCACCAGTCTGTGGCTAGAATCCTGTAGTGATAGAACATCGTGACACCTTTAAAGAAGCTTATAAGAAGACCTTTACACTAGAGAACGTTCGCGCAGGCTTTTAAGGTGCTAGACTAGTCCTATATAACCTAGAGGCTATGTTATTAAAGCTAGATGTGCAGCTGCGTACGCTAACGCCGCCTGCACTAGGCACTGTCGTCTAGGAGGCGCAAACACTACGCAACGCCTGCGAGATAGAGGCGCAATCTACGCTAATTTAAAATCGCGTGCAAAACTACCGCAGGTTACTAGCAAGCTTATTAGACGAGCAGGTTAAGCAGCTAAGTAAAGGCGCTTAGCAGATAGCTTATAATATAGTGTTAGTGCAGGAAGAAATAGGTCGCCTTCGAGACGCTGTTAGCACGCTTACAAAGCGTAAGACTTGCAAAAGGCGGTACGTACGCGTAGAGGAGACTCTAACAGTTAGTAAGGTATCTAACTTAATTACTATAAAGGAGGGTAGTAGTTATAAGGAGGGCGAGACGCCTACAAAGAGGGTGCGCGCAGAGAGGCGCTGCGGCCGTTGCAGCGAGATTGGACACAACTCCCGCACCTGTAAAGTAGAAATATTAGATATAGATAATAGCGACGCTTCTAAATAATGCTACATTATTATGTATAGTATAATAATTTGTTGTAGTGTTGTACTGCGTCGCTACGCGTGCGCTGCGCTAGTGTTTTGTAGGGCGCTCGCTTAGGTGGGGCGCTCGCTTGTGAACCACGTTAACGCTAATAGAGAAGTTACTTGTTATAAGTCCTAATAGTGCGCGCGGGGCTTTAAACAAGAGCTAGGCGTTAATATTCCAGAGACATTTGCGTTAGTAGTAAAGCTAATAAGCTACAAACTTTTGTTTGTTCTAGCCTGCTTACTAGGTTAGTTAATCGAGCAGATAGATATTAAGACAGCCTTTCTATATAGTAAGATCAACACAGACGTCTATATAGAACTACTACTAAATATTAAGGATTAGTACCCTAGGAAGATTTGCAAGCTAAATAAGGCCCTATACGGGCTTAAGCAATCTCCTTAGATTTAGTACCTTACCTTAAGCTAGGCGCTGCAGCCTATAGGGTTTGTAGCAATTTCTAAAGACTAAAGCGTGTTCGTTAATTAAGACAAACGCTTAGTAATTGCGACATACGTAGATAACCTCTTAATCTTAGGGGAGGATTAGGAGGAGATTGCATCTGTTAAGAGCGCTCTGTCCGAGCACTTTAAGATAAGTAATCTTAGTCTAGTCGCCTACTATCTAGGAGTAAAGGTAATCTGCAAAGATACCTTATAGGGTAGTAAGATTAAGTTAACCTAGCGCGCATACGCTAAGAAGGTGCTAAAGACCTTTAGCATAGCAGATGTGACGGGCTAGAGCCCCTTGCTCTCTTATCCTCGTCTACGACCTCGGTTTTCTCCTTCTTCGGCCCGATAGGCGCACAGACGCTATCGGCCGATAGTTCTTCTAGCTCTACACCTAGGTATATATAGATAGCTACGTAGCCTCGAGCTTAGCTCTCTATCGAATACAACTCTAGTATACCTGTGCGATAGCTCCCTAAGCGTAGCCCCTTACAGCAGATTGCACTTCTGTAGCAACTCTAATAGATAAGAATCTTATGTTAGAACCTAGTAAAGAGGCGTTAGACTCGTAGGATTAGAAGTGGTACTAGCGAGCGGTTAGTAGCCTTATGTATTTAATGCTGTGTACTCGCCCTAATATCGCATACGCAGTTAGTTAGCTAGGCCGCTTTGCCGCTAACCTGTTAGAGAAACGCCGTGCAGCCTTAAAGAGGCTTCTTTAGTACCTAAAGGGTACTAGTAACTACGGCCTAGTGATAGATACGTAAGATCGCCTAGACGTTCTAACGGGCTACACAGACGCGAACTAGGGAAGAGACGACGACTGCTAATCGACTAGGGGCTACGTCTTTATATTTGCTAGCACTGCTATTAGCTAGAAGTTAAAGCGTTAGACTACTATAGCGCTGTCTAGCTGTAAGGCTAAGTACATCGCAGAGTCTAAGGCTGTAAAGGAAGTAATATAGCTGCAACGACTACTATGTTAGCTACGAGTTAGCTACTCTTAATCGAGCACGCCGGAGCTAGTAAGCATTCTTAGAGACAATTGAGGGGCTCTAGCCCTAGCTAGGAACCTAATGTACTATACAAGAACTAAGCACGTAGACATCTAGTACTACTTTGTACGAGAGAAGGTAGAAGAGGGGCTAGTAAAGATAGAATGGATTGCTAGTAGGTTAAACCCAGCAGATAGACTTACCAAGCCATTAGGCAAGACAAAGTTTGAGTCCTTTCAACGGATGGTTGGCTTGCGGAGGATCGATAATTAAGGCAACGGCTCCTAGAGCACGGAACAACTTATGCATAGCCGACAGCATTAAGGGGGAGCACTGCCCTCATCGAGGGGGAGTGTCAAGATAGGCGATAAAGACAGTGATCATGTGACTGATGTTGCATGACTAATTAGCGTCAGTACTTAGTCTTAGATCTCACCTTAACAATACGATAACTCTTACACCCCCCAAGTTTTGACAATGCTCTACTATGAAGTTACACGATCATGTGACCTAGCGGATCTAGAATCTTCTAGATAATCTACTCGGTGTATATAAGCCTCCTAGACTCTAGTAGATATTATGGAACTAGTTAGTCATCTTTGTCGTTTGCCTACATAAAACCTACCGAGGCGGTATCTTCGATATTGCCCTATAAATACTAACAAGCCCGACGGGTCAATTAACCACATACTAGATACGACCCCACAAACTAGACGACTGATTTGGTCTCTGCATATAATGCAGCGAATAGGCAAGTCGAATTGAACATACTGACCTTTGGCCTCCGCACCGGCCAAGAATGAACATGTAGCCCAAGGCCAGCTGGGACTGGATAAACTCTACGTTCCTCACCTCGCTTTGGGTAGCAACAATCATCGACTTGCGAACATACCATTCCTTCCGGGGCATAGACAGCGCGGTTTCAGCAAACCCGCGCGGCGGATCGCTTATGATTGGCGGTTATGAGAAGGCTCTCCTTGGTGACGGACCAAACACGATAGCCAAGTTCGCTTACCAGGACTGGGAATGTCGCCAAGTCATGAAAGTCGACCTCACTGGGCGCTCCTTGTAGTCAGAATATGGATGAATACATAACATTCTCAACAGCTCGGAGAAGCTGGAAGCATGCGTAGTATTGACACTCTCGGGCGTCTTGTCGCTGCCCGAGCCTCACTGGCCCAGAACTGCTTATAGAGTAGGCATCGGACTATCGATGATCAACAATGGCACATCTAATAGGTTGTTCTACGGCACGGCTAGAGTGCGGCCGAATACTTCGTACGTTCTACGCTCGTTACAAGTTCGCCATTCGTGCTGATAGGTAACAGAAACTTTACCGGACACCTCTCGATCATTCCAAACAATGCTGTTACTGTTACTATACCCAAAAGGGAGCTAATGTAAGATGCACTCTATATCGCCTCTGATGGGCGGATTAAGGCTGACCCCAGGTTCAAGAACCTTCCTATCGTACGCTGCTCGGACCTAAAAAACTATACCGTGCCTTGCATCGGAGGCATGTTCCTCTGCAGTTCTCACCTGATGACCAATGATGATAATTGTAAATCTACTATTACTCTGGTACAGGGTAAGTCTACCACACCAGCATTGATGAACATCGATGTCGTGGACAACCGTGCCGGCGCCGTGACTTTGTATTTATATGCAGCCATCGCTTTCAAAACACTATCCAGTCATGCAATCACGGGTATCGTACAGGGTGTAATCGCTGCCTGGGTAATCTTTGCCAGTGCTGTCTTCCTGGTGTGGTGTTGCGAATAAGTGTCGGAGACACAAGCATCAAGTGATGCGGGGCTTCAAGGAATTGATACTACTTCACTTGCCAATGGAAAGCATAGACATGGCCTCTCAAAAACATATATTGGAAAGGGCGTAAGTGAGTTGAGTGGGTCAAGCACAGATCATGCTGTAGATCTAGACATTGCGGGTGGATGTTGACGAGGTGGAACGGGTCGCCTGAATGACACAGATAGGTAGCTCACGATGAACACCCGCACCATCCTCACAACATCCGATTCGTTGTGCGTTCTGCGATTTACGTTCAGGCTAACTACCGGGTTGTGTATTCTCCGCAATGCAGGGTCGCAAGCAAAGTTATAGCAGAGTGAGCACCGCGCATGAGTACATCGGGGAAGGTGTGGCGAGCCGGCAAGCAAATCTTTTGACGAACTTCCAATGGCACGAAAGTTTCCATCCTAGACAGCTAATCAAAATATTAGCGTGTCGATATCGAGCTTAGTAGTGCTTGCGCAATCGAGAATTTCGCCAACATAACCAATAGCTCGACGAGGACATAATCATCATAAGAACAATCAATTGCCGGCCAATACGATCTAGATAGAGTGTTGCGGCATCCCCTTCAACGAGAGAAGAGTAAGTACTAGCAGATTATTCGGATAGAGTTTCTTCTTAACGTTTAGCATGATCGCTCTCGCCATTCCATAGTACACGTTGGCCTTAGGGTGGAAAGGTCGAATAGTCACGCCAGGGTAGTTTTGCTGATAAGTACCAATGACATCGAGCCATTGCAGGTTGCCCAGATCATCCGCGGTGAAGACATCACTAGTGGACTGAATCGCAGCAGTCGTGTTGTACTAGATTTCGCGAGGATCGTTGGTGAATCGACCAGTCTCAAGCCAGTTCTTGAACTCAGCCTCTGTCGACTTGCGCACTTCCACTGCGCCACCATCGTTGTTTTCCTCACTCGCACGTCCGTTTCCCCAGGTGATATCCGTCGAGGATATGTTCCACAGGTAGACTCCATCGCCAGAGTACTTGTCATAGAGACTGTGGCCAGGCTGGCAGAAGCGATAATAGCCAATATGCTCGTCTGTATCAATAAAGGTGGCCCGCGCCGGGTGGAAGCTTCCCTTGACTCCAGCTTCAATGGCTGCATTAAGACCGCGAATAAGCTTGTCGCTTCGGTCACGCAATGCACGACTAAGCTTTGGACCGTCCTTTGTTCGGAGAGCGAAGCTTACGTTGCTGCACCGGTCGCCTTCACCTTCTTCATCGAAGAAGAACTAGAAGTAGCCAACGACGAAGAGCCGGAAGTTTAGGTTGTTCTTTATCTTGGGATGATCGAGGACTTGGTTAAACGTCCATCGTGCGTCCTTTGTCAAAGACATATTCTGCCGTGGCCAAGGGCTCTTTGGCACATTGATCATCCGGATTTGGATACTCGAAACCATACTCTGCTGAAGTAGGCGCGAAGACACAGGCGTATGCAACCCTTGCAACACCTGCATCGTTCCCACCAGCCTGTAACAATATCATGTCAACGTTATTAGGAACATCATCCAGTTAAGGATGACCTAAATGCGGCCCAGCATCAATCTGTCGCCATCGAGTGCCTCAGCAGGACTGAAAGTAAAACTGCTGTTTCCAGCCTTTGGGGATCCAGTTGTCGGCTTTGCTCATGTACACAGCGTATGTGTGGTTCACTCGTATACAACAGTCCATGTTGCCAGCATAGTCGGTGCTTCCAATAAGGCCATATGAGACACCACTCTGTAAGACAATCAGTCACCACGTCTAAAAGTACGTTTTGGATGCGATCTACTCACCGCCCAAGAATCGCCGAGATCAGACCAAATGTATTTGGAAGAAGGGGTTTGGAACCGCTGTGGTATTCTCGTAAGGACCCGCAAAAAAGCTATTAAGGGGCAGTGCACTCGTAGTGCTAACCAGACAAGCCGCCCAGAGGAAGCGGAAGCGCCACTGCAGCATGGCAAGAGTTTGGCGGATGACGTAAATGTTTTGAAGTGTCGAATTTACTCGCAGCCTTCTTTGTGATGTTTAGAGCCATAGAAGCGAGAGAGAATGCGTTTCAGCGAGGGATGTGTGGATTAGACCTCTGTGAAAGGTGTGCCTAAGTGGAGATGGAGTAGTGAAGCGTCCCCTCACCACATCGCTAACATAGAGTGCCTTGCTGCACGGGTTACTATCATGTTCAAGGCGGAGGATCATCATCGATCAAGATAAAGTACTAGATTGGTCACAGCTTCCCGCCCTCGATTGAAGTCACGACAGCCTTGTATTATATAGGCAACGTAGAGCCAGGCAGCTACTTTGACTTCGCTGTCATAGTTAAAAAGCCACCTACGTTTAGCTTCCACCACAACCATAACTCCTTTATCGGCGTACGGTCCCGATGTCGAAACGTTTTTCCTTCCGCCTTTTGTGGCACAAAAACCAACTTCTCCCCGTTTGAAAACCGCCCAATATAGTCTACGCAGCAATCTATCGACATCTCCAGACACCTCGTATAAAGAGTTTCCTCATTATCCTCTGGCAAAACCAACGGAAAAAACTTGTCCAAGACGTCACCCCCGTCCAAGCTCGACGTCAGTTGGTGTAACGTTGATGCGATCTTATCTACTGCACCGTCATAGAGTGCAAAGAAGATACAGTGATTCCCCTTATATTCAGGGAGATGGCCTGTGTGCATATTTATCATTAGTCCCGCACGCGCGATCAGTTTCTTGCCGATGAACTTTGTGCCTGAAACAATGGTCAAATCAGGCTGCCACTGCTCCACTGCATTCCAGACGCCCTGACAGTTAACGCTGTCGACTACGAGGTTCGGTTCAGGTGAGACGTGGTCCTGCGGTACCAGGCGGTCGAAGTGGGATTTGCGCTGACGATCGTGGCCGAAGAATCTGCGGCGAAGCCCGTGATACTGTTGCCAACACGCGTCGACGATGCGGCCCTTGTCCATTAATTTGCGAACCTGCCCATCGCTTGTTTCCTGAAGGCAACGGTAGCCGGGAAAGGCTTGGTCCAGACGATAGCGTAGGTAGCGGTGCTGGGGACCGTCCGAGCAGAGAAGGAGCAATCTCAGTGATTGCCGCGCCTCGGCAGTCACACTGCCCCCGAGTCCCAAACCGCTGGAAGGAGCTTGGAAATCGTAGGCCACGGCCGGAGGGAGCTTGCCGCGGTCAGGGTGGAAGAGCACATGGATGGGATCGTCCTCGCCCATAAGTGATCGCAACACCGCACGCGCTATAGCCGGTGCCTGTGCAAACCCGCCTGTGTTGTTGCCGCCGGTAATTATCAGCTGGCCGCCAAGGGCTGTGGGGATCCTCTCAAAGATCCCAAGACCTGTGGGCGTGAAAGGCCGGACGCAAACTCTACGGTGTCCGCCAGGGTACATGGCCATAGGGCCGCGCCTCTTCGCCTCGGCATAATCACGCGGAAAATAAATACGTGCCACTTCTTCCAGTTCGTCGTAGAGGGCCTTCATTTCCAGCGAGTCTGGTGCCGGACGGTCCAGGCCAACATATCCATATCCACCTCCGAAGATGAGAATGTCTTCATCAGTTTCCGGATCTTTGGCCACGGTGATGTTGATATCTTCTACCTTATGAGCATGTCGGTGGATTTTGATAGAATTTTGCATCTGCGGGTCCAGGTTGGGGATTTGCAACCATATACCCAGGACGCCGTGGACCAAATTCTCACAGGCCGTGCCATTCAGCAGGGCATTCTTCGCCGTGCCGGGACTCAACACGAAGTAGTCAGCTTCCAGATCTCCCTTCTCTGACTTCAGCATGGTCACCTCGCCTTCAGGATTGCGCTGAATGCCCTGCACTTCGCGATTCCACAGGAATTCACCGCCCAGAGCAGTAATGTGTTCCACCAGCTTGGTCACGAAAAGGTGGATGTTCACCGTGAATCCGTCTACTGTGATGCCTCCCACGAGATGGCCCGACTCGGCTGCGGGGCGGAATCCGGGATATGCCTCCAGGAACTCGTCAGGAGACGGGGTTTGGAGAAGCGCACCAAGCCTGCTATTGAGCTTGATGGATGCATCCAAGGCAACTGGCTCCACGTACATGCGTATTATGTCCTTGTGGAATCCAACATCTCTGAATAGCTGGGGATTGGTTTCCATGCATTCCTTCCAGATCCTGCCGGACTCACAGTTCACCTCGTGGATGTCTCTCTTGAAATTTGCCGCCATCCAGCCTGGGATGCGCTCAAAAGCATCGACCCAGGCATTTTCATCTTTAGAAAAGTCATTGGGCAACTTCACGCTCCATCCGCCATCGCGAACACTCTTCCGGAATATTGACTGCATGTCTCGGTAGGTCTCACTGCCATGCTCATTGTAGTTATCTGCTTCGGTGTTGGTGAACATGCGAGCATTGTGATCGCCGCTTGTGACGCCTAGGCAGGTCCAGTCTTTCGGCTCGCAAGACCGAGGGTCTGGCCCTTGGTCCACCACGCGCACTTGGTAGCCATGCCCAGCTAAGAGCTGGGCAGCCATCAAATTCATGATACCCGCGCCGACGAGTAGAGCAGTGGTCTTCTGAGCATCTTTCTCCATTTTGTTAGCGTTCATCCGTTTGCTTGCGGCGTTGGCATGGGCTTGGGCGTAGAGCATCTCTGCATCTTGAAGGATCGATTCCTCCCATTTCTTTGTTGAGGTGTTGGGTATTTGCTTGGGAAAGCCGGCCATCTGAGCGACACGGCCCTTGGCATATTCTTGCAGGAGGGAGATAATGGCGGCGTCTCGCACCAGCATCGACTTTGGGACATGGCAAGCTTGGCCGAGCCACCGGTCCACCAGGTCGCTGGTCACTTCTTCGCCATCGCATACCCATACATCCACTGTCTCGGAACTGGTCAACAAGGTAGAAAGATCGGAGCTAGAATCTTTGAAATGAATGTACACAGACTGGCCTGTCCTAGAACCAAGGGAAGGGAGTTGGTAGTGACAAGAAACTTCATGATTGGTTCTGCGAATCCTTCGTGCTTCGAGGTTCTTGCCTATCGAAAAAAGATAGGTTTTCAAGTTCAGAGAAGGTGTCGAGAAGATTTGTGATAGACTACCTCGACCTATATATACATCTGTGGAAGACAGAGAAAATGTCCACGCAATACCTACTCTGCTTGGTGAACGCATCTTCCTTGGCACGTGAGCGAAGCAGTGCACCTCCTTAGCCTACTATACATTATCATCTCGTTGTAAAAAGAATTATAAAACATGTAATAGGACTAACGCGATCCTTTGCCCTCATGCAAATGTGGCCGCTCGGTGTTGAGAATACGGTCATTAACTAATGCGGATCCACTCTCGCATGCAGCCACATTAGTCGAGGATTAAATACTCGAAAAAGTCCAGCATTTCTTTTGTTAAGATCGACCTTTCATATCGCTATTTTGTCCTTGGCAGCAAGCGCTTGACTATATACGGAGAATGGGTTCTGACGAAAACGGTGTCTGTATACACATGCGAAAGTGGAGCTGCAATCACTAGCGAGGCCTGTCTTAACTTGCTGCGGCTTACCGCAGTCCATACGCAGGGCTCGGCCCGGCGGGTAGAGCCGGGGATCTTTTAGTAGTGTCCTGACTTGATTCGTCACAATGAAGCTTCACGTGTCACTTTCTTAACGATCGGTGTCTGGATCGCTGGGTTCTTTGATCGCTTTTACTGGGCTGATCAACTTCGAAGATGCCGTTACGTAAGTTCTGGTCTGTAGTGCATAGCGGCTAGAGTACTCTGCATACTGGCTCTATACCCGATTCAGATGTAAGGGTTCGCTAATAGAATGTAGTTTTCCGAGCTTCCGGCATCAAACAGATACGAGGCAGTGTGACAGCACTGTGAGCCCTTGGCAGTACCCGCCTGAATGCCCTGCTGGATGTTTTGAATAGGGCATTAAGCTACGATCAATCACTCAAGCCATCACACAGTCACTAGCGATTAGCTGCAACCCGCTTTTGCACAGCCTCACCTGCTGTACATAGTTCACTACAAGGTGCGGAGCGCTCCGCGACTAATATGTTTGGCTAGCGCTGAATAGAACGCTGACTTGATTTCCGTGATGTCACTAGTAACAGTGATGCTACTATCGCCAGTGACCGTACTCACGGAGTTCCTACCGGTGTGGCATTCCCTTTGAAAATCGCTCGTTACAGGCAAGTATCTGAGGGAACATTGGCAACATAGGTTGTTTGGTGGTTCGTTTCAGTCACGCTCGCCTAGTCAACAAGAGCTTGAGGCACTAATGCATGCAACAGCAAGGGAGCCATGGGCATACTTTGCTCCCAGCTGTGTCAGATGACTCTATGGAACAGCCAACCAACAGCTGCATAACTAGCCCTACAGCAAAGCGCGACGATCAGCCGCTAGATCGATACTGTTGTCCTAACATGAAAGGTCCACAGGCTCCAGGAGCGCTGCACCACCTCACCGCTCAACATACCTAATACCTGTCGCGCAGACTGCACCCTGTTATGAGCGGTCTTTCTGCATTGTAAATGCTCTCTTGTCAATCTATCAGCCATACCCGTCCCGTAGGGAAAGGAGAGGAATCGGCAACCAAACCAAAATGGCAGCACTCCGAGAGCGTTTAATCCTCGCTCGAGTGGGCATCCCAAACCATGGAAGATGGCAAGTTAGGTAGAACATGAGGGACGACTCGGCTATCTGGTAATCAACATCCTCTTCGTCCTCTATTTCTCCGTCGTTTTCGTCTTCCATCTCGCATACAGATCGCCTGGGCTTGATCGCATCAATGGTACTAGGCGACAGGACGGTACGCACTCCAGTTTTTTGAGTCAACATTGTAACGCGCAATGTCAGAAAATAATCTATTCTGCAAACAAATGAGACATTGTGTGTGTGCGAGTGTATGCACGCCATCATCTGACGTAGGCTGCGCGCTGCTATTCAACATGCGGAAACCTGCAGTCGTCCTTTCGATGCAGCCACTCCAAGCACGCAAACCTCATCGATTACGCGCATATGTAACTTATGACTCAGCCATCTTGTCTGCACTCGTAAGGGTATTCTCCATGCCTATCCTACTGGGGGCTACAAATGCGGTCGCAATCCAACTAAATCAACCACAGGCACAGCCCGTCATATTCCTGAATTGATGTATACCAAGTTACTAGTTTCCTGTCATCTTCATACTTTACTTCTCTTCCTCTCAAACCCCTTCTCCTGCACTGATGGACTTGCTTGTTGACGATTGTAGCCAGTATGACCAACATGCTACAAGCATTGCCAACAAACAATCTGAGCGATTAGAAGGGACCAGAAGATCCAAATTGTTTCTTCAACCGGCCAATTTAGAGGTACATCTACATAACTCGCATTGCAGTGTTTCCTTGCATTCACAACTACATTTGAAGCAGAGATCAACCTCGAGTAGACGACGTGTTGGACAAGTCCTACCGTCCTAGCACGTGAACCAAGACAGGACACGATCTCTCGAGCACGGGACGGATTGTATTATAGACCGGTTCGTAAGAGATGGTATTATTCAAGAAAGCTGCTGTTCAAATCGAGCCATATGTTCATCTCTACCGTCCTTTTAGCTTCTGATGGTACCCTCCATACACTCGCTAAGCAGCTGCCACGTCGTTTGCCATCTTCAATAGGGCGTCCTTGTCGCAAAACTCGACCACTTTCTTGACTTTGGACCCGTCCTCATTGAAGTACAAGAACCAAGCAGCCTCAGAAGAGTATTTCTCTCCACTGCTTCTTACATACACATCGGCTGCAGCTGTGAAAGCGGCGCGGCGCGCCCCCGTGTCGATGATCAAGTTCGACATGATGTTATCCTTGAAGTTTAAGACTCTGATATCATTCCCAAAGAGGCCTTGAAAACTGGCCGTGTCGAAGGCTGTGTCCACTGGCATACCAAATGCTGTGGGTATGGATGCAGGAAGCAGGTGACGAGTGCAGTCCCCCGTAACGTCGCGGTTGATGATGGATGCGTCGTTCTGGGCTGCGCCTTCTTCGAAAGCAGACAAGAAGGCACGGGCTGTCGCCTCGATCTGCTCTCTAAGGTTGGACGTGGAAGGGTTTGAAGCCATGAGGAAGGGTAAGGGTATCTTATTTTCTTTAAAAACTGAAGATGGGAGTGACGGTGGTAGCGTGGTGAAGGCAGTAAATGCACTTTAGGTACACGCGATGCCAATTCATGTTTCGTTCGTGGCCACAACAAACATCATCTGCCGATAGCCCCGTACGGCGATAGATATAACTCCACGATTTAACCCCGTTTTCCTGACGATGCTTCATTAATACCCAGGTAAGGATGATCCACACGATCTTGGAAATTGCCTGCCAAAACAACCGCTAAGGTTCTACAACTAGCCGCGATGACGATTTCTCCCGATTTGGGCTACAGTAGCGGGTCAATCAACGCCCCGGGTCAGTCAACGCCCCACCCCAACACCATAACAACAAAACTTCAACGCGTCACAACTCCACCAATATGGATCCGATTCAAGAAGCGATTGAATATATCGAATCGCGCGAGCCAGGAGATGATTTCTCGTACAACAAAGTTGCTGCCCAGTTCGGTGTTGAGCGCAGTACGCTCGCTCGAAGGCACCGAGGCGTGCACGAGCGGCGCGGGGTCTCCCATCGATCCCTACACCCAGAACACGAAGCCGAGCTTGTACGATACATCAAAACGCTTACCGAACGACGTTTGCCACCTACAAAAGTAATGGTACAGCAGTTTGCCAGCCAGTTGGCTGGCAAACAGGTCTCCGAAAGCTGGGTTTCCCGGTTCCTCCGCCGGCATCCCAACCATCTCATCTCTCGCTCGGGCAAAGCCATGGCCAAGGAGCGGACCAAAGCTGATTCAGGAGCCAAGTACAGCTTGTATTTCAAGCTTTTACATGAAAAGATAGAGGAGTACAACGTACAGCCGATCTATATATTTAATATGGACGAAAAGGGGTTTCAACTTGGCCGAGTTGGCAGAACAAATCGTATATTTGACAAGAAGCTCTACGAGCAAAAAGGGGTAAGGCAAGCACTTGAAGATGGCTCAAGCGAGTGGATAACGGTGATGGCTTGTATTTGTTCGGATGGCAAAGCTTTGAGTCCTACTCTCATCTTCTAGGGAGCCAACGGAGCTGTTCAATTAAGCTGGGTTGATGCTGTACAAGCAGGGGAGCACTCAGTATTTACTACGTCATCACCCTCTAGCTAGAGCAACAACGATATTGGGTTAGCTTAGCTTAAGGGGGTGTTTAAGAGAGAAACCAGACGGCATGCTTCAACCGGGTATCGATTACTACTCCTTGACGGCCACGGATCCTATGTAACCATGGACTTTATTGAGTATTGTAACGACAACAATATCCTCTTGTTTGTATTCCCCCCTCACGCTACCCATACGCTTTAACCCCTTGACGTTTGTATGTTCAAACCCCTCTCGAACGCTTACTCGACTTAGTTAGCTGGATACCTTTAGGACAGCTAGGGGTTGCTCAATTTGACCAAAGGAGACTTCTTCCCGCTCTTCTAGAGGTCCTGGACCTCTGTATTCAAACCTCCACTCGTCAAGAGGTCTTTTGAAGCTACTAGTATACACCCAGCTAACCCAGACGCTGTACTCAAGAAGTTTACTAAGGAGGCTTCAGATTCTGACAGCAGCTAGTTAGTACTCTCCAGGGAGGATTGGCTTAAGCTTAAGTCAATTGTACGCCGTGAGGTAAAGGATCAGAGCAGTAAGGACGTTAAGAAGCTTCAACGAAGTTTGCACCACATTGCAGCTTAAAACAGTATCCTCCGTAAGGAGGTTAGGGGCCTTAGGCAGTCCCTAGCCATCAAGGAGAGGCGACCAAAGCAGTCCTTCACCCTCTAGCTTGATGAGGACGAGGTTTACCACGGGGGAGCCAAACTCTGGTCGCCCAGGAGTGTACAACGAGCTCGCGATCGTCGGGCATCACAACAACAACAACAGGAGCTTGAAAAGCTTCAAAAAGCCGAGCAAGCCGAGGCTAACAAGGCAGCTCGCCTTTGCAAGCTTTAACTTCAAAAAGAAGCCCGTATTGAACGGGAAAGAGGTTAGGAGGAGACCAGAAAGCGGAAGGCTGCAGAGAAAGCAGAAAGAGACCTCTAAAGGAGACTCAACAACGCTCAAAAAGCTATACAATTGCCCCAAAAGGGTAAGCGCAAAGCTTCAAAACCTCATAAGCCAGCTACAAAGCGTCAGAAACGTGTTAGGGGTGGTACAGCTTCTGTGGGAGCCCGGGTAGTTGCACAGCTAGTTCCGCCCAAAACCACTAAAACGCGGACAATCCGCCGCCCAAAAAAAGATTTGGACTAGCGCAAAGTCTTCGCAGGCTATTATATAGTATAAATCCACTTTTGCGCAATATTATTACGATTTGTTAAGGCGTTACAGCTGCAATACTCATGAAGCTGTTGTGTTGTGGGTGGGGCGTTGACTGACCCGGGGCGTTGATTGACCCGCTACTGTAGTGCATGTGAACTCTAAAGTCTCCGCCATTTTGGTCCGGCTCCACCGGATGACATTATCGCCTTCTCGAGCCTAGCTCATAGCTTAGTGCCCACGCAGGTAAGTCAGTGCATCTTACTTCAATGAACATCTCGAATGCGCCGCGCCTGTAGACGAGGTCTACCAGTTGGTATGAATGTGCGGTGTGAGCCTTCAGTCTTGCTTATCGCCGAGAAAGAGTGCGATATAGTATGGTAGTCCGTAAGTTAGATCTTTTCTGAGTAATGTCGTCTACGAATGAGCGCATAGTGCCCAGCATGGAACTGGAGCGAGTTGACTACATAAGTGAACCGTTTACCTCTTTTTCCAACCAAGTTCAGAGTTCAGATCTCTACGATTCTACCAATCTCACTTCCTGCACATACCCAAGTTTTGTCCTCCATCATTGTCCCTTCCGACCTCTTAGCAACACAATAATGTCTCGCTACGACGAAGCTCACGCCAAGCAAAATGGCCCTGGCGATGCGCGTCCAACAGCCTTGCAGATCATCAAAGACGAGAATGCTGAGAATAGCCTCAAGGGCGAAGTTATTGTTATTACTGGTACATCCTCTGGTATCGGCGTCGAAACCACTCGTGCTCTAGCCACCACCGGCGCCACCTTCTTTCTCACGGCTCGAGACACGAGCAAGGCCGAATCTGCCCTTGCTGGTATCTTCGAACCTTCGCGTATGCATATCATCGAGATGGATCAAGCAAACCTGTCTTCTGTACGTGCCGCTGCCGCCGCTATCCTCGCCAGGACCTCCAAAGTCCATTTGCTCGTTAATAACGCCGGCATCATGGCAATACCCGACTTTCGTGTCACAGCCGATGGCCACGAACTCCAGTTCGGCACGAATCACCTCTCGCATTTTCTCTTCTATAAACTCCTAGAGCCCGCTCTTCTCGCAGCCGCCTCCTCCAGTCGCCCATCCCGGGTCGTCGTTCTCGCTTCTTCAGCGCACAATGTTTGCGGAATCAACAACTCCGACAACTACAGCTTTCAGAAAAGCGATTACGATCCCAGTGTGGCATACGGGCAGTCAAAAACAGCAAATATATACATGGCCAATGAGATTGAACGCCGGTATGGCTCGCGCCACTTACATGCCACGAGCGTCCACCCCGGTCTCGTTCAGACGGGGCTGACACAGCATATGCCCCCAGACGCCTTCAAAGGTATGGAACACTTGTATCCTACAATGAAGAGTGTCGAGCAGGGTGCTGCAACATCGGTATGGGCCGCAGTCGGCGAGCAATGGAAGCACGAGGGCGGGAAGTACCTCGTCAACTGCGCTGTTGCAGAGCCATGTAAGGAAGGCGATGACAAATTTACTACGCAAGGCTATGCTCCGTATGCTTACGATGTTAAGCAGGCAGAGAGGTTGTGGAATGACTCTCTCAAGATTGTAGGGATGTCGAGTGATGCATAGTCCTTCGGCATATGATAGCAATGGCCACGTAGCGTACAATTAGGCCCATGATAGAGACTATATCGATACACTCACTAGTATTGGCGCCCTGCGCTTCAATTAACCAAAGTGATTATAGTTATTATTTTGATTTTGCGACATCAACGATTATGGTAGTAAATCATGTTCAATCCATGTTAGGGCGTGATCAACATAGAAACTAGCCTTCTAGCAGAGGAAGACACAAAGGTTCCTCTCCTCTCATTAGCCTCCATCGGTTACTAGATACAAGCAGATCGTCGCACCCCTGCACTGCCCACGACCACTTAGCCAAAAAGCCAGGGGTGGCCTCCCAGCTTCGCATGTCATACGGCTCACCCCAAACGATAAGTCCCTTGCGACCTGCAGTGATCTCATCCTCGTCACGCCCTACTACCGAAATTGGCGGTGTCGATACAATATTAGGGTCAGACACAGTAATGGCAAGAGGCGTACCTTGTCGCTCCTGAATCGGCGTAGCACCCATCAGCTCGCCAATGAGATCTTGTAGTAGCTCCCAGTGGTCGAAAAGTCCCTCATGTCTGATAAGGTTGTCGCGCAATGAAGGGAAAGGAAACAGGTTGATCCAAAATGAGTGCAGACGCTCTTGCTGCGTGGGAGTTGGAAAAAGTGAAGGAGGTATATTGGGGTTCAAGGGATAGATGTTCGTGTCGTCGATGTAAGGAAGGCTGACAGGACATGTGGTTGGGGAAGGAGGCATATTATATGTCCACCCTGTGAGAAGCACGTTCAGAGTACGCTTGTTGGAGACAAAGGCTCGGAAGACGTTGTACTGAACTAAGTGGAGGAGGTGGTCGGCAGAAAGGGAAAAGACCATACTCGGGGGCGTCAGCGTTGTCGGAGCTTGGATTGGGGAGGACAGATGTGGTCTCCGGAGGACTACCGTGCGGTCAGGAATGAAGATTGACGTATCGATCGCCGCATCGTTGATAGTGGACTCCACGGCCTGGGGTACGCTTTCGTCAACTTCATCCAGGCGCCAGCGCTCAACTTGGAAGGGGCGCGACGCCTGAACAGTATCAGGGTTTTGTTTCTTGTTTCGCATTCCTTAACGGGCATGAGCTCAGGAAAGGCCGAACTGCGTGAAACTGAACTCACGGTGTGACCTTTGGTTCTTCCGGTTCTGCACTTTTCTGCGCTGCTTGTTGACCTCGGCTTCGATGCTGTTAAGATGATACCCGTCATTGTTCGCTTTGTCCTTGACTGCAGGGTGAAACATGATCAATCGTCAAGAGGGAATCGTCCTGTGTTGATAATGTCGAGGCGTAATGCAAAGTGTGGAATGCGGTGTTTGTCAAGAAAGATTAACCGTACGCTACAATCGGCCCTTTCGTCGCGACTGATTCATTACTAAGATAGCCGTGCACTCCCGATCCGAACTAGTCGCCCTCCACACAAATGCCTATGGTGGGACAAAGGGGCCAGCCTTCCAACAGTTCCCATTTGTCATTAAGAAACCACCAACTGATAATCACGGGTAACCGGAACTCAACGCAATAGCAAACCACGGCACCACAAAGTACCCTAGGGCGACAATTAGTGCATCTCCTTACCTTCCGCCTCGCCAACCTGCGCCAACGGTCCAAAGGGATGCTGCTTGCGCTTGAATCCAATTTTCACACGACCGACACGCGACATCTTGTCTTCGAACTGAGTGCCGATCCGCAGTACGGTTTCTCTGTACATCGTCGCCGTAGTCCAGTCGTAAGAGCAACCAATGATGCGCTTCATACCGCCCTCGGAGCCGGCCATGAGGAAACACACGGGTGGGCGTTCGGCGAGGAAGAGCGTCGCAGTCATGTTGCCTATAGTATGTGAATATCTTCACCGCGCTACCAGTTGTACTATTTGCGCTTACCTGTGTCGACGAGCGTGAAGACACGCTGGTCTCCGGGTCCGGCTGACTTCGCTCGTTGTACGAGAGCTGCAACAGCAGGGTCGGATGTCGGATCAACAGGGACGCATTCGCCGTGGACATTACGTTCATGCCTCGATAACGGACTGGCTGCTGCCTAAAAGCGCGACAACGAGATCAGTATGGTATTGTGGATAGGATGCTGCCATACATACAGTCCATTTCATGCGCCCCAGTCTACCGCCAAATATTTGACTTTCGATCGTGTCCAAGTCCATGTAGCCCTCAAAGCCAAAGAACCAGCACTGTTGGTCATAGAACTTGCCAAGATAGAGCAGACGGAGTAGCCAAGGCGATAAGCCCATAATTATCATGGAGTAGATGAGCAAGACGACGCCGACAGTAAACGTAGTGGGAATAACAAGAAGCACGATGGCACTAATGAACACGACACCACTAAGACGGAGCATCGCCTTTGCGATGGCACGCTTCCAGGAGTCCCGTCGAGCGTTGGCGACAGGCGTGAATGACTTCCATCGTACGTTTGCAGCGCGGCAACCGTCAAGTATGATGGTATCGTCTTCTCCAACACCGGCGATGCCGACATCTTGTGGCAATATGTCCCAGAGCTTGGCATTGTATGCATCATCCATGGAGTGCCACGGCTGATCTGGTGTCTTCGGCAATACGCATATGAGGCGCTCGAGCAGTTGATCGCTGCCATTCGCGAGGGAGAGGCTGCAGGTCGTTAGCAATGCGAGATGCGACTGCCTTTCTTGTGAAACATACCGGGCAAATGCCTGGAACGCGGAATCCGTTGGATCAATCTGAGGCCTGACACGGAGTAGACCCATCAAGGCGTAGCTGTAATCTCCCGGAAGATGCTTCCCAGTTTCACGCTTGTGTAGGCACTCGAGAGCAAGCGTGACCAGCTCGAGCTGACTGAGTACCAAATTTCCTTCGTAGTGGTCGATAAGCTGCGAAAGATTAGCAATCAGGTAAAGACGAAAAGTAATTACATCCTACCTGTCGAGCGATGTGAGCATCATCCTGCCAGACTTGAGCTGCAAATTGGTTCTTTGCCACAAGAAGCGGTTGAGAAAGATCGTTGCCACGCACGTAGACTCTGATGCTCTCACCGGCAGGCGCTAAAAGAACTTCGGGGAATGTCCAAACTCGACTACCCCATTGCTGGAGCATGAGATCAGGCGTGTTGATCTCATACCTGTTGTTCGCTGGGGCTGCAACTGCTATCGCAAGAGATTGCGCGCCTCGAATGACATCGCATATGCGATATACCTCAGAATCATGTTAGTATCATTCAGCCTGGATTAAATGAACAGAATATTTACATCTTCTTCGAGCTGGTTGCCGGGCATGCAAGAGCATCCGACCCAATAAGCAATGACTCCCGCGTTACGCGCTGCAACATCGGCAATCTCGTGCAAGACTCTGAAGTCATCGGGCGTATTGAATTGCTCGGAAGTGTATGCGATGAAGATATACGATAGGCGGTGACCGTCATTCTGGGCCAGCCTATGTACGTTAGAGGTATATTTAAAAACATGCTCTTTTGACTTACCAATCATCCACCTTGGTAATGATGCATGGTCTTCCTTGCTCGCGCAAGAAGCAGAGATATCGGGGACGAAGGATGCGTTCGGCGACAGGGTTTGGCTCACTCGAAACAAGACCCTTAGGTTTGTGCATTTCGATCGCATTCCTGGTGACTTTCGGATACCCAAAGTACTGGTATGGGACGCCATCGTAATTGCCTTGGTTGCGAGAGGCAATCTCAGCAGGGCTTGGGCTAGATATCTTTACCGCCGTCAGCTACATAGCTGATTCAAGGACACGGTGGACTTACAAAGATGGTGATGACGCAGGACGCGATGAACCATTTGAGGCAGAGCATGGGATAGTCTTCACTCGGGATCTTTCCATCGTTCCTGCCAAAGTTGATATGATTGAATGGCCAGTTTGCCAGTCGCATGTACACCGGCGCGATGTTACGAATGAACGTGCGCCTGTATGTAGATCCTGCGTTGTTCTCGAAAATGTCGTCGACTGCTTGGACAACGAGCTTAGAAACCCTGCCATCCCAAGATGAGATGTAACGGTCATCATAGTCGCCCGTCCATTCGCGATCGAGAATATCTCGATGGCGGTGGTGGCCAAGCTTCTGGTATCCCAGACCTGGCTTGCGATAGAAGTTCGGGAATCCCCATTTTACTGTAGTCCAAGGGGTGAAGATGTATGCGTATCCCTTTAGCTGTACCGGGCCGTTCCGCTAAATCATGTAAGCCGATGAGCAAAGGAAGAGTCCAGGTTAACTGACTACTATGAGCGATTCTCCTGGGCGACTCTCGTTCGCTCCATTGTCGCCTTGGTAAGGAGCAGCATGTTCGTAAGGTGCAACCTCCTGGACCGAGGCTTGGGCGTCATTGGCGACCATCGTAGCAATGATTTCGTTCACGCTACTTGAAACAGGCACAAAGTTGCGTTATAAACCCGGGCTGATTGTTGGAGTACTGTGGCGGAGGTTGTTGATACTGTTGGTAAGGTTGATGGTAGTAAGTTGCTGGTGCCTTGCTCTGGTCAGAAGATACTCGAGAGATTGCGAAGTGGATGCATACGGGAGATGCGAATGTCGGCTGTGGATGCAATACTGGTTGATGCTGAACTACAACCACAGGCTTTGAGGTAGGATGGTTTGGGTCGTAACTGCCCCCACCACAGTGATGTTGTTGGGTCTAATCAAGGCTGTCAGATGGCCATAGGAGAGTTGAGAACTTGACGGCAATCAGACCGGATAATATTGAGAATCTGACGGTTCTTGTACGAAAGTACCACTGTTGGGATCAAAGCCGCCACCGTGTCTACCAGAGAGATTGGGAGGGTAAGCCTAGAAAACGATTAGAAATGACTTGAGAGACCGATGCGGAGGCTTCGAGCTCTTTGTACCATTCAACGTCGTCTTTTCAATCCGAGCGGCAATAGTCTTGGGTCTAAACTTTCTAGCCACTTTCAATGAGCGATGAAGTGTGGTTTTATCATGTGCAGATACCCAACTAGACTGCTGGTCAAGTGGTGTGAGGGTGAAGCGCCTGCTCGACGACGCAATGTTCCGGACTCATTGCTTTCTATCCTACCTTGGCTTCAGCCCGTACTATGCGTTCTTTCGATTGGTCGTCTTTATTAACCTGATCATTCCACCCTCCTGTTTAAGGCATCGTGGCGTTGGGGGCCGAACCTGGAGGCGAGGAGTATGACCAGGAAGAGCCGAGCCCACCTCAATGCGACCACATCCAGCACCACATGGCGGAAACAAATAGTGGAAGGGGTATTATTCATCGGACTATGCAACGTCTATACCTTGGCTGTATTAGTGTTGTGGGTGCCTTGACAAGCTTTGCCTACTCGCCTATCCTAGTCATTTGATATTGCTTGCATAATTGTTTATGCGCACAGCATGTGGGGGCTGATGCTTCGTACTGCAGTGTGAGACGAACAGCCGGCGCTACGAAGTCCGTAAATTTGACGTTAGCTCCCGTACAACGATGCATGTCTTTCAACAACAATATTCCGCGCACTGTATTGAGTCATGTGACGTTTTGTAGATGCGACAACCATTTGCGGCCAAAATTGGGGTGATGTGCAGGTACACCTACCAGGACGACTGCTAACCTGGGGGTTGATGGGTGCTACATTTCACATTCTCGTGTACAGTACCATTTTGAGGGGCTCGGTTGCTCGCCAGCTGTGATCTTGGCACTTTCAGCCTTGCGCCACCAATTAAGTGTAGCGCTGACGGCTCTTCCCAATAGGTCCATTCGAATAGTTTTCCTTCAGCCCTCCAATTGCGTTTCCGCTTTGAAACAAAGCTGAAAGGTGCCAAGCAAAGAACCGCTGGCCTGTGGTCTCATGGTCCAAGATTGAGGCTAGCTAAACTTCCGGTTGACATGGGGTGCGGCTGCCTTCGAAACCCGTGGCGCCGGCTTCATCCGTGTGATTGACTAGGGTTAGCGAGCCGGCGACTTCTGGAGCTGAGCGATTGCGTTGAAGCCGACGAGCTACCGCTATGGGTAGGGCATCGCCGTAATATAGACATGAAGCCAAAGCGTCCTTGCGTTTGACATTCCATCAGAACTGCAACCATACCCGTCTCCCAGATGATTTTGTCTAAAGGTTTGACTTCCGACCGCCAGCCATTGGATGAGTTCAGGAGAAGAGGTTCCCAACTCCCGACGATCCACCCTGATTCGATATTCTACGCTGGCATAAGATTGGACCTTTTCGAGTGGTCCGAGAATGCCACTCACGGTATTGAGAGAACCGGTCTAAACTCCGTGCAAGAGCTTGAGTCGAAAAGCGACGGGATCATTCGCGTGATGTAAGTATTTCCACGAGATAACGCGGTGTCACTGACGACCATAGCTTGGCACCTCGAGACATACCTGCACCGGGAAAAACAGAGGCGCTGATCGAGCTGTTCGAGACATGCAGTGTTCCAAGCCCGTTTATCGACGAGAGCTTGCGGGACGTTTCGCAATCCTTCGCAGCGTGCGAAGACGTGAATGACACATTGTGCATCTGGTTCCATCTTTTGTGTAAAACTTTGATAGAGGGCAGGGGAAAAGGCGCAGTATACGACAGCGAAGCTAAGACTCAGAAGGCGGCGAAAGCTCGGAGTGAAGCAGACTTCTCTTGGATAAAGCCGGGTATCGTGATGAAGATCCGGAAGCAACCGAAGACAACACCTAAGCCAGTGCGGACATCGACATCGAATAGCGATGATACCCTGGTGGATGCACCAGTTAAACCCAAGGTTGAGCTAGTATGCTTTGGCGCACCCAATACACTACATGACCGACTGCGAACAATCGCAGTAGCGACTACGTGCGACGAACTCCTGGATGATCCATATATGTTGCTCGCGATCATATTTGAAGACATGTTCAAGATCTTAGATTGCACGGCCTGGGCTGTGGCCGACAAGTTCGGTCGCTTGGAAACGGTACGTACAATTACCCACGGATTCGCGATCGTGCTAACCGATTGTCAGAAAACCCTGGAGATAGCAAGCATGCCCGGAAAGGCATCAGAAGAACTGCCGACAGACCTTTTCACGGCGCTGCACAACCTCGCGAAGCATGCTATATATCTGCGCGAGAATTGTGAAGAAGCATTGGCTACCTTAAAAGATCTCTCCGATCATCATAAAGCAGCAACAGGCGAGGATCCAAACGCGTCACAGAAGCGCACCCGCCAGGCGCTCGAGTACCGAAAGACGTTATTTGAATCGACGCAGCGCCGGCTTGCAAGTCTGAATGCACGGATCTCGAACATCATCCAATTGTCATTCCACATCGTTACGCAGGGTGACAGCAAGGTGATGCAATCGGAAAATCAGAGTATGAAGACGATTGCGGTAATGACGCTTGTGTTTATGCCCTTGGGTACGGTCGCGTCCATCTTCGGTAGTCAGTTCATGGAACTTCAGGAGGAGCAGCCGCACCATATTACGGTATCGCGCGACTTTTGGCTGATGTGGATCATCGCCGTTCCATTGACTGTTATAGTCTGGACCAGTAAGTACAATCCTGACGCTAATTATATTGGCAGCATACGCTGACTTGGTGTGCCAACATCTAGTCTGGTGGTTCACGTACATGGATGCAAAGGCAAGGTTGGTAGGCAAAATGGAGAAGTCCGAACACGGTTATATGGTATGGAAGATGTTGCATAAAATGCTGCGCAGAGTGGAAGTGAAGAAGGGGATGTCGGATGCGTGAGTGCAGAGGTGTCCGAGCGGAGATCCATGACGAAGTGCGGGTGGGGCGAACTCGGGCGACATACAACTGTTGGCGCTGGCAGCTAGGTTACACCACTGCAGAGATCTCGCAATTTGCTGCGAGGGCTCATGAGAGGTGGAACGGAATTGTAGGGCACGTATCAAAAGCTCTTGTCTAGCTGCATTGCAACACCTTCGGATATGCGAGCCAAGATAGGTTGAAATTTACTCTTCAAGCTAGAATTGGAAGCTCTCCTCAACTACATCTTGATTGACTGTCACCAAAGTCTAACGGCGAATAGTTCGGATAGCTGTAAGCAGTAATATCCACAAGATCTTGAAGAGTTCCAGCTGGGCCATGCGACGCTAAGAATCTGTTCATGCAATTAGACACTAGTTCAACATACAGTATGGCAATTGTATCCAATGAGCAGGGCGGACTTACTTAGCATTCGATGCAACACCATCCGCAGCTAGAGCTGCGACAAGCTCTTCGATTGCGTTATGATCGAACTCTTCGATGAAATTCAAGTTTCCATGGTCAGCATCGAAGATTGCAGTAGAACTGTTTGAAGCCGGGCATGCGGGGCGAATATAAGCATAACCGTGGTCGTGGGCGTGAATCGTAGCTTGCATATCTACAAGAGCCAGCTGTGTCTGCTCATCACTAAGCATAAGAGGCTTGCCGAACCTGGAGAAAGTTAGCATTAGGTAAATAATCTGGAAGTGGTTGCATATACTTGTAAGTGAGGACCTGATCTCTTTTGAGGTTGAGCCCAGAATAGTAATCGACAGCCTGTTCGGGAACGATCAACTGGGCCCCATTGGCGACGAAGTCCGCAACACCGAAAGCGTGGTCGTGGTGATGATGTGTCGGCTAATTTCTGTCAGCATCCTATTGAGATGACTTCATTGCACGACTTGAGATTGAGATGTTGCAAAAAGAAGAACGTACCCAAACATGAGTCACTGCCTTCCCAAGCGTCTGATTGGCCCATTCAATGATGACTTTGCTCTGATGCGGCGGTGCATCAAGAACAATGACGGACCCATCAGCAAGCTCAACAACTGCTTGGCGCATACCCATACCACCTGCGATGTTAAGTTCCCAGAGGCCTGGCACATCTGCAAGAGGTTGAGTGGCTTCAAGAACATCCAATGATCCAGGATAGGCACCACCCCAGAGGTGGATCGCTGCAAGTTCTCCAATTTCTGCAAACGAGTATTCCGGGTCACGAATTGGAATGCTTGTTTCAGGAACGGTGCTGTTCCCGGGAGCACTGAAAAAATCACTCAAGAGCTGGGAGTTTACCATGACCTCATCAGCGCGATAGTCTCCAAGCAAGTGCTTGTTGTTGTATATCGTTTTAAAACGTGTAGGCAGTTGGACTCCACCCACTGTAACGTAATCCGAGACCTTCAGATCATGTGTGGAAGGGCCAAAGAAGTGGTGATCTTCGTAAGAGCGAATGATGTATGGGAGGTTAGTCTGTGGATCAAACAGTACCGTTAATCCGAGTTGTTCATCGTGGACTTGTTGCTCCGTTAGCATTGGGCACCTTCGCAATGTTCGAAGTTGGGTCGACTGACCACCTTGAAATGCCATTCCTGATAAAATTTCTTCTTGACGGGAGGTAAAGTTGCCATTCGAGAGGATCTAGGTTCACGTGTTAGCAAACAATATTCGTCAAGCTTGAAAGCCTTATGTTCCTACTGTCGAAACCAAGAGCGGATCCCACTTGTGTGCATCGGAGATTAGATACTCCGCCAAAAGTCCTGTTATATAGTATATCAGCCAGATTTTCAATAGATTAGGAGGAGGCTAGTGAGATACCATCAGTGTAACCGGTGGGTCCTCCAGACGGATCGTAGATGTTGTAGCTTCCCCGAACGACAGCGGCGAAGCCTTCATCTCCTCCTTGCACAACCAAAGAATAGTCCATGGGCTGAAGGTCTGCTCGTCCAAACGTAAAAGTGGCTGCAAGACTTAGCTTCAAGTCAACAACTCTATCCCTACCAACTTACGTCCGAGGATGGCAAGTTTATCAATACGTTGGGAGACATGAGAACTTTCATAAGAAAAGGTGATGTTTTGGTTGCCAGCCGTTGTTCCTGCAGTGTCGAGGCCGTGCAGAGATGCCGCTAGCATCAAAGTTCTACTTCGCAAGATCCTTGAGATGTTGGTATAATGCTCCTTAGAGACTTGGGGTATAACTTACGTCCGACCAATATAAGAAACGCTCAATACTTCAGAAATGCTCTGACTACCTCCAAGCACTGTCAGAGCCTGACTTACTAAAGCTGCAGGGTCTTGTAATGACGAATCGCCCTGGCGGTGGACTATATCATGGCACAAGACGCCATTAAATAGAGGAAGGAATGCAACAAATGAGCGAAAGGCACACATCGTGAAGAAGAGTCGATGCAGTCTGAAGTGTTTCTACGATGTTGGATAGCATTGCTCATTTGCTGCATGATAGTATCGCTATATACAATTCTGTAACCCCTCTTTCCAAGATTTCGCCTAGATCTTCCGGAAATTTATGAATATCCATCTCGCCGCAAAGTTGTAGATTTGTAGTCTTAGTGGGCGGTGCATCATGCCCTGCCAGCATTCTGCGATCGTAACAGTGATGGTTCCTTCCAGACACACAGCCGAGCCAGAACATATTCCTTTCCATCATACGTACTGTTATTGAGGCTCGATTGAATGTAGAATATCCTCTAGTAACTCTGTATTGTCGTTGTTTGAAACTCAGATCATAGTCTCAGGCATCATGGACATAGCGAAAGTCGCGTAGTCCGAGTATCGGCTTTAGCGGGAACTACTCGGCCGATACAAATGTCGGCATGATTGAGCACCTTACACACGACAAGCTGATATCGAGCCTTGCTACATTTGATACAAGACAACAATGGCATAATACGAGCATGCGTAACGATTTGAGATGTGCCAAATGGGTCTTCCAACATACACTGCTATGACCGTTGGTTGTCTGGACTAAAGCCGAGTCGCGTCGCCGACTCGGTCGTTAGTTGCTCCATACGCCGGCTTCTAACCACTTATTGGTCATAACTTTAACTCCAGGTGCATGCTAGCTGGGATTGATTAGCGCCGGTACTACCTCGGTATTATTGAGGTGTGAACAGGGTTGTTGTCTTGACTACTCTAACGCCGTGTATTCTCCGTTGAGGCTTGTATGGTCACCGTAGTAGGCCCGTTCTTCAACCCGACCCAGTACAGCACGACAAGTTTGAGAAGCTGGAATGTTGAGTCTCTCTACAAAATGGAAGACGAACCTACAGGGAATCAATTCATTACACGGCCTTCTTCTTCTATCCTCCTTCCACTACATTGTTTACGCACCCTAGCGATTTGACACATAAAACCACAACCGTCAGCATGTCTAAATCTATTCTTGCGGTTTTTGGAGCCACGGGCAATCAGGGAAACTCGACTGCTCATTTTGTGCTCGACGATCCCGAGCTCTCGCAGCGCTACACCGTTCGGGCTATTTCACGAGATCTCAGTAACCCAAAAATGAAGGATCTCGAGTTGAAAGGTGCAGAGCTTGTCCAAGCTGATCTCAACGAGCCTTCTACTCTACAAGCAGCTGTCAAAGGCGTGGACTTCCTCTTTTTCCTTACAGCAACGCAATTCGGAGGCAATACACGCGAGATCGAGAACAAGCAAGCAAAGGCTCTTTGTGAGAATGCACTCGAAGCGGGTGTAAAGTACATCGTTTACAGCTCTATGAGTCATCCATACGAGATATCTGGTGGGAAACTGAAGAATGTGGAGCACTTTGACGACAAAGCCGAGATCGAACAATACATTCGCAGTCTGCCAGTGAAATCTGCATTCTTCGCCCCAGGTTCCTTTATGCAGAACTTTCTCTCTCCCTTCATGGCACCCCGACCCTCTCCATCCAATGACGGTTCCTTCATTCTCGCCAACTGCGCGCGCGGCGATACCGCAATTCCATTCCTCGACATCACCGATACCGGAAAATGGATTGGTGCCATCCTCGCCGATCCAGAAAAGTATGAAGGCAAGTTTCTCGCTGCCGCCGAAAACCTTTATACTCTGGATGAAGCATGTGCTATCATCGAAAAGGTCACCGGAGCAGTCGTGAAGCAGCAACAGCTGCCGGGTGAGCTATTCAAACAATTCTTGCCAGAGGGGTTGAGAGATGCATTGTATGAGATGTGGGTTCTACAGCGCGATTATGGATATTATGGCAAAGCAATGAAAGAGCAAGTGCAATGGGCAAAGGAACAAGCCAGGGGAAAGCCTGTTGGATTGGAAGAATTCCTAAGGAAGAATAACTTCACATTGTTGTAGAAAGCGCCAACAAAAGTCATGTTCGGTCATAATGGAGTCAGATACTATAACGGTAGTACTGTTTGAGGCCGATCACCGGATCAGGCGACTAGGAACTATACGGTTCTTTGTAATACCCAAACTGTGCCTGTGAGTCTGTAAACTAAAGTTCCAACAATAAACTCTTCAAGAATGTTGATTCGAGTGAACATGACCTCAATTGTATTGTTACATGACGACAAACCACTTGTGGAACACTGGCTATTAATAGATGATACACCTCTCTCATGACTGTGCGAAACCCGACCATAGTTGCGTCTTTAAGACGAACAAGATCTCGCCATGCTACGTGTTATTCTATTTCCACGCCACGCGTTATCTTACATCATCACATGATCCATGCCTATACCCATCATCGCCTCACCGTCCCTGTGCATAATGTCCACAGCGCCACTAACTTCAATAAAATCCTCCAACTCTTCACTCGTAGTCTTCAGCTTCTCCTTCACAGCGGTGACACCTTCTGATCCCACGATATGGCGTGCAGGAGGATTATCGTGCCCGCCAATAGCCGTAAGCGCATGTACTGTCTCCGCAATCAAATCACTCTTCACCGCCACTGGTAGCGGCGCATACAAACTCGTCACCGTATCTGAGCTCAGTAAATCACCCATGGTCGGTTCCGCATCCGGGTTAGCGTCCGAAACGACACTTTCGTCTCCAGGCGACTTGGTGGCGTTTTCGTCGAACACAGGATGGGCTGTGGGGTTGTCGATTCTTTCTAGCTTGTCGAGAAGGCCAGAGAAGATTTCCCGGGCTAGGGGCGCGGGGTTCTCGCCTTGGAGGTATTCGGACATGGGCGGAACGGATGTTATCCGGTTCGTGAGAACGTTGACTTCCATGTTGGCTTGGACTAGGGACATTTTCACGTTGAAGGGGGCGATTTCGTAGGCGAGGCTGTCACAGTATCCTTCGACTGCCCATTGTGAGGAGCAGTACATCCCTAGGCCTGGGGTTCCGAGATGACCAGTAATTCCTGTTATGACAATGATGTGTCCGTTCTTTCGCTCGCGCATGATTGGAAGTACGGCTTTGATGATGTTGACGTTTGCGAAGAAGTTGATCTCGAAGATCTCATCGACCAGGCTTCTTGTTCGGCTAGTTTGAGCGAGTTCTTCAACCGAACCGATCACGGCTACACAAATGAGAAAGTCAGTTCGCATCAGTCAATAACGTCCTGGGTTATCACCTTCGCTCGCCGCGCATAGCAAAACGTCGATTCGCCCGAATGCTTCAACAGCCTCAGCAACCGCTGCTTGGCATTGACCAACTACCCTGCACACCAAGACGTGTCAGCAGGGCACAGCTCCAAACTTTAATTCGTATCATCTTATGCTCACCTGCTGTCCAATCCGACTACTCTCAGATGCTCCCGCCACCGGTCGGTCTGCTTCACATCTTCAAGAAACGTTCGAAAGTCTTCACTTTGGCCTTCTCTCTTCTCAAATTCAATCGGCATAACGCCTGCGACAACGTAATCGCCATGCTCAAGCACTTGTCGTGCTAATGCAATAGCTATAGGCGACGCTCCTCTAGTAATGAACCAGACGCGCGGAGCATTGTGGGGCGGAAAATGCGGAGACCTAGGCCGTGGTGGTTTCGTCGACGACGATGATGGCGCGTTACTCGTCATGTCGGGGTTGAAGATAATGATGTATACCGCATATTGACTGATGTATGTACGTGCTTTGGCGATGGGATGCGCGGTGCATCTTAAGTGGGGAACTCCACAATGCCGCTAGTTTCCTCCCCACTTTAGCGCGCACGAAAATGACTTCACAAACACCATCATCACTACCACGACTTGCCCAAAACTGATAATAATAGTTGTGTTTGGAAATTCCAAGGACGGGAACCAGATTCTTATCGGTACCATATATCGCTCTCGGTTCTTTCGTCAATTCGAGGCCAAACTTCAGCTTGCCTCCTGCACGGGCTGCCCTTTCACCTTCACTCCAGGTATGTCAACTCAGTCGTCATCAGCCTGCCATCTCCCATCCTCACGGATGCCAGCCTCCTCTCGCTAGTCCCAGCCTTTTTCGCACAGTTGAAGTTTCCCCTTTTTACTACTTCAGTTTCAAACTTTCTCTCCACCTACCTTCTATCCCACACTCCATTCTATGATCCAATTTCCACGATCTTCGTTCAATTCGTCCGCCACATATCTTCCGCGTCATTGAAGAGTCACATCGGACTACAACATGAGGTTGCTTGTCAATTCCGCACAGTCGGCTGACGTCGAGCGAGACAACCTAGCATACATCTACGCTGAGCTGACCATTCACCTGGCTGCAGTCGCCGCTACAGCTGAGTATCAGGAGGACCAGAAGTATCAAGAGCTACTAGCCCGCGAGATAGACTTCGACGGTGGCTTTGAAGATCGTCGCCCGAGAAAGGTCAGGATCCGGTCCAGAGACTGCAAGAGCTGGATCAAGCGCGACAACCGTAACTTCACTGGTGTCCGTAAGCGCGTGTGTGAGCTTCCACTTCCATCTCCGATGAATAAGCCATTCTCCCTGGCGCAATACCAGCGCCATGCCGTCCATCTCATGTCCAGGGTCCTCAATGTCCGCACCAACGCATCACCCTTCACACTCGTTCTCGATGATCTCAATCAGCGCGCAGACTCATTCATCGCTGAGATTGCTCGCCGCGCACTCTCGCGCAATGTCAACGTTGTGTTTGTCACCTTTGAGTCTCGGCCATCAGTCGCACCCATCCGCACCGTCCAAGGCTTCGGCACGACTGGCGATGAGATCATGCACGACCTGCGCAAGGCCATGAGCGACGCGAAAGAGAGCCTCGTCATCGTCGACAACCTGTATGAACTTCTCAACAACAAGGGGGTCGAGATGACTAGTCTCTTCAATCTCGTCGCCAACAAGTTCACCTCCACTCTCGTCAGCGTCTACCACCAAGATGTGCTAGATGCTCGACCAGAATCACCATACGCCCCACAGCCACTGGAGCTGGTCAAATACATGGCTACCTCAATCGTCACCTGCAAGTCCTTTGCTCATTGCCTGGCCGCCAAAGCCGCCAAAGAGCGTAGCCTGCCTGAGCCGACCTGGGGCTTGCTTCAAGGCGCCGAAGGTGTCGTCCAGTGCCTTGACGCCAACGACCACCGCGGCATCGTCCTCGAAGCAGAGTTCCGACGCAAGTCCGGTCGTCCAGAAGGCGAGACCTACTTCCTCCGCGCACCGCGGCACTCCGACTACCACGCTCCCATCCCTGGCATCCCCACCGGTACCCTTAAGCAGGAGTTCGTCATACTCCTCGACCAGGTCCCTGGATACGCCAACGAGACGGTTATTGGCCTTGTCAACGCTGCAGACCAGGATATTGAGTCTACCTTCAACCTTGGTCTCACCGATAAGCAGAAGCAGGCGAGGGAGGGTGTTGTACTACCTTACTTTGATGCGCAGAAGGGTGAAGGTGCTGGTGAAGGTGGAAGGATCTTGTATGACATGGGCTCCGAGGACGACTTCGATGAGGAGGAGGACGAAATCTGAGTGTCCCTCGTGGACTGTTCCGGCGCTGGTCGCGAGTTTGGATTGAGATTCTGAGATACCCCAGGCGTTCTTGCTATGGCGTTCCGGCGGTGGTTGATGATTGGAAGACGCGCGCAACGCGCAGGGGATAAAGTACAATGGAATTGTCTACAGACTCCTTTGCCTCTAGATACATTCTTACTGACACATAATGTCGCGTCTTCCCAGGATGCAGTAGTAGCGACTAGGAGGGAAATGACATCGTCAAGGCCCTGCACTTTCCCCAATGCAGTTGGAATAAGTCATTGTAGCATTGCATCGTTTTCTCTTCGCCTGACGTGTTTGATCAGCTGGGAATGTACAAGTCGTATGGTTGCGAATCGTAGGCAGCCGTTACGCCATTCGGCAGGGCTGAGATGGCAGCCTTGGCGTCCAAACTTACCAGGCGATCCAAATTGTTCCCTTTGCGCCAACCTCTCCCGCACAGCACACACCCCACCCCACATCATGGCAGATAACGAGCGACCACGCGAGCCTTACCGCGACCCCTTCGCGCGCGACAGCCGCCGGGAACCACGCGAAGCTCGCGAACGAGGCGGCACCCCCACAGAGCGACGCAACCGATCGCGCAGTCCCCAAGAGCGCGGCAGCCGACGCGACACGCGCTACCGCTCAAGATCGCCTTTCCGCAAAGACGAGCGTGAAAATAGTGGACGAGGGGGTGCACATAGAGGACGAGGGCGAGGGCACGACCGCGGACGAGGCCGTGATGATAGGAGAGCAGCAGCAGGAGATCGAGACTCGCGCCCATCCTTCCGTGACCGCTCACCACCAAAAGGTCCACGAAACCCCGGCGCACCACCAACCCACGGTTCAAGCAAACCCCCAACTGGCCCTCGGTCCTCTGCCGTCGACCACCCAATCAAGAAGGAAGAAGAAGGCACACCCGACGTCGAGATGAAGGACGAGCGGCAGAAGCCAGACGACATGGACGACGACGAGTGGGAGATGCTGAAAGTCATGGGCTTTGGCGGGTTCAAAAGTACGAAGAATACAAAGGTTCCCGGGAATGATAAGAACTTTGGGGTTAGGAAGGATAAGCAGTTGCAAGCTAGGCAGTACATGAATCGGCAAGGTGGATTCAATAGGCCGCTTTCACCTAGTAGGAGTTGATAGCGTGGTATTGAGACGGAGATTCATGGTTACATCTTTGGTCATGGAGGACAAAAGGGTTGATCTCGTGGCCCACGCCTAGGTGCACGGCGCTGCGATGCCATGCGACAGATTCTACTGTCTGCCTTGAACACACCGCGAAGCAGGAAGACATTGCGCCGATGTATGGGGCAGGATACGCCTTGTGGTGTCATGGCACGGCCTACGCTCATGATAGAGTTTATGGTATAGCGCCCTCTCTTCCCTTGTACCTTTTACGGTTTTTTTTTTCGTAGTCTGACCATAACAGAAGGGGCTCAGGTTACGTCGAGCGAAGCTACATGTAGTAATCACATCAGTTCGGAATCCTTGGAAGGATTCGAGCGCGGTAGATTGAGATAATCACGATGCCACATCATTGCCCATACCGGTTTCATCGCTTCTTCGTGATAGATTGGATAAGTTTTCCACACGTATGTTAACACAACACAGTCCATATGGTTCCATATGCTCGAAAGTAGAGACGGACGTGTAGGAAGTGCCCCCCTACATCAGCCAATCAGCGCCTGGGATTTCCCCGGCCTCCGCGAAATGTGTCCCCACAAAGCTCCAACCAGGTCCGGCAGCTCCAGCAGCTCCAGCTTCACACAACACCATGACGCGCGAATGTCGACATGGCACTCTTTGGAAGGGGCTCACATGTCTTTTCGCTCTTCAATTGCCCCTCGTGAGTGCGCAGGTTGCAGAGGTTGAGAAAGCAACCAATGCGAGCTTGCTATGGGGACCCTACCGGCCAAACCTCTACTTTGGAGTCCGGCCACGCATACCGAAGAGTGTGATGGGAGGTCTTATGTGGACGCGAGTTGAGGATTACCAAAGCGTGCAGCATAGTAAGTCTGAAATCGCAAGCTCGGCAGAGATTCGTGGCTAATCATGTAGACTTCCGTCACACTTGCGAACAACACGAGCTCGACGGCTACGGTTGGGACGAATACGATGTGCGCAGCGGCGGCCGGCAGACGATCCACGACCCTGCGAACAAGATCGACATCACCACCGAGTTCATCAAATTCCCTGGCGGAGAGCATGGCGGTAGCTGGGGTGCGAGGATCAAGGGCACACCACGAGAAGACGCCGGCCCGAACCTACGAACGACAGTCGTTTGGTACAACACACTCGAGGGCTTGGGTAACCTGGAAATTGCAGATGCCGACCCTTCAGAACCCGGCATTGAGGGTGACGTGGTCCTGAAGGGGCAGACCAAAGAACTGGGCGAGTTCGAGATTAGAGTCACTGAGGGCAAGGGCGACCATCCTGTTACCGGACATCCAAGCTACGACGAGAAGCCGCTGGACCGAACGTTGGCACATAGCGGGCAGGTACCGGAAGAGGCGTTATGGCAGGTCAAGGCCATGATGTTCGCACACATGAAGGGCCAGATCGACGTCTTGGTCCCCAAGTACGGCGAGCAGAACCCTCCACCCCCCGCCCAAGTCTACACGATCCAACATCTACCCGGTCGTGGAAACATGCACCTAGTTCAGAAGGTCTTTGAGGGTCCCTTTGAGTTCGACGTCATCTTCTCGTCTCGGTCTGCGCCGGAGAAAATCACGTCTGAGGACCTCACACAGCAAATCGAATCCGTCACTTCAAGCTTCTCGACTCGCTTCACGGAAATTTTCAAGCCTCAAGCGCCGTTTGTCAAGGAACGCTACGAGGAGTTCTCCAAGTCGCTGTTCTCAAACCTGATCGGTGGCATCGGCTACTTTTTCGGTGACTCTCGCGTCGACCGATCTTACGACCCTGCCTATGAGGAGGATAGCGAAGGCTTTTGGGAAGAGGCTGCTGAGGCGCGAAGCAGGAACCAAGCTCAGCTTGAAGGACCATCTGAGTTGTTCACAGCCATTCCATCGCGACCCTTCTTCCCCCGCGGATTCCTCTGGGATGAAGGCTTCCATCTCCTACCCGTCATCGACTGGGATGCTGATCTCACTCTCGATATCATCAAGAGCTGGTTCAAGCTCATGGATGAGGACGGCTGGATTGGTCGCGAACAGATCCTCGGCGCTGAAGCCCGCAGCAAAGTGCCAGAAGAGTTCCAGGTCCAGTATCCTCACTACGCCAACCCACCAACGCTTTTCATGGTCATCACATCCTTCCTCGACAAACTCGATGCCATCAAGACCGATACCAGCAGCGAGAAGCTGCAACAAGAAAAGTCGTACTCGATGCAACTCTCGAACCGCGAAGCCGCCCTAGAATACCTTCGCTCGCTCTACCCCCTCCTCAAGCGCAACTACTTCTGGTACCGCAAGACACAGGCCGGCGACATCAAAAGCTACGACAGAGAGGCATTCTCCACCAAGGAGGGCTACCGCTGGCGCGGACGCACACCCTCGCACATCCTTACCTCTGGTCTCGACGATTATCCTCGCCCTCAGCCACCACACCCCGGTGAGCTGCACGTCGACTTGATCAGCTGGATGGGCATGATGACTCGCGCAATCAAGCGCATCGCAATCTACCTCGACGAAGAAGATGATGCGGCGGAATTCGCGCGCTACGATGAAGCCATTGTACGCAACATCGATGACCTCCACTGGTCCAAGAAAGAGAAGGCGTACTGCGATGCCACTATCGATGACTATGAAGAGCACTCACTGGTCTGCCACAAGGGGTACATTTCCTTGTTCCCCTTTCTGACTGGCCTCGTCGACAAGGACAGCGAGAGGTTGAGCGACGTGCTTGATCTTATCGAAGATGAGGAGGAGCTGTGGAGTCCATACGGCATCAGAAGTCTGAGCAAGAGTGACGAGTTTTATCACACGGCGGAGGACTACTGGCGTGGGCCTGTTTGGATGCCAATCAATTATCTGGCTGTGAGCCAGTTACTCGTAAGTTTCCCACATCCCAGAGTTGTCCTGCTTCCTTCTCATTTCCCCTTCCATCACGTATATCATATACTAACATATGAACAACAGAACATCGCAACCCACCCCGGTCCCCACCGCGCCCGTGCAACCAAGATTTACACTGAACTCCGCAAGAACCTGGTCAATACTGTGTACGAGAGCTGGAAGGAAACCGGCTTTGCCTGGGAGCAATATAACCCTGAAACGGGTAAGGGGCAGCGGACACAACACTTCACTGGGTGGACGAGTCTGGTAGTCAAGATTATGGGTATGCCGGATTTAAGTAAAGGAGAAGATGCGGTGAGGGATGAGCTGTAGATGAATCGAGGATTTGTAGCCATCTGAGATGCATTACTGCAAGGTACACAGATCAAGAAAGCAACCTGGCATTGATACTTGACGTAATGCAGTATATACCACTTTCCGCTACAGACGTCGCGCGCGACACAATGGTATGGCATTACATCATGACCCCCTCTCTATCCCTCTCTCTCCAACTTCTGCTTGGAGCCAATCTCCCCTTCCTTCCTACACTACGTCTAGAAGTCTGGTGTAAACACATACTTTTCAAATTCAGCAGGCGGGGTGGCGTCATTCATAGCCATCTCCATCAACGCGTCCTTGTCTGCCGCAGGTATATCGTCAATGTTGTAGTGCTGCAGTGTAACCCTTGGTCAGTCTACGCATTCGCATGCCCATATTGCAACACATCAAAACACTTACCTTGCCACCGATAAAAACAGCATCGGGATCAGTGGAACCAGTGCACGTCCAGATTGGATCGTTGTTGGCCTGCCTCTTGACCTTTCCGTTGACATCATCGGCGTCATCCATGTCAAAGTCGTTTGAATCCTTTCCATCGGCGCCAGGTTCAGTCCACGAGAATCCGTGTAGAGAGCCTGAAATGCATGTTTCGCGTTGCTTGACCGCAATGTTCTTGGAGATTGTACCGCATTGTAAGGGGCCGTCTGCATTGGATGCTGGGCCTTCGTCCCAGGCTAGGAAGTGCTTCTTACCCGTTTCTTGCACTGTGTACAAGGAGGGCGATGGGTGGTCAGTTGGATTCTAGAAGCTTTCACGCAGGGGGCTAGGGAAGCAAGAAATGTTGATGACTTACCTTCGAGCTTGCCTGACGCAACGGTTGTGAGACCCTTGGCAATTGCATCTGCTGTAGATGTCGCGTTGCCGGTGATGGACACGGCGCAGATGTTGTGGTCAATGTCTTTGAAGAAGAAGGCTGGGCCTGTGCAGCCGGGCTTGGTGTAAGTGTAGATGTTGTCGGCTGTGGCAATGCTGCTCATGGCACCGAGAGCCAGGAGAATGGAAAGTGAAGGCATCATGAATGGAGTAAGGGCGTGTATGGAGTGTGAAGATGTTGGATTGTTGTTAGATACTTGGTGCGCGGTCCTGGACTTGTTCGCAAAAGGCCTGCTATGGTGGTTTGCAGATATGTGCGCTGTACAACGGCTTTTATCGTTGATCGCAGAGTTGCCATGATCTGCTTGACGTTGTGGACTCCGTGCTGGCCGAAGTAAGCACCGGATTACCACCTGTATATTCTATTGACCGCTTCTTGGGCTCCGATCGCATCGACATCACCTTAAAGCCCATACTGCGCAGATTCGCATGTTGCTTTGTCGAGGAGGAGTACGGTCTTGGTGATGCGGAAGCCCAGCATCGGCATTGATGCACGATGCGTACAGTAGGCGCAGTGCTTCGCGTCTTGGTGAAGTCGAGGCCTGGCACTGGACAGCTTACGACGTGTCTTGTTCCTTTGGTTCCCGCTTCTTCTACGCCGAGTGCGATCGCGATCTTAGTCAGATACGGAAGTAAAAAGTCCGCGGCGGTACCGCCGCACCGGCTTACGACTTTTGTAGTATCTGAGTACGTTGCACCTTACTTCTGTTGAACGAAGAGCGTGGTCTTGATGGCCCAAATGATCGACATTCGATGTGCTGCAAAAGATTCGGTCCTTACAGCGAATGCAGTCCCGGTGAGAAAGGGTGTTGACATTGGCACAGCCTTGCGACATAGTTTATACTATATTTACATGATAGTATTTCGCGTCCTCAGCGCCGGTCTCGGTGAAGTATAGATTTGGCAACGGCACAACTGCACCGGCGTACATGGTAAACTTGGACATTATAGAATTGTAATAGACATGGTGGAATTACGTCAACAAAAGAGACACAGAAGCGGTCTAGGACAGTGTTGATATCTACAGCACCCACGCTGCTAGAGCACTGAGCATAGATAGTGACATAGCGATTGAATTAACCGTAGACACTGAAGTTAGGAAGCTTGCACTAGTAGCAGTAGCATTGAGGCTGGATACGACGTCAATGGGAGCAGGGAGCGTCAGATTCTCGCTGCCTGCCGGGCAAGTCAGGTTGAAGCGAGGAGTGGTGCTGAGGTTGTCGGTGACGGCAAATTTGACTTCGTTCCCGGGGTTGGCGTCACGAAGGGTATACCAGAAGACGTTGTGTCTGCCGAAGAGCCTACAGCCAACCTCCTGCCAATACGTAGCGGCATTGTCGAGTGTAGATTCGGCAGCACCCAACGCAGGACCGCTATATGCCCAACCAGTTTCGGTGATCCAAACGTCCTTACCGCCAGCAGCGGCTTCAGTAGCAGTCAAGGCACTATTAAAGATGCCACCTGCGTTTTCAATTCTGTTGTCGATGGGATCCTCGTAGAATGGAAAGATGTTGACGGAAACGAAGTCCACCTCATCGATGACAGCCGCGTTGGAGCTATTCACCCAAGCGCTCCAGGAGTCGACGTGCGTAAAAGGCTTGTCTGCGAGTGCCGTATTGTTCAGGCGTGCGCGAGCATCCCTGATGAACCGCACAATTGTGTCTGCATCATTTCCAATTCCAGCCTCGTTACGCACACCAGATGCTGAGATGCGATAAAGGTCCTCGCTCCCAACCGAGATACCCACGACTAGATCCGCCAAATCAGAGCCATGCTCTTCGAGGGCTGCTTCTAGTGCGTTGAGCTCGTTGCCGATGCTGTCAGTGCCCGAGGCCCAGATGCCTAGAAGAAGGCTCGTATTCGTCGCAACCGCAGCTGAAAGTGCAGCGATCGGTGTGCTCTCGGTCTCCCACTGGACATTGGAATACAGGCGAATAGTATTGATTCCACCGGGTGCTCCCTCCAGATTCTGTGCAGCTCTAAACTCTCGCTCGAAGTCCCGCTGGGACTTTGGGTTGCCCTGGTCGTCTGAGGCGCCGGAGTTAAACCCTAGGATAGTGCGTTGAGCAGCTGCGCAGCCGAATGTCGCAACGATATTGAATAGGGCTGAGGTACGCATGTTTACAAGGAGTGAACGTAGTTGGTGGTGGGCAGGAAAGAAGAAGATGAGAAAGCATAACAGAGTCCAAACCAGTCAAAAGACAGCTGTTTAGTTAATTCAGGGTGAAGATTAGTTACTCCCATGTTGATCGACGACGCACGCCGAGACGTTGCATGAGATATGGACTGAAACTCGGAGACATTCGCGGATATTTGCTGTGGTCGTTGCTGTTACGATTGGACGTGTGCGACTTGGTCTGACTAGGCAAGACTCCGACTCCGCGCCAACCCGCTAAGGAACTTTAAAGTTCGCACGCTTTCGTGCCTCATCTTACAGTTCCAAATCTTCTAGTAAGATATAGTAAATATGTGGGGAGGCAGTGTGGTATATGTGTACATTTGTTCGAGGGGAAATCTTTGAGAAGTCATCATGGCCCTATCACGGTGATGTATTGGATATTTAAGGCACGCGACCGTAGCTTATGTGAGCCTACAGGTTCAGCAGGGTACCCCTCCTTCATCAATAGTCGCCCCGACTCTCAGAAACCTTAACAAGGTGTCGCGACTATGCTATCGAGCTCATGATTACTCAACTAGCGTCAGTACCAGCCATGCTGTCGGGCCGGTGACTCTCCATGGGAGATCCGTGATACAAACACATCAGAGCCTATAAGACCCTCCGCGATGCAAACGTGTTGTCAGGACCCCCGCATTCGAGATTTCATGGCTACAACGATTTGCATATCTATTCTCCTAACAACGCCGCAATGGTTATGAAACTAAGACAGATATATAATGATCGATACTCCATCTTCTACCCGATTTTCTACAGCGCAATCGGGACCGAACCCTTTGCTTTGCTGGCGGTGTTTCCTATCATCATGGGAATTGCTGTCTTCCACCGCTAGCCGCCTACATGACCAAGAAAAAAGACCAGGTATCTTCCTCCTACTGGAGTACGTTTTGATGATTCATCGGTAATGGATTAATCTCTACCCCGAGCCAAGACTATTATCCCTACGCACAACAGAATCTAGATTGAAGAGAAACCAACACAGATATTAGCCGCCAAAACCCTAGATAGCTGTTGCTAGCCGCGACGATGTACTCATGTGGCAGGCAAGCCGTTTTTCAGTCCGACGCGCCAAGAAACTCACAGACAACATACCATCACCTGTAATATTCGCCAAAGGCAGCAGCGGTGTTTAACAGCTACCGAAATCCCAGACGGCTGCTGTTACCCGTCATGGCTCTTGAGCTTATAAATGCTGTGGATACCAGGAGGCTCAACCACGCCCTCAAATGTCCTGCCCTTATCCTCCGATTTCTTCTTGGGTTTAAAATTGTCAGGCTCCAAACAAGGTGAGATATGATCGTCCCCTTGATTGTTGGACGGAAGATACTTCGAACCCTTCTCACCTTCCTCCAAAAGTTTGTCACCTGTCATTGTATGCCTGTCACTCTCTAGTCGCTTCAGAAGAGAGGCATGCAAAAGTGCCCCTTCAGGAATGTCTCGTGCCCATCCCCTATTCAATGGCCATGCAATATAATCCCACTTGTACTTGGAGTCCTTCTTGTCCCATATATATTCCCAACGTCGGAACGGCAGCCGTTCTGTTTTGAATGTGTTAGCTACAGATTGTCTCGGATTGTTCACGTGTGCGTACCCATGAAGTTCCACAGCATGACTTTGAACAGTGAGGCTCCACCTCCGATCTTGAGTGTGTCATGCATCGGGCTTTCGTACGCTTGGCGTATTTTCAGGAAGAAGTTTTCCTTGAACCCGTTCTTTTTCCAGTTCCATTTGATTGCTGATTTTGGATCCTTTTCTCCTAGCATCTCCAACTCGCGGATCATCCAAGCAAGAGGCACATCGCTCATCTGATAGGGATCCGTGCCCCGATTAGAGGGGATAGGGTCCTTCCAGGATAGAAATACTCTTCGCCACCAGGGCTTGGGTTGGATCTCGCCTTCAACATACGGAGCTGGCCATCCTCCACCAATGTCGCCGTGATTTCCGGGGAACCAGACTTCTTTGATCTTTTCTTTATCAGCATCAGGGAGGCGAAGGTCTTGATGGAGCAGCGCTGCTTTGAACTTGACGCGATGCTCATCAACAGCGACGGCATGGCGAACGTGACGAGCAGTTCCGAAAACAGAGACAGCCTTAGGAGGCTTGCCGAAGGGGCTATCTAAGACTGCGACACTGCTGACGCAGTCAAATATGCCCAAGAAGTGCACTTTAACGCCTGAATTGTCAGCACCCTCTGCACGGCAGAAAGTCTCTTTGAAAGCATTAAGCTTGTTCTTCTTCAGCTGTTGCGCGTCGGGTTTCACATATTGGTCCGCGCCCGCGCTGTTGGAATTGATGAGGGGCTCAGTTTCCGAGCTCTTGGTCGCCTTGTGGGCTGGCTCTTTTGCTTGTGCAGAATTTTTCTGCTCCTGCTCAGGGTTGGGTTGCTTGCCTTTCTCATACTGTTGATACAGATCGTATGCAAAAGGGACCATCTCCTCATTGCCTTCAGAAAGCAGGCCAACTTTGTATATCATGCGCGCAAGGAAGCGGGCGGTAAAGGCACCCCTTGAGAAGCCGAACAAATAGATCTTGTCCCCCTCCTTGTAGTACTTCATGATGAAGCGATAGCCTGCGATAACATGGGCATCGAAGGTAGTAGCAAAACCGTTGTCGATGGTTTTAGAGATCCACGACTGGATTTTACCAATGGGACCCTTGTTGATAGGACCCCCATCGACAGTGTATGTGCCAATTCCGGCTGTGCGATTAAATAGTCAGCCAACCATGTACCGCTGAGAGTTGGAAGTCACTTACTTTGGTAGTAGTGGTACTGCATGGGGTCTTTCCTGTCAAACTTGTCGTATAGTTTGACAATGTTGGTATCCGAGGTGTTGCCCTCGAACACGTTTCCAGTGCCATCGAAACAGAGGACAAGTTTCCTCGGGACTGGTGTTCCCGAATCCGCGGGCGGCTCGTTGGTAGTTTGGGGCATAGTGGTAGTCAACGCAGTACCAAATCGGCGGCGGGGTATGCTTCGCGTCTGGAAAAGAAGCAAGGAGGATATTATGGGATTGAAAGAATGAAGCTTCGACGTCAAACACACGGTCAGTGGAGCTGATAAAGGCCTCGATGGAGAATATAGCCCCAGAATGAGAGACTTCTGAGTGTTCATTAATAGACAACAAGAGCGAAGAGCGGACGAGTGGAGAAAGATATATCGTGATGAAAATTAGTGCTAGCATGGATATGAAAAGCACTGCTGGAAAAATGCCGGACAGGAATTGATGTGGAGAGCGGCTGCTACGATTGTGCCTCCGCGTTCTAGAATCCGTTCATGAGGTAGCTGAGTGTTTGCAAGCTCACATATGACTATTGGCTGACATGGTGTGATTCTGCATTAGGCGGCATGGAAAGGCGGATTGTGTATGGTCAATTCCCAATACAGTGCTGGGACGGCGGACGCTGTCGATGCAATTACTGGAAGCGGTCGTGGTAACAAACTCAATCAGCCCCGAAGCTGAACACCAGACTGTGGCTAGCGGTGATGCCGGCCTTTAGCTCCATCGCTTCCCTGCAGTGGCTGGCTAAGATACCGCCTTGGCGTTACCTTATTTGATGGGCTTGCCGCATGCACGAGCTGTCGAATACGACGTCTCTAACAGGCCGTGGTTGGCGCATTGTAGTCCAGATGCAGCGAGATGGGCGCACCACTAACAAGAGCACGTCGTTCAAAAGGCTGATCAAAGCTGAGCTCTACGTCGAAGCGGACGGCTTGGTGGGCACTGCTTCGTTCGCTTAGACCTCCGAGGGCGCGGCCCTTTGCCTGCAGACTTTATTGCGTATGCAGCAGAGAGCAGCGACGGTGCGACGTGCGTTTCCTGCGATGTAGCCAGCGTTATCAGCGAGCGACCCGCAGTGTGGAGATTGATAAAGCAAGCGCACAAAAAGCAGGCACAGGTGCAGTTTATCAACGCTCACGTCGCAGAGACAGAGAAGGCTGACTGATTTGAGAGGACAGGCGGGCTAGAACAATATCAAACCGCAATCTTATGCATCTGGCGCATCAGACCCAGCTGTCCGGTTGAGCTGCGGCGGGCGGTGAAGCGAACGGAGCATCAGCGGAGAGAAGCGTAGAAGAGCTGTCGACGCTCGCTAGAGATGAGGCGGTGGCTGGGGAGCGGGAAGCGACAGATGTTCAATAAACGGCCCATTTCTCGACTGCAGAAGTCGGAGAGTCAGGCGCGCTGCGCTGGCTACATGATCGAGTTCGTCTGCTACGCTCTACGGGTCCTGGTCGACGCATAGGCAAGACTAGCGGCGCAGGAAAGCGACAGCGACGACAGCGACGACAGCGACGACAGCGATAAGGATGGCGAGAGCAGCAGTAAGGACGACGCCTTGGAAAGCGACGTCTCCTCCTCCTCCTGCTCCTCCTCTAACCACGACTATAATTTAAGGCACGACTGCATCTGACCTAGGCAATGCAAGCCATTCTATCTTGGTCGAAGATCTGACAGTATACCCCGATACAACTAATACTCACAATCGACCAACACCAATCGACCACTCATGCCCTTCATCGCTTGTGGTATGTAATAGCCGCATCAACACAACTGTACGAACGATAGTGGCAGTTCTTGTTACCTTCACAGTAATTGCAGATATCAATGGCGCACAGCAGCGCAATCACCCTGAAAGTGATCAATAGGTGTGAACCGCCTCGGCTAGCGCACCCCCGCAATCCAACATCTCGCATCTCATCTTAGTGCAACGACTCCACACTATCAGCTCATCATGCCGAAACCCCGGGCGTTCTCTTGATGGCTTCCACGAATTCATCTGCGCGTCCAACATCGAGTGCACGGCAGAAGCATGTCACTACTGCCTGCTCGAGCTGTCGTATGTGAGATCAAACGCGACGCTGCCAGCTCGTCATGCAGCAACTGTATTCTGTACGCGCAACAATGCGTGTACCAACATGGGCTCGACAATCGGAAGGCCCTATGAAGGAGCGGCTTGTTGCTGCAGAAGCATATGCAAGGCAGTTGGAAGAATTACTGCACGCGAACGGGATCCCACTTCAGAGTGAGAGGAATCTTCCCATGGTTCGCGCCCGAAGGTCCGTAAGGAACATTAAAACCTCCCCCTACCCCCCTACCTTAATATCTCTACAACGTAAGTAGGTATTAAGAAATTAACGACAGGATTAGAATCGTGCGGTTATTCTGTACAAAATAGCCTTCTTAGATATCTTATGCGAGTCGAGGCAGCTAACCTTAACCCTGCGCGGGCTACCTCCTCGAATACTGCGGACCTACCTCTCTTTTCTTATCGCGTCTAATCGCCCACACCAAAGATCGCGCGGGGCCACTACTCTCGCGGTCATCCTCTTGGATAGGACTCCTTTTTCTTTAAAATGTAGAAATGCCTTCGAGCGGCCTGCATCCAGATTATCGATCAAATCCGACCTTTTTGAGTTTACGGAACTCTAACGTTTTCCGGCCTTGTAAGCGGGGTAGCCGGAAACAGCATAGAGTACCGGACCTATCCGATAAGTATCCTCCGTGGATCTACCGATGGCACAATATTTCCGAGTAGTAAATGCGAGCGTTCCGGAATGATTATGGCAGGGAGAAGTATTCGATTTGGGGGTCTTCTGTTGCAGAGCCGGGGAGAAGATAGGAGGGCTCCAGAACCTCGCCCGAAAGCAACTCCAGAAGAAAGATCGATCGTCGGCACTCCTAGAATACTAATCAGGCACAAGCATGCATTGGCTATCGCTCCAGCTGTTGGCTGTTGCTGCGATAGGCGGGGGGATGGCACAACTCAGCTTACCAGCAGAGCCTCGCCTGTCTACACACGGATGGATTGTCGAAATAGATGATAATTATGTGAGTACCCAAAGTACCTAATACACTGTTTTCCTTCCTATGCTTTTGATTCTGTGTTAATCAAGGATAAACGGGATCTTGAAACCATCAATGCATCTGTTACTAGCATTGTGTCCCATATTCCAGGTATCCAGGCGGTATTCACGCCTCACGAGTATACAAGTGACATCTTCTATGGCTTCTCCCTTCATTGCGAGTTCATGGAGGCATTTTACCCCTGGAACAAGGTCAAGAAAACTCTCAATCACATACGCGGCGTCAATCACGTTTGGGATTCCCTGACATACCACGAGAGAAGCATCAGCAGCCACAAATTTACACCTAACTCGTTTAGCCAACCTGCATTGTCAGAAGATGTCAAGGCAATGATTAACAGTATACACAATTTGACGCAAGTCACGGACCTACAGCACTTGTCGCTGAGTGGAAAGGGAGTGACCGTTGCAGTCATCGACGGTGGCCTTGATTATCTCCACCCAGCCCTAGGGGGAGGCTAAGGGAAAGGCTTCAAAGTCCAGTTCGGCTACGACTTTGTGGGCGATAATGTTAGGCCACCAAACGTTGAGGCCCCTGACGACGACCCATACGGGGATTGCTCTAACCACGCAACTCACACGGCGGGCATCCTGTTTGGCGACGATATTTCGATAGGCTTTCGAGGAATAGCTCCGGGGGTATCTGTCGAACATTATCGTGTCTTTGACTGCAACGGCATGAGCACCTCAGATGTTGTTCTCCGGGCCGTGTTAAGAGCGGTTGAGAGAAAGGTTGATCTGATCAACTTGTCTCTGGGTAGCGGTTCGCGGCCTTTTTCTGATGGTTAGTATTTACCCATCATCTGGTGAGCTCGGTTGTAATAACCATGAGTCAATACCCACTTGCGTCCTTGATTTCGAGGATTAACATGCAACGCCGCACCTTTATTGCTGTCGCGGCTGGTAACAACGGAAGAAACGGCACTTGGTCAGCTGCATCCCCGGACGGCGGTGGGCCTGAGATCTATGCTGTAGGCTCTTTTGACCTCGACAATTCCTACTCGATCCTCCGGTCTGGCCAAGCCGTGACCGGCAATAAGAACTCTAAAATGGTCGACTTAACATGGAACCCACCGACCTGGACAGCCTGGTTCAACAACTCCGTCCCAGAATCCATTAGACTTGTGGCACTGAGTGAGAGCCAGGACGTTTCCAACGATGGATGCCAAAAGATTATTCCCAATCCTAACCTATATCAAGATAAAATCGTCCTTATTCTCTGAGACCGGCAATATGCTACTGTCACTGCTCAAGGAGGAAAGCGAAGTTCGACTGCGGCTGAACGCCAATTTGACCCTGCCACCAGTTATCACATGGCAGACTAACCAACAAACTGCTGGTAAAGTCAGCACCTTCGATACGTGGGGCCCTTCAAGTGAGAGCTACACTGTAACTTCGCTTCTCGGTCCTGGGGGTCGAGTGTTATCTACGATCCCTCGTAAGGTCGGTGGCTGGGGTCTGTGCCGTGAAAGGGAGTTCGAGCCTGCAGGTAGCTGGAATTTGCCTCGGTGATCCACGGCATATCCGTTCCATACAGATTCTGCAGAACCATTAGTGCTACTAGTTCCAATCACTGTGATGAACATGCCGAAGGTCTCATCGTAACTGCACTGCTTTTCCTGGCACGGTTGCAAGATCTCGGTCGAGTTCTTGGAACTACATTGGCACCCTACGTCGAGGAGCGCACAGCCGATGGCAAACAGGCTTTTAGTGATACATTGTAGCTGTGCGACGGTCAGCTGCAAGAAGCTTCCTCTCGTGTGATGTATATCTCACAGTGCATGGCGGAATCTGGCTCAATGCCTCCAGTGCTGCATCTTCTAATGAGGCAGCAATCGTCGTGAAGCAGAAGACGCTGATCAGCACCACGAAGGCAAACACTCGATGCGGAGATAGAAGGAGCATATCTACAAAGTGGATTACGACGATGTGCACGGGCAACGATAAATGCTTTTCAGGTTCGAGAAGCTGTCATTTTATTCCGAGGAACACGAGAGTTCTGCCAGAAAGTTAATTGCGATGATCATGGGCAGACATGTTGGTGTGGGGTGCAGAGATCGCTCTACCCGCCATAACGGATGAGTGCACGGGCAAGGCTATGTAACCTCGATGAATCTACTTATGTCCTGAAACTTACTCAGTTATCATATGGTATGCCCCATTGGTGTCAACTTTATCTCGCCGGCGGCAGGTGGATTAGGGCTCAATCATGAGACTGGTCTGGCGCAGTTAGTGGAGTTGTCCTGTCGTAGAAGCTGACACTTTGTACTTCGCAACGGTGCCCAATTTGGCTACTGGAGAAGAGATAGTGAGCGATCTTCCAAAGTCTGCTTCGATTGCTCTACCAGAACGATACTTAAACGATTAGCGATGGGAAGAAACTTTCCTTGAGTATCCACAAAATGGTAATTTACACGATATCCACCATGGCTGGCTTGATTTGTTGCGCGACGGTGGTGCAGGGCGGGTCGAGTCAGCCCCAAAGAGTGGGCGCATCTAACGGTGGATGATGGGATTCAACCCCTTGAAGCGATCATTGCTCCACCTCCACAAAGCTGATCGGCTTGCCAGTTACGGTTCTAGTAGATGCTGGCAGCAAATTCACCAAGGTCCGCAAGGTTTGGCAGTCATCCCTTGTGGTCTCGACGACTGCTTCAAGAATGCCGCTGAAGATGAAGGGCAGCTCCACAAGGGCATGTAACAGAAGAATGCCAACATCGATGACTCTCCTTACGTGCAGGCGCGTAAGAAGTGGGCTCTCGAGATTGATGGCGAAGAAAATTGTTACTTCGAATTGAGCAGCGATGGGCCCTGATCTCTCAAGTGTGGCAATTACGTGGAAAGCCCTTTCGTGGCCGATCCGCAAAGGTGCGATGAGACTGTTACTTGCAGTACGGTCGCCGGCCGGTTTAACAATGTGAAGGTGCATTGAGCGTGGTATGTTGAGTATCGAGGTTTGGGTTTTTGATGTTCCTCGGAACATTTCGACTCAGAAGCCACCCAGCTGGCGCATGAATCCCTCCACGTGTATATAATCCCACGGACTTACTTGATCACTCTACACTACAATAACTTTGTAATCCAATCTAGTAATATCAACTAAAACTTGGAGTCTCTCACGCTTGCCATTCCAGTGATCGTTATCGGCAGAGTCAGGGGGTTTGCCTAGAACGCAATAATTCAAGGTACAGTCCCGTACGGTTAAGCAACTCAACAACCTTTTGGTGTTACTGCGCCTCTAAAGCCACGGGGGTTTGGCTTTATTCAAAGCAATGTATAAGCTTTGTCACAAGCGCTATCCTTATATTATTCTTGTCTCTTGACAGCGACTTTCCAAACGAATAGCGGATTCTCCTCGTAGCCGATCAGATCAGGCTCGAGTCTCCGCCGAGATTCAACCTAATGTGTCACTGTGGTCACTGCATCACTTCTACTACCCTGCAGCATCGCAAGGCACGATATATCGTGTTCGTAGTAGTTACTTTATGCATGGAGAGTGTGGTTCGAGTCGAGCAGCATTCCCCGCGGGGCCTGCAAGTATCGATCACTACGTCTGGCCGCTGCGCCCTTGCTACGTGGTGTTAGAGGTAGTTTAGTGGCACCTTGAGGCAATTCTTCTGTGATAAGACATATTAGAGAGACACGGCCGTTCAGCTGGGGCATTTCTCGCGATTATCATGGTCGAGCACGCTCTGTGTGAAGGAAACGATCAAAAGCTAGGAACTCTACACGTCTCCGAGTGCAGATACAGATCCTGATACGTAGCAAATAATACTATCCCCTATATGAAAAGGGCTCTATCTTATAATGAATACATGTTTTTCCCAATATGGTAGGTCCCATGAAAGATCATAGTTTGCGTTCGATGCATCGTCAGACTCTTTTGTAAATCCTCGAAATTCCTTTGCAAAACTGTAGTCGTTAGCTTGATCCTCTTGGTTTCTGTATAGCCCCTAACGGAGGTCTTGCGTAATCATTAGACTAACAAATAGGCAATCGTCTATGGTCTCGAGTCTTTCGCTTGTGTGTTCGTCATCGCGCCGAGCCTCGTCCCATCTAAATTTGCACGTACCTCTCGTATCCTGCGCTAGCCATATCATCTGCACCCTCCAGCTCCGCAGAAAATATTCCAACCCTTTCATACATGTCCTTCTCAATCGTAGGGCAGAGTACAAGGAATCCCAATTCGATGGGAGGAGAAGAATAAGTCAAGCGCTGGTTCGAACCGACAAACAAAACCAGGCAGCTTTCCCATTCCGCCCGCGTAATATCTTCGCGATCTAGGTGTATGTAGCGTGCCTTGAAGCGAACACGGCCATCATGTTTCTCGATTGTCCCCTCGAACTTCCTTACATATTGATACGGATCGACTGGGTGCCACCCCATGCATACGCGTGGACACCAGCCTGTGAGTCTCAGTAAACGTGGATTGTCGTGGGCGTCAGACGGCCGAGTTCCAATGGTACTTTGATATGAGTATTCTGCGATAGAAACCCAGGTCTTCTCCGGTGGCACAGCTTCGCTCTCTGGGATCTTCTTTAGCCCAATATAGTCGCGTGCCTGTACGGAAATGGATGACAAAGGCTCCATGGAGTCGAATATAATCGTCCCTACTCGACTAAACCATGACCAGGTGGGAAATCCCTTTCTCCGCGAGGCTGGAAGATCAAACCCCCACCAGAGCAAATTCAGCCCGTAGCTCTCAACTGGTATGCCAAAAATATGCCCAATCATATCGGAGGGCTCTGCTTTCGACCAAGAATTCAAAATCCCGTGGAAAGCGTTATATATATCGCTGCTATACGACAATTGCCTCCTTGTGAACTCCGTGATAGTGTTGTCCTTGGGTGACTTGTTGTCCTCGAATGGGAAGTAAGCCTCCAATCCGCGTCTGTCGTTTTGCCGGCCACATTCATGCTCATCAGCGACACAATAGTCAAGTAGAGATTCATCCCAGACTAGCCGTGGTGAAATACTTTCGTTACAGATACCGTCTTTACAAATATACGTGACTTGATGATCGGTAAAGACGAGTTTTCGAGTTGCGAAGTAACCTTCTTGCAGAGTCCTAATGAAGTTGCCAAATGTTAGTCCACGAAGTAATCGGTCGCGCTGTCCAAGACTCACCATCCACAGCTTAACCATTTCGAGGCTCGGAGAACCGGCTGTGGACTTGGAAACATCTGTAGTAGTGTACAGTCTCTTAGTTTGATGGACTGCTGGGGCGTGCGAGCCTGGGAGCCCACCCCCGGTAGCCCGTATGCCGGGTCATCGCCGGCCGCAGCTATGATTACCAGTGATGCCTCGGAATAGATAACGTCCATCTGGCTAATCTGAGCGTGCTTGTCTTCATAGTTGTCTTGATCTATGCACTGCCGTTGTTAGAACCCCTCCAGTAGCTATGGGCAGGCTCGCGGCACACTCACGTAGCGATCGATCCCTGAACAGGCCAAAAGAAATACCATAGTCAGCGTAATCACCTTCAGAGTCTACTACAACTCGGCACACGTACAAATGTATTCAAATCCAAGCTCAAGACACACTCTGATAGCGTCTTCGATGGTTTGCGGAAAGCACTGGCCTCGTGACTGGTCTGGTAGGCCTTTTCCCCAAACGTAAGAGAGTGCGACATAGGGGCAGTCTTGTGGAGGCTCGGTGATCTGACCTGATCTGCAGTGAACCAAGCGGAATCCAGGAAGTTGACCCGTTTTTCCATGAGCCTGTAATCCGAGATCAGCTTTTGAACAGAGTTGCAACCAACGCCGTATGCGGTCGAAACCAATCGAGTTCGGATCCAACAAAGGCGAGATAGGTTTTAGATGAACATCTTGCGATGAGATTATCTCGAATACTGCGTTTTGTCTATAATCTCGGTCGTAGAATACTACAGCCGCAGGAGACTATTTGGAGAAGTTGTCCGTGCCGCCAAAGAAAATTGATTCCATCCATTCGATCCAGATTTCCCCCTCAGGATCCCAGTTTGCGGAAAACATTGCGCACATGGCACAACCACTATCAGTCACAGGTACTCCCGAGGAATTTGTCCAAGGAGGCAACGCGATGTCGCAATCCAAAGTGCTATCTCGCATACGCGCAACGATGTTGGAGAGGTCCAGACTGTCGCATCGTAGGCAAAGGGTACTTGAGTTGGTGTTAGAATCGCGTTGTGTCAAGGCTGGCAGCTTATGAAACCAGTCGTTAGACGACTCCTTGCAGCGTCGAATTGTATCCACAGGCATAGGTGCGTTTAGTGAAGTACAACTGTTAGTGGTTCGGATGTTGCGAGAGGAAAGACTGCAAGGTTCACAAGGCTTTGTGCGATGGGTAATGCATCACCATCTACGTCATGAGCCACCGAATCACTCCGTAAGCAAGATTTAGCCCCCTTTGACAAGCTCATAACGGCAAAAGTCAACTCTTTGCTTCGCTGCAGGTAGTGAAATTGCTTGCGGAGAGAATACTTACAGCAATTTCCCTTGCAAAGAAACCGCTTACGACATTCTTGCCGTTCTTCGAATATAGAGCTGGCTGTGCTTTACGTATAGTCCGCATTACTGTAGGTCAACCGTAATAGGAAAGTGCTAATTAAACTGTAAACCACCTTCTTAATAGAGAGTGAGATGCGCTTTGGAACGACTACGCAGCCGACAGCGTGTAGATCATTGTTCCCTGCCTTTCGCGCTGACGCAGATCCTACAAACTTGCTCTCGCCTCCCTTGCCTCCCTCTCGCGCCTCTCCTCTTTCTTATCGCGTTACCTGTACAACGCATCTAGCAAAACATATACGCCCTATGCGCTGCAGCCTTCTCTTCGCCCTTTGCGCCCTCTACCATAACGTCTAAGTCTAATACATAGAGGGTGAACAGTAATAGTCTTATGAATTCCTCAGGCATCTAAGCGCGTTGAGCGATAGTGGTATTACTAATTTATGGTATACCTTGCGATAGCTACCGGCGATAAGTGCAGCCAGAACGATAACGCCGTCTATTTAATAATGCATTCTAGAGAAATATCAATACACTCATGTTGTACGATGCTGTTTTTACTCTAGTCACTATGTCATGACTCGCTATAATGACATTTTCTCCCTCTTGGCCTAGTGCATATCCCTCGTCTAGCCCAGATTGCTGGGCAGGGTCTGATTGCTAGGCAGGGTCAACACGCTGCTTATCCTTTTCTAGATTGAATCAAGTGACGTACTGCTGTGTACAACATATTTCAACCCGAGATAAGGCCCTACTACACCACAGAGTGTAGGTTGCATGCCTGCTAGTAACCATATCATGTTAGATATGGCTAGACCAATGCTAAGAAATAATCTCCTTAACTATTAGCATGCTAATAGCTCAGCCACCCGACTGGATACCAGAACTAGCAAGCATGCAACCTTTTGTCCTTACATTCTCCGCTTCTTCCACCACTAACTATCACGTTTTGGGAATGACGACACAGTAGTGGGTACTTGGTACTGTCAGACGTCGGAAATTTCTAATACTCCGTCCAAGCTAACATGAATACATCCATGTCAACCGACAACTGGGGCTTGGTGGAGTTTTAACACCGCAATTTCGAGCGCGGAGTGCAGAGCCAAACTAAGGAACAGTCAGAATATGTATAGTCTGATGTGGTCGCACTTTGTAGCAACAGCCATCAACGACTTTCCAATCTACATTCCACTCCTCAATCCAACACGATCTGATCATAAGATGATTTCGCCTACCTTTTCATTCTCCCTTTTGGCGACGCTGAAGTTGATATCCGCCGCTGACCCATCATCAATATTATTTACTGGTGGTACTATCATCGCTTTCGATCACGAAGCAGACGACTTGAACGTGATTCGCAATGGAAGCATTCTCATTCAACAAGACCGTATAACCGATATATGGTCGAATGAGGAGACTCCTTCTGTATCGATGCCTCCAAACACCATGGTTGTAGATGCAGCCGGCAAGATCATCGCCCCTGGCTTCGTCGATACACACCGTCACGGGTGGCAAACCTTGTTCAAAACCATGTTTTTGAACATCACGCTTATCGAATATTTCGGCCGCTTTGGAGAGGCAGCTTCTGCTGGACGCATCGACGCTGAGCAAGTATACATCGGTCAGCTCGCTGGCCTTTACGAAGCGCTGAATGCGGGTACTACCACTTCACTTGATCACGCTCACCATACTTGGTCAGATAGGACGGCTTGGGCTGGCTTGAATGCCAGTATAGACAGTGGCGCACGTGTATTCTGGTCTTACGCCTTCCATGAAGTAGCCAACTATACCATCCGGCAGCAGCTTATCAACTATCGCGATATAGTGGGCCTTGCTCCACAGAAGGATACGGCGGTCGAGCTCGGTATTGCTTTTGACGTTGTGGTGTGGGACGGAACCAGTCCCAGCATGTTAGGCTGGCTTGACCCCGTGGCGGCAATCATTCTGCACTCTAACGTTGGTGATGTGGAGCATGTCCTTGTCGATGGCAAATTTGTGAAAAGGGATCACAAACTGGTTGTTGGAGACTATGGTAGTGTCAAGTCAAGATTTCTAGAAGCTGTGAGGCGCATACAGGAGGACTGGCGACAAATTCCCCGGCCTCAGCTTGATCGACGTACTTCAGCGGGTGCCTTGATTGTTCAACCAGACCAGGTCGATGTTACAGCCAGAAATGGTACTGGTTATGGCCAAATATATGTCTCTAATTAGCTATTTGAGTAATAGACTCTACAAGTATGTACCTGCTCTACGTAGGTGAGTAGAGTTCGCTAAGACTCTACCTGTCCAATATAAGGCGCGAGTGGAATTTTACATCATACTAGAGTTAGCGTAACGCTAGGGTTTTGTGTCTGAATGTAGTGGTGCGTACCTATCATATTGCAAATCTCAACTCTACCTAAGAACAGGTTCTTAAGACTAATTGTTTCTCATATTTGCGATGCTACTTATACGAGAGCCTCTTTATGCATACAGGGCGTATAGATCGCAGAAGCTACAAGTGTCTTGTTGATCATAGGTCATCGCAGTACTGTAGTGGCACTGGATAGCAACTAAGGTATAGCATCGTGGATTTGCGCACACGGTAGCTAGGGGAAACGCGGACATGGCCAGAGTTGAAGCGACCAGATCCGAAATTATCGACAATAACGATGACGATGGCATTACCAAAATCAGTCTTGCGAGCGGCTTCAGGGACGAGGAACACTCGGAGTCAGACGTTAAGAGGAAAGATAAACCCTAGGCTGCCGTCTGCGAGGGGTAAAGCGAGAACATGACTCTCAATAGACGGCTGAAGGGCTGAGTAACAATGTGGGAAGTATAGCGGAATCTAGCGAGGGCGACGGGAGAAAAAGGGCACTAAGTGAAGTCTCTTTGCGAGATTACTGAAGGAAAATGTATGGCGTTTGGTAATCACATGTCCTAGGTCTCTACTCTCGTACATAAAGACCGCCCGTTCATTCATCGAATCTGTAAGCCACATAACATAGCACTAGACTAATCGTCGTCATAATCCCATCGTCTTTCTCAATAAGGCACATTCAGACCAACGCCGCCACACCTCCACCAACAAGCCTTGCACTTTCACAACTCTACAAGCCCACAAGCCCCCTAAGCCACAGCAGATACCTCGGTAGGAATGATCTGGAACTCGACCGCAGGACCCTGTCCAGTATGCGCGACAACGTTTTTACCCGTGTACGTGTACTTTACTTCACCTCTGCAATCTCTCATCAGCTACCCGTGCACCTGCTATAGCTACCGCTTTTCCCGTCCATAACTTACTGCGTAAATGTGTATTGCACACCGATAATGGCTCCAATATCGATGCCTTGATTGAATTCTTGCGTCTGTACATCACCCGGTACATCAACCCCAACTACACCGCAGGATTTGTAGCCGCCCTGGACGCTGGTGCCAGAACAGAAACTGGCGTCAAAGGGTGGTTGGCCGGAGGGACCGGTAGGGGCGGAGACATTAAAGGAGTAGCGGCATGTTGCTGCGGTGCAGACGCTGCTGAAGCCGGTGACATCCCAGGTCCAGGGCGCACTGCAAGAGGTAGGGGCTGCCGAGGCGCCAGTAGCAAGGACGGTGAGGAGACTGAAGGTAGTGATTTTGGAGAACATTTTGCGTGATATTTATTGATGCGGTGGGTGGTGAATAGTGTGTTGGTTGTTTCCGATGCTTGGTGCTTCTTCGACTACAGGATACTGAGGTTTTATACTGCTTTGCTGGTCGTATTCGAGATTACTATTGCATCATCGCAGTTCCCATGATTTCGAAGGAAATACAGGATACGATGTTGCAGAACCCACTCTGCATCGTAGCACGTGAAGCGATGCGTGTAGTTTGAGCTCACCTCTAGTGGACTGCAACGCCACCCGTGTCCGCGACGGTCTACTGCAGGGGCAGGTATTTCGTGTCTGCGCGTCAGCCGTGGCGTTGTGGCATCGAATGTAATGACATCTGTTTTAGGCGAGTTGATGATCGTGACATGGCGCTGACTGATGGTGACAAGTGTGGCGACCTATGCCGAACTGGGAAACATGCTGGCGCAAAACAGATGCCCCTGTTGAGCGATGTGACCATAACTCGTGTCTGAGGCTGGCGAGGAAGCATCATCGAAGCCCATGATGATAAACTCATTGTCTTATCCAGTCTTTTCGGTGTCACAGAGCCTCGGGTCGGCACGGTCACCGCTTTCCTAGGGGCAACTCTTATTCTGCTCACTAATGACCCCGTTTATACGTGGCCGTGTCTGTTCCCTGCGAGTATGCACCATCAAAGTCATCCGTGAAGAACCCATCATTGTGTGCAGCATTCTCGGGTCGTACAGCTCCTCACGTGGGCACGCCCAACGACTCGCCATTCGTAACTCTCTTCTTACTCACTGGCGACCCCGTATACACATGACTATCAGTGACAGATCTCATCATACCCGGCCGTCGGGAGGTGCTAGGCAGATCAAAAGGGCTAGCGTGGCCGTGTGTAGATCCTGAAAGGCCAAACCGCGGTCTACTCCCGGGTGTAGCTACTGGATCCGCAGGCATCTCGGTAGGTAAAGGTTCGGCGAGGGGATCGGATAGGAAGAGTGCTAGGAACTTTTCCACGATATCACGCATTCGATCGGGCGTGGCATGCAGCGGTTTCTCAGACATATGTTTCCTCTGTAAAACAGTTAGTTAAGAGCTCAGACGTAAGCTTATATGTGTGTGACTTACCAGTGCCAGCGCTGCACCTTTGTAAGTTTGATGATAAATCAATTTGTACTCGTCGTCCTTTGCAGCCTCTTCGGCAGCCGCCTCCTCGCTCAACTGCTGGCTTTCTTCTGCGCCAGCTACTGAGGCCCGACGAGATCTGGTTTGCTTCCGTTGCTGTAACCCGTGCATGCGCATTGCGGCCATGACTACCTTTACAAGTGCATCTTTGTTCCGCGACTCTGTCGTTGGCTCCTCAGGCTGTATGGGTACTGTAGCGACCTGCGACAGGTTCGATCGCCTGGCATGTGATTCTGGTTGGCCCTTTCGGCTGAGCGGTCGTGTATCGGAGGATATGCTCGGCGATCGGGAGAGTGGGCGCGAGGTGGGGCGGGACAGGTGATCAGACGCAGACGGCAGCCTGGAGTCGGGGAAGGGCGATGCTTTGGTGTCGATGGAGAGAGATGACTTGCGGTGGGTGTATGGTTGCTGGGATTCGCTTACGCGAGCTGCCGCTGCTGAGACGGCTCTCCCGCCTCTTCCTCGTGCTTTCTTGTTCGCGATGGTGGCTTCTTCGAATATGTCTCGATTGCGTTTTGGTGACTTAGGGGGAACATGAGATTCGTGTAGCGGCGGAAGGAATTGGGGCTCGGCATCGCTTGGCAAATCGATGCTAGAGGTATGCAGAAGATTAGATGATAGTGGTAGTGCGTGTACTCGAAGCTCGGGAAGTATCTCGACGTGTGCATTGTCGACGTAAGGTGACGAGGACGGTGGTGTTGGCAGCCTACCATTGGCAGGAGCAGCGATAGTGCCATAGAAGAGTATCTCAGTCACTCTAGGCCTGTACACTTCTTCCTCAGCCTTTTGGACTTGTACCAGAATGCCAATTGGCGATTGCGAGCGCGCCAGGTCCCACCACTCCTTCGCAGCGTTCCTGGGCGCGTCCACCAAAGTAGGCTTGCTCAGCAGAATTGATTCGAACCAAGCTTGAGTAGCTTCTTCCGTCGTCCATACATCTAGACTGGGTCCGGCGGCAAGGTACAGCGGTATTCTGGCGGTATCGACGGTGGAGAGGAAGCGTAGAGCCGTTGCGGGGAGGGCTGGTGAAGACGCGCCATTTTGCGACGCGAGGCCGACTTCTGTTGGGCATTAGCAGCAGCATATTTCCTGTTGGGCGATTACATATACCTCTGATAGCATTGCCGCCTGGTAGCAGAATGTCTCCGCTCCAAACATCCGTCATCGCGAGTGTTCACGTGGAGTCATGTTTCGAGGTAACGCGGGATTCAACTCGGCTGCTATGACGCGCGATTCGCGCTAGACACACGCGACGGCACGTGCAAGATCAAAGGGTCCGCGTTCATCGTGACAGCTCATCTACACAATAAGCTGCATCTACATTCTTCTTGCTCAATTGGGCCAATGTACCAACGTTACAAATTCAAAACATCTTCCCAGCATCTCCAACCACAGAAGACGTAGTACCTCTTCACCCCACCACCCCCATCATCACAGCCCCAAGTCCAACCATCACACTCCCATATCCCCAATGATTCCACTCTCCCATCCCCGCCTCTTGCCCAACCACATAGCCATCAACCCCCGCACAAACACCTGCCGCCATTAGCACGCACCCTGCACTCCTCCTTGTCCCAAACCACGTCGACGCAAAGATAGCGACAGCCATGAACACGTCTTTGGCGCCGTATAGAACCATGATGCGTTCCATTGTTGACCAATCGGCGGGAGTCGTAGGGCCGCTGGTGAAGCCGTACAGAGAGTAGCCGGTTCGTGGATAGAGCATATAAGTTATGCCGAATGCTAAGAATATCGTGCTGAAGAGGGTAGACAGGTACGGGAGGAGTGGGTGGTGGGAGAGTGGCATGACGATTTGCAATAGAGGAGTTGGACAGTTTGTCTGGTGGGTGTTTTGGTGATGAGAGAGGTAAATTGGAAGGTTTTTGGGTGAGGGCTGAGAACGAGAGCTTTGGGTCCCTTCTTGTTCTGCTTACCTGCTACATTTTGTAGTCGCGAATCGTCCAACACGTAAACACGAGATCACGCAATTCTCGCTTCCCGAGCGTACCGCATCCCGCAAAGAAAAAGGGTAAGCGCTTTCAGCTCAAACTGCTGCCTGGCTCTCTTGCGCGCTTCCCGCAAGCCACAAAGCTTATATCTTTACCCTTTCTGCCGCTCGGGCACCACTGATAAGGCGGAGCTTGTTTACCCCGCTCTGAACATCTTCGGCCTCGTCGAACATGGAAGAAAAGAGAGCTTCCCTAGTGGAGGATATCAACGCAGTTCCTCAAGATCACGTGGGCCCGACAGATTTGCGCACCGGCTATATCCACCACTGTTTGTCTAATCCCTAAGCTGACATCACGGTCACTAGACACTTCTGATCACCAGTACAGGCCTGGTCAAGTTGTCGGGCTTGCTTGTGACGGAGCTGCGGCTGCTTTACTCTCAGGGCAAGATCCTAGTGCTGCATTCAGGATACTCGAGCAAGGACGCGGTGCACTTGCTGCGTCTCTTGATGAGGTACGTGCCGACACCTTTGAACCAAGGAAAGAGTATCCTGAGCTGGCAGATCAATTCATTCGTATCCAAAACGAATTGAAAGGAAGGGTCGCACTGAAAACTTCTTCAAAAATGGACGAACACAACTCTCTCGTACAAACCCAAGCAGACCGGCGATCTGTTGCCGATAGAGAGTTCGACGAATTGCTTGTGGACATTCACGATCGGCTCAGATTCAAAGACTTCTTGCCACCCCCAACTGAAGATGATATGCAGGCGGCTGCAGAATGCGGTCCAATAGTCGTCATAAACGTTAGCGAATATCACTGCGACGCTCTCTTAGTTGAGAGTCATCAGATAAGGTCTCTGGTCTTAGCAAACTTGAACCATCAAGATGTTTGGGCCCACGAACACCTTAGAGACCTAGCCGTTCCAGAGGTTCTGTCAAGCATTCTTACTATTCTTAATCACAATCCTTCTGCTACTACCTTTCGTTATTTGCCACACGATTAGCAGTACATCGGTTCGAATAGTGGTCATCGTGATCTTGACTATATTACATCTCTCCATACTGTCTGGACTGACGAGGTCGCGAACAATGGAGTTGGTTCTTGCTGGCACAACGTGGGTTTCGATCCCTATCAGGTCATGTATAGATTGGTGACGCTGACCATTATGATGTCAACCAGATACACCACTGTTCGTATCGTATTTGTCTCAGGCTCGAGTGGAGTGTGAATGCGTGTGGCTTTTGGAGATAGTCACTAGAGAAAGCATACTCAGGTCTTCGGCCATCTATTGAGATTCACCATTTCGCATTACATTAAAGTACTTAGTTGCATATAAGATGTAAATTTCGACCCGCCACTCGACACTGGCAAGTTCTTCCTAAAACGACTATTTACAGAATCCCGGGAGCACTGTAGGATACTGTACACAGGCTTGGGCGAGAGCAAGATCATACGACTTGATAGCTACATGGTATTGCTTGACCGAATAGACAGTCGAGAGCACACCAAACAAAATCGTCAAGCCGAATATCCCGAATATCGCTATCCACAGAGTCGCAAATTGAGAAACGTCCCTTGTGTCCAACAAGGTCTGCATAACAGTTTCTGGTGGTCCGTTAAGTAGGCTCAACAACTCCATGAGGTTGTGGTTCCAGTACTTGAAGTCATCAAGGTGGGTTGATTGAGATACCCCGGAAGGAAATGTCGTCCAAGACTGAACGTTTTCTTCTTGTAAGAAAGTCCGTGTTTTCTCGTCGCCAAAGGGAAAGAGGAGATCGAGGGTTCGGTTGGCTTCTTCTAATACCTCGATTGGAATGATTGTTGGTTGTGAGCTTTTCTGGTGATTGAGAAGATTGAGCCTATGGCGATAGATAGACAAGGATCGCTGTCCTCGTGGTCCTTCTAATCTTAGATGATCTACTAGATTGTCGGTCCAGCGAATGTTCAATCTGCATATATGTCTCATGTTGACAGCAGTGAATGACTCGTTCAATAAAACCTTCGCGGTCCCTGTATTGTTCGGCTTTTGCGAAAATTGTGCCGCAATAAGATCTGTGAGGGATTGATCGTCACGCCAATGGATCTGGCAATCTTGTGGGTTCCTGGGTCCTACGGACAGATCCTTAGAACATACATTAATACCCAGCCAAAGCCGAATGGCAAGCTCCAGGGAACGAACGACGGAATCATCGCTGGTATTTAGGTATTCTTTTGTAACCTTCTCTTTAAGCGCCTGCTTTGTTATTGTCCGATTGTTGCGCAACGTAGCGATCATAGACAGTAAGCCATTCCACTCTTGTGTGGCAAACTTGGATGCATACGGACGCAAGACCTGCAATGTCCTTTCGAGATAGTTAAAGAAGGCTAGATAATGATCTTCGATCAAATCTGGTGCCACCATATTAAGCCCGGGCCAGAGAGCATTGATGATCGTGCATTTCTCTTCCTTTTCCAGATCCGTCAAACATGATTCTGGAAACAGTTTTCCGGTGAGAGTTGACATAGCCTTTCGTGCTCAAGCATAAGAGTTGCAAATTCACGTCGAAATACCTAGCTACAGACGTCGGCATCTTATCTGGGCTGCAGCATCTTGTAGTGGCTGTCAGCGGGTAATCGTGGAGTAGATAGCAACCTATAACAGCACTCAGAAACTTCAGCTGACAAGTAGTTCGACTTTTTCAGCTGGCATCGAGTGCCTCACACGTCATGTCAACGGTTCTAGACTTCCAGCTGAGTTACGCAGCATGCGCTAAGCCTACAACAGTTAATAAATTTGGCAGCGGTTTCAACATAACCCGGAGCCACCACTCATTCTGCCACGAACCATCCTTCGTTTGGGGCGCTCTGAGTATTGGGGGTTTCCGCTGCCCTTGCCCTCTCCAACGTAGTCTAAATTTACTATCACAGACATTCGGAATTACAAGATGCAACACGTAAGTGACACTTTTGCAGGGTGAAGCATTGATCGTTACTTTTTCTCAACGTTAAAAAAAAAGCTAATCTTGAACGCCTCTAGAGTGCTTGAAGAATTGTGAAAAGTTTCTGGCCCGGACAGCCTTCGATACGGAGCAACAGTCTTCGAACATGCTAACCCTAATCCAGAAAAGGGATACGTCTTACACAACTATTCTCCAACCATACAGTGTGTTACGTTCGAGGGACTGCCCGGAAGTCTACAAGATTGACAGACTCTATGTAGGCCTATTGAGAGAGCTGCCACCTCCAACTGTGTTGCAACAAAAATGGGATCAAACTGTCCGGTCTAATCTTGAAGAACACCTGTGCCAGGCCACCAAACCTTTGCCAGAGTCCTTGCGCGATGAGGACTTGATAACGGAAGTCACATTTTGCATGGCTGGCAGGAGATATCGGCCAAAAGATACTGTATCGGTACCAAGAGATCCAGTGGCTCTAGATCCTACCGTGTGGATCTTTTGTGGAAGTAAGAAATGTAAAACAAAAGTTTCCGAAGCACTTCAGGATCTCGGCTACCTCAACCATTTTCTCCAAATGTATTCTTTGGAAGCACCCTACGTCTCGCTCCATGCTCCGTGGCCTGCAGCAGAAGAGCACCAGCCACAACCACAAGATCTTACGGGGATGGACAGGATGTCTATGGCCATCCAGAGTAGAGATCCCGATAAGAAATACATTTGTGGTATCGGAGCAAGATTTGGCGTCGAAACCTCGGATCGAACCTTCGAGCGTTACTCTACTATTGGCGGCTTTTTATTCATCGATGGTTCTGTGTATGGAATCACTTCAGCTCACGGCATGATGAGTGGTTTGGGTGAAAGTGGTCACAGCGCTTCCGAACACAACACGGAATCCACTAGTAATCTATCATCGGACACAGAATCCAGCTGTGGAGCAAGCTCGGATGAAGGATCCGAAGTCTCTGATGACAGTTCGTGTTCTGCTCGCGCACCACAAACGATCGCCCAGACAGCATCCGCCGTGGAAAAGAGAACTTTGGACATACCAAAAGGACCATGGTCAAATCTACCTCTGCCTCAGATACTGGCATATTTAAGTCGTGGAACGACTAAAGGGGATTACTCCTTTCCTGATCTGGCGCCACCAATGTCGGACTTTGCTCTCGTGGATACAGACTCTGTCGCGTGGCGAGCAAATGAGTATCTCGATATCAATCGTGATACTCTTGTAACGATTTCAGACCATATCCTAACTCGCAATCTTTCCAGTGGAGATGTTTGGATTTGCGGCAATACACCTACAAACCACGGTGTACCTATAGGAGGCTATCTTCTAGAGGGCGACGCATCGATCATTCTAAGAGGCACTATCATGCGGACAAGGAAAATTCAAGTAGCACTCCATGCCGGTATGTTGTCGCATATGAGACAGTGAATGAAAAGCTAAGTGATTAACAGCTTATCCTTGTGGCTTGTCGGGTTCCTGGGTTGTTCGTGAAGGGAAGCTATGCGGCATCATCTACGCAGCATATGACCGGAGTCCATATCTTCATATGATTCCAGCTGAAGAGATGTTTCAAAATATTGCTGAGTTCCTCAGAGCGTCGGTCGTGAGAGTAGCGACTACCAAGGATATCGAAGATTCATACAAATCAGCAGAAAGTCAAGGAGAACAGACGATAACAAGAGCATTGGGACAGGATATTCCTGAACCCTCACAGAAGATACTCAAGGAGTCTGGAGACCCTAATTTCATCATCCTGGAGCATCCGGACTGGATGCGAACATCCGCTTGGCAAGACAAGATTCTTGGTGCCATCACATATGACCCTCTAAGATACTACGGAACATACATTTCCGAAGGACTAGCCGAGTATATCAGTCATGATCTGCAAGAAGGATCTGTGACTGATTTCGTTCTCAATCGGGACTTTAGGCATCCGTTGACATCGATTGGACAGTTCTTGGTATCCGGTTCGAGATTGGGCAATCGCGTCGCTAGTGCCTTCCTCGATGGGACGCTCATTCGGTACAAGCGAATTAGGCAGCTCGACGAATACTGGGCTAAGCTTAGGGACGATCCGAAGGTCAAACGAGCTATAGAAGGCTCGGGCTCGATCTGGAGTACGCAGCCCGCCTACCTCGTGGTTGGCATCATGATATGCGAGGACGTCGAGATTATTCCAAATGCAGAGTTGGCTCAAGAGAGCAAGGCACAGGGTAAGATACCAGTGGGCGAGATTCTCCTTCCTTCTGGTGGAGTGAATCTGCCAAGGATGTATTCAAAACTCGGAGCTGCGTCATCGAGTCACACAGCCACGCTCTTCCAAGCTAAGAGCGGTGAGAGTAAAATCTTTGCTGTCGAGCTGAAGAAGGTTACAACTCGTGTGCTGCACCGAAAGCTCCTGAGTTCGAAGGGGGAGCGGCCACTGAATTTGGTCAACTTTGGTTTGACTAGCATGAACTCAGACGAAGACAACGATGAAAAGGCATCTGGCGACCCAGACTTGATATTGGCTGAGTTAGATGCAGAGACAGTACGAGATATGATTGGTGAAAGATAGTACGGTTTCTTTTGATTCAACGTATGCAATAATTGTTTTGATGGGACAGGAGATAAAGAGCGATAGAAAACCAGTGCATAACAAGGCGTGGATAAAAATAAGACTTTTTACAGGCTCCATGGTAGACGCAATGCGGAGGTCCTAATTTTGTAGCCCTATCAACGATCATTGAAGTAAGGTACATTATTCTAACAACACAAAAGCCACAAGGCACACAGTCATGTCGTCTGATCATAGGGGGTATTTCATTGTGCACCATTGAGGTGTCTAACATTGCTATCTACCTGATCCTCACTCGCCATCTCCCGCTGGTAAAACATACACATTAATCCCTTATCAAAACAAAGAGACGACCTTTTTTGGCGCCATAAACTCCACGCTTGAGGTTGGAAAAAAAAACAATCGAATGGTGTCGACACACAAGGAAAGCTTGGAGAGCCCAGTTGGTGATTACCACGCTTACGGCTCCATGAACCCGTTACCCTTGAGCTTACACTCGGTCTCCAGATTGAAGCTCTTCTCAAAGGCCTTGACACGGTTGTCGGCATCCGCGATGCGTACACGTGCCACTGGTGGGCTGAGCTTGGTCGTGACCTTGCTGATCTTGGGCGCGGCGCGTTTCTCGTCACCATACCGGCTGCTAGAGATGCACTTACCGCTGTTGCCCCATTGGGCGTCCGCAGCTGACTTCCACAAAGCAGTGATGTCGACAGTCATCTCCGGTGTGTAGTAGAGACGGCAGTCAGCCTCCTCGTATTGGAACTGAAGAGCGATACCGGACGTGTCGTTTGCGCGGAGTCCATCTCGGGTGTTGACGCCTCCGGCCCCACTAATGGCACGAGAGAAGACAATGTCGTTGTAGTAATCATCAACCAAGATGGAAGTGTTGAGCGACGGGTCAAACTTTACAGCGTACTGAACTGTTTGCTGGATGAAGCCAAATGCGTAGTTGTTAACACCCTTGGTACCACCGATGGCCTGGATGGCATTCCTGTTGCTGCGACCACCCATGGCAATAGTCTTGACACCCGCCTGCTGTTGCATCAACTCGCTGAAGATGGTGCAGGTCGAGGCGCAGTATCCATCAGTGACAATGACGATGTTCTCAGGTGCGAACTTTGGTGGTCCTGTAACGTTGGCTAGAACACCGTAGCCAGTAACATTGATGCCGCCAGAAACGTAAGGTACGTATACGTCGGATAGGTTCCATTGCGCGGGTGTAGTGTACAGCTCGCCGTTCACCTCTTGGGGTCCAAGCTTCTCGGCCCAGGATGAAAATGGAGTACCATCAACCTTCGTGTCCATGTGGTAATCAAAGTAAGAGGATTGAGCGAAGGCAATTGATCGGTTCGTGCTATATTCCCTTGGGAACTGGCTAGAAAACTTGCTGGTAGCCTGTCCTACAAGGTCCATAGCTTCATGGGCCCTCCAACGGTTAGCACCCTGAGGCTCCATGTCGGGGAACAATTGCTTGAAAAGATCGTAACCTTGAAGGACAGTACCACCACCGTTGGCTTGTAAGTCGATGATAAGCTTAGTCTTGCCGTCCGCGAGAGCCTTGGGGACGAAGTTCTGAGTAAGCTGCTGGAAAGGGACCTCGGCGATAGATGATCCGACGAAGTTGGGCACTTGCAATACCGCAACATCTTCATAGCCAGCAGCGTCGATGTAGAAGCCGTTGATGAGGTTCATAGGGCCGGCAGCAACAGGGGTGGGGAAACCAGGAGTGGCGGCACCAGTAGCGAGGGTAGAGGCCTCCTTCTCATCTGCTTGTGATTGTGTATCGGCGAACGAGGGACCTGTGGAGCCGTAGCTGAACCACTCCTTGGCCAGATCATCGCCGGTAGCGATTCCGCGGAAGGGAATGCTAGGACGGGCGTAGTTCTCCATTGTGTAAGAGGAGCCGTTTGCGAAGGTCAAGGTTGTGGTGGCACCAGGGTAAACCCAGCGTCCACGGCCACCTCCAGTGAACATTCCAGTTCCGCTGCCTTGAGTACCAAGACTGACTTGAGCGAGTTCGTAAAAGACGTTGTTGTAGAGAGCGTCGCGATCCTGGAGAGAGCCGAGCTGGCTGAGAGTTTCGAGAAATTCGCTCGCGTCCTTGCCATCAATCTGAACAACCGGGGATGGCGTGTAGGAGATGTTGTTGTATTGCATACCAAGAACATCAGCGAAGACGAATACTGCAGGCAGCTGCTCTCCATCCTCGGAGACGGAAACTAGGGGAATAGGGCGGCCCCAGGCAAAGATAGAACCGATGGAATCTGGAATGTAGGAAAAGTGACCATCGTGGGCGGATTGGATCAGGGTGTACAGAGTCCAGCCAAAGTCGTACTCATTCTTGAAGTTACCGGCATCGATATCCGCGTCGATCTTGTCGAGTCCACCAAATATGTCGACGGGAGGCTGTACCTTCTCGGCATACTCGGCAGGTGGGTTCTTCAGCTCAGCGAGTGTGCTCTGCCACTCAATGTAAGGGCGGAGTGCTTGAAGGAGTCGCTTTCCTGATGAGGCATTGAAGGGAACGTCGTTGATGCAGTCCCAGGCCATTTGAGCGGGGATAGTCAGCAAGGCGGGTTTCGTACCGTCACCGTAGACGTAGTCGGAGACCTGAGCACATGGTGGAGCGGTACCATTGGCCTGGCGAGCTTCGACCTGGACGGGTTGAGTCCGTGAGGGCAGAACTGGGGAGGCGACGGCCAGTGACGCAGCGCCGATGGCGGCGAGCACGGCGGAGGTCTTCATGGCTGGGTAGGGCTGAGACTAGCTACCAGGGAAGAATTGATAGTGGGGTTGGAACGAATGGAAGTGCCAGACCAGCGAAAGCGAGTGCGGTTGAGGAAGGAGAATGGAAGGAGGGGTCGAGCGAGTGTTGTTTGGCGGCAGGTGGGGTGGGTCGAGCGCGCCTGCTCTATACGCGGTGAGGGTGAGAGGTGAGCACGAGGCAGAGAGTCACGTGCAAATGCAAACGACCTGCAAATAATATCCAGGTTCTCACTTTCGCTCGTTTCTGGGCGAAATACTCCTTATGGTCGTGGGAATGTGGCCTAGGGAGGAATTGGATGATAAAAAACGGAACAGCCCACAGCCTTCTCTTAAGAAAGGGAAAATCGACACGCGCCACTAGGAGGTTGGTGATATACTGGAGTGACGCACCAAGGATCCGCTCGCGTACAAATACTGACAGGCCGGTCCGCATCGTTTGAGCGAGAGCGTGCACTAACCCACAAGCCGAGCACAAACGCGCTCCTCGACGCCGTGACACCAATCACATTCACATCTTTTTCCGCTTCAATGCGCGGGGCTTTTCCCGGGACCCATAGGTCAATCGTGGTTAGATGGTGTGCAGCAGAGAGCCGCAGTTGAGCTAGGGCCGTAGCCTATATGCAGGCAAAAGTATAGCGATTTTTGACACAGGGTCTGTCCGTGACATCTTCGAGCTGTGTCGAGGAAAAGATTCGCTGTTACCAAGCATCCTGTCAAGCATTGTGTCTATATTGGGCGTTCGATAAGGACGATAAGAGACGCGTAATGTGTTCCGAGTCGTTTGCTGGCGTTTGTTACGATGTCATGCTAAGCGGGACTGACGGGTGGTTGAGGTCAAAAGCGGAATCTTGGCAGTCTGTGCCTGTAGATCGTCAAGGCGCATCCTAGCCACTCGCTCCACTCCTCCAACGCCCCAATGCATGGCCACCTCATCGTCCGCTCAACGACGCGCTGCTGTCGGACGCGGTCGAGGCCACTCATTACAGCGTTTTCCATCGCGAATAACCTCCTAGTGAGCAAAGGTTGCCGTGTTACGTGGTTCCTCTAGATATTGAGGCTGTACGCGTCCTTACATCTCGTAGATTAGGACCGGCTGGCAAATGTCCAGTTTATTACCAAAGTCATGCGCCCCTTGGACACGATCAACATCCTTGTGGAGCTTTCTACCTCGCCACCTCCGCTTTAAGCGGTGTCTACCGGTAGAATGACATCTCGAAATGTGTCTCTCGCGCGAGGTTCAAGTCTTCTTCATCAAACTTGTATCTCGTAGTAAACAGCCTGCACTGGGACCAGCAAAGGATGCAGCGTACGAAAACTAGAAGCAACAAAACCGTTCGGCGCCCGATCTGTGGGCCTCCATGCTTGCGAGGTCGCGTGTGGCACGTTTCACATTCCCTTTCGTAGCCTGAGCAACTTGCCTTTTCCGCCCTCGCACGAGGCCTGTGCCACTGCCAGATCAAGAACGTCACACTGTCTTCGGCTAGTTGTGCAACTAGTATCGGCTAACCACATCGCAAATCTTGGTTCAACTACAGCACGATGTCGTCGTTGAGCGTCTGGTATGACGATTCTCGGCGAGCGTGATCATCTACGAGGCTGGACGCAAAACTAGCATGAGCAGACAGCGCTCTATGCTGTCAATAGTAAGCCTCTCCCTCGAAAGCACGTCAACATGTCAATCACCGCCGAGAATCCCGGATTCAGTCCAACGGAAGCACCAGCCACAAAGCTTGACCGTGCGAAACACAAAACGAATGCATCCGCCAACTACCAGCCTTGTCACTACTACACCAGCCACTAACCTGAGGCTGGCATCCTTTTCGCCCATTGCTTGCTTCAATGCCTCTTCTCCCCGTGTATATTTAGACGGTACAACACCCGTTCCACAAAGCAATAAAACTGCGGAGAACTTGTCTTACGATGCATCTGTCGCACATCCGTTGCACGTATTTTTCGTGACATTGAGAGTGGGCCGCGGAGGGTACACTAAGGGGGGTGTCTATTGCGAAGACGTCCCTTCATGCCACTTGTTGATTGTTGCCGCTATATCTGACGCCGTTATGAAAGGACCAAAACTAACCGGACCTGTGTGTTTAGGTCATCTTAGCTAAAGTCTTGGGTCAAGAGCGTGCCATCAGATGCATAGTCTAGGGAGATAGATACGCCCTCCAATCATGATCAGATGGCAACGACGACGACTGCAACCAGATCACCCAACGTGATACTCTCACAATGCTTGCAGTCACTAGCATTTGCCCATCGCAACCGATCAGATTAGCAGGAATAATCGTTCAATTAATCAATCGATCAATCACCAAGCACGGCACATGCCGAGATCGCTCACAGGGAAAGCAAGATGCAAATCATCCGATGCCTAAAACCCACCTATAGCCTGAATAAGCCAATCAATATCTATGAGACGACGAGCGAAATGATAATTGACCGGTGCAACAAAAACATCATTAATATTAGGGCTCCCGTGATTGCCTTTTACAACGTTACACCGATGGAACTGTAGATTCATCCCGTACAACAGCCCTCCCCCTCTCTTTGAATTACCGTGCCTACAGCTTTTCTTACAATATCGCTGACATGTACGCCTCATGTACGACTAACTCTACTGTTGTCTTCACACGTGCGATACCTAAATCCGTAGGATATGGAACGTCTAAACTTATAGCCCGTCGTCCAATCAAGGTACGTAGCATTCTCGTCCAGCAACATTGTACCAAATCAGACCATGTGAGCGTTAGACCAAGCAGAAAACCTGCGTCCATGCCCAAGTCCTCACATCTTCGAGATGATCTCGAACGAAAAGGGAAACTTCTCATTCTGAGCTCAAACCCTAAGTTCCATCTGTTCACCTCCCAAACTAGCATTCACCGTAACATCGTGATGATGATGCAGATGATGTTGTCTCTCCTTGACCAAAGCATTGTACTACAAGCACAAAAAAGTTAGCATCGAATCTCTCACCTGCACGTTCTCGCACAGAATCTCGACAACTTTGAACAACATACCTTGAACGCAAAATTCAAACACAAGGCAACTGCCAAGCCCACACACACCACGAGCGGGCCCGTAATTGCATCAAAGTCTTTCCCGCTCCTCTCCCTGATCAACCTCGCCCTGTAGATATACATGGCATAACCCCAAGCAAGCGTAAAAGCCGCAATGCAGGTATACACAACGGCCAGAGCCCTCGCAATATCATTGCCCTCACCCGCCGCATTATACAGTCCCAGCGACAAACTAGCAAGGAGAACGGAGACGTGCTGCCACTTGATAAAAGTACGCTGATTTGCGAGCCAGACTTTGGCTTCGACACGCACGGGCCCTTGGTCTTTGATCCAGACACCTGGGTCGCGGATGCCAGGGGGCAGTTGGATTTTACGTTGGGATTGTTGTTTGCGGGCATATTTTGACGTGGAGAAGGAAGGGAAGAGGGAGGCTAGGCCGCTTGCTTTGGGTTGCTTGCCGTTGCCATTGCCGGCGAGGACTAAGGTGTCTTCATCGTCCGAGTCTGCTTCTTCGTCTATGCGGGCGTTGGTCCTGTTGCCAGTATCTTGGTTGGTGTCGCGTTGAGAGCGCTGAGAAAGGTGCGAACCGATGGTGGGAAACGGGGGTTTAACAACGGGCATGGAGTGAGCTGCTGCGCTGGCGCTCTTGGGTACTGAGCGTGTTGCGGCTGGTGAGCCAACTGGGGAAGCGATGGAAGCGCGATAACTCGGACTTGCGCGCGCACCAAACAGAGAACCGACTGCGAATTCGTCTTCGGCTGCTTTACGCTTCTTCTCTTGTTCGTCGTCGAAGGCCTTTTCTGGTTCCTTGCGAATATCGTTGTCGACCTCGCTGAGCCAGAAGGGGAACGTGTTGACGTTGTCTTCGAAGAGCTTGGCTACGCCATGGACAAACTTGGAGAAGCGGGGGGATTCTTTGACCAGGTGAGAGTGCATCAGGTCTTCGATCCACTCGTACTTCTTCATACCCTTGACTTTGATCTCGAGGAGGGCGTAGGGGAATTTGTGGAGCTCGCCCTTCTTGAGAGCCTTGAAGGGAAACTCCATCTGCCCGTTGTCAATGTCGCGCCTGTGCCAGTCCTCGGGGTCGCGGCACGGTCTGTCGTCGTCGAGTGCGTCTTCGCGGATGAGGGCGAGGTTTGTGTCGAGCGAGATGCGGACGCGGTTGTCGCCGGGGATCTGGAATGCAGTGCGGGTGTAGTTGGCGCGCAGCATTGGCTGCAGCTTCTGTTCCTTTACAAAGCTTTGGATATCTACAACAGCCTTCTTGAACTTGTCAATCTCCTCCTGATTCTTGTTGGGGCGGTAGGTCATCTTGTCGATGCTCTTCTCCATGTGGTACTTGTCGTCGAGGAAAGACTGCACGTATTTGGCCTTGATTGGGAAGCGGACCTCTTCGGCGGCGTTGCCCTCCTTGATGACCTTCTTCTCGAACATGATCTCGGGCTTCTCGCCAAGTTGTCCGTACCACCTAAGGCGTAGTGAAGAGGCATCGGGCTTGCCATTGACCTTGTCCGAGTAGAGGGAGAAGTTGGGGTTATCGAAGTAGATGGATGTGATGGTAGGGTCGCGCTGAGTGCCTTCGGCGGTCTTGGCCGATTGTGGGTTGTACACGAGGACGGGAAGGCGGCGGAGGATGACGGTCTTGACTTCGAAGAGGTTGTCCATGTGGACCCAGACTGTCGTGTGTTAGCGTGTGCTTGTGAATAATACAACATGTGCCTACACTTGTGAGAGGTGAAGCCCTCGCCGTCCGCGCTGCTTTCAGCGAAAGAGAGGGCCTCCTTGGGCTTGCCTTCGAGCCTCTGTCGGACGAAAGAGTACAGCGCCGACAGCCTGTACAGCAGCGGCGAGGCATCTTCGGTGTGGAGCGGGTGACGAGCAATGCGCGCATCGATGAAAGGACGCAGGCGGTAGGAGCTGCCGCGAAGCTTGTCGTGCTTCTTGGTCGCCTTGATGACAGCCGTGAAGTTGATCCTGCTAAAGCTCTCGAGCTCCTTGGTCTCCTTTGTGATGCTGTCCAGCTCGCGCAAAACTTCCTTTAGGATCTTCTCGCTCTCCTGCTGGCTGGGCTCCGGTTTCTTGGCCGAATCCCCCGACGCGTCGCCCAACAAGCCCTCACCCTTGCCCATCTTGTTCTCCTTGCCGTCCTTGTCGTCCTTGCTATCGTCCTTGCCATCGTCCTTGCCCTCCGCCTGGATCCCTATGGCCAATGGCTCAAGCTTCTTCTCGCATGCCGTGGTTCGATCGCGCAGTTTCTGCGAGATGTCGGTGATGAAGTTGTGCACCTTCTCCAATTGCACATTGGCAAGCTCGTCAACAAACGCGCTCTCATCGTCGGCAGTCCAGGAATCGTCCTCCTCGTTGTCCTTCAACAGCTTCTTGAGCTTGTCGTAGTCGATGTATTTATCCTTCCATGGCGCATACACGCTCTTGCGCAGAGTCGTACCGAACTTCATGGCTTAGCGAACGGGTGGTATTCGGGAGTTCGAGGAAAGCGCAACAATCGCGACGTGCAGTAGCAATAGCTAGGATATAACAATTGCCGGCGCCGGAAAGCTCTGCATGGAGGATCAGGAATGAAGCAATGGAGCTGGGTTTGGCTGGTGGGGAGCTGCGTGCAGCCAATGCCCAGGAACTTTGGGCGCACGTGTTTCGCGTGCCGCGAGCGTCGCGAAGCGTCATAGCTGCGCAACCATGGGCACTTTACTTTCCACCCCTGCACTCTCCAGATGGAAAAGGTGACGGATATCTTCATCATACATCGTTGCATCGAATCTAATCCTTTACAGCTGTAGTACCTAGCTTCAAGCTTCTCTCAAAGGCTTGTAGAGCTGTTGTGAAGGCGTCGACGAACACAACAACGTCCATTGACGCGAGTCATTCCCGCTAGGAAGACCCACGCATGTCACTGCCACTGCATCGTCCCGACATTAGTGTCCGAGGCCAAAGTCTGGCCCTGCCTCCAGCGACTCTGGATCTCGGTGAGTCTTGCGGCGCTCCGCAACGAGGACGAGATAGTCTTGGTCTGCCCTGTGTGGTTGATAATTGTCTTTTGTGCACGTTTTGTTGTTGAGGATCTTGGTTTCTAGACGCATCCGTGCAATAGATTTGTCGACCATGTCCCAGCCATCGCTGCTTAGATTGGATCCCAGGAAACGGTGTGTTACTCGGTCATTGCTTACTGCATCACAGAAGTACTAGATACATACATCGATGTTGCCTTCCATAAGACGGTTATGGGATTCTCTTCATGGAATACCATTGGTTATCATACCACTTTGACAGGTCCACGATAATATCAATCGCTCCGTTGTCTCCGCCCAAACATTGTAACACTCCTGTAGCGTCTTCCGCATATCACTCTCATCACCCATACCAACAAATTTATTGTAAGCAGCGTGATGGCGGCAAGATGCGATAAATCGGAGGCACTAGCCATGATGTTATTATTTCCCATACCCCTTCCGTAATTCCTGATCCGCTCAAAAACTTCAGCCGACTTAGACGCATCTTCACATTTCATCATATGTTGTTGAGATTTACATCTTTCCACTCATAACTGGAGTCATTTCCTACAGTGATCCACCATTTGCAGAAGTCGTAGCAGTCTTGATCACAGTTCAAGCGGATGAGGAGAAATGGTGCGATACAGCGCATGCCTATAGGATCCGTCGGGTTTAGTCGCAGGAGACTGAATGTATGATCCAGTGCAGCTTCCACAGCCGCTCTGATATTGATATTGAGCAACTCGTGAACAAGGTCTTCATGTGCTTCCATGTATTCTCTTGTTCTTTTGTACGTCCAGAAATCACTGACTGCAGTTTCTGATATTTGAAGTTCTTAAGACTGGGATCGATTCTGGCATTGATTCTGGGGCTTATTCGGGAATGGATTCCAAGTTCCCCTGCGTCATGGTGTCGTGACTTTTGAATCGCGAAGCATTACAAACACAAAACACAATAACACATAGCACAGGTTTTTCCATAAATTCCAACGAATGCTTCAGACTTTACGTCTAAGGTTGGTAACCGTCGCAAACATCAACTCTCTAATCCCACCCAATCCCCTCTCAGTCAACCACTGCAGCACCATAACTTTATACCCATCCGCCCCATCCCAATCCACGCTCACGCCGCCTCTACTGTTAAGCACATCCAGACTCTTTCCACTGACAGGTCCGGTGTGATACCTAGTAATCTTTCCCTCACCCGCTTTCTCGACCTCACGCTTCTCGACCGCATGCCACACCGCAGCAGACAGCGACACCAGCCACGCATTGTACGACAAGGTAAATGCGTCCGCGATGTTGTATCCACGATTCACAGTACGTAGATAATCATTAAGTGTAGACCGCAATATCTGGTCGCAGTACAAACCCCTTGATTTGTCCTTTTGGGCGACAAGGCCACGAGATACCCATACGAGATTATACATGTCGCGCAGACAGTAGTTGAATGCGTCTGTGACTTCTGCTGGATAATACGTCTTGACTGGCTTGGGGTGCGCGTCGAAAGCCGATTTGTAGGAGCCGATGATGCCGCAGATTCGGGAAAGAGTTGCTGGGGACGTGTCTTGGGCTAGCAGATAGATGAGATGCATCGGCGGGAGATGGATTGGAATGACGTGTGGCTTCGAGGAGGTACTGAGGAGTTCGTAGAAGGAGAGTATTGATGATGTGAGATCCATGTTCGAGCCTGTCGGGATCGATAGAAGAGCTGAAGTGAATAACGTGGATACATGCTCCATCATGTCTTCCAACACTTCCTGTCCAGTCACTCGTTGCTCAGCAGGTGCTGAGGATGTCAGAGCAATTTGGTGCTGCAGAAAAGCTATGTAGAAATCAACGAGCTCTGTATAAGCAGTGATGCCCTGAGTTGCTAGAGCGCGTTCAATTAGTGAGAGGTAGGTCGTATAAGCATCATCAAACACTTCAACGTGGATGTAGGAGACGAGCCCTAGGATCGTAGTAAGATCTTGCCGTCCGTCCCATATTGGCAGGTACTCGCGAAGAAACGCTGTTACAGTAGGATGTAGTGACTTCGTTGAGTTAGCCAACTGCACAAAGAACTGTATGATGCACCCACCTTTGTGTATTGCGCGTACCTCAAAAGCCCATCGAGGACCTCGGATAGAGTTTGATCGTCCCCAGTACCTCGCCGGTATTCCTCAAATTGCTCTTCCAGACATGTCGCGAGCCAAGTCCCCAACCGGGTGACTGCGATTGGTGATGGCTTGAGGTCGACGTACTTTTGCAATAGTGGGTCCGTGAGAAGCGCTACCATCTGACCTGGTGGTTCTATTCTGTCGAGCTTCTCAACGAAGTCGTCTACGTTATCAATACCCTCGATGGTTGCGGAGTTCTGTCATGCAACGTCAATACAGCTCAAGATGATGAGAAAACGCATTTACGCACCTCGTTCGCATGGTAGGTGTGCACGTCCGGGATTGCCGGCCCTTTACTACCTTTAAGTCTCCTTCGTAGCACCTTGAACCCGTTCTGCCCATCCGCGTTCGAGTCGTCCTCCGCCAAACTAGCCTGTTGGATCGCAATGATCTTACCTTGCCATTCGGCATCAGGTCGCTATAGAGTTAGCCTGCATCCAACAGTGTGACAATGAGTTGCGGGGAAGCAGTGTGGGGATCTGGGGTTGCATCCATGGTGACACGAAAGACGAGTACTCACCGGAGCGAATGACTTCCGGCTCGTGGAGGTGCTTCCCAGGATTATGTCGGGATAGTAATCCTTGTAGACGCGGAGAAGACCTTGAAGCGCGGGTTCATTACCGAGACCGCGAGATAATTCGAGTCTGTAGTGGCATTAGTTACCGATATCAGGACTTCGTTCCTGTGTGCAATCCTGTACGTACAGTTGCTGTATTCGGAATGGCTTGACGTGCTGTCTACGAGTAATGAGGGATAGCAGATGACACAAAGACGTTCTGCTGAACTTAGCATGGGTAGTTTCGATATTGGACTGGAGCGACGCACCTGATACTGATCATGTCAAGCATACTAAACAACACACCGTACAGGCGGGAGAGGACGTTTGGGCTTTCCATAATCTCATGAACGGTAATAAGCCATTTCACAAGGCTATCTTGTGTGCCGGGCGAAGGCTTGCCCTTGCCCTGCCCCAGAGCACCAACAATGATGATCACAACATCGCCCGGAACCTTTTGAGAAGGATACAGATTCTTGATCAAAGTGGTGATGGTGGTTTGGTCCAGTGAAGTTTTCAGTGACGCAAGCTGTACAATGTCTCGAAGAGCATCCTGGTCAAGGCCATCTTCCGAGGCGTAACGGCAGATGGCATCGACTATACTGGAGACTTTGACCGTGCGTTGCTTTGCTGTCGTTCTAGATGCTGCAGGCCAGCGTAAGCACTGTTTCTGACTGGAGTTCGCAGCCGCATATCGACACTTACCTTGATGCAACAGGTTTAGCGTCTCCTGCAGCGTAGGCCGCTCTTCTGCCGAGTCCATCAGTAGCGAGCCTGGAGTGAAGTCGAGATGGAATTACCGGCGACAGATGGCATCACGCTGTCTGTGCGGCATGCATATAGTAAGACAGTGGTCAGCCGTGGGTGATTACGCCGTCGCGTCGCCGTGGTGGTTGTTGACACCCTGATCGCGCCTTCCTTGTTTCGATGGCCTACAAACAAGCGAGCAAGCCCCACTAACAAGTATCGCGCACCTCACGCGTCTTTCACTCGAATAACTTCTCTCAGCGTTGCCTCGAAGCTTCGTCCAATGTCTCACCACTTCAATGTTCATGGTCAATACTTCGATGTGGGCGCACAGCAGCGCGGCTGCCGGTCTGGCCGTCCGCGGCTCGTTCACGCTACTTGTGCTTGATTCAATCAATCGTGCAGATGTCACCCGCAGGTCCGAACCATCACTGGAGCATGCCTCGCAGCTGTCGCCCGTCACCAAATTGTAATCAACCCTTTGTGTTACACAAGAAGCATCGAGGTGTTATGACCGCGGCTTGCGCGGTCGCTACTGGCCCTGAGTTGAAGGTCGCCTTGCAGGTCAGCGATCAATGCAGGCACGCCTTCTGCAATGTTGACTCGAATTGTACTCACCCCGCGCGTTGTACGCCCCTTGGGTGATGGCTTACGTGCGATGGGTATCTACCTATGTTGTAAACCTGGCTGTTGGCTCTTAGTTTGCCTTGACTGATGGTCTCCCGTTGGATCCTCAACCTCTATCAGGCCGACCGAATGATCTGTAGGATTGCCCTTCGTTCTCATCAGACCAGTACGCGTATATCCAGGCTGACAAGATGGCTGTTGTTGGATCTTGGATCTACGTCCAGATGTGGCGTCTTCTATTCTTGAAATCCGATTCTGCTACTACCCGATGCAACTGTCGCCATGCAAACATACGCCCGTTGTGCTCCTTACTGATATGCACGAACACGCCACGGCAACGCTGCTGTTGTGCCATTCATGGATACGACCTGGACAACGTCATCCAATCGGCAAGACATCCGTCTTTCACGGTAGTGAATGCACTGCTTTATCTGCACGCGGAACCTGCATGGCCGAGGTCTTGTACTACATTCTCCATCTCTCATCTTGTCCCACCTCGATCACCACTGTCAATAGTATTGGAATAAATCTCCAGGAGCTTAATCCTAGCTAAACAGGGGGTTAGGATCTTCGAGCACTGTCAACAAGGTCACGGTTCACTGGGCGATCCATAACCAGTCAACATTGCTACCCCATCCGACGGCTCCTTGGATGACTACGGCCAACTTTGGATAGCAGATTTGTTGTAATCCTGAATTCCATAGCCGGGACGATCCACCTTGCTATCGAGCATAGCATCTTACGCGTGTTGGCTGCTCGCTTCGGACTGCTACGTCAACCGGTATAGCCCTTATTACGGTGCTTTCTCTCGCTCATCAACATATCTGATCTGCCAAGAGGGCTCGGGGCTAAGCAGGTGAGAATTTGAGGCCGGACTGCTGCATAGAATGCTCACATAGCTCTCTATCTTCTCTCTAGCCCAGTTCTCTTACGGCTCTCGGTATTCTCCTCTTGTCCTGACCGAAGCGCAGGCAGCTGTACAGTTATGGATGAACGCAAGAGTCGAGCCTCTTCGAAAAACAGAATGAACCGCTCCCACATGACCTCACCAGCCTCTGATAAGCCGACTATTGCCCATCTACCTCACAATACATCATCTACCAACGCGGTCAAGATCGTACACTGCCCATCGGAGACTCTCGAACGACTGCGGCGTCTGAATGAAGCAGAGATAATCACACTTTTCACCCCATTCGTGCCCCATCCGCCATCAACGACACTGGCAACAGACATGGACCCTTTCGAGCCACTCGGCCGAGCCTTACCACGACAAGTACGGCATGTCCCATATCGTCTGGATCACGGCATGACAGAGATGCATGCCGACTTCCTGCCAGCAACTGGGGCGGTAGTTGTTGTCATCTGCGCCACTACGAATGTCATCAACCATGACGCTCAGGCCTTTGAAGGGCAACTGAGATTTGCACGAGACATGGTGAAGAAGATATCACAAAGCGATATTGTAGCCGGTATTCCAGTTATGTTGCTTCTTGTCGACGATGGTGCCGCTGGGCAAACCTACGTCAGTGCGGTATGCAATTTCCCGGCGGTTGTCACAATCAGCAATTATACTACCGCAGCGCTCTTGAATGCGGTAGGCGTTCTGTTTGGCAACTGAAGGCCCTCGCCACTCAAGCAACATATCATCTCATGATGATCATCTTGACAGCGGCAAACAAACACATGCCTGCGATGGGCTCTGGAAGCACGATTTGGACTGAAAAGTCACTGTACCTTGCTGAAGCTCATTTTCAGCTTTGGGGTACTGTCACTATGGTGCAGGATAACACACCGGTATAAATCGCATTATTGTAATTTCGACATTATTTCTTTCCAACCGTTGTTACTTCTCGACTACAGACCATATATCTGCACCACGACTAGGGTGGTGTACAGTCTCTTCAAAAGGCCTCATTTTGTTCAAAAATTACTCCATCGTATCACGGAGTGTCTTGCTGGTGCAACTTGTACTTTACTACAACTCTGCATGTGCAGTTTTACTCTTAGTCAACTCCAAAGATCATAACAGCTTCGCACCACAGCACCCTGAGTCGTCCGACGTCGCTGTATAATCGTTAAACGCCCTTGTACTATGCATTTGATGTGTGATATATGCTGGTTTACGTGCATGATGCATGATGCACATCACAGCGCATACAGGCACACTCACGTGAGACAACTTCCACACGGCAAATCCCATCTGCAATATTATTATGCATGTGCTCGCGAATAAGCCAGTAAAGATGTCTTGAACAGCGTGCAGCGCGTAGAAGTCGAGAGTTTTGCAACATGGTATTAACATTACTGTAGTTGTCGTACGTCTAAGGTTCGTGCTGTTGTCCAAAGGGGGAAATGAATTTGCCCAAGTAGGCAAATGTAACAATCAACGCCTTGCCTGCGCCTATAATCCCCATGCAAATGTGTTCGGTTGTTGTTGAACGCCTGGAAATGCCCACTTGTCCCAGGCAGGGTGGAAAGCAAGAGTCAAGGAAGCCGGAAATTTCCGACGTCTGCGAAACAGAATGAAGTCTTGACACCCTCCAGCAGATGGCCAATATCCTTCAAGGTATCCAGTTACAACGTCGTTGTGACGTCCCATACTAGACCCTATCGCTGTATTCCCAGCGAACATGCTCAATTCTATATTTCATCCTCTTTGTCTCTCCCCTGCCCCCTCAAAAGAACAACTCAGCGTATCCGATTCCACCTCTATAACTCCATCATCCCCCTACCGTTGCCCATGGCACCCGCGCCTAACGGAGCATTCGGAATCCCCACATCTTTCGGTGTCGTGCTCGCAAGTGCGTCGCGATTACCAGACAAGTAATAAAACATGCGATTCGCAATGATGGTCAAGTGTTCGGGGAGGTAGAGCGAAGCGGCGATTATGAGGAGGGAGAGGAGGAGAAAGAGTACAGAGTCTGGCGGATTTTGTTAGCCGAATTGCCTATGGGATGTATATGTTTGGAGAGAGAGAGAGGGCTGGGGGGCGGGGTGTGGGTTCGGATAGGGGCGGTGAATTCGCCCAATCCGAAGACAACGAGTTGGAATGCGATGGGTATGTGACTTGACGCATTTGTGGGTTCACATACTGAAGATGAACTTCTCGGTCGACGTCAACATGTATAGTGAGAAAGTGACTTCGTATTGATAGCGCTTGCGCTGGAACCAGCGGAGGAGAGCGGATGGGTATAGCATTGCGGCGGCGAAGAGGAGCGTAGATGCGCTGGCTAGGAGTAGGATGACCGATAGGGCTGTCGTGTCGAGCATAGACTTGCGGATGCCTGTTGATGTGTTTTGCGCGCGCAAAGAAGGTGTCGCAGGTGTGGAATTGGCGGATTAGAGAACTCGGGGCGCGCGCGGCGGAAATGTCGACGGAGCGGTGGAATGATGGGGGAGATTTGAGGGTTCAGGGACCCGCGGCGGATTCGGAGCAGGAAAGAAATCACTCCCGAGTAATTTAATGACGCGCGAATCGATAACCATGGACAATGCGAGAAGTTTCAATTCCGCTATACCAATGTGATTGCAATGCCGCCGCAGCCATATCGCCTACAGCCCTAACCCACCCATAATGCGCGTCCTCTCCTCCATCCTTCGGCTGACGCCTCTTCCACGCATCCACGCCGCCCACCTCTCCACCACCACATCCCTCCTCTCCAACCCAAACTCCAAACCCCTGCCCCCACGCACCCCTCTCCTCGACTCGGACCTCATAGAGAACTTCCTCAAGGGCTCCGGTCCCGGCGGCCAAAAAATCAACAAAACCTCCTCCGCTGTCCAACTTAAACATATACCTACTGGCATTGTAGTCAAGTACCAGGATACACGTAGCCGGGAGATTAATCGCAAGATGGCGCGGAGGATACTGCAGGATAGGATCGAGGAGATGGAATTAGGGGAGGGAGCGAGGACGAAGGTCAAGGCGCGGGAGAAGGCAAAGAAGAAGGCATCTGTAGGGAAGAAGAGCAGGAGGAAGTATAGGAAGCTGGCGGAGGAGGGCAAGGGTGGCGGGGAGGATGAGGAAGGTGGAGAGGGGTTTTTAGAAGGTGAGGGTGGTGCTGATGAGAACGAAGGATTGCATAGGGAGGAAAAGAAGGTGGAGGTTGGTGGTGAGAGTAAGACGGTGGGTGGTTGATGATACCCGTGATTCATGACAAGTTGTACAAATCACGAAGAGCACAGCGCTGTGCTTCGAGCCACGATGACTGCAAACATTGGCACGGATAAGGACAGGTCCAATGCGGCTCTTCACGGCAATACGCCGGGCCGGGTCGTTGTCGAGATATCGCGATATGGCTGTGCGTGGAAGCTGTAGAGTTTCGGGACGGTGACTCTTGCGGCCGAGGGAGTCATCACAGAGGTAGCGACGTACGGATGTGCCTTTCCTCTGGTTCTCAGTTTTCGCCAATGCGACATGAAACGTGCACGGCGGATGTTATCGACGCCTGTCACGTGGGTGGTTGAGATGCGAAAGATACGGAGATTTCCAGGCGAAAGCAAGATTGATGATGAGAGTCATTCACTCATTCTCTAGCTGAAGAACTCGGTTCAGGGCGGTGCAAGAGTCTCTACCCTGATGGAACTATATCCTCACTTTGAGTTCGTCTTTGTTATTGTTGTGTACAACTTTTGCCATTATCACATCTACTACTAGGTTACAACGCACAGCTTACGACTGAGTCGAGCCTCGACTGAGCATTTTCGAATTCCGATTCTCCCACCTCTCAAATGCAGGCTTGAAGTCGTTCAGCAACTGTCTCTCGCCGCTTCTCTCGTCTCACGAAGATAAGAAAGTTCACAAACGCCTTCCAAACCCGCCCAACAACACCAATCGCAAAACCAAGCACTGCGCCCACCGCCGGCGCCCTCGAGTCAAGTCTTCGCTACCTCAGCCTAAGTTCACTCAAAAAGGCTCTCTTAAGGCTACCTCAGTTATCTCACCGTATCCCTAATACATTCAACACCCTGCATTGCGAATCGTAGATGATACGGATCACTCGATAGATTTGGAGCCGTGCGCGTGAGTGCCTAAACATATATACATCCCCCTTTCCCCACATGATAAGATAGTGTGGATGGCAAAAGGACCAACTGACTATGCCAACCTCGCACATAACAACGACTTGACTAGCACAGCACCTCATACTGTCATCTGCTTGCTAACCACATTTTGGTCTCTCTAGTTGGCATAGCAGAGACCATTGCAGAGATAACTCCATGCGAATCCGCATTCATCCTCGACCTGGGTGCATGAGGTGGGACCCTTCCTGCATTGATCGTCGCCGTCACAGTAGTCGCTGCTAGTGCTACAGATGCACAAGGGCTTCCTCTTCATCAATGGATTTCCCTGGCTGTCTCCGGCATCAATAGGCTAAATGTAGGTGTACCAAGTCAGTGTATATCTCACATGCAGTTCGTACAGGGACACTTACCGGGCCGAGCGTGGCCACAACTTCAACAGCTTCAGCACCGAACGCTGCCTCTGCAGCCCTGGCAAGCTCCTGCTTCGCTGCATCATCCGTAAGGTTGTTGGACCCAACGAATGCCGTAACGTCGTCGAGCACCTTGTTCTGCTCCGGAGTAAGGTTGGGGTGCGATGCGCGGTACGATCCGAAGTGGGAGCGCCAGAGTTCGGCGCGGGAAGGTTCGTCAAGGCGGTGGAAGATAGCCTTGCGGTAGGTAAGGCTGTAGCCCGAGAAGGACTTATAGTCCTTGGGAAGGCTCTCAATGTTGGCTTCAACCCAAGCGGCGGCCGTGCTGCGGATAGCAACGTGATCGCGAGTTGTGACGGCTAGGGATTGGCCTGTGAATACAAGAGCAAGAGCAAGAATGTTGAAGTTCACCATTTTGATAGCGGATGAAACTTTGACAGTGAAGTCAGGTTGTTTGATGTTTGAAAATAAAGCTGAAGATTGTGAGGATGAGGTTCGAATGGCGAGAAGGCACAGCTTTATAGACAAAAGTTCTCTCATGCCTAACTCTTCTTGAATACAACTCGTCGTCTATCACATGAAGTCCCCCAAGGATTTGATGTTTCTAATCTAGTCCTTGAGTAACTTCATACCTGGACGACTCGTTACAAGAATAACTAGTTAAGCAGCCGTTAACGTACTAGATTCTCTCTTGACTAATCAGAGGATATATTGTTACTAATGGTCTTTGTTAGGTTGGATGAAAAGGCTTTTGGTAGGCTAACAGCTGTTTCACCAGTTATCTACATAATGAGGTACCCAGGTATAGGTAATCTATTTCGTCCTCCGTGATATGTTCTCATAAGCCTTGGCTTTACTACCCAATTCAACTAGAGTTACAAGCTGCCCGATGGGGCAACTGAAAAGGGATCATCAAAGTGCCCAGCCATGCAGCTTATGATAATTCCTTTGAAGGCAAGATGTCCGCTCAATCGTATATCATATATCGTATATCGCATTCTGGTGGAGCCAAAAACATGCTCGTTTTGCTATAGCAGATTGTAGCGTTGCTGATGTCGTCGCCTTTAGCAACGAGTCTATCCTCTAGGTTGGGGACGATGTTTGTGTAACCTCCAAGTTTGTGAAGGTAGGTTAGGCACCTGACATCCTGGGCAACCCCGCAGCTGAGTTGGCTGTGAACGCACATTATTCTAGTCTGCCCAGGCACAAACATTAGGGACGATAGCCTCAGGCAACACATCAACAGTCTACTTGAATTTCCTTCGCACTCCACCAGCAAATTTAGAATGACATTGTGTTCCCCCTCCCATCTTATCGTTCCATTCCGAACCCTATTGCCGATCAACCTAGAGCAACGTGCGAATGCGACACATGCGAGTGAAAGCAACCAGTAGAAATCAAGGCACTAGGACATACCAAAGCTGGCCGGTCAAACCGTTGCTGGAGAAAGCGTGGGGAGAGAGCGGCTCTAGGCAGGGACTGGTGCCGAGGCTGACATACTGGGATGTTTTGACATCTGGTAGGTCTCTGACCGTGGTGTAAGGCGAAGGGCTGGACCTAGATCAACTGGTTCGGGCTGGTAGAAGACTTCAGGGCAATGCGATGACCTTCAACGTGGCAATGGAACTGTACATTGAATTGGGGGAGCACTTGTTTTTGTACTCGGGTACCATGGATGTCGCGAATGTTTTCTTTTGCCAATATTTTCCATGGGAATCCAGATCCGAACGAACGCTGGAGCATACCAAACCATTGCGTTTCTGATAAACGACGTAATACTTCATGTTAGTAAGTCTACATGCATCTTCTGCTCTCAGCTGCTCAGATAGAGCGGATTTATCTTCGAAGCTCTACTCTCCAATAACAAAGTCAAGCTCAATAACATGAGATGTCTGTGTCAAACCCCACATATGCCTATAGACAAAGGCGTTAGATGACAACCAATATAGTGCGGTGTTGTCGGCGAAATGCTAGGTCGGTTGGGTTCCTCGCATTTCCCTTACTCGGAATCTCGGATTCTGGTGTTGCCAAAAATAGCGTGCAGGGCCAGCGTCGCTTCCAGCCGTTAGGGCCCCATCGGTAACCCGTCCTGGCCTACGCTACTCCACATCAAATGACAGCAGATTCATGCCTGGAAGGCCTAACCCAGCAACGCAATGATGCAGGAAATATGCTCGCAGCTCATCCTAGGTGGCCAGTCAGTGCCCTAGAAGCTAGCGATGGAAACACGAAAGTGACAGGCACACAGACGTCATTTCCCAGTCCGACCACAAAGCATTTCAGGCTTCCGTTCCGACGCCACTAAAACGCCGTCTCTCGTTCTACTGCAACTTCTCCACTTGGCGTTCCATCAGCCTTCACAATGTAACGCTTTCGTGCACAATGGTCTCGCACGAGCATTGACGGCACGTTGCGGAGGCGAGACTTGCTTTTCGTCACGAGCGGGAGGGTCACCGGTCTCTGCATGAGTAAGCTCGTGTTAGGACCCAAGTGGCACGCCAACAATGAGATCGGCACAGGGTATCCTGTCTGGAATCCCGGTGGATCTTAGGGCAGATGAGTTTTCGTTCGTGTTGAGTGGATCGAGGAAGTATTGTGTAGAGGACGTGCGCCTGATGCAGGTACGGGAGCATGTAGTGCAGTGAGGGGGCAAATGTCTCGTATTGGTCGTGGTCTTAAGAAGACAATTTGCCCTGTGTATGGCCTCACTCTACCCATCTTGGCAAGTCTTTGCTTTTCTTTCGTTCCTTGGTTGATATACTAGTTGGTCTGTCATCCGGTGGTTGTCTTTATACAAGTATCTTCCTGGTCAGCTTGATACGGCACTCGAATTGCCATCTTCAAAGTCACCATGAAGTTCCTCGTTTCCCTGACAGCAGGTCTGCTGTCTATCGGCTTGGCCTCCGCATCACCAGCTGCACCATTGAACAAAAGAGCTGTGTCAACCGACGGAAGCTGCGGAGGAACAAAGGGCTTCACTTGCAAGGGTTCTTCATACGGAGACTGCTGCTCGCAGTACGGATGGTGCGGAAGTTCCAAGGACCACTGCGGAGCCAGCTGTAACTCAGCATTCGGCACATGTACTGGCAGCACAACTACGTCAAAAGCAACTTCAGTAACGGTCCGACCCTCGTCGACCACGGTTGCCCCGCCGCCCGCCTCAACACCAACGAAGAAGGTGTCACCGGACGCGACATGTGGTGGCACAAACGGCTACACATGTCTGGGTAGCGCCGAAGGCAATTGTTGCAGCGTGAGTGGGTGGTGTGGTTCCACATCGGCTTACGTGAGTATTCAAAGCATATATTTTGACTCAATACATACTAACCTTGATAGTGTGGAAGCGGATGCCAGGCAGGCTTCGGAAACTGTGGCAGCAACGCCGGATCAGGATCTAGCACAATCAAAAGCAGCGCAACCAAGACTTCTTCAACTACTCCATCATCAACAGCATCTGGATCTGCTCTCCAATGTTTGAACGGAAAGAATGTTCCTTACAAGATGACTTCGGATGCCGAGTACTCTGAGCTTTCAGAGCCTTACAACTTGCGCGTTCCCTTCAAGCCGGCTGTCATTGTCCTCCCAACTACCAACCAGCACGTTCAAGATGCAGTAGTATGCGCTGCTCAGGCTGGCCTCAAGGTTCAGGCTAAGTCAGGCGGTCACTCATACGCAAGCTTCAGCTCCGGTGGCAAGGATGGCGCTATGCAGATCAACCTCCAGTCCTTCCAGACCATCCAACTCGACAAGACCTCTGGCGTTGCAACAGTCGGAGGAGGTGTCCGTCTGGGCAACCTCGGCGATGGCATCTTCACCCAAGGCAATGCTGCCGTAGCTCAGGGTACCTGCCCTGGTGTTGGTATTGGAGGTCACTACACACATGGAGGTTACGGTCACACTTCGCGCAACTGGGGACTAGCCATGGACCAAGTCATCGGAGCTGACATCGTCCTCGCCAACGGAACCCTCATCAAGGCCTCATCAACACAATCCCCCGAGATCTTCTGGGCTATCAAGGGCGCAGCAGAGTCTTTCGGTGTCGTCACAAAGTTCTACCTCCAGACACGCGCCGCACCCGCTAGCATCACATACTTCCAGTTTGCCTTTACCGGCATCCACGACTCCAAGAGCGTTTGGACAAACACCTTCCTGCACATTCAGGATGTCGCGAAGAATGCTTCCGTAGTCGACAACCGCGTGTCCTTCGGCATCTACCTGGACAACTACGGCTCCTACAGCCTGAGTGGCGCCTTCTTCGGCACCGTCTCCGAGTTCAACACCAAAGTCAAGCCCGAGCTACTCCGCACTCTGCCCACTGCAGAAGCTACCGTCGAGTCCATGGCCTGGTACGACTACATGGTCAAAGTGTCCGGCAAGACTAGCATCAAAGAGCCGCTTACCGGCTACGACGAGCACGAAGACTTCTTCGCCAAGTCCGTCACAGTCCCTGAGGCCAGCGGCTTGACATCAAACGCCCTCAACTCCCTGTACGATTACCTCAAGACGGCTGGTTCGACAGAATACTACATCATCATCAACCTTTACGGTGGACCTGGCTCGGCTATCAACAGCAAAGGCACTGATTTCGCGGCCTATGTCGACCGTGATAGTCTGTGGGTGCTGCAGAACTACGGATACGGAGGCGCATCGGTGAACTTTATCAATGGCATCAACAGTGCTATTATCAATGCGCAGCCGCAGACGAGCTTCGGTGCGTATTTGAACTACGTTGACCCGTCATATGATGCCGCGACGGCGCATAAGTTGTACTATGGCGATGCTGTGTACAGCAGGTTGGCGGCGTTGAAGCAGAAGGTTGACCCCCAGAGTGTGTTCTGGAACCCCCAGGCTATTGGTGCATAGATGTGGGTTTGTGTTTTTGGGATGGGAAGGTATGGTGTTTAGGGCGTTTTGACATTGGTGGAAGAGCTCCACATGTATATGTCAGATGATTCATAAAAGTTTCGGTAGAGTTTGAGATAATAATATTATCATATCAATGTTAGCATTACGAGAGGCCAGTTAGTGTGATCCATGTTCTGAGCCTGGAACATTTCATTACTACTACTAACAAGCCGATAACCGAATTGTACCATAGCCAACAACGGCCGCTCATCTTCCCGCGAAACAAAGTCTCGATGCTCATTTCTATAAGCGGAAGGCCGTCAAACCGAGGAAACTTAGCAGTGTGTACATCAGAGCGAAATTCGGCAAGCTCGAGCCCTGAAGGAATGTCTATATGTATCTACTCATCATCAGTACACTCTAAACCGATGTAGAGTTCACCTGTGTCTAGTTCAAACTGCGTAAGCCCGCTAACCGCCTCATAATCAAGGAAGTCTGCGCAGCAGTCATGAATCCAAATCACGTCTTTTTCAACGCTGGCGTAGACATTCGTGTTCTTCATGCCCAAGGGATACCATTTGCCACCATCGATCTTAGCGGCTTCGGCCCGGGATTCGCGGTTCACGAAGAAGAGAGTTGGGTAGCGTCGTCTTGTCATGACAAGGATGTCGTCGCACTCGATGTGGATGTCAATGTCCGCGTAGCGTTCCCAGTGCTCGTTATTAGGATCTCGCGTTTCGTAAAAGGTCATCTCGTTGAGAAGGGCCACAGTCCAGATCTTGACGCGTAGTTCCACGGGGAGGCTAGGGAACAGGTGGAAGACTGGGCTTTCGATGTTGCTGTCAGTCGTGGGTTGCTTTGTGGACTTGAGGACTGGAGAGTACACTTCATAGCCATGACAAGATGGAAGTTGAGCGTTTTTGTTGATCGAAGACGCCATGACCAGTGGTTGTGGTGGGTTGACTGCGTTCAAGTGGATTGAGGTGGTCGAAACCGTACATACCATATACGCACGAGGATGAAGGATTGCGTGCACGGTCCGGGCTCCTCTCTCAAAACCAACTAGACCAAAGATTGTTGCCATGAAGAGGGAAGCTAATATAGAGTCTGTGCACGGCGCATGATTATCTAGGAAGTGAAACCTCAGGGACAACTCACTGCTCTAATATGGGTCACTGTACGTCTTTACGGCCTTTTCTCGACGAGAGTGAGTTGAGCGGGAAGGGAATTTAGCCTTTCGAAGCTGTTGTTTGCCATGGTCCACTTCGATACCTCGAAGACTATCGAGCGAACCATGAAGTTACAAGAGCTCGGAAGATGGCAAACCTTGGCAGGCCACCGCGTGATCACGAGTGGAGTTCAGGATCTGTGCTCTCGATGGGAAGAATTGAAGTGCTGAACCATGAATGTGATATATGCTCTCATACGGCGTTGTTCTTCCATGTTACTACACTATTGTGTCAAGTATCGGTCTTAGTAGATAGTTCACCTGGATCGACAGCTCGTATATGAAGTTCCACAGAAGAGCTGGCATCCATCTCGTACGGTACTGACTCAGGCTGAGGTGAAGCCGCACGATCATTGTCTATTTCACCTCCCCATTTCCCGAGATTCTGCTCGTGTGAATGTCCCATCTCCAATAGTTGATTCGGCGGGGCTTCGTGAATGCCTGTGCCAGAGTGAAAGCCGTCTTTGTCGAACTTATGTTTTCCAGTCTCGTTAGCGGGTGGTTCGTGTGCTACAGCATCCTTCCTCTGATGACGACGACCACGACGGCGGAAAAGCAGCCATCCCGCCACGAGCCCGAGGAAAAGAGAGGCAGGTATTCCTACGCCGAAACCGATATTGTGACTTAATGGAAAGCTTTCGTGTAGCATCTTCTGTTTGGGAATATTTGATTCATTTGTTTCGACGCTTGGTAAGTTCGAGCCTGTTAGTATTGAGGTCCATGTTGAGGTCCGCGTGGATGCCGGTGCTGATATCGAAGCTGCATTCGATGCGCCATCTGATGTTGATGTAGAAGAAACCAGTAAAGACGATGACAAGTCGTTCCCTTCACCGAAATCCTCCTCATCGGGATCCTCCTCGATAAAAAAGGATTGGCTGCTTGCGCCCGATAAGTCACCTCGGAAAATGCTGAGAAAGAACAGATTCGACTTTGTAAGATTTTTTTCCCGTTCCGACGACCCAAGAGTAGCTTGTAGCACTTGCAGCGTTTTCTGGTTTCGGAAGTCAGCTTCTCTACGGGTAGCCATAGGACAGAGACCCTTCATACGCATGAGAAATTCCGCACTTCCGATCGTCGGGTCCATTTCACCTCGTTGGCTCAAAGTCCACGAGAGACGTCCTCCATCCTCGTTTGGCATCCATGAAACGTTCACAGTATCACCCTCTTTGTATTTTGGGCTGCCGCTGAAGTCGTCAGGCCAATCGAAGGGTGGTGGATTGATGAACATCAAGCTAAGACTAGATACACGTGCGAATAGTCCAGTGAGCAAAGCACATGCTGCTAGGCGAGCCATAGTGGAACGGATCGGCTTTGAAAACCGAACAAACGTAGCTTTAGTATGCGAGAGGGAGAAGACACTTGATATGAAAACAAGCCGATAGCTGTGCACACTAAATGATCCGGCAGCAAAACGCATGAAAGTGGCACTGCAGCGCATTTCCACGATGCGCTTCCTAGAACGAATTCCTTTGTACTTGTTTCGCGTCGCTGGCTGGAGCCTCAGGGCGTACCAGTTGCGGGCGTGTTAGTGGTCCGAGCTCTTTCCTCAAGATGAGACCATAGCCATCATAAGAGAAGAGGGAGCAGAGTCCGTGCCTAACGTGTAATCACCGAGATGTAGGACGTTGAGGACCAATTCAATACTCCGCCGCAGCTCTTCATACCATCTCCAGGCCTTGCCATAACGAGCGTAAGTTCAGTGGGCAAAACATGGAAAGGCTGCAAAGTCCCGGTTTCAATTCGTGCTTGGCCATAACCGACTTCGAGACTTCATAGACTGTAGAGTGAGCTTCGAAGCCATAGGGAATCGGGAGATGATAGATGCTTCAAAGCATAATCATGGGGTATCTTTCCTCTTTTCGCCTCCTTCGTTGTTCTTCCAGGTTCCAGCGTAATGATGGGTCACCAGTTGCGGCGGTAGGAGTGCCTCTTCCTCCGGTTTGTAATTGTTGGCAGACGCTGCGAACGAACGACCTGGCATCACCAAGACATCCCCAATCAGCTTCGGTCGCACTAGCTCCATCATATCGCGCGCGTCGATAGTTCTGTTGAGCATGTTTCCCAAGCTTGTGTATACACTGCGCGTCAAGCGGCGCGGACCCGTGAAGTCAACAACATCTCCCATGATGTCTAAATTGGCGCCCTCGACCGGAATGTTGTGCTCGGCTGTCTTTTCTCGCAACGTCTGGAGGATATCGTCGATGACCTGCATCATATGCGTCGATCGTGGTGCAGCCATTATAGTCCAGCTAGCGAACTGACGGACATATTGGCCCGGCCAGCCTTGATCAAACTCCCACCCCACTACGAGCGAAGCCTTGTCCTGGTATATGGCCGGCACCCATTCGTCAATCGATACACTTTCTTCGCACGAGACGTCTAGATCAGACCAGATTCCGCCTTGGTCCCAAAGCAATAGATAGCGAAGAAAGTCGGCTTTGTAGATGGGAACGGGTAGCGCGAGGTAGCTTTCGACGATGTCTGGGCGGGATTCTGCGAAGGTTTTGCGGACGTAATTGTCGCTGCTCTCGTCGGTTAAGAATTCTGCTTTGTACTCGGGATTATTCTTGATACAGCTGTCGGTCCAGTTTCGTGTGTCTTCTGAGAGACCGTTGGGGCCCAGCTTGTACCAAATAAGTTTGGGGATGCCACTACTCTGCGTGACAGCGGAAGCTCCCGGCGCACGGGCGATGAAGCGACCTTGAAGGGAAAAGAAATGATAGAACAACGCTATCATACATAGGGCGATTAATGAATGGTAATTGAAGATTTTGGGCAAATGCTTTGGTGGCGACAGCATGGTGGAGGCTTTAACGAGAGACTGGGAGGAAGGGAACGAGAGCGCAGAAATCACAAAGCGTTAACTTGTCCCTTCAGTCGCGAACTCAGCGAACGATTAACCCATATAAGATCGAAAGCCAAGTGCACCGCGGGACACCCGGTACCTGCCTCGTGCACCCTCGCTGCAACTCCTTTACTCGTTGATTGCGGCGCCTAATTGCTTACCCCCCTGTGACGCTAGGCAGCTTTTAGACGCAGGCGCGCATTTCACTGTTAGCGCCTGGCTCATGCATGTGCAAGCATGAGTTATCACGCGCAATAGCCAGGTATCACAGGTATCTGTGGGTCGCGGGTGACATCGACACGGCAGCACCCATTCCCAGGCAGACAAGTATCCAACAACCAGGGCTACTTTTAACAACACCCTCACCTACTGTATCTGTCCAATGAATTTTTGTTTCATGTAAACGCTTCCATTCCGCATTGGGAAAAAGGACTGTCCGCACACGCCCAAAATTGGGATCGGTTGAGGCTGCAATAGACGCAATTGTAACAGCTGTAAACGCTTCCATATCAGTCCTTCCAAAACTCCCGAAATCCCTCCGAACGACACCTGACTATGCAAGGGCTTGCCTTCGTCTGAGAACCAGAAAAAATCGAGATCGAAGGTCAGCGGCATCAGTATGAGCTGTTAGCAAGGCAGACTGTACAACCTCATATGTTTCAAATTGAGTTCAACGATCACTGCCTCCATCCTTTACCCTGATCCTTCGGCCAGCAAGGCGAGATGAGCATGAAGAAATCCTGTTCTAGTAAGCGCTTCCCTGGAAAGCGCTGCTGTGCCTCCCTCATGCGTCTCGGCGTGGCACCAAGCAGATTGTGTAAGGACTGAAGTATGTGAGCCCACACCAACCTCTTCCCACAGGGGCAGGGCCCGTATCATCATCCAGTACTCATTCCTTTTCGCGCGCTATTTATCATTTTGCCTTGCATCTGACTACTGCTGCTGCAATACCGACCCCATACTTGTTCAATTTTTGAAGACAATTCTCTTTCGCTATGGTTCGCCTAGCAGCATATGTCTTGGTCATCGGACTGGTTGCAGGCGTGTCTAGTCTCATGGAGTTCATCAACCCACCGCCTTTCGGAACTGTTGGCGACATGAGCAACAGTCCAAAATACGAGGTCGGTGATCTGGTCAATGTTGTCTGGACTCCAGGCGAAGAAGGAGGAGCTGTCTCGTTATGTCTTTACCAACAGAATGAAACAGACGGTGTATGGTTTGGAGATATGGAATACCTTACGCGTAAGACAGGCCTTCGTTCTTCCCAGTACTGCTCGGAAACAAACTGACTTTCGAAATCAGAGAACGCCTTGGATATCACAAGATACAACTGGCTTGTCGGAACGAGAAAGAATCTCACACTATCGAACCTGTTCTATCTCAGTGTGTTCCAAGAAGGCAAGGGTCCCTCAGATTCAAACAGCCACTACTTTTACATCGAGAAGAACACTGTCGAAGAGGCTGCCCCTCCTTCTTCTTCGTCTTCAGTGAGCTCCTCTACATCGAGGTCGAACGAGGCAACCACTCCAGCACCGACCTCAACACCAACAGGGACGAATACGTCAAGTGCCGAAACAAGCCCAGTCTCAGTGAGCGTTCCGACCAGCGATGCCACAAACACACCAAACCTCTCCAAGCAAGAGAATTCATCGGACGGCTTTCCCTTAGGCGCCAAAATCGGTCTTGGTGTAGGAATACCCGTTGCTCTTATCCTCGGGCTAGTGGCGGGTTGGCTACTGTTCCGTCGACACAAGAAGCGAGATGCAGTGGTACACGAACTCCCCGCTGTCCAGACCGAACAATACAAGTACTACAACAACGGGAGCTATTACGGTTCGAACATGTACGAAGCGCCGCCAAAGTCACCAGTGGAAGTTGGGCGGCAAACACCCGCGCAGGGCTTCAACACATGGGGAAGCGGGCCGCAGGAAAAACCTGTGGAGTCAGCTACGCCTGCGCTGACTCGGTACGAGATGTGAGCTGGCTCCTCCCGCGTACTTTACCTCCAGACAGCCGAACTCTGCTGAGGCTCTTTTCAAACTACAACTTTATGTAATGATACAATACTATTGAGAACGATTAAGCACCAGGGCTTAACCTACGGTGTACGGGGAAGTAACCAGCGAAGAGGTAATAGGTTGAGAAGCAAGGTGTATGACGTCTGAATATGAGGTGGAAAGGATACTGGAACTGTTCTTCTGTATAGAATGAAATGTCAAGATATTGAGGTTACGAAGTAGCACGTATACTTTGCCAGCTGTGTACTGGTCCATCATTTCGGCACTGACACATCAAAGAGCGGATGCGCAATCGCAGGCAACATGGTGGTTTTCTTTGCATAAAACAAAAATCGAAAACGTACCGTTCCATCGCAAGCATATTGCGGACCATACTCGAGGATCAAAAGTGAAAAGAAAGGATGAGACTCGAAGGTCTCAGAAAGCTGACATACCCACCCGCAAAATCCCGGCTCACCTGATTCGTCCATTTCCGCCTTGCCTTGCCAAGCCCAGCATTCCCGCGCTTTCTCTGCCAGCGATCTCACCAACAACGCAACCTCAGACCTCCACACCCGCGCCCATCGTAACCCCACGAAATCGCTCAAGATGTCTGTCTCATCCTTCGGCCACCATGGCAAGACGCCCGCTGCTGTCGTAAGTTTACTCGTCCAATTGAAGGCGATTGGAAGTTCTGGGGATGGTTATGGGTGATGACGAAACGGAGGCTAATATATGGTTGTAGAGCATGCGCAGCCCGTACAAGGCTTACAGGAGTCCTTTTGGTCCTCAGTATGTATTTTCCGATATTGTCATAGCACAATGGGTGTGTGAGGAGCGGTGGGCGGGTTGGGACGAGGTTCAGGATTGTTGAGGGAAGCTGTGGGAAGAGGAGGATATCCTGCGACGCATCCACGAAACGGCAATTCTAGGCAATGGAGAGCCACGCAAACCACCGATCATACACAAGGCGCATAAGAGGAGGAAGACCGCAACGCGCACCCGTACCTGCGCCACCTGCCGTCCACCTCTCATGACCCACACGATATATAGCAACTCTCGCAAGCTCAATCAGCTAACAAGCACCCTTCTACAGATACACCATCCCTAAGAACTACCACGGCCTCACCCTCAACCAAGCCGCCAAGTACGGTGTCCTCGCTGCCGGTTTCGGCGGTGTAGCGGGCTTCTTCGCCCTCTTCTTCTTCGCCGAAGTCCCCAAGGTGCGCGACGACATCATGAAGAAGATTCCCGTTCTGGACAAGTTCTTCACGCACGAGATACCGCCTGAGGATAACCCTTTCTGAGCTCTCCATGGAACGAAGGAGGCAATGACGGGAAGGGGGAAATGTATAATATGGGGACAATTGGCATTGCAAACCGGAAAATAGACCGCTTTTGTCTTTGTTTCATCATAGTGTTTCGGAAAGTGATGATGCTGTTCGTGATGCAGAGTTGAGGCGATGATTGTAGGCGGCGTGACGATGTTTGACACACCCAGCTTCTGACAAGTCAATCTTACCTCTGGCAAACACCGACTCAGATACCAAACTTTCCTCGCAAATTCACTCAGCCCGCACGAGAATTCGCCACTTATAGCTCCGAAACATATTTGGTCATTGCTTCATTTTCGCGTGACTTGAACACACCGTTCAAGATGCTATCATATGCCATCTACCACACGCTGTCGAGCTAGCCCTTCGTTCCAGTCTCAGTGGACATCTAGTTCGTAGGCAGCCTTCCAACAACCTCCGCCATCTCCTCATCAGTGTAAATCCTGAAACCCTTGTCCTTGGTCACACTCGCCAACTGTACATTCTTGCTATCCAGCTTCTCCTCCATGACCTGCTTGAGCGTCTTGAGCGTGAGCACCTCCGCCTCGGGGAGAGTAAGGGACTTGTGGAATTCGTTCTGGAGTTCGGCCTGCGCGCCCTCGGAGCCGGAACCGATGGCTTTGGCGTCGTAACGGTAGAATGTGCCGGATGGTTCGGCGTGGTAGCTGAAGTTGTTAGTTACTTAACCCCACATGCAGAGTGGAAAGATGGAGAAGGTTGGGAGGAGATGGTAACATACAGACTCGGACCATCCTCATCATAACCCGCAATCAACAGCGCAACACCAAACGGCCGACTCATGATGCTCTCCTCGCCCTCGGCACCCTCACCAAACCTCAGCGCCAAATCACATATCGCCTGCGTGCAGCTCTCGACTCGCAGTGGCTCAGCGTAGTTGAAAGCGTGGTTCTGGCTCTCGACACGCGCGTGCTCGATCATGCTGCGGGCATCGGCTTGCAGACCGGACATGGCACAGCCGATGTGGCGGTCGATTTCGACAATCTTCTCCACAGAGCTGGTTTCGAGGAGCGTCGAGGTGACGCGCTTTTCTACGCCGAGGATTACGCCTTCGCCTGTCGCTACCTGTCGTATTGTGAGTTGATTCGTTTTGCCGGGTTGGGGACACAGAAATGGTGGTGGGCCGTGGTTTGGGGAGGAGTATAGTAGCGAGACGTACACCTATTGCTGTTGAACCGAGCTTGATGGCTTCTAGTGAGTATTCGACTTGGAAGAGACGGCCTTCGGGCGAGAAGGTGCTGTGTGTTTGTGAGCGGGCGGTCTTGTCTTGGGAGGCGCGGGGTGGACGAACTTGATACCACGGTCTGGGAGGTTTAGTTAGTATGTGTTATCTTGTTTGTAGCTGCTAGAGAGCTTACCATATTCGCTTCGTGCTATGAACTGCTCATGTTAGTACAAGAGCTCCAGCGGGGTTCAATCAAGCGTACCATGGCGGCTGTTTATGCGGGGAGGTAGTGGAAAGTCGTAGGTGAGGTATTCGGGTAATGCTCAGGCGAGGTAGTCGAGAGCAGGGGTGAGGAGGCGGTGGTGAGGTGTTGCGGAGTTGTGCTGGCGACTTGGATGTTTCTCTAGCTAGAGCTTCAGGCAACATGAGCCGCGACATTACGCTAGAGCGCAATGCCAAGACCACCATCTGATAACTCAACTCCGCACTCATCACCATCAATTTTGTCCTCACAAGTAGCAAACTGATCTTACCGTATTATTGCAACAACGGTCAGGTCATATAAAGTTAGAATCGAGCTATCAAAGAATTCAATTTTTGGGATCCACGACTAGCTGAAATCGTCACCAGGTTCCAAGGTTTGCAAGACTGTTCCCCGATGATAAAGAGGGATAAACAACATTGGTTCTCATCGCGAGCGATATTACATGTGGCATATTTTGATGAAAAGCGGACATCATGATAGAAGTGGTAGTCTCATCAAAGTCGTCAGTTTGCTACCAAGCTCCGATTGCTGAAGAGTGGAATCGCTCTACATACTTATTACCCAAATGCTGTAGAGCATCGAATTGCGCCCTAGGTATCCGCGATGGTGCCTTCGTCAACGAACCTGTGTCACTGTCCCGCCTCACGAGACTCACACGATCAGCTTGTGGTAGTGGATTCCCGCCAATCTACGTTTCGACGCTGGATTGCATGATATTTGGTGACCAACCGTTGAGTTTGGCAAGGCCGTCTGTTAGGTTATTCTGCGTAATCTCAAGCAAGTCTCGGTAATGTCAGGTCCATACCGCTCATAAAGGCGAACGGGCCCTCCGCCCAGTACTATGCCCGTGGCTAGACTCCCAGCGGAACAAAGGGGCGTGCGGGAGGACCTCACAGCCACAATACCCACCCGTCATCTTCCAGAATTGCAGATGTCGCAAAGTGCTCCAAGTGCCTGTTCGATTGAACAAGCTTCCATCAAGATTCCAAACTCGTGGTAGGGGTAGAGCTTAGCGCAACCAAATCCTGACATTGGCGCATGTAGCGCCCGGTCAAAACGCCTTCCAAGGCACCAAACCGCTGGAGAAATCCTCCGCGTAAACTCTTCCATCTCCTCCTCCTCACCTGGGCATTCTCAACTTCACGCCGCTTTGTCAACTTGAATCTTTCGTCTCACGGGACATCCGCGGATCGCAAAGCCGATGATGCGCGTCATAGCTCGGATCAAATGTCCCTGGCGTCCGCACCGTTTCTCCTGAGTTCGGACCAGCACGCTATCCACGTCACCACATTCTGGAATCTCGGCCATGATGAACGATGCATACAATGCTGTCAATAATGAGCTCTCAAACATGGTAGTGCGCAACGTCAACTGATGGCACGAGGACATGTGTCGACTACAGACTCGCATGGGGGGTTGCACTCGTACCAATGAAGGAACTATTGATCAGTACAGCCACTCAGGTGTCTATGTATGTCGATAAATCTGCCTGTGCCATGTTGCACGCTCTTCACGAGATGTGCAGGTCATCTCCCGCAGTGGGGATGATGTCGACTGTGGGTTATTTTGATCCGGATACGACGTTATACCGGGGGCTTGACGTCGCTGCTAGGCTGTTGAGTATTGCTTCTCCACATGGGCCAATGATTAGCGAGGCTGGGGCAAAAGGATCGGTCCTTGTCTTGCCGCATCGGGCTTTCTAGAATGCTTGGAAAGCTTTTCCAATCGACATGGTGATGAGAGCAACAACAAACGATGGGATGTAAGCAGTGAACGGATGGGAGAAAAAAGGATGGTCGAGGTGCATGCCAAGATTGCTTGACTGAGATGCAGGGATGGAGATCATCGCCGGCATCCGCGTTCCTGCTTCTTCGAGATGGCACTAATTAGCTCTGACCGTGCGGCTAATGCACGTCCGATGGAAGGCCTACGACGGCAGCGACGTCTAGAAGCCGCAAGACGTCACTGGCAAATAAATACTTCGTTGCGTCCACCCTTCAACTTTTCTTGCCCACGCCTTTCTCTCTCACCCTTCTCAAGACTTCATTCTACACTTTTAATATAGTCTTCTTCCTAATACCACCATCATGCGCGTCTCCTCTACCATTCTCGCCACAGCAGGCCTTTTGACTTCGGCCAACGCTGCCATCAAGGGTTTCAACTACGGTGCCCAGTTCAACAACGACCAGGCCAAGACACTCGTTGACTTTGAATATGAATTCAACGCCGCCAAGCAGCTTCCTGGCACCGATGGATGGACCAGCGCCCGTCTGTACACCATGATTCAGCACGGCACCCAGAGCAACATCATCGAGGCTATCCAGGCTGCTATCAACACCAAGACCAACCTCCTACTCGGCATGTGGTGCTCAGCCGGTCAAGCCAACTTCAACAACGAGATTGCTGCTCTCAAGGCCGCCATCGCTCAGTATGGCACTGCCTTTACTGATCTCGTCGAGGGTATCTCCGTTGGTAGCGAGGACCTCTACCGTATCACCCCGACCGGTATCGAGAACAAGTCTGGCCCCGGTGCTCAGCCCCAGGAGCTCGTCAACTATATCAAGCAAACGCGTGATGCTATTCGCGGTACTCCTCTCGAGGGCAAGCCCATTGGCCACGTCGACACCTGGACTGTCTACACCAACGCTACCAACAACCCCGTCATTGAGGCCCTTGACTTCATTGGCATGGACGCCTACCCCTACTTCCAGACTACCATGAACAACAACGTCGGATCCGGCAGCCAGCTCTTCTTCGATGCTCTCCACCAGACCCAGGCCGCTGCCAAGGGCAAGCCCGTCTGGGTTACCGAGACAGGGTGGCCCGTTAGCGGCGAGACACTCAACCAGGGCGTTCCCAGTGCGGATAATGCCCGCATCTACTGGGAGGACGTTACCTGCCAGTTGATCAAGGACAACGTCAACCTCTACTACTACATCCTCCAGGATGTCCAGTACGGCAACCCCGTCCCCTCGTTCGGCATCAAGCCTGCGGGTGACCTCATGCAGGTGTCGCCTTTGTTCGACCTTTCATGCCCTGCTTCCAATGGCGGTGGCAGCACCACCCCGGCTCCTACCAAGCAGGTTTCCACTGATGGTACTTGCGGAACCCAGGGAGGTGCTACTTGCGCTGGCTCGGCATTCGGTAACTGCTGCTCGCAATACGGATGGTGCGGATCATCCACTGACCACTGCGGCACTGGTTGCAGCTCTGCCTTCGGTACATGCACTGTAAGCTAGTACCTTCCCATGCTCCTCTTGTCACCCATTCTGTCGTCGTTCCTGTATACTTTGTCTGTGCTCTTGTCTGTTTCTTGCAGTTGCCTCTGCTCCGTTCCCACCCATCACTGGGCTGCACGGACTAATGGCCATGGGAAGAAACTTTCGAGTAGCCGCAGCAGTGGTATTGGGATACCAACGCATATTGGGTCGTCGTGTAAGAGGGTTGAGGGATTCTCCACGCTAGACAGCCAGAAGCTAACATATTGCAGCGCAACTAAATGCCCCGACATCCCAGCCCACAATCGTCACCGTCCCAGTAATCAGCTTCGATCGACCGACCCCAACAGGTCAGAGTTCAGTCTGGATACTATCGCCCGTCTCACCTACTCCAATACATCTTGAAAGTCTTGAGAGTCTACCGCAATCTACCTTCACTCCGCTTCAGGAACCCTTCGAGTATCCGCATCAACTCATCCCTGTCGACAAGGCAGACCCGACCAAGGTTATCGGAAACGGATACACCGTCCAAATATCCCTTACCATCTCAACAGTCTTCGTCTACAATATCCGCCCTCAGTTTGCAGGCAAAACTTGCACGCTAGCTTTGCACATGCTGCCGCCCTTCCCCATGCCAGAAATGGCGCCTGTACATATTCGCTCCCCGGGCGGTATCAGCGTATCGCGCGTCACCAACCAGGTACCTGACACTGTGTTTGGGCAAAGCATCGGCAACTCTAGTCTTGTGGGTGTTGTACCGCTCATCGAACTGGACAGACAGTACAATGTTGCTAGCTTTCCTTGTGAGGCTGGTCAAAAGGTGGCTTATCAGGTGAATTCGTCTGGTGGATTAGAGGCGGATTGGTTCCAAATGACTTATCCGGCGCTCGGGTTGTTCATGATGGTTAAGTAGATTGGATGGGTGTTGTGGAACGGGATGTTAACTGTATTATTATGAAAAGTCCTAAAAACCTTTTAATGTAATTTTTGCACTTCGATGTATACTTCGCTTTGTCTTGCTATGTGATGACTTGATGAACATGACGGTGATGATTTGAAACAGCGCAAATGATTACGATGTACTACATGGCTACACGTGAATCCTCGACGTCCAGTCCATCCACGGCACGACCTTGTCCTCTCCCACCTCTTTTCATCACTTCCTCTCTGCCTTCGTCCATTCTATCTTTGTCTGATACTTCCATCGAGCTCTCGTTTTGCCACCTCCCTTCCCCCGCCTCTTCATTCCCATTACTTCGCTCTCTACTCGCCAAACTCTTCTTCCTGCCATGAGCTGCGAAAGAGAGCATCAACTCCATGACGACCACTGCGAGGAGCCAGCGTAGAGTTGGGTAGATGGTGTAACAGAGTTCCATCGGTTGTGTTTGGTGTATTCGACGTGTTCATGTTGTGTGTCCTTTACCTACCGACACCGCGTAGAAGGAGGATAACAGTAGTCGTGCTGAAACGTAGTGAGTTTGTCTCTTGCGCTAGAACGTATGTAGTTGGATTTGGTTCGTCCTTGTAAAACAATGGATATGGAGACGGAGAGTTCGATTTTGAGGTAGGTCAGGTCGATGGATGGGGCGAAATGTAGGCTCGTAGAGTACACTGTGCAGAGATAACATGTCGAAGTGGGGAATGGGTCTTTTTGCAGGTGTAGTTTTGTTGAAGAGGGGCGGAAATGTATTGGAAAAGTGGTGTGGGAAGCGGGGTCGGTAAGTAAGGGGTTTCCTTCCCTCCTCGCTCTCACCCCTCTTCCTGTCACTATCGTGTCCTTTTCGATGCCGCTCAATCTTCATATCTCGCGCTCTCGGTTCAGCATATCGCTTGTTAGAGTGACATGGCGGGTAAATAGCGCCGTCAGTCCCGCAGGGTATCCTGGTAAGCAACCTGGCGACTTCCCGCGCTTTGTGTGTGTATGTATACACGTCGGGAGGTCAGTAGCATGAAAGGGGGCCATTTCAAGCTTACCACTGAATCCGAGCCCAAATTTAAGATACCCTCGAGTTTGTTGATAGATTAGCTGTCCTTTACTGAAACCATTATCTGACCGCATGGGTTTAGGTTTCATGGTTATGGTAATCCCCAGCGAAATAAGCGAAATCATCAGCTTAAATTGCATGTAAGGTACCACCTTTCTTCCATCTCGAGCTCTACGGTAGAACTTAGTGTGCTTCATTCTGCTCAGGCTAGTAGGAAGAAAAATACATAGAAGAGATTTATGAAGAGCTAGGTGAATGATGAACAAGACTAGTTCGGGTGGTTGGCGTGATATCTTAGCAAGATGTTTCTCGTTCTCTCCCAGGGGTCGAGACCTGGCCTGACACGATGACTGACGTTGCTGTCGCTGCCAATATTACTATTGCTGTCGTTGCTGTCGTTGCTGTCGCTGCTGTCGCTACTGTCGTTCATGTCGCTGCTGTCGTTGCTGTCGCTGCCGTCGCTGCTGTCGCTATCAATCTCGCCTTCAATGTTACTATAGGGAATCATTGGAGTTGTTTTGATAGCGTATTGCAAGGCAGTAAGACCATGTATGTCCTCTTCACTTGCCCGAATGTCGATGACGTTGATAAGAAACTCTAGCAGCGTTTCAGTAAGAGAGCCGTTCATAACGGCACGGTGTAGTAGAGTCCTTCCATTATAGTCCTTCTTCACTAAATCGATACTGTAATCGCTGAGAACTTGCAGTATAGGTATCTCAAGTCCCCACGTCGTTGCGTACAAGTGCCCAAGGGTTTGCCTGTCATGGTCGATAGATGACGCGTTTCTGTTGGTCTTTAGAAGCAACAGTAAGATCTCTACATCAATTCTCATACGGGGAGTCTTGATGAACCTTGCCAAGGGGGAGATTCCAGAATCATCAAGCTCTGAGCCGTTCGCCCCGTGATCAAGTAGCCACTGCACCGACTCAATTTGTCCTTGAGAGCGCTTGAGGATATGATGGAGCACGTTTTGCCCACAATTGTCCCTCGATGCTATGAGCCTTAATGTCTTCGCCTCCTCGGTCTCGAGAATGGCCTTTATGGTCTCGAGGTTTCCGCTTTGAGCTGCGTAATGAAGTGCATTGAGGCCGTGTTTGTCAGCCAGTGCCACTTTCGCACCCATACTGAGCAGAAAATTAACTATTAGAAGATTACCAGCTTCACTGGCAAAGTGCAATGGATATTGTTGGCTCAAGTTGCCATACAATGGATCCGCTCCTTTGGATACTAATTTCTGGACCAATGTCGCACTTTCTGGTTCGCAGTAACAGAAGCAATGTAAAAGACTTTCACCTTTGTAATCCACTACTGTAAGAGAAGTACTAGGGTGTTCCAGTAATGCATCGAGCACAGCTTCGCGTGTACGAGAGCTTTCCGAGGTGGACCCATCGTCGTTTTTGTCAAAGCCTAAGACCCTGTGCAGGTTTGTAGACCCGCATTTTGTTTTCCAAGCAGATCCGTATCCTTCTTCTAAAACCCCGATTCGCAGCGCAAGATGTAGAGGAGTTTCGCCGGACTCGGAAATAGCATTGGGATCGGCGCCGTACTTGAGAAGGAACTTGGTCATTGTGACTTCACCAATCAAGGCTGCGAGATGTAGAGGAGTCATACCGGTTACTACAGACTCTGAAACTGGGAGCGCAGTATCCACTAGACTAGGGTACCATTCTTTGGCTCTCCGGGACCATACAGCGCGTCGACGAACCCTGATGTCAATCGGTACCCCTGCATCAATGAGTTGCTTTGCGATATCCTTGTGGCCAAATTTCACACAATAATGCAGTGGAGTCATGTTGTCAATGTCGATCGTGTCCAATGGAGCGCCATAGTGCTGCAACATATTCGCCAGCGAAGGCGAACAACATGCACTGTTGACAACATAATGCATGGCGCCTTTCAATCGTACATCTAGACCAACATTGGCACCTCTTGCTAGCAACAGTCTGACCGTGCTTTCGTGTCCGCCAGTATAAGCGGCCTGCAGTGCATCGTCGTAATATCCGCCCGGAATATTGACTGCAGCGCCAGCACTAAGCAACATGTTCACAACTTGCTCATATCCTCCAGCTGAAGCAGCCTGGAGTGCGTTCCCGAAGGGTCCTCCAGGGGCGTTGACCTCAGCGCCTGCGTTGAGGAGCAGCTTGACCACTGCCTCATGGCCTCCAGCTGAAGCCGCTTGTAGTGCATTGCCGTACTTTCCGCCTTGCGCGTTGACATCGGCGCCCTGATTTAACAGCAGCTTTGCGATCATATTCAAGCCTAGCAGTGCTCCGTAGTAGAGGGGTGCTGCTATGCCTTCTAAGTTGCCTGACTGTGATTCAAACCAATCACTTTCCGGGTCGTACAACTCGACCCAAGTGGGATATGCAGGGTTTTCTGTTGAAAACAGACTCAGCGCTAGCCGACTCATTTCTTCTACTTCCTCTCCTGTCTTTTGGAGATGGCTGCTCCAGAACTCTGCTGAGTATCGTGCGAGCGCAGAAACGTTAAGAAGTTCTTTGGCCACTGGGTGCTGGAACTGATTCAGGTACCCCAAAGAACCTTTGGTTATTGCTTTATGACATTCGACCTCCCGCATGCTGTACCGTTTTGCTGGTCCTTGCTTGATTCTATCTGATACAAGGTACTCCTGGACTGAGTAGTGTGCGAGAGTAATAATCCGTTTAGCAGGTATGAGGCACACTTTTTCTTCCTTCTCCATTGGAATAGTAACTAGACTGGAGCATATGTCCAGCGTATCTAGCGGGTCTATTAGCACTTCGTCACGATCGAATGCTGGTTCGCGTTCGACATCGATTGCAACGACTTCGGCAACTTCTTCGAAAGTGAGCGGCCTGGCAGAGAACGTCAACCATTGTAGGACTCGCATCGCGTATACACAATCCTCTTCGCTTATAGCGGTAAGAATGCGGTCGTACGTCTGGTCCAACGTTTGCGGCAAGCTAGCGAGCGACTTGCGCAGCATGGCCAGATTGCGGCACTTTGCTAATGCATCAATCTGACATACAACCCATCGGAACCTACACTGTTGTTAGCTGTAGTTTTGTGGAGAGCCGGAGCAGTACACGTACATCCCGCGAGCTCCACGCATTAGTGCTGTCTCGATCTCTTGTTTAATACCAACGTCGTTACTCCATTTTGCCAGAACCTTATCGTCACGCAGCCTTTGTCGAACGTATCGTAATATGTCTTCGTCCACTACGTCCCTCTGAAGACAGATACTGTCATCTTCTTCGACGTAACTCTCTAACGACCTTTCGATATCCCGCTCTTTCCGGCTAGTCATAAACAGATGTAAAATGTCAAGCTGCCACCCAACCATCGTTTCAAGCATGTTCATTAACTCCAGTCGCTGCTTGCACTCATCGAGCGCATCAAGAACTATATAGACATGCGTGAACTGTTGCATCACATGCGGTGCTACCTTTAGAAGTGCACGCAGTGATGGCTGTCTTTGTCCGTTTCCACAGGACGAGAACAACGCATCAACGCTCTCAGATATCATGATCGAACGCTGCAGGAACTGGCAGAGCAACGAGCGAAGCATCAGCTCTGGGTCTTGTTTCCGAGCATCGTTAAAGTCAAAGTAGAAGTACACCGTCACCTTGTGAGTGTTACCATCGCAGAGTTGCTGCAAATGCTCGATGACAGTAGAGCTCAGAATAGTCTTTCCGCAACCTGGGATTCCGTATAGCCATAGTCGCGATGCTACATTGTTCTCCCAGTTACTAAACTTTTCGCTTTCTAGTAGCCACATCCCAGTCTCAGCTTGTCGCTGCTTATGCGCGTTGTAGTAATTTGTGGACGGATCAGGCGCCGAAAGCCAGCTGCAGATCTTGCTAAGCCTCTCCTCTTGGCTTCCGCTGCGAGTCCTAGCATTGTTTACTAAGGCATCTGCAAAGTCCTCTGAAGCCTCCAGCACCTCCTTCCTCAGTCGCTTCAGTGCTCTCTCTCTGCCTTCGCCGTAGATTAGTGGTAGGTGGCATCCGAATATGCCTAACAAACAGTAGGCTCCATCTTCTTCTTTTGTCGTCTGGCGATTTTGGGCCCAAGAGAAACGCTCAGCAATGTCGAACTCTGACAAGTCGCTGCATGACAGAGCTTCGATGGGTATTTTTGTAACTTCATGTATGGTCTGCTTAAGCGACTCTTTGTCACCCAGCGGCGCTCCGTCTTTAGAAAAGAACTCAACGAAGCGCGGAGCTAGAAGCTCCTGGAGCGTCCAGCCTCGGCTGAACCACCTGCTCGCCCTGAACGCTGCCTCCCATCTTGAGGACGACTTGCCATCCCTCTCTGAGGACTTTCCCTCGACGTCTGCGAGAAATACGTAGCATTTAACTGCATTCTGATACCAGCGAAACATAGAGTTGATCGCTTCCGAAAGCTCCGTGTTATTTGCCTTGTCAATGCAGCAAGTGTCTACCCAGAAATATTCCAGACTGTCACGCTTCGCCTGTTGTGCGCAGAAGTGAATCTTGTTCCAACCCTCTTCCTTCTTTGCATCAATATCCTTCACACTGTCAAGGCTCTTCAAATCGTCAAAGACCACCTCTTGCTCACCCCAAGTGTGCGAGAGGATCGCATAAGGAGGAATTTCCTCGCTACGAATGAAGTCCTTCGTCCATCCGAGTTTCCCATCGCTAGTAGTGTATAGCAGCCGCATCGGATTGTGGATGTTCCTGTGTGTACGAGTGATGGAAGAAAGTCTTAGAGCCTCGAAGCAGAGTCAAGAGAAGCAATAACGTATGTGCGGCTCGCTCGTGCAGGGCGTAAAAACCGCAGCTATTGGGCTTGTTGCGAGCGCTGATAAAGGTTTGCGTAAGTTAGAAGAAAGGAAGGATGACCTGCGAGTGCTCACAGCAGTTCGATAAGTTAGGGGTATGAAGGATGGGCACCTGAAACTCGATCGCTAGGCCGGGTTGCCTCTTCAACACATATGGCATGAGGCGCAGCCCGCCTGCCTAGCCGGGCGAGGCTGACAACGCATAATCGCGAGACAAGAAGAGTGAGCACGTTCAGCTCAAATTGCTGCCTCGCTTTACTTCGCACTGGTAGCAAAATGCCACAGACGAAGAATGCTTTAAGCCTGAGGACGTGATCTGATGGCGCAGGATGTTCAATGTACAAGCCGTCGTTCACTACGGGAGCACATCACTATGTCCGTGCAGCATATCCGCGCTAGCTCACTATCAGGGGATTAATCTTGGCAGGCGCTCACATCTATGGATAGGTGCCTTCTGCCTTATAGAGATACAAGTTTTCCATCCATATCATTGTGTTCGCATAATGACACGCCAGTGACAGGGTACTCGACCACTATTTTCTCGCGGGTAGAATGCAACGCAGCGACGATCCAGGCATCATAACATTGAAAATCAATATCAAGCGAATGTACAGTGGGATCGAGTCCCTGATTGGTGCGTCCTTTTCCAGCTTCACGCTATGCAACACAGCTACATACCGTGAGAACGAGGTGATGGAGAAATACGCCTGCTTTGCGCTCGTCAACTATTGTGTTACTCAGCTAGCATTCACTACTGCTGTTGTGGTGACACGCACAGCTGTGTGCGCGCGAAGATATACTGTAATCCCCCTTCTCACCATCCCCACAGATGAGAGAGATCGGGGGACTAAGGTGAGGTCAGTCGCATTTTAGGATCTCTTTAGACATCGAGTCCAATTCTTCAATACGAATGTGGTTTTACCTACTGAACAGCGATGCACCTCCATTTTCTACGCCAGCACATTCCTCACACCAACACAATATCATCATTACCTCGCTTTCCCTTTCAACATACCACCATCATCCAGTGGTGCTGCGATAGAGGACCCACGAATAACAGGCCACTTACAATTATTTTGACGCAAACGACCCAAGCGATGCCAAACCCCCATACGAGTAAGAAGTATTGGGAACTCAGGTAGCATCAACATACCACCCACCTAAAGCATCTCAAGCAACACACTTGTCCAGCATCACCAAACATCTGTAACGAGGACAACGAAACACTATCAATGTGCAACATGTGCCATTTCATATCCATGCAGCAGCCTTCGCCTGTCTAATCACGACCACTCTATTGTCAAGCGGGGCGTGAAGGACCACACAAACAGCTTGACGGAGAAGAGGCTAATAGGCTCTGCTGAAAGACCTGGCATTGCTCATTTCCATCTCCATGGGAGTCGTACTGGTCCTCTCGCTTGACGTTTACATGTTTTGCGCGACCTTCCCCCTACACCGTGTTAATATAGCTAACAATCATCGCGAAATGCGAGTTGAGTTCAGTCAAAACTAGGAATCAACCATGATGTGATGCAATTGGATAATGTCCATAGGAAACAGACTAGTCTCTAGTTCTCGCGCTCGGAAAACACCTAAACTCCCAACCTGCCAGAAAGAAAACTCTTATGATATACGTTCAATACGATACCAACCTAAACAACAAAAAAAGAAACAACCCTAGTTCACGAAGCGCGCATCGCACGGCAAAGGTGACCAAGCAAACAACCCCAGCCTACGCGCCACCAGCCCGTCCCGTGGTAGTAGCCGAGGACGGCTGATCGTTGTTCCAAGTCAAATAAGTATGATCACCAAGTTTCCTCGGCTTGATCAAATGCGTAGCAAGGAACACAGCGCCCAACAAGATGCAGATACCGCCTACAACAAGATACGCAATACCCAGGAACGGGTTCTTGCCGCCCATGACGGTGCGCGTGGAGATGAGAATGGATTTGGTGCCGCTGTATTTGTCGACGGGGTAGCCTGGAACACATTACATGTTAGCATGAGTTTTAGCATTTAGCGGAAGCGGCGTGGGGGAGGAAGGGGTAATATGACGTACGGTCATAGATTTTGAGGCGGTAAGTCCCAGCACTCAGCTCATCGTTATCGTTGCGCTGATACAATTTACTAAATGTTGGCAGACCCGCCGTTCTCATCCAGACCTGGAACTGCTCCCAAGTATGTAGGTTGGGCAGGGAGCCGTTGTAGCGGCCATTGGGGTATTGTTCCTGCCAGTTTGGTGGTGGGATGACGTCTTCGGGCTTGTAATCTGTCTCGCCGTAGAGATCGCCTTCGTGGCTCCATGATGTGCCTTCGACGGTCATGGTGTAGTTCTGACCCTGAGCATCTGATCCACCGGCGGGATTGGCCAAGGTGAGGTTGGAAAAGGTATCGTTGAACATGGAGTTTGCGATGAGGCCGCAGGGATAGTATGGTAGACCGGTCTCGGGGTCATTGTCTAGGGGAGAGCAATCGCCCGAACTGAGATCGCTGGCACTGCGGGCGTGGCCTTTGAGTTGGTCAATATCTACCGACTTGACGTATCGGCGATGGTTTTGGTAGAAGTTGGTGAGTCGGTAGTAGAAAAGGATGGGTGGTTTGATGGCCTCTGGGATGGTGAAACTCAAGATGCAAACGTTTGTCTCTTGGACGACGCCAGACTCGAAGGTATAGTTCTCACGTCCCCAACCCCACATCGCCGCTGGGTCCTCCTTGGATCTGAACGTCGCTGAGACTCTGCTCGAGGGGATTGATTTGAGGGGGTTGTCGGCTGTGGGGTCGAAGTCGACGGGGACTTGGGGCGCGGTGGAGTTGCAGTTTGTGTAGTCGATGGAGATCTCCTGGACCTGGTTGGAGAGTCAGTCTGTCGCCTTGACGCATACCGTATAGCGTTCCTACCTGCGCGCTAGCATACAGAAGCAGCCCACCGATGGGCGCAAAGATGACTCCGACGATGAAGAAGAGAGGAAGGACGGTCTTGGGCGTTAAGATGGGTCTGTTGCGCGGTTAGTCGTAGTCGTAATCGTTTCTATGCTCCCACCTACTGCCATGCTTTCAAGCGCTGCTGCCTGAACGCAGTATCTATGATTCCATCAGCATTGCCCTTGTTTGCGCATCTCTGTACACGGCCATGCGAGGCTTACTCGGCGGCCTCCTGCTCTTCGTCTTCTTCGGCTCTTCGCGGCTTGGGTCCTGGCTGCTTATCGAGTCGGCAGGCTCGACCTGCTCTGTTCGCGACATGATGGTGGTTCCGCGCGACTCGGCGAGTCGATTGGTGAAGTGAATGTGCAGTCGGAGTCGTCACTTGGGTGAGAGATGGTGAGAAGGCGCGGGTTTGAGGTCGGCCAAGCCGTTGTCCTAAATTAGTGACAGAGCGGCCGCGCCACGCCTGCACGCCTGCGGAGCTTACAAGTCCCCGCTTCCGGGACCCTGAACTATGTGACGGACAGATCACGGACTCGAATCGTCATTACGGACTTGCAGCCCATTACCTGATGAGTTATTCCATTTCACGCCGACGTCCGAGTAGTCACGTAGGATCCATTGCGCAGAGTCATCTCGAATAATGCTAACATAGTTGTATTCTGGTCTATACTACCAAATCATAAGAAAGCCTGCATTTGCGGCGACAATGTCCATACGGGACTACATCCATTGGTGTGAGCTGAGGGGTATCGCATGCCGTAAGATAAAAAGAAAAGTCGAGAAACCCAGAAACGCCATCAGGGAGGACAAGCAGTGCCCAGTCCCAAACGCCTATCCATGCCAACAGTAGTGCCAATAATCAATAATAACGCCCTTCGTAAATCATGCAGAGGAAGATAACTGTCCCTCTGTGTGTTCATATCAGTCTTACCCAAAGAGAACGGACCCATTCCGTTGAGTCGCGAGATGCGATGAGCAAATTGATGCATCGAACTGGAAACTAGTAAAAATGACGATGAAAATAAAAGGCTTTGCGTTCAGAGATACTGGCGGAAGTAGTCTGGATTGAACCAGCCTACGCGGTCATACGACTGCCACAACTTGCTAGCCTTGTTGACGTCAATCTTGCAAGCCTGTTGAGCATCCGTCTTGCGGAATTCCTTGCCGATCTTGAGTGCTTCGATGCGAGCCTGGAAGATACGTCGTTTGCTGGTGAGATAGGTGGCGCAGTTGAGGCGGAGTGTGCCGGCGAGGTTCAACTCAGCCTCGTGCAACAGGTCGCGATCGGGATCGTCAGCGAGCGACAACGCTTGCCCTTTCCATTCAGCCTTGAGGACCTTGTTATTGCCCTTGGGCAGTGTGTCTAGGGGTGGCGAGTAGTCTGGGATCGCATTGTAGTCGGAGTCGTCACGGTTAGTGACTGGCCGAGTAGGTTTGGGAGAGGCCGACTTTGGTGTGGTGTCGAATGAGTCGTGAATCTGAGTAACAGGCGTGCGCTTAGCCTTGGGTGCGCGAGGAGTGCGAGGGGGCAGCCGTGCGACAGCGACCTTGGGCTGGCGGGGTCTTGACGATGGGGCAGGAGCGAGCTTCTTCAAAGGTGATCGCTTTTGCACACCGGTTGGCCGCCCGTAGTAGTCGTCGAAGCGTCGCTCCTGAGCCCACCATTTCCGCGGGTCCTTGGTGGCCAACGCGAAGACGTTGGAGCGGAATGTGATGGCCAGTTCGTAGTCGGCGCGACTCGGCTTGCTCTCTAGCTGTGCGTAGTCTGACGAGTTCATGTGCGCGGTGATGGCATCTTGCGAGGCTGACTCGGGCAACTCTTCGGGGAACAGCGGCATGTGGGCGATGGGAGCCGCTGCATCCACCGAAACGAACAGCTGGGGATCGCGTGTGCATTGTTCGTCCCCGCTCTCCATGTTCTCCTTCTGTGCCTGTGTATCGTATGGCGAGATTGGTGGAGAGGCGTAGGCGATGCGGTGTGCGGCTGCTGCCTGGAGGGTCATGTCGGGGATGGCGGATTTGGAAGCTTCTGAATTGAACGAGGAAAAGGGCGATTGAATAAATGTAGGCGGAATTGATGTGCCAAACGACTCTGATCGCTTCATCTCAGGGGGCGAGAGGAGGGAGGAAACGGTGAGTCGATTGCTCGGAGGCGTCTTATAGGACGAGTTTGCCATTGCGTAGTGTGTGTGAAGTTTGTCCTTGGTAAAAGCGTAGCGTCGCGGCGGTAGCGATATTTGAATACTTGGGTATGTCCAGGCAGCCGTATGGAAATGCTGCGTTGGCGATGCGATCAATGGTGGAGGTTTGGATCAATGGTAGAGAGGTGTGAGTGGAAGTTATGGCAGCCTTGGTTGAGTAAACGGCTTCGCCACAGTTATATCGTCAGGTGCGACCAGGCGCAAACGTGACCATGGAACCCGGCAGAATGGTCCGACCGACTGCTTAGACCAGGCTTGTAAGTGATCGATTAGTAACGCAGTCGAAGAATTGGCAGTGCGGAGATAGGACGAAGTTGAAATGGATGGTAGGTTAGTCGTCCCGAAACAGACGGGGTGGGCGGCGGAGTTATAAGAAGCACCACCAAAGCTCGTCAGGGTTTCAGCAGGCTACAGGATTGCGAACAAGGCCAGTGTGACTTTCCCTTTGAGACACTGCGGCCCATGTGCTAGCGAACCAGACAAAGAGGGTGTGCGGTTGGCGCGTGCCAGGCTCTCCTCCTCGCCAGGCCAGGCATCATCCATATGAGGAGCGCCCGTTGCGCGCGGCCGGCAGCTGACGAATGCGGGCGGCCAAGAAGTGAATAGAAGAAAGACGAAGGGGGCTCCAATTAGAGCGGCCAATTGCAAAGCGACGCGTGAGGCGGAGCTTGTGCGGGCATGGAGCGAGCAATGGGCTCGTCGCAGTCAGAGTTGAGTCACTGTACAGCTGCTGAGCAATTACTTGTCGCTTCGTCTATGCAAACCCGGCTAGCCCGCCATCGGGGCCGAACCACCGTCCAGTGCATCCAATGCATCCCCAACATTTGCATTGCCTGGTCACTCGTATGGTATACACGTTTCCTGCTCCCATTGCGCCCTCTCGGTGTCGAATGAGTCCTGCGCGAATGGTCATCTCGTCATTGGGTACCCAATTCCCAGCCAACGTGTCACAGCAGCGCCCAATGGCAACGCCAGCCTGCCTAAACCCCATTTCCACTCTACACATCGCTTCCGGTGGAGAGTCACCGCTTCCGTCATCTTCGCCTCGTACGCTATTGCGCAGTCTGACCGCCGTCAATAATGCAAACATGACCATTCCGCATGCTCCACATTCTAGCAATTGACCCATCATGACGGACATTATCGACGGAGCATCAGGCGCCAATCGACGCTGTGCTGGACCCTGCGCTCGGCCTGCGCTTGACCTGCCAGAGAGCCCAATTCACTGCAACTGCCTTTCAAGGCCAGTGGCGGACTAATCCAGTGTTTTCGGTAACCGCCGCTGACGGAGAGGGGGGGTCAGATCCATGCAGATGCACTTGCTCACCGAGTTCTGTGGAACGGCGGTGCCCGTTCATGGTCTTGTGACATGGACTCTATCAAGCGGCTGTAGTTCAACGCCACTGGCGTGGAGCTGCACAATTGCACCAGTGCCGACCAGAAGGTTCACTCAGGGCACGCCAATGTCTCGCAGCGGGTAACAGGCGATGTCTGCATTGTTAGTTCCACTGCGGTACGTTCCCGCCATTTGTTATCGATTACCATCTCGCTCTTGCATGTGAAAGTCCCCGAGCTCAGCAGGACAATCGTCTAGGCCATGTACATGCTCATCTGAACACCTCGCACACACTCCGCACACAGTAGCTCACGGGACAATCAGTCCACACACCATCTTCTGGTTCGTCAAGGTCATCCTTCAGAAACCCTGGCGTCTCTTATCGTCGTTATCGTGCTGTGGGGGAGGGGTCCAAACATACCCCTCAACCTCCTTTATATTCTGCCCGCCCGGCGCTGTTACCGCCGGATTTGACATCTGACCTCACCCGCCTGATGCCGTTTCTTGTCATGACAGCCATCTCACTCATGTCAATGTCCAAGGATATCACCTCCGCCATACCCCTCACCTCTATAGTTCCGCCGGACAACTGCGCGGCCCAGACCGATGCCGAGTAGGTTCCGCAGGCAAAAGCAAATCGACGACTGACTCAATATACTTTGACCTGGCCATCATGGCGCGGTTTAACATTGCAATCGACAGCCTTCAATAGCAAGTCAATCGAAGTCTGTCTAGAAGGCCTGGCCATGTGCGCCTCTGCGCCGTGCGGGTAGATCTGCGCATCCCAGGGCTGCCCACCAAATCTGGTCAGCCGATAGGACAATGCGAGCAGATGACTTGCCCTGCTTGCTGCCCCATCTTCGCAAGTTCCCACTACGCCAGCAGGGCACCAGTCCCTGCATCTGCCATGTTGCCATTCCACATTCAATATTAGGGGGGTGCTGCAGGACCTTGTTTCATGGAATGCATGGTTCTGGCAAAAGCAGATGTTGCGTGGTCCTTTCATTACCACGTCGTTCAATGGCGTCATTGGCATATGCATGTGCCTGCAGCCTGAATCACTTGCTGACAGTCCCCAAAGGCAGTCTATTTCTGGCAGGGTTCGCATTCATATCCTCATGCAGGGCGGACCTGGCAGACACGTACAGTAAGACGTGTTTGAATTGACCAACAAGTTCGGCGCAGGCATGTAGGAGTAAGCAGCAAGGCGTTGGAGGTAGTGACGCAAGCTATGCCCAGCCGGATACGACCGCTTACGTGCGTACTCGTGAGGCCAACATATCGATGTCATATACATCATTACCAGATTTTGGACATGCTGAAAGTAGTCATCACGTTATCACATCATTCTCACGTGGTTTCGTGGACCAAGCGTCGCGCCTTCCCCCGCTCCCGTCGCGATTGCCTCATGTGCCATCCTCAGCTCAATTCCCCACATACGTCATTTCCATCCTCCACACACAACCAACCATGCACTCACGATGGCAACCACAGTATTGCCTACTAGCCGCTATTTCGTAACCCAACTCCTCGACTCGCTGTCCTCAGGCCCTGATCCGTCAATTGACCAAGCCACTGTTGTTGACGATGATGCAAACCCGCTGAATAATTTACCCGATGCGACGAGGAAACAGTTGCTTTCACTACAGGTGCTATTTCCGAATGAATTCGTACCGGCGTTGGATTTACTCGATCGGCGGCTTGTGACGAAGTTTATCATTTGTGGGGAGGAACAACTTGCTGCGCCGAAGACGGTCGAGGGAAAGAGAAATGTGATTCAGGAGCAGGATGTACGGATGCAAGATGCAGAGGAGGCATTACAGCACGAAGATACCCAGATGAAGCGTACAAACACGGCAGATGCGCACACACATTCAGATATCACCGACAACTCCAAGTCTTCATATCAAGACAAAGAGAATGACGCAACACACCAGACTACTACTACCACAGCACAAGAAACCTCCACCACCTACAACGACATGCTATACTACGTCCGCTCCGCCCAACAGCGCTCCTCCCGCTTCGCCACCTCCTACGACACAACAGCCTCCTACCAAGTCCGCCTTCAGAGTTGGAATTGCTCCTGTCCTGCTTTCGCTTTCGCTGCTTTTCCCCCCATCTCCTCATCCCCACACTCTTCCCCTCCCCAACAACAGTGTCCACCATACGATTCAGAAAAGGAGGACACAAACAACACATCGAAGAAGCAGAAAAAGGCAAAGGATCAAGATCAGGATGATGATGGAAAGTGGATATTCGGCGGTATGAGTTTGGAACATGGTATGCCACCAGTTTGTAAACACCTCCTAGCATGCGTGTTAGTGGAAATATGTAAAGGTTTATTTGGGAGGTTTGTAGAGGAAAGGAGTGTTGGTGTTGAGGAGGCGGCAGGGTGGGCTGCTGGGTGGGGAGATTGATTTGTCCTTGTTTAATATGAATTTCGTGGTATATGGAAAACTGCAGGTATGATGCGGGGATGGGGAGACTGGGCTGCTGTTTATGATATGATACCTAATTGGCCGCTACAGCATGGCTCGATTAGAGAGAGAAGAGAGAAGGTAGTACGAGGATTGATTGAGAACCTCATATCATGTTTCTTGAGTCATTTCATGTCTATCATGCCATCATGCCGTAACATGCCAGGGTCTTTCTCTATGAAGGAAACCTGCGTCAATGACCATGGTCCCTCCAAAATCGGCTCCGAGTAGTATAATACACATGTCTTTGCCAGTGCGCCTCCACTTCGCAAACACCGCATTACTCAGCCACGCTCTCACTCTCGCTCTCGCTCAAGCGTTCCTCACTGCGCTTATTTCTTCTTCTGCTCCTCCTTACCCTTCTCTTTACCCTTCTCCCCTTCCTTGACCTCACCATTCGTCTTCTCTCCGTCCTTCTTCTCTCCCTCTTTGCCCTCTTCCTTCTTCGCCTCTTTATCCTCCGCCTGCTGCTTATTCTGTATCTTGTTCTCAATCAAGTCGTGGAAGGCGGTAATCGCACGAATCAAACTAGATAGGTAAATGGCCATAAGCTGGTCGTTCGTCTTCACACTCATCGCGCGAGCCAACTCTCCGTTATCACCTGCACCAGCAGCAGAGCCAACACCATTTGTTGCGCCACCAACCGGCGCAGCTTTGGGCGTGGACAGATTGGGGAGCAGGTTGAAGACGTCTTGTAGGTTGCCGAGGATGGCGTGGTTGACCGGGAGGTCTTCGTCGAGGACTTTTTGTAGATATTGGCCAATGTCTCGTAACCGTAGGTGGAGGCCTTGCAGTGACTGGAGTTGTGAGGTGATGCGTGTGGAGAGGGTGCCGACAGCCACGTCGCGGATATCGCGGAGAAGGTGCTCGACTCCAATCTCCTCGGCCTCTTCGGCTTCGATTATTGAGGGCGTGTGAACAAAGGTCTTGGAAGTGGTTGTGCCGTCCTACATGTGTCAGCACAGGCCTGTTATAGTGCCGCGTTGTGTACTTACATCCTTGATCTCCTCTACCGCGAAGTAAGCATCTGTCGGTACGCCCACCTCTTTTGGCTGTACATCGATGATGACGAGTAGCGGATTCGGTGTGTATCGCTTGAACAGCTCATTGACCTCTAGATCCGATGCCCGCAGCTTAGGCCCTGTGTGATACCAGCCGATGAGCTTCTCGCGCGCGTTGACCTTCTTGAACATGTCGTTCATCGATTCGACGTAGTTGTGGTCCAAGAACCATACTGATGGGTCCTTTTCGTCCTCTTCGAATGGTACTATAGGTGTGTCAGCTCGCTGGAGGTCTCTTGGCCTGATGGTTGTCCAGGCGGCAAACTGGAGGATGGAGGGGCTACACACCCGCGAAGCTGTTGGATACTCGCACATTCTTGCCATCGTTTTGTCCAAGGAGTACACCGACTACTCTCCTCTTGGTTCCCTTTGCTTGTCGGCCGTAGTGGTCTGCTGCGGAGAGGAGCACGAGAGGCGCGACGGAGACGTTGCGGGTCACGAGCGACAGCGTCTCGGCTGTAGTGGCGGGCATGTTGGTGATGTGGACTCAGTATCGCCGGGAGTGTTGTTGCGAGGCTGGCGGCGATGTTGGTGGAGTTTGTTGGAGAGGGGCGGCGGTGGTTGTTGTTGATGCGGCTCTGCGGTGTCAATCGAAGCTTTCGGAACTGGAGATGGTGAGAGTGGGTCAGAGCTCGCGCGCTAGTCGTCCAGCTGTGCGTCAGTGAGCGACATGGATGGAATCTCCATTGTTGAGCACATTCAAATACGACAAAGAATACACGTCTATTCAAAACTCGCAGCTATGAGGAAAGCGAATATCTGGTATCTAAACAAGGGATAATGTACACGAAAACTCAAGAATAAGGCATAGAACCACTCCCAGACCAGTCCACTGATCCTAGATCATCCCGTAATGAGGGCAAACATTATCGCATTAGTCCGGCAAGTGCATGATAGTGAAGAATCATAGCGTGGCGGTTGGGAAGTAGTACTGGTCCCACAGGAACTCATAGTCCTCAATGACACCACCAACCATGTCGAGAAGAGGCTTGCCCTTCAATTTTCCGGTGATGCTGTGGATCCAGGCCCTGTCTGTTGTTAGCCATTGATCAAAGCATATTAAAACCACCAGACTTACTTGGTAACGTTCTCGTAGAAAGCACCGCGCATTGCCCACCATCCCAGGGACCAGCCCCGCTTGCGCAACTCTTCCTTCTCCAGTCCAGTCAAGCCTCTCAGACCTCCAGCTAATCGCTCTTGGAAGTCCTTCTTTGCCAGTTGTCTTGCACCGTACTCCATGCTAACACCAATCAGCCATGGTCTCCAGCTCTTCCTGTCGCCGCTGAAGTGTTGCATAGCCAGGGCGTAGACAACCGGTCGGAGAATGTACAATGCTTCAGCTAGCTCGCCTTTTCCGCTCACTCGGTGGAGCAGTGCCTTCGGGGGCTTGATGTCGTCTGCGGTCAGTACCTTGGAAAGGAGGTAGCTCGAGATATCCGACGAGTCCGGTAGGCTCGGCATGGATAAGCCGGTCCTAGGCATTGCCCAGTTCTCTGCCTCGACCGAACGCTCACTCGGTGGTGTATCCATGCCATCGGCCGATGCCGATGACTCCTCCAACGAACTTGGATCGATCTCTCGTTGTGGGAGCGGCGGCGACAACAGTGGTCGCGAGTTGGTCAATCGAAGCAGCAACAACCTGCATACTGCTTTGACAACCTCCAACAACACGACCACGCGCCATCGCACTTTCTCACCCTTCCTCTTCGCTGCCATCTCCCATAGCAGTTCTGTGTACTGTATCATCTGAAGTACTAGCGCGATCCGCTTGTACGTCGGCGAGTTCTGTGTCCAGAACTTTGTATATCGATGATGCGGGGTGAGAGGCTGCCGTCGCGTTCCGGGCATCTGTGCCATGGCTTTGGAGAGGAGAGAATCATGGTATAGGGAGAGTACTTGGACGCCGCTGTGTACTGTTTGTTTGTTAGTCGCGATGGATGCGCGATAGCCGAGCGCGACGTACGGGATTCAGATGCGATCTCAGACTCTCGGAAGCGGCCTATTTGCGATTAGTCAGGCGTCTGCATATACGTGTTGAAATCACATACCGGGTATAATGTATGTGAGTGACCGCAGCGCTGATTCAATCTGCGTCACGGCGCTGCTGTTCTTGGTGATGAAGTCGGAATACATGCCCAGCCACTGCGACGGCATGGACAGCACCTCGCCCGTCTTCTGCGTCGCTTGCTTGTACATGCCTTGCAGTCGCCTCAGCAAGATGCGCCGAGATGGAGCGATTGCGCGGCGTCGATGTGGTGGTGCGGAGGTACGCACGTGTAGATAGGAGTGATGGGCGAGGGTGAAGTCATGGATCCATTATCGCGTGCGCTACTGAGTACCGAGGCAGATGCGGCTCAGCTACCCCGGATGTTCCTCTCCACCTGAGCACTCCTTCACCACTAAACTCTTGTTTTATCTCTTTCCGGTCAGCATCTGTAGTTTCCTGAATGTTTTTGCATCGTTCCTTGAACTAGGGACGCACTCGCAACTTCTCATAGTTAAAAGGGCGTGGTCAAGGGCGCCGTCTGGTCTCAAGGAGGAAGGTCGCTAAACATGTGACTCCGCGTAGGCAGAAAAACGCGTTACAAGTCCACCTACGGCCTCTTCTGGAGTACATTGCCATCCGTCGTATTACAAAGCCAATTTTATCTCCAAATCTTCTTCTGTATTGCCTTCTTCTTTCGACAGCCATCTTCCCGTCTACGTGTGTAAATAAAACCTTACAGGACTTCTGACAGGAGACATTATCAGCAGTGGCACGTCGCTACTTACACCTCGTTCTCAGTACCCATCTAGAAAACCTCTCCAACTTCCAACCATGGTCTTCCAAACCCTAACTCACCTCCCCATCCCCCAGGTCCCCATCAAAGACACCGACAAACCCCTCTTCGCCTCCATCAACGCCTTCGTTCACGAATACATGTCCAAGTATGACAACTCACATGACTACCAACACATTCTCCGCGTCGTCTCCAACACGAATCGAATCCTACAAATTGAACGCCATGGAAACCCTTCAGTCAAGCATGACACAACAGCCCTCTTCCTCTCTGCCCTCCTCCACGACGTAGGCGACCACAAGTACGCAAAACCAGGCGAAGACATTGAGAATCAGATTTCTGACACCCTACTGTCCCATGGCGCGACCCCGGAACTCGCGCAGATAGTCCAGACAATTGTTAAACACGTGTCTTATACACACGAGATCCGGAGTCCCGATGCCGTTGCTGAGGTGCTGGAAAAGCATCCCGAGTTAGCCATTGTGCAGGATGCAGATCGGCTTGATGCTATCGGGGCGGTGGGAATCGCGCGATGTTTCTCGTTTGGGGCAGCGAAGATGCCGGAACAGCCTATGGATAGGGCGGTAAGGCATTTTGAGGAGAAATTATATAAATTGGCGGGAATGATGAAGACTGAGGCTGGGAAGGAGATGGCGGGGAAGAGACACAAGGTATTGGAGGGATTTGCCAGGCAGTGGGGGGAGGAGACAGAGTTGAGTTTTGAGATGGAGTGAGTGAGTATGGCGGTTGGGGTTTGTGATGGGGGAGACTCCAGGGAGGGTGACTTTGGGGAGATATGAGAAGTTTCTATTGTTACAAATAGAGACTTTAGGGATGTTTCGACATCAGACGGCGGTTACGAAAGAGGCCGGATTGGAGTTGTTTGTTGGATTTCGCTCATGACTGGGTCTCATCTGAGGGTACAACATCCGGTGTCACAACAGCACGGGTACGAAAGCCGAACTTCGTCGATACGATAGACTATGTTTGTTTACCAGTCTTGATAGCGTGGATGGTGTGGATATGATGTGGGGATTGAGACGAGGAGAGCATTGAGCCCGTGGACTATGATCACTTCTATCCAACTGATCTACTGGTATCTCGTCGTAGTGTGTTTTGTCCAGGTCGTATCTAAGTGCAATCTCTAATGAAACGAGAGGGTAGGAACAACATCCAACTGGACGGCGTTCTTCACCGATGAGAGTACACGGGCCGAATAATCTTGCGTTCGGTCTATGTATAAGCCACAAGTCACATACGACGCAGCGAGTAAATCCTTTCCGCTTCATCTCCGGCTGCTTTGTGGGTTCGCCTTGGTGCTAGTAACGATGTAGCGCGGCGTTGTCAATGTGTAGGCTGGGGCTCGGAGTTGACGAACATGTCATGTAAAGAGAAGCCCGCGGCACTATAAACAATGATGGTGTTGTTGGTGTCTCGTAGATCAGGGTCTCCGGGAAAAGATCCCAGCCAATGGCAGGCGCGGAACGTCCATTCATAAGCTTATTCACCTCTCCTCGAAGCATGTGTGCCTGTGTTCCAGACCATCCTAATGTCTGTCGCACACTCCATCCGCCGTACGCTTGTCAACTATGGGCGGGTGTATGAGGATGGCATTTTAGCGCAACCACTTCCTTATCTGTAGCATACCTCCGTCAAATTCATGTCCGACAGACGCCAGTAATCCACCAACGCACATTCCATCCTAACATGGGAATCTGGAATGCCCGGAGTAGGTAGTCCGCCAGAGCCATGTTCATATTATCAACAAAACACGATCGGGATCTCGCGGAGACGGCACGAGACCCCTTGGACAGTGGGGACAAATGTAGATTCTGCCGATGTAGATTCAGCCACAAAAACCTCGATGCGGCTAATTCGGGTCAATGCCATGCTTAAGAAACTGCAGGTGAACCGTTAGTATAGCAACATGTGGAACGACCATCTGGCATCTGTTACGCCATCGGAGTCTGTTGATCGTGTGGGTTTCCCATTCGTCGGCAGGAATTCTCATCCCGTGCCGTCTCCCATTACGGGCATTGAGCATACTGCGAAAGAAAGCCATCATGTACAAGCAATGCTAGATTGGTAGCGAGATTGCTATGCGGAGGATGCTGCCAAGGTACAATAACCATGACAAAGATTTATGACGCGCAATGACAATTGTTCGGGTCGTTTCTTCCAATAAAGCACAGCCCCGAAGAGAATGCGCGAAGCAAAAGACGAAGTCGGGTCTCGAACCGGCTGCTGGTCTCTGATTGGCGGGGCACAACTTGCCGCCATCCAATGAAAATCGACATTCTCCAGAGCCGGTCTTTCCAACATCGATATTTCAGAATCCCATGTTAAAAGATTGATGCGCACCTGAAGCCAATAAATGTCCATACCCACATTCTCCGTCTTTTCCCGATTTTTTGTATAACCAACAACCTTGAATACCCAACTCTTTTTTGTTCTGAAGAAAAGTTATGGCCATGCGTCCCCTACGACCACTCCTCCCCTCCGCTACTCGTCAACGCAACGACCCACTCGCTCCCCAACCCCGTGACCGCATCCCCTCTGCTTGCGACAAATGCCGTGCCCGGAAAATAAAATGCAACGGCGAAAGACCCATATGTTCTGAATGCAACAGGCGCTCAACAACCTGCCACTACGCCACGCAATCAACAGAAACGCAAAACCAGGCCCTAAAACGCAAATTCAAACTTCTACAAGCCGAGAACGAAGTCTACGCCGAATTCCTCAACTTGATCAGGACTTGTTCAGATAGTGAAAGCTGGGAGTTGATGAGGAGGGTTAAGATGGGGGGTAGGGTCGAGGATGTGTTGAGGGGGGCTAGAGAGGCGGAGTTGCTCGTTCAGTTGAATCCAAATGCAAGACCGGAAGAGGGTAGAGTACAGTATACGTTGCCAAGTTTGGCAAGTATGGTGCTGAATGGGTGTATATTTATGCCTGATACTCGTTACTTCGCTGCGCCGACATTGTGCCAGAAGGAGTGTGATCGCGCCAACGGTTCTTCGCCGAGTTATCCGACGACTCAGTTTTCGAGCCCACCCGCGTAGTCGTGGGTGGTTCCCATTTGGGTTGAAAGTCTTCCAAACGAGGTGGAAATCTAGCCCAGCTTTCCTGGCTGAGGAGGCTGTGCCGTCACGATCAGGTCACTCGAGCTGGAGTTGTCAAAAGCGATTGCTCCGTTGGCCCTGTCGCGGAGTGATGGAAAGCCGCGCGCTCCGTAAGTCTTGCGGTCTCTACCTTTGGATTGACTAACGTTTTCAGTGAGCTCACAACAAGTACTAATAGCCCAGTGTGCGTACACTAAAGGTACTGGCCGGATAGCGATGTCGCAGTCCATCTGACCAACCTTGGCTTCAGTACTTGGCGGAAGCATACATCATCGTCTGCCCTATCAGACTGCTAACGTGAGTCACCGCGTGTACCTTTCGGATATGTTTCGGCAGTCCTTTAAGAGATCGGCAACGAAGAGGGTATGGAAGTAAGCGGACACTTACCTAGTGCGTTATAGGGTCATCATGACGTGCGGCTTGGCATCACGTTGACCTGCCTTCACCTTCAGTGAGTACTCTCGCTACACGGACGGTTTTGCGTTCTCTATACTCTCGCAAGTTTATTGTCTACACCTTCGCCAAAATTAGAGCAAACAAATCTAATTCGCAAGCGAACTTACTCGACCGTTTCCGCGCGCCTTCCCCCTAACGGTCGTTTGCCAACACCATGCCGAACGCATCCGAGGATCTCGGTGGATACCTGGTGCGATGTGCAAAGTAATTAGAAGACCGTATCGCGCCGCACTGCCCGGGTGCAATCACTCCTGTCCCGAAAGATTCGAAAGTATCTGACGAGGCCAAGAGAGCTCCCAAAGTCAAGAGTGCCACCAAGGCCAAAAGAACAATCTAGGCCAAAGCAACCAAGAAATTGACTATCCGTCCTTTCACCCGCCTACCTAATGAGTTCTGCGCCAGAATATGGGCTTTCGTACTACACGATCAAATAGATCAATTACCGCCGGCTAGATATGATATCATCTATGGCAGCAACACCATCCACATTCATGCACACAGAGGAAAAGATGACTTCAACGTTCAGTCAACTCGCGGCTACCTCGGTTTGGTCTTTGTCAACCGCGAAGCCCGCTACGAAACCGCCAGAGTTGACGGAAGCGCATAATATTCACTGGGCGTTGGCGCTTCTGGGGTCTATGTAAATTATGACAAAGAGGTTGTCTACCTCCGTCCATGCTGCAGAAGCTCAAGGCTTGAGGGCAATCCCCTTCATCAAAAAGCGGAGAGGATGGGATGCACCTACGACTGGAAGACCATACAGGGTTGTCCCTCTCAATACAGGCGCTGATGTAGGCGCAAAAGGCCTGGCACTGTGGCCTCACCCTACAAGATGTGTCTCCGGTTTGGTGAGAGTGGTGGAAAACAGCACGTTTAGAGACTCAGCAGAGGAAAAGCGAAAATGATCACTAACACTGCTGTTTGAAGGATAAAAGCATAAATATGTCCTCATTAATTGCCAATGTCAAGGCGAAGACGGCGATTTAGCTTCGAGAAAGCATGTAACTATATACGCATTACCAAGAACGAGTTTACAGAACTTCGATGATTGGAGCAAAGCCTCCTGATTTGCGCTCATCATCGTACTTCAACTTCCATTCAAGAGCTACGCATTAAAATGACACTACTCAACTAACTCTAAAGTCTTCACGTTCTACCCGCTCATCTTCCTCAAAACTCTTCAATACAAATCTCCACGTTAATCACACATTCTGACAATTTCAAACCACAACGTTGAGCAGTATACCCCTATCTCACAGTCTGCTAGCGAAACGGCTGAAAACTATCACACAACACAACATCATCGTATTGCATTTGCCAAACGAGCAATCGTCAATATACCCACCTTTCGTGAGAACCGTCTCACATACTACTTAGCCTACCAAGAGTCCTCCAACTCATTCATAGGCACTTTCACAACCCTCCCATCCGGTGCCAAAACTGCTAGTATCATCATTCCGTTTGTCTTTTTATCGAACCAAGCTGATTTTTCGCGTACGGTCAAATGATTCCAGATCTTCTCTTTGGAAGTAGGAGGTTGTGTTTCGGAGTGGTTAGAGCGCTCAGCGCGGCTTAATTTCAGTGGCGGTGATGATGGATCAGCCACCGTGAAAGGTTTGTCGAGGGCCACTTCGGAGAGAGGGGTTAAGGGTCCTCGAGACATGTTCTAGGTGGAGAGAACATATAGGTTGCTAAGTCAAAACGAGGACATTCAGTGCCGTTAGGCGGTTGAGGAGAAAGAGTTGTTTTAGAGGTGAAGAAATTATCAGAAGTCACAATGTTGCAAGACAAAGGCAGTGTTGGTTTTGCTTTGAGCCTAGTACTGTGGCAGCCCAATGAAGAAGCAAAGACAAAGACAACAAATGATGAGACACACGAATCTCAAACGTATACACGATGGAGAGGTTCTGGATCGAGTGTTGAATAACGCATCTTGATTGCATTGATATTCGCATTAATAGTAGGATCTACAGCTTTGTATATTGCTGCACGGGGTATAAATGATTTAAAAGGAAAACGTAAACTTTTGGTGGTCGTAGCACCGTATCTACAAAACAAGCATCAGTCGACGCTCAAGCACCCTTCTCTTGCTTCTTGAACAAGAAGCGCATTGCTTTGATGCGCTCTTTAATCGTCTTCGACTGCGTGACTTCATAGAGAGGCTTGTGTTCCTCGAAGATATCGTGCTCACTTTCGTAATCGACGTGTACGTAGGCTCGCTCAACATCGGCAAGACCCTCGAGCTTCCTCTGCAGAGTCTGCGAGACGTCGTGGGTGACCTTTAGCGGCAGACCCTCGTCCATGACAATGTCCACCTCCACGTAGTAGTTTTGTCCAGCATGGTATGCGCGGCAAGTGTCGACCTTCTGGATCCTGTCGTCGTGTGTGACGACAAGGTAGATCAACTTGCTGATGTAGTCTTTTGGTGCTGATTTGCCCACCAGTAGCCAGACATGGTCGAACGCATTGGCAGCCCAAGAGACAAGAATCAAGAGACCGATCAGGATAGCACCGATAGGGTCGACATACCAGACGACCCTGCTACCGACGATAGACATGGCAAGACCGAAGGCGTTGACGACAATATCATTACGATGGTCGATGAAGAAGACATGAACAGCAGGGTAGCGTCGGTAGATGTAGCAGTAGATGCACAAAGACCCTTTGCAGAAGATGGCTGTTGCGACGAACGCGATGGGGATGATGTGAAGTTCCTCGGATTCTGTCGCACCACCAGCCAAGGCACGCCCAGATTCGATCTTATTACAAGTTAGTAGCTGAGCTAGTCACACAAGATGGAGCACTCACGATAAGTTGGATGGCGACTGTGGTCATCAAGCAGCAGAACATGATGATACCAATCGTCTCGATGCGAGTTCGTCCAACGGGGTACTTGTACACGCTTGGCCGTGCTGCCATGCGAGATGTGATGAGCATCACCACCGAAGAGACCAAGTCCATGAAAGCGTCCGCAGCTGTCGCAAACAGCGACAGCGAACCTGTGGAGATTGCGGCATACATCTGAATGACGAACAAACAGAAGTTGACCACGAACGAAGCGTTCACTGCGAAGCGGACTTTGGGTCCATTCTCGAGCTGATCGAGAGCAGCTAACCGCTCTTCATCACCGCTTTGGAGGAACTGGTCGATCAAGGCATTTTGTCTTGTGTAGAACTTCTTCATGCGTCTGGGCTTGGCGAGTGGATGGTCTGCCTTCATCTGTTTCTGGGTAACATCGTCTCGGCGATGTTTACCAAGATCGAGTGGGTCGCTGTTGACGACGATAGTGACATCGTCCTTGGCCTCCCGAGACGATGCATTGTCTACAGATGACAGCCGTTCAATGACATCTGTCCTATGCTCGGCGCCGATATTGGCCTGGTTTGACGATGCTGTAGGGCCGACGATCTCTCGAGCGCTTGTTTGCTCAGCAGCTTGGCCTAGTGATGGGCCATTAGGTGAAGCTAATCGGATTGTCAGACAAGAGAACCACGGCTTTGGGTTGCCTGAGACATACTGTGAGGTTCGGAAGACATGGTGTCCGGATAATGAGCTGAGAGACGCGTATGTGTGTGTATGGGCGGTCTCTAGGATCTTCTGGTGTGAGGGGAGTTACGAAGTGGGTGATATATGCCTCAGCGCTGGGCAAGCAATGTAATAAAGCACCTCTGCGAACGCCACCCGCGGCGTTTTTCCCGCTCTCCGCCGCACGAGTTCCTTTCTTCGAACCCTGAAGTCATAGTGAAATGGCCAGATCATTTGTGCGGTGCCAGATTGTGTGAATGCTGCACGTTGGTGCAGGTGTAGGAATGCTGGGCACGGAGCATGAAACTCGCTAAGCCTTCTTAACGCCTCGCTACTATATCTTGGGTTAGTCATAATAACTAATTGGGAAGGGCTCGACGAGCTTGGCCTGATCTTGATACCTTAAATGGCTTGGCTCTCTGCATGCGCGGAGGCGTGGTAGATATGTATGCGTGAGCGTTGTGGATGTACTAGCGCGCGATCTAAACTGACCGGAACCTTTCTGGTGCTAAGACGCGCAAAAAGCTTGTCTAGAGAAGAACGATTTCCCCGCATATATTTTGGTTGAAGATGTGGGTTTGATGAAGCTGTTGATGTGGCGGACCGATGACTCGGCCACATCGCAAGTTCTCCAGGGCCGACTATTCTTTCCCTTACACTCTACGGCTAAAATCGTCACACATTTAACAGGAATAGCGCCCAACGCAGTGATCGTCACGGAAGGATTGCGTCGGCTGCATGTGTGGGTCCATAGCGAATGCCATCTATATCCCCACGAAGCTTTCTTTTACGTCTCTCCAGGTTTCAAGACTCACAACGTCGGACGATGCCAAGCTTCTCCTCTACGACACGAAACTAAGCCGAGCTTGGCCCATACACGTCAACGCAATCGCGAAACGTTCCATTGGCCAACTAAATTAGTATGCTGAGCCACTTCGAACCTCATCTGCACCAGATGGTTGCAGTCAAGCCTCACCCCTAATGCTTCGCACCTCCACACTTCGTCAGCTGTCCCACCCGTTGCCCACTCGCTGTCCCACTTGACGGAAACGAGACTTCAGCCGCATCACATCCCCATCCTCTCGCAGATCCACCGTGCCTGCCAAGCATCTACGCGCATGACAGCCGTCTCCAATGAGCTTCGTAGTCTCGGCGAACAGCAATTCCAATTCCAGCCTTGTTGCCTCACAGCAATGCTTCTTTTGTCTTCGGCGCAAGGCTGGCTGGTCCTGGCACCGTCTGAACCTCCGCGTTTGCTGCGTGAAGCACCTATCAGTGGTGGCGGCATCTGAGGCACAGGCCACTGTATGGAGGTCCCACTATCGACTTCAGGTGTTCTGAAGACGTGCTGATCAGCATGATGCGGTTAGTGTCTCTTATCCTACCGGCCCTCAAAGCAATACATAGTCTGCAATGCCGAGCCTGTTGCCCTATACCTCCAACATCAGTGCTGTGCATTTCGCGTTGCTGTTACTCTTTGAGAGAGTGTGTTGAGTTTCTTTCTTTCCTCTTTTCACTTCTTCGTCTCTTTCTTCTTGTTCATCGTCGCCGGCGACGGGACTGCTGGCAAGTCTGGGATCACTCCGCATATCCCTTGAACTAAACATACACCCTATTTAATATTCACGATGGCCGATATGGAGAAACCGCAGTGTGGTAGTGAGGCAGATGCTGCCGCTTACGACTTTCCTCTGCACGTTGCTGCAGTTTGTAAGTACAATCAAAGGGATAGCGGTACACCACTAACATTGTCTTAGTCATTGTGTTCACTGCTTCCATCTTCGGTGCTGGTTTCCCTGTGGTGGCGAAGAAGGTCAAGTGGATGAAGATCCCACCGAAGGTCTTCTTTTTCTGCAAGCACTTTGGTACTGGTGTCTTGATTGCTACTGCTTTTGTCCATCTGCTGCCGACCGCCTTTGCTTCGCTCAACGACCCATGTTTACCAGATCTCTTCACTGAGAAGTACCCTGCTCTACCAGGTGTCATTATGATGGGTTCGCTCTTCATTCTATTCGTGATCGAGATGTGGCTTCATGCAAAGACCGGTGGTCACAGCCATGGTGGTGCGACGGGTGAGGCGTTCAACGGCGCACAACACTCCACCACTGGCATTCAGGCTCAATTCAACAACCCCATTCGGCGCGTGGAAAGTTACGATTCGCAAAAGACGATGCTGGCTATGCGAGACGAGAAGCGAGGATGGGTCCAGGAGTCAACATACCCCGTCGACAACTTCCCATTCCCCAAGAGCGAAAGCGACGAGCTTGAGGCCAAGTCCGAGATGCCACCATGGTTTATCGTCTTCTACGAACAATACGTACGCCAGCGCGATGAGATGCTTGCCACGATCAACCGCGCCATGCCTGCTCTTCCCAACTACCAACAGCAGCAGGCCCCCCAAGCGCCGCAGGAAAATTCATACTTCGACGATGATGTCGAGCAGGCCGTTGACCCCCTCGTCCTCAAGAAGCAGTCCATGCAGATTACGCTCATCGAGGGTGGTATCCTGTTCCACTCCGTCTTCGTCGGTATGACCATCTCCATCACAGCAGAGGGCTTCATCATCCTTCTTATCGCCATCGTCTTTCATCAAATGTTCGAGGGTCTCGGTCTCGGCACGCGTATCGCGGATGTTCCTTACCCCAAGAACAGCTGGAAGCCCTGGGCACTCGTTGTCGCTTTCGGTACCACCGCGCCCATTGGCCAGGCTATCGGACTCTTCACTCGTGGATCTTACGACCCGAACTCGGCATTTGGACTCATCATCGTCGGAGTGTTCAACGCGATTTCCTCTGGTCTTCTAATCTACGCTGCGCTCGTCGATCTGTTAGCCGAGGACTTCCTTTCCGAAGAGGCTTCGCACACAATGACTGGCAAGACCAAGACCACTGCATTCATCTACGTCCTCATGGGCGCAGCTGGTATGTCCATTGTCGGAGCCTTCGCCTAAGCGCGCAATATTCTGGGTTCTACCACAGCGATCTCCAGCGTCGTCGAATTCCACTACACGATGCGCGACGCTTTTTCCTTCATGTCTAGACAAGGTCTGCCACGACAACCCTGGTAGAATGATCAACTGTACGAGTATGGGAAACACAACTAGGCCTTATCATGTTATATGACGGCACATGTTAAACTGAAACAACAATCTTCTTAAAATGGGGCAGCCATTCATTCTTTACGTGGTCATCTCTTCTTTTAGTGCATAATGTCATGTTCATTCGTTGCCTATCATCATCATGTCTCAAACCTCACTATATACCTGTGTCTAAACATTCATGTATTGCTAGACTGTAGACATCACGAAGCCACGATTTTAACTTAGGCGCCAAGCTGTTCGGTGACTTGCGAGCATGTGATCTATCATGATTTGGCTCCTAGCACAATCACAAGTATGCTTTCATAATGGCATCCTCATGTGCTCATCGCAACTATCCCATGCCTGACTCCATCAGAAAGTCTAAATCTCACGACCCATAGCCCGGTGGGTTCGAAAGGCTGTATGTGGCCCGCAACGGGCTGTAGAGGCAGAGATTCCTTTCGAAATCCAGTAATCCAGCAGAGGTTCGCCTCTAGCTTCCAAAAGCAAAAGTCGGCGCTACTCTTGTTGTGCCCTACCGTCATTGCGGGCTATCGCTTTATATGCAATCTTACCGGCTACTGTGGATGTATAGTTACCGATGGAAATGGACTTGCCGACACTGCGATAAGTGACTCGCGACCGGATGCCAACGCGGCCGGAAGATCTTATGTCACGGGATTGTAAATGTTGTCGCTCGCCCACAATGCGGTTGTGGCTTGGCTGTGTTAAGACGTCGCGGTTAGGTGTGAACAGGCTTGGGTAAGCGTCCTTTCGGGTGAGTTTCCTCGAGTCACTTATGCTTGGCTAGATGTGATATGAGAGGATGTGCGTTTCGATGGGTGCTTGTGTTGACGACGCTTGAGACAGGGGGGTGAAACGCGTTTCGGGGTCACATTGCAGGGTGAGACAAGATGACGCGAATTAGTCAGTTTGAGTTTGCACGAGGGGTGAGTGAACTTTGCGATATACAGAATATGTATTCAAGAAAGCTGTGCTAAATGTGTTAAGAGAAGACCAAAGATTGAACCGCTAGGGAGCAGGATGAACGCCAAGAAATGCCACAATTCAACATCGCAACCGCTCAAACCAAGTTTCCCCGAGCATCCTGTTCCCTTTCAATCGCCTCAAACAAACTCTTGAAGTTCCCCGCGCCAAATCCATCAAAGTTGTTCCTCTGGATAATCTCAATAAATACCGTCGGTCGGTCCATCAAATGCTTTGTGAAGAGCTGCAGCAGATAACCTCCCTCATCAAAGTCAATAAGAATGTCCAAACTCTTGAGTACCTCAAAGTCCTCGTTGAGCTTGAGTCCAGATTTCTTGAGCCGCAGCTTCATAGAGTCGTAGTATGTCTCGGGCACTTTGATGAATTCCACGCCACGAGCTTTCAGGTTGGTAATATCGCGGACGATGTTGTCAGTTCGTAACGCAATATGCTGGACACCGGGACCTCCATAGAAATCGACGTATTCTTCGATTTGGCTTTGCTTCTTGCCCTTGGCCGGCTCGTTGATTGGCATCTTGACCACATCATTCGGCGAACTCATGACGATACTCTTGAGCGCCGAGTACTCGGTACAAATGTCCTTGTCGTCGACACTCCAGAAGCGGTGGAAACCAAGCACCTTTTCGTAGTATTCGCATGCGTTTTCCATCTCGTCCCAGTCTTGGTTGCCGACGCAGTGGTCGATTGCTTCGAGTTTGACTTGGGGAAGGAACTTTTGGAGTGGGTCCGCAGATGTGGATTCGGGCCGGTAGCCGGGTAGGAAGATGCCGCCATAGTTGTTCTTCTGGATGAGGGTGTGGGTTGTGTCGCCGTATGTGCGGATGGTGGCGAGGCGCACTGAGCCATAGGTGTCGGAGATGTCGTGTGGTGCGGAGATGGTGACTGCGCCTGACGAGACGGCGGCAGAGTATATGGCATCTACGTTGTCGACTTCAAAAGCGACATCTTGGGATCTAGTCAGTAATGGTCGCTATGGTTGCAGGGAGTGCTATCGCTTACCTTTGACGGCATCACCGTGACGCTCTTGATGCTCATGAATTTCCCGTAGCAGCTGCTCATCCTCTTTGCTGAATCTCGAGCCCTGCTCTAGACACCTCAAAGGTGACGTGAGGATGAAAGTTACGTTGCCGTTCCGTACGACGTGGGAGGCGGTGGTTCTTGATCCAGTCTCTAGACCACGGTATGCGACACGCTCGAACCCCATACGCGATACGTAGAACGAAGCTGCCTGTTTGGCGTTTCCAACATACCAGTGTACATGGTGGTAGCCTTGGTATGCAGCGACGTCTGAAGGGGAAGCGGCGGATGGCCGTGGTGACGAAGGTGGAGAGATAGCAGCGGGGGCCATGATAAGACAGTTGATACCTCAACAACGATATGTACGTGAGTAGACAAGTAGAAACGAAGGTACTCGGATGTTTGCTTATCAGATACTAAAGCAGTGCTGTGGAAAGCTGTGAACTCAACACTAGGCACCGATGCGCAGCCATTCTTTATCTTCTACCACTCAGCATCCACTTCCCTTCTCGAACCGACACCCGAAGTCTCTTGCTTGTAATTACCATATTCAATCCTGGTAGCGTCATCAAGTTGGTTATGCCGAGCTCACGTGCAGTGGCCGTCAGAAGAAAGGAAGGGTACTTGTCCGCCGCTTTCCGCCAATGAATTTTCCGCCTGCATCCGCCGTGGATGCTATGCGTCGAAGCCGCGTAGCTGTAGTAAGCTCTCAACAAGCGATGTGCAATGGATTAAGATCATGATACCTGTGACTATTCGCGCACACTTTGGGCACGAGGTCGTGTGGTTATGACGCCGTGTGTAGAGTGTTGGTCGCCGCGTTGTTACGCGTTCGCGGGTCAACCGGCGATTCCCTGGCGAGGCTGCGTTCCGTCACAGTGAACTCAGAGCTGTGCGACTGCATCGTCGTCAGTTGCAATCTGATCACGGCCATGTCGGCATAATGCCCCTGGGCAGCTCCACAACATCGATTTTTACAATAATCCCATAAGTCACGGATGCTTGAATGATCGTTGGCGCGATGTTCGCGGTCATGGCGCGTAGACCGAGACCCCGAACAGCCTTGCGCTAACCGCCCATATCACCATACCTACACTTTGCCGTGGAAACCCGCCTAAGCCGAGTGAACGAACGTGACCTGCACATGTTGAAAAGATCGAACTAAATGGTAAGGTAGACTTACACATGCATTATTTCTCAACCAATACCAAAAACCTAACATCAAGTTCAACTCACCTTCCATCTTCAATCTTCGACCTCACAAATTACCACCTCCAGCATCAAATTCTTTGAACAACAACGACCATGGCAGTCTGTCTCCCCAATACAAACCTATCAGCAAACGACGCACGCATCCTTAACGCGCTCTTCGACCCAGAAACCCTCCCCTCATCTGTCGCCCAACAAAAAGACACTTCATCGTCAATAGACCCATCACTACCCGCCCACCCCAGCATACCCGGCCCACAAATCACATCGCTCGAGCGCCAACAAAGCGAAATCATAAGCCGCATATCCAGCACCTCAAGCATCTCCGAGATAGATGCTGCGATCGCGGAATTAAATGGGGTGATAGAACAGTACCCGGAGTATGCGGGAGCGTGGGTAAACCGCGCTATGGTGCGGCGGATGAAGATGGAAATTGCGTTGGAGGAGGGAAAGAACATCTTCACAACAGCGACCGAGACATCAGAACCAGATATCGAAACAGTATTCTCGGATCTTGCGCAAGCGATTCAACTTTCCCTGCCACCGCCATCAGCCTCGTCTGCTTCACAGCCCGTCTCCGCCCACGCCGCAAAGGTCCTACGAACAGCTTGTTCACACCGCGCGTACCTCTACCTCAAGACAGTGGAGTTAGAGACGCGGCTTCATGGTTTGACGAGATCGGAATTGGAAGAATCAGCAAGTAAAGATTTCGCCGTTGCGGCGCGGTATGGAGATGAGGTGGCGAGGGAGATGAGCGTCAGGACGAATCCGTACAAGAAGATGTGTGGAGTGATTGTTAGGGATGCATTGAGGGAAGAGATGGGGATGAGCTAGTGTCTCGAGTTGACTGGAATGCGAGGTTCGACTTTCTGTACATGAACATACCAAATTTTGAATGTAAGACTAGGTGACAGTGATAAAGTCACGATGCCAGTGATTTGAGTAATATTAACACCATCGTACCGCATCAAATACATCTAATCGTACCCTCATATCTTCGTCTCAATAAAGGAGTGAGAAGACACCGCAGTCAAGAATCTACAACTTTTGAACAACGTCACATATATCCGTGTCACGTTACACCCACAGCCGAATCCTTAGGTCATTCACCCTTGCACCTTACACTTTACATAGGCAAATTCCAAATAAAATCCAACGTTCCATCATCAAAACCCTGAAGTCCATTTTGCAGCCCCCCATTCCCATCCAAACCAAACGGTGCCATTGCCGGATCAAAAGGCAGCGCCAACCAGTCATCATCCGGCATATCAGGCATAAGCCCCGTTACATTTTCCGCTAGACTTGACAAACTAGATTGGCCTGCGTTGTGGTTGTTCAGGAATGCCATGCCTTCTGTTGCCGAGGCGGATGAGGTGTGAGAGGTGGGATTCGTGGTGTTGTGGGAGGTTGATGTGGCGCGTGAGGGGAGGCGAGGTGGTCGGGACGAGACGACAAAGGATTCGCGGAGGCGGGCGACGTGCAGGTCGAGGAGGGTTGCGTAGCGGGAGGCTAGGTGCATGTCGTCGAGTGTACCTTTACCATTCCTGTTAGCAACGTAACCAAGAGGTTGGAGAGGGCCGGGTTTGAGAAGAACTTACTTGCGCGAAGAGCTCGTATAGCGGCATCCAAAATATCCAAACAACTCTGCAATTTTGCATTCCTACTGCCCAGGCTTAACCCTTTGATTAAGTAGATTGAACTCGTAGTTATCCTCAAGAAGATCCTAACGGGCGAGTAGCGCAGCGCACCAGTCTCACTCAATTGGCATACTTTTTCTAGAATTTGACAACTTCCATCGACGACCTCTTGGATGAAGTCATAGTCTCGCGGTTCGAGGTTGAAAGGAAGATTGTCTTCTTGAGGGACGTCTGGATCAGTTTCTGCGAGCGTGCGTTCGACGACGGCTTGCATGCCGAGGGAGTTTGTGTAGATGCGGACGTATTGATATTCGATGTGGAGCATGTCGTGAAGACCGACTTTGAGCTTGCAGGGGTCGAGATACTTCTTTCTCCACGAGACCAGTAGTGGTTGGAAGTGCTCGAGCAATCCTATGTATCGGCCGGTACGTAACAAACTTCGTGTCGTGGATGTGTTCGGGTAGATGGTGTCGGAAATTGATCGTGCAAGCTTAGTGAGCTCTACCCAAGCGCTCATAAAGGACTGCCATTGTTCTACTGCCCCCGTAGCGGAGTCAACGGGAATCTTCTCCATCAGAGCATGGTTGAGGCTCTGCGGGATCATCGATGTGCAACCTAACCTCCATGAGAGTTGTTCGAGAAGAACGTACAAGAGCTTTCGAGCTCGAATTCTTCGTAGGATGAGGTATTCGGTGGTGAATTTCGGATAAGACACTTGATCTTTGTCTATCCGTGCGTTGTCTTCGAACAGACCCAGCTCTTGTGCTAATGACAGCGCGCAACCCATCAACATCCATGACATGCGATCGGAGCGTTTTGCGGGCTCGATAACATCCTCGAGCCATCGATTGGATGTTACGTCTCCTTCTAACAGCTTCGCGCCTTCTTCTGTGGTGTTGTTCGCGCCAATCATGAGCTCGCAATCCCAGCCATCAGCGGCAGTAGGGAAATGCAGCGCGCGAGGATGCCACTCCGATAGCAGCAGCAGAGCTTCTATAGACCCGATGGTCCGACTCTGCGCTTTGGAAGGCTTGACCTGACCGAGCATAATCTTCATGATAAAGCGTTGGCATTGCTCCCAAAGCCTGTCATGCACGAAGTAACCTCTTGACGCGCCGCCTACACCAGGAAGGATGTTATACCTAGACGAAATCATAAGTATAGTAGTACACAGGAACGGGTCCAGCGCAATCAGCGTATAATGATTCTCGTGATGCGCATAAAACTCCCCCAGTATCGGTGACAACGGCGAGCAATTCTTGAAAAACAAATCAACATATGTAACCGCCTCGTGGGCAGAGAACCAGCCCATCTGCACGAATCGACACGACGTCCATATCTTCAGCGTCTCTGGTGATGGCGTCGACATTTGCACTGGCTGTGCTCTGAAGGTATGGAATGGCGATGACGGAACACCATTGTCGTAGCCTGATGGACCTGACCTTGGAGTTTCATATGCTTGCGATCCCGACTGTTCTTGATTGTCGATGGCATCGCGATGATGCGCGGCTTCAAACAGCAAATTCAATGCATCGCTCCCACTCGACACCACGGTCCTCATGACCGAATGCGCAAGATCTGGCTGGCCGTGAGACGACGAGATCCTGCGTAGGTGTCCATGTGGAGATTGGAACTCAGGACGATTCACAACATTAACATGTGGACTAGTACCCGACGTAAACCCATGCGTCGATATAGACGATCTATGACCTGGCGACGGTAGCGGTTGCACATCTGGCGCGGGATTGGACTGGGGGCGATCGCGAATACCACCACCACCACCATTGGTAGCAGCCTCATCCTCGTCCTCACCCTCCCTCGCCGCCTCCCCAGGTTTCCGCCTCTTAACCCAACTCCTCTCAGACCGAAAGACACACTCGCGCATCTCGCGCTTGCATCTTTGACATGGCGGCTTTAGCTCACCACCATCCGGTCCCGTACCCAGGATACATTTTGCCTTGCGTTGCCGGCAATTGATGCAAGCCTTGTATGCGCGCTTGAAGTCTTCAGGGTGGGTCCGCTTCTTGCTTGATCCGGAAGATGAGTTATTCGTATCTTGTTGGCCAATGCCCGAATTGGCGTCTTCCATTGTAAGAGAGAAAAGAGGATTGTTGATAGGGTAGTATGACGAACGGATGGCGCAGGAATTTCTGGTGGGTAAGAACAGGAGCCCGGGTATGACTGGGTTTTGCGCCTCGGGTATCGGCGGGTTGGAGGGGGGCTTACGTGGAGCAGCGGCATGCGCCTCAACAGGAACGGACTTTTTTGTACGACATTGCTTACATCATTGTTTAGGAACATTCGTTGAGTCTTAGCATCTGCACAGACTGTAGCAATTGCATCTTCTTGGGACTATATTGTTTTAACGCCAACCGCTACTATATCTTCGCGCTTTGCTCTCGCTCGATTCGTGCTGGCAGCGCGCTACACTAAGACCATACAGACTACCAATTAATCATGTAGTAGATAATCCTGGAAACCTGCCAAAGGCTTCGGATTAGCTGAGCACGATCGCACATATAGTATGCAGTATTCTTATACCTACCAACACCTCTCTCTCTCTCTCACATTAAAAACAAGCGTTGGCCGTAGAGTTCCCTCAAATAAAGGTAACATTTTCCTCAGCTAAGCATATGCATGCCACTTGATGTACCTACCCCTACCTTTTATCTTTCCATCTTCTTACCACCCGACTCAGCAACCGGACTCGCCAACTCACTAACACCTCGACCATCAATTTCCGCCACGCTATCTCTTCCACTTCCCTTGAGTTCCATTGGCAGAATCTTCTCTACAGCCACAAGTCCAGACGCGCTATGTATCTCTTAACTCGCACTACGAATCTCTAGGGCATCCGCGCCATCTTTCTTTTTTGCTCCCGTTCATAGCTCCGGCCCCTGAATTGTACATAAGAAATACTGCCAGTGCGATGAGACCGACACTGGATATTGCACCGAGGGTTGTCCTTGCTCCAGCGCCAAAGCTCAATCTATCACGAGGAAAAGAGAGAGATCGAAGTGCTGTTGATGATTCAAAACCAGTGACAGAGGATGTAGCATGGGTTTGGGACCCTGGGGGAAAGAGAAACGTTGGCTGTGCTATTCGACTAGAAGACTGGCGACTGGAAGTTGGACTATCAGCCTGTGCGCTTACGCAGGAGGACAAGCCAGCACTAGTGCTGTAGTAGTAGAAAGTGATGGCGTAGGAAACTCTTCGGGCGCAATACTAGGTATATCGGCGGATGTAGCTTGGTCGCTTGCGTCGGTGGAGCACATGGAGCCTGATGGGCAGCACGGCCAACTGTAGTAGCCGTAAGTGATGCCGTTGCAGATATGTCTCCTCAACCCGTAGCTGGGTACTTGAATCTGTAGCGCTGTGGTGACGGAATGTATGACCAATATTGTATACTGTTGCTGTACGCCCCGTCCTTCTTCCTTGTTTCTCTCCCCTCCTCTTCTCTCTTTCTTCATCACTTAGAATACGAAGACCGTTGCGACGACAAGACCAACTGCAACCAACCTATACCAACACCTCTCTACTCTCCCACCTGAACTCGTCGTCAAAGTCGCAGTGACAGAAGCATCGGACAATGAACTAGTCGATGTCGACTCCACGTCGGTAGTAAATGTCGAAGAAGCACTCTCCGTATTGCTGGAAGATGATATGCCAGTCAACGTGCTGTCAGAGTTCCTCCCACACGAATAAAGCCCATTAAGCCCCGCACTACTCTCCCCTCCCACAAGACTGCACGTGTACAATGCAGTAGTCCTACTCCCGTCTGTAAACTCGCCCCCAACCTCTGTCTCAGACGAAGCACTTGTCCAAACGCCAACCCGCGTCGTCGTAACAGACTTCGTTACAGTCATGGAACTCCAGGAGGGGAGGGAGGGAACAGAGCATCTCGGTCTATCATACTCATCCACGGTACAGAGAGTGTCGGTGGGACAGCAGAGGCCGTTTGCGTAGCCGCATAGTGTGCCGTCGCATGGTTGGGCTGATGCGACGCTGAGGAAGCTGGGGATAAGTATTATAGAGGCGATGAAGTTCATGGTGAGCACCAGATGTTCAAGTCTCGTGCAGGAAGTCGTGATTGGCGATGACGATGAAAAGCGCTCTCGAGGGTGAAGGTGGGTACGATATATACCTAGGAGAAAAGAAGTTTATCATAGGTTTGTTAGGTTCCATTCGGTAGGATCACGCTATTCCTTGTTGAGCTACTCCGAGCTGTATTGAGCTACTCTGGTCCGGCCTCAGGAGGCTGGGAGAAATCAATGGCAGATGATAGAGTCGTTTGGAGGAAGTGTACTTTCTCGCCAGCGTGGAACACGGACGAACCGTTTTATATAGTCATTCCATCCACTATCAAACCTCTTGAGTATAACTTATATCGCTATTAGATCCTAGGTTCAGGCGAGAAGAAGATAAACCAACCCCTAAACCTGCTCATCACCACCCTTCCTCGCTGCCTTCTTCTCCTCAATCCCTTCTCTCCATCCCTTGCCATAAACCGCCGTAGCATATGTCATCCCCGCTCCAGCAACAAGAAAACCCGCACTAATCGTCGAGAACCACCCCACCCCAATCTTCCTCACAGCCGGTAAACAAGCCGCACTTCCCGCCGCTGCAAACATGTATCTCATGAAATAATTCCCCGCTACAACCTCTGCACTCCTCCCTTGCATAACATCCAGACAATAAGTATTCAAACTAGGGAAACAGAAAAGTTGCGCCACGCCCTGGAGAAACATCATAATAACCGGTAGTGCAATTCCACCAACCCTTTTCTCAACACTCCATCCGTAGATGATCATACAAGCTGGTATGACGCCGCCAAGGAAGAAGACACAAGAGCGAAGCCGGTCTTCGGAGACACGCGCACCGCGTTTCTGAATATATTTCTTGACAATGTGGTCAGCGTAGCGGCCGCCGAAGAAGGTGCCGAGTAGATAGCCGCAGCCCGGCGCAATGTAGAAGAGTCCAGACTGTAGTGGTGACTGCAGGTCGAAGCGCGGGTTCAACACATATCGGATAGGCGTGAGCAAGGAGTACATGTTCCACACCAGACTCGCGCTCGCCAGTGCTGTCAGGAGGATGTTGGGGTAGCGGTAGAGACGTATGACGCGGAAAGGGTTCAACCACTGCCACATTTTGTGTGCTCGCTCTCGGGTTGGCAGGCCTTGGAGCTCGTCTGCACGCTTCTTGTGGATCGTTTCGGGCTGCAGGAAGAAGCAGGAAAGTGTTGCGGCGCCGGCTAGGGCGGTTTGAAGCCAGAAGATGTCCCGCCAGCTGCGGAAAGTTACTATAATGCCGCCGATGAAGGGACCCAGAGCGGGGCCGATGAGGGTTCCTGATAGGAACCAGCCTAGAGCAGTTGCACGTTCGGTCTGCGAGAGTGTTAGCTGTGCAGGGGGGTTGAGATGCTGCGATGTGCGGTTGTTGTGGTTATTGTATGAGATGAAGTATTGTGATGGTGGAGTACACAGGTTTACTTCTGTAGTGAATCCTGTCATCGCCAACGATACGAGAAGTGCCTATACATACCGGTTTATAAATATCCCCAATAACAGCACTCCCAATAACCAAGAATGCAGTCCCTTGAAAGGCAGTAAGAATCCTAAATACGAAGAAGGCTGCCAGGTTTGGTGCAAGCGCCGTGCCAATGCTAAACGCAGTAAACAGCGCAGCACTCACAACAGAAACCCACTTCCTCCCGTATATATTCCCATACGGTCCGTAGAAACATGGTGACAATCCCATGAAGAGCATGTACAACGCATTCGACACATTGATAATAGAGCCATCAGTATCAAATGTCTCTGCTACCTCAGGAACTGCAGAGAGCACCGTCGTCGAGGATATGGGAGCCAGGAAACTGCAAAACGAAACGACAGCTACAATGACCATTTTTCGTCGCTCGGTGAATTTTGAGTAGATCATGTCGTTGTCGCCGGTTGCAATGTATTGGACGTTGGCCATGTCGTGATGGCTGACGGAAGATACTGTGCGTTGGAGTTGCAGGCGGTCTTGATCATTTTCATTGCGTGGTTCAGGTATGATGGAGGCATATTCGGTGGTCTTTTCAGGTTCGGTGGAGGAGTTGGTGGGGGGTTGTGGGCCAGCGGGTACTGAGGAGGATGTGAAAGAGGGTGCCATGTTGTGTACTCATAGAAGGCGAGTTCTGGAACAAATATTGCTTTTGAGTAGAAAGATTAGATGGACTGGTGCTGCATGAAGAAAGAGTTGCAGCAATACTTGGATTCTGGAGAACGTAGCTAGAAGGAAAGGAAGTGACTCGGGACGTTAGATATGCATTCCGCTGTGTACATGTTGGGCTATCTCTTCGACGTTAGCGTCCTCCTGCGGCTTCATATCCGCGGGTGGATACGAGAAGCTTTTCCGAGAAGATTTTCGCGTACATCGCTTCGAGGCGTTGGTGTATCCGGCGAGTGGAGTAGCGCATTGGGTGGAGCAAGGCGACGTGGGCATCGGAGTAAGAATGTCCGCGAGACTTTTCCGCAGCACATGACTCATGGCAACCAGACGTGCACATGCAAGATGCAAACAACCCATCTCGAGTGAGCTCAGCGAAGAGCTCGCAGATATATACGTGTATTTGTAAGCCTGCAACTGGGCAAGTTTATACGGTGAAAGATTCTAAATACCCTAAGCCTAGATCTTGCCTTTGAGATCTCCTTTCCTGAACGCCGGTGATGCAGTTGCGCTTTTCAACCAAAGTAATTCTTCTTTCCCCGACTCATATGCTGAGCTTGTCTAGACTCAGGCGATCGGCGCTTCTGTGTCGCTTGACCATGCCCAGCTTGTAGAACTTCTCCTCGCCTGTTGCTGTTCGTCCACCAATGTACCACTTCTCGGCGCCCATGGCTTCGTGGAAACCTTCTGATGAGCTATCCGAGCCTCTTCTACCTCGTTGCGACGCGCCTGGTATTGGAAAGGCCTGGGCCTTGGGGGATGTGGAGCGGTTGTAGGGGGCGGTGTGTTGTCTGGTGGGTTGGAAGTGGCCTGTTGCTTGTACAGATACTGTCGTCGCACCAGGCGATGGGGAGCGCGTCTTGGTGGTGATGGTTCGTGACGATGCTGCTGCTGTGTCGAGGGTCTGGCTTTGCTGTGAGGTGGCGTTCTGCGAGTAGGAGGCTACAGACGCCGCTTGAGAGGCTGTCGTCTTCTGCAGGTTGGGTTGTTGCGCGCGAAAGGCGGCGAGGAAGCCGCCGAAGAAGGGTCTGTTGGTGGTCATGGTAGTGTCGGAGGGGGCTCGATCTGGTGAGGGTCGCTGTTGGTCTTGTTGCATCAAAAGGGCCTGTCTCTATAAACGCTGGGCAAGCGGCGGTGTGGAGTTGAGGTGTTGGCGGCTCCGCAACGTTGTTTTGTGTCGCACCCAAATAACAACAGTCAAGGCCGCACTCCAACTGCGCCGTGAAGCTCGGATACTGCGGCTTGTTCTATTCCATGCGCTCAAGGGCGATGCCGCGGAAGAGGATGGGCTCGCGAGAGATGGTTGGTGATTATACGCGCAAATGTGCGTGTGACGTAGGCGACTCGTAGGCGACTTGCAGCTCGGCGTAGGGTTAGGGGTTTGATGTCAGCGGGGTAGGCGACGACGAGGTTTATAGGAGATGGCGGGGGAGCAAGACGTCTGGCTGGTTTGGCGTATCGGACCGTTGCTGGTGCCGTGAAGCGCGTGGAGGAGTCGAAGCCAGGAATAAATCGGAACCAGCTGATTGTCATTCGAGTGCGCCTCCCGAGCCTTGACCGAGACCATGATGAAGCTAGACTACACAGTACTCTACCCTGCTATTACTCCTACTATACTCCCTCTAGTAGTTGTGTGGTATGTCTGTCTGGACCTCACTTCGTAATGGTGTGCACCTCGGACAGATCCAAGCAGGGCCCATGTATGGCTGCACGCAGACTTCCGCCGCCAACCATTCGCGCCTCTTTCCACAACATACACGCCTGGAAAACTAGTTCGCATGCCGATATCCCACTTGGCCTTATCGAGGCAAATCATCGCGCACCAGCAGGTAAACGCCCAGTAGTGATCTGCCATGGTCGATATGCGATCGCGATGCCCATGCCACCTCGCCGGCTACTACCTACCGCGCGTGAAGTTGCAGCATTCCTCTCCAAACCGCGTCGTCACACACCTTGAGTCAGCGCCGAGCATTACCGAGACGCTGGGAAACATGCGAACAAGACGCGCTTTGTAACATGTTGCATCTCATACGACGCACGGCGGTTGAACTAGCCCCTTGTCACGTCTATCGATACCCACCAGAATCCACCAGAACGCGGGGTAGCCCGAGAATTAGACCGCCCTCTTTAGGGCTGACGATATAAAGACTGTTGCGGTTCTCTTCGTGGCGCCGGTACTTGGACAAATCCTTTGACATGTGCGAACGCATACGATCGGCATAGCGCTGTAGAGCCGCCTGTGACGTAGCCATGTGTCGGACTGTGAACTACCCTCTTGACCATAGGTTGCACATGGATCGAGGATATCGGCATATCGCTTCATCATAGAGCTTGATCAACCCTCACGAACCATATCTGTATACACGAGCGTCATGGCAACTGTCTGCGCCATGTGCTGCTCGACCTGCAACCAATCAGCCTTGTGCACGGACCTCGTACCCCCTCTATTTCACCAGGCATCACTTCGAGTAGCGCAACTATCAACAACACCAAGACTTGCTACTAACTTTGTCGCACTGGGCTTTTTTTTGGAGACTTCATAGCTCTGCTAAGCTGCCAGTATCGCCAGATACCATCTGCCTCTCCACACGACATCGCTTCACTGTCATGGCATCCTTTTCCCTCCTACCCACTGAGCTCGTTGAATGCATTGTATCATACCTTCCCCAACACGACATATATGCTGTATGCAGACTCAACAAAGCACTCTCCAATCTAGCTACACCTTTCTTGTACCGCCATGTTGATCTGTTCATCCCGCCCGAGAGCAAACTACCCAGGATCGATCGCTTCTGCCTAAATATTATCAATGACAACCGTAAAGCCAACAATGTCGAGTCGATACGCCTGGGACTATCACCTAGCAGAAATGTTCGACAAGGTCAGCGGTGGTTGCCACCAGACAAAAACTTCGACGATCAGTTGATGTTTCGGAAAGCCATGACCGCATTGAGTGATGAGACGCTGGTTGCTGCGGGGGATTATCTAAGAGATGCAATCAGTATGCGCGAGTACTCTGCCTACGCAGCCCTCATTTTGCTTGTCCTCCCAACCCTTCGCCGACTTGACGTAGCAGACTACAAGTCCGCAACATTCGACCACCTGCACAACATCCTCCGTAACCTCGACCCCGGAACTGTCTGGAACCGACGCTACCCTTCACGAGTTCTTCTCGACCGTCTATCATCCATCAAACAAGTGTCCCTCATGTTCGACCGCATAACCGGCGTTGCGTATCCTGGAGACAACAACCGTGAACCACTCGACCACTTCCTAAACATCCCAAGTATCGAAATACTTGAACTCTTTAGTGTTGGCGGCAGACAAAATCAAGATCCAATTGCTGCACATCTCACATATCCATTAGTACGTCATCTGAGGGCTACTAACATCACAGCATTAGTATTCCGACAATCGGGCGCATTCACGTCGGCTTTGCATTCCTTACTACAATGCACGCCCAAACTACGATCCCTCACCTACGACTTCTTCTTCCACAGCCCCTTACCATCAAACTATCGAGGTCACCTCCTCATGCTAGACGCCTGGAACGAGTACCTGCGTCCACTCGCCCCAACCCTAGAAGTCCTCGTCTTCAGCGCAGAATACTGCGACACATCCGCCTACTTCTTCGCACAACCCCACATCGGCGAGAAACTCCACGGCTACCTTGATCTCACCCCCTTCACCGCACTGCACACGTTAGAAGTCCCCTTCCCCTTTCTAACCGGAGACGTCGACTTCTCCATCACCAAAGAAATCCACCCTTTATTCCCTCCAAATCTGCGCCATCTCACACTACGACCTGACCTCTCGCACGCCCATCTCCCTTTTCCATTCGACTCCTCCATCCTTACCCAAGGTCTCACATTTGCAGAATCAAAACTAGAAGCGCAATACCTAATGAACGCACGCATGGACGTATCCTACATGTTCCAAGCCTCCCTCACTCTCCTCGATTTCGCCAATCCCACTACCCTCGAATCAATTTCTGTGTGGCAGCCTGCCGATGCATCACTCGAGTGGTTCGATGGCCAGATTAAAGACTTTTCGACGACGTGTCGAAATAAGGGTATTACGGGCAGGATTCTGGAACCCATGTTGCTTAGGTGGAAGAAGGCAGAGCATTGGGATTTGATCAAGGAAGTTACGGTTTTTGAAAGGAAGGAGCCGGGGTGGGGGTGCGTGGAGAGGTTTTGGAGGGGCGAGTGGGAGGGGAGGCCGGTCGGGTTGGGCCTTCAGTTTCATTTGGAGGCGTTGGAGAAGGGGAGGGTTAGACTGGGGAGATAGAAGGGGCGGATGGACTGTGTGGGTAACAAGGTCAGTGATATATAGATTTGGGTTAAAGTTTGGTGCTTTGGAATACATAGGAGAGGCTAGTTCGTTCTTGTCGCATCACATACACGTTTTCTATAACTATAGTATAATATTATAGCAATAAGTTAATAATGTGTTGGATTAGAAAGTCGCAGCTAATGCGTAGCTTAGTTGCCGCTTACGTTGCCAATTCAGGCTCTCCAGGCTTTTTCCCAGACCAGACCGGCTCGCTAGCAACTCCCGCTACGACGAGTTGGAATTGTCGGCACAACTCCAAGCAGCCGAGCCACCCGAGGCTGCGTAGCTATCGATGATACCGACAATGGAGCCATACGTTCCAGCAACTGTTAGGAACCAACCAGCGGTGATAATGAATATACTCCAACCTGCCCAGAAGTACCATGAGCCGGTCCTTGACTTGCGCCAATTATCGTAAAGCCACATGCAACCCATAGGTTGGAGCGACATGAGCGTACCGAGAAGGGCACCAATGAGAGAAACCAGTCCACCAAAGACAGGTATCGCACTGGCGACAATGTACGACACGAGCGCGTTGCCGGCAGTGCAGCCAATCCAAGTAATCCAATGAGTTGGCGTGTTGCGTACGAGATGTGTGGAACCACGGAGGATTCGCATGAAGAAATACTTGGATGCGAACTGGAGCGCGATATTAGTAATGGATACACTCCTGATGGCGCAAATCAACTTACATGTACAAAAAGAGTCGTGCTGACAATCAAGCCCGGTAAAGCAAGTCCGTAGCACACTTTCTTCATCGTCGGACCAGCAGAGCCTAAGGCAGGCGAGGCGACATAAGACCCGCAAAAGTAGTAGACAACGCAGCCAATGGCAATGTATACAGCAGTCATGACAGATTGGCAGATGATGACTGCGCGGGTATAGTGACGAGGCTCACGCATCTCCGAGGCAATATTGAAGAAAGCTGGAGTTCCAGCATACGCAAAGACGATGGAGGAAAGGGACGCAAAGGCTTCGGCAGGTGCGGCATCACCGAAAAGCTTGTAATCTGACTTGTATGGTCCCGGCGTCACAGGAGCATCAGCCGGTTTGTCTTGCACACCGACGGCGATTGTCAAAACCAAAACTAATCAGAGTGTTAGCGTTGGAGCACTGCTGACGTTATAACAGCTACCACTTACTCGAACTTAAAATGCTAACTACACCAATCCAGGCAAGCCAGGAGATGCGACCTAATGTTTGAATGCTGGCCAAGCCGAAGCCGATAATGGCAGCGACAGCAACGAAAACAGCAGTGCAAGCTCCATGCGATGAGAGAGCGTTCAACGCAGTTGCAATGCCCAGCATACCAGAACCGCCCACAAAGATCCAGTCTGTTCATAATCAGTGGCTGCCAATGCCGCGCGGGTTGGATCGATCAGACTTACAGAGAGCAAAAGTGATACCGAAGAATTCGTATCCAACGCGACCAAAGAGCTTCCGACCAACATCATCAATGCCGTACACATCTGGATGACGTAGTTTGAAGACACCGACAATGTAGTTGGACCAGCTCGTCATTGTCGCGATGACCAGCAAACAGATGACACCTGGGATGAGGCCGAGACTGTGGAATACCTGCGGAATGGATAGCACACCCAAACCGATCTGGGTTTTCAACATCAACACAGTAGTCGCCTTCCATCCCACCTGCGTAATGTTAGCGATGCTTCTTCATTTGGGCCTTCTCTGGGGGGGTTGTCGTACAGCGCGATAGTTTGGCCCATCTTCCGTGATTTCGCCAAAGACATCATCGACAATCGATGCGCGTCTCACCGTGCCTTCGCCATGGGTTGTGGTCGGGTGGAGGATATCGACATCGTTGTCCTTGGACTTTTCAGGATCTTTGTCAAACATGTTGAAAACCGAAAGTCGACTAGAGAGCACCTCGAAGGAATTGCAGTGGGGTCTGAAGATGGTTTATTGTGAGCATGGAGCGTTTTAGTAAAGAAATGCAAAGTATGTCATCTATCTGAATACTATAAAGCTCTGGGGGACACTAATGACCTCGAGACTCGGCTAGATACCTCGAGACTCGGTTAGAGAACTGCTGACTTGGGCTTAGGGCTGTCTTCGGAGGTAACGCCCGTGAATCTTTCCCCTCTTCATACCTAGCATGCATTTCCCCAGGTTGGACTTGCCTTCTTTAAGGACTTCGGCGGCTGATCCGAGCGCCTCGGGAGGCGTTCCGACGTCATCGTATGCGCGGTCCGATTGTGATTGCAGGGTCAAGAGCGCTAGCTGGGATTCGTTAGTAAGGTTGAGGCTTTTTAGCTGGAGGCGGCGCTGTCTGGGGTCGATCCACAGGTAGCGTGACGGCTCCACGGGTGTCGGTGATTCGGGGGGTGGTGATGCGGGAACCTGGGGAATGTGAAAGCGTTGAATTCGTGTTGACTACATGGGTGATTGCTAAAAGAGAGGATAGGAGAATGATGTGGGGGCAGAAAATGTGAAGGATGTCAAAGGTGTGGCTTGGCTTAATAAGCTTGGTTATTGGCAAGACTGGGGAAAAAGCTTGTTATGACGAATTTGACAAAACGGGAGGAAGAACGGGAGAATTGGTACAGTGGCTACAGATGCTGCGGCAATGGCGCTAGTTGTACAGGGTCCAGCTGTTTCACCTGTCGACGCGCTCCGACCGGCCACGTCTTTTCTCTCCAATCAAGCTCGACTGAGGCATTTTTGTGAGCGCGGTAATTGGAACAGCGGAAGAGTACAAGCGATCGTTTATATGAACAATTTGCTTCACGGTATCCTCGACAAGTCGTTGCGTCGAGCACGCCAGAAAGCGTGGTTGAGAATTCGGAAAGAGAGCACGCAGCCTAGTGTCCTCTTCCATACATGTGGCAACCCTTCCAGGCACTGAAAGCTCGAAGGAAGACAGCACACGGAGTCTAGATTTCTGACAGCGTCTTTCTTCCAATGCGTAGTACAAGTCCCTCTCCGCATCGGCGCATCTAGCCATGCCTAGCTTGAGCCTCAACTCTACGATGCGCGGTTTCCATCGGTTCAGCATCTTAAGACATCACCTCTTTCTTGTTGCAGCAAAACGCTTTGGTTCCATTACTACTTAGATTCTTAATGTAAAGTAGTAGATGTTGACCATGACTCTGCTAATATCGTTCATATCCTTCTCCACTTGAAGCAGACCCGCTTTCTTACATTCGTCAAGTCCTCGATGGTCCTTGCGCTTCGACTCTTTTACTAGGAGTCTACATACCGAGTACTGCTTCAACTTTGCCGCTCCAGAACTTGCTGTCTTCAACATCCTCAACGAGGTCAGCAAGATGATCCAATTTGCCTTCTGGAAATACTGGTCTCTCCTCCACGAGCTTGACCACGAAGTAGAAAATCGCTGGCGTCATGCTTGTATACGCGAACGTCCGCAAGTCGTGGGTAGTGTTTGTTTTCGAACTTCGTCAGGCACTTGCGATATACTATACCATCGGCCCTCGCGCCGCGAGCGATCACGAACTTGACCATGGATAGATTTTCAAACGCAATGGCATACCAGATCGGCCTTTCATCATCGATTGATACGCGCTCCTCGAGGAACACATTGACGATACTCTAGTGAATGTGTTTAGCGGCGGATTGCATACACCTGTGGCCAAACCGCGTCAGTAAGGCCGGGTACCGGGCGATGAAATACCGAAGAGGATCCACCCGGCCGTGTGCGCAATATTGGACCAGCGCTAGCTCCAAAAGGCAATCGCTTTCGGACTTATAAACATAAGGGTCTATGATCATCATTGCCGAGATAGTAGTCTAATAGGTCTTGATGCAGCCAGTCTTTATAGCGGTGTTGATCCAATCTCCGGCACAGGGGAAGCTGTGGCAGTCGCGAATGGATAAGTCGAAAGGTATCTCGTGCTTCTTGAAGAATTTGGCAAGTATAAGGATCGATGGGCAGTACTTGGATTAGATGGCTGCACTAAGATTGCAATGGAATCGATAGCTCAGACTAGAGTGAAGTCTAGATACGCGGGTCTTGGAGGCTTTAAGCACATTGAATGGATGTTGCAAGACATTGACGTGTCCACTGGACGCCGCTTCCCGGGGAGGATCTGAGAAGATACCCTCCCCGCATACATGCCGTAGGAAGTATGGCTGTGAGGGCCAGCTTTCGGGATTCTTGTCGAGTAAATACTTGACTACTATTGGGCTGCCCGCTGCAGCGGCGCCAGTTAGGTCGAACAGGTCTTGAGAAGGAAGAGTCAGAAGGTGCTCTTTCGGTTGGAGTACCTGCCTTGGGGCTGTGTACATGCCTCCTAGGGTCACGTACTGGACGATATCTTCGACGTATCGAGTCTTGGCTTTTTCGTCATAGACTTTGTCTTCGATCTGAAGGACCGCTTCAGCACATGCGTAGATCGAGGTGATAAATGGACTGTTCCTTGTTTTCTGCACTGGGCTTCGAAGAACGTCGGCGAATATACGACATAAGACTCTCGGTTTAAGTGTCTTCTCGTTAAACGACATATCTTTATTGCAAAAGCATGTAGTTTGAAGGGTTCAAACAGAGTGTAGAAGTAAGGCCGTACAAGACAAGTGTGCATTGACCATGTTTCTCCAGGCAGTAACTGCGGACAGCGACCAGTAAACTCAGGTAGAGTGCGAAAAATCCAAGCGCGTGAATGAGAGAGTAAGAACAGCGGGCCCTAGGAGCCACTTGCATTTGAACTAAACGGGCATGATCTCTACCCAAGCAGCTGTCCGTAGACAAAAATGCTGCTAACTCCAGACACCATGCCAGTTATAAGAAGAATCAGAGACCTGTAGCTGATACTACTTCGCAGCAATACGCAGCTACCAATACCTCTGCATATTGTTACACGCCCCCGTCCCATTCCTCCGGCAGGGCAAAACAAGAATATACCATATTCCATCCACACAAACGCCAACTCCTAGCCTCAGAATCCCCCCCAGCAGGGATCCGTTACCTGTATCCCGTATATCCGCAAGCCGCGCGCGTTTGCTCAAGCCGACCTATCAACCCCTAAGTACTCGATCCCCTCAAGCAAAAAATTAATATACGCGGCCGGACCCGACAGAGAAAAGGAGTAACCTACCGATTACCACGTCTTCCCGGCAGCGGAGGCGGGACCAACGGGTTCCCATACGCATCCGTACCCAGACTAGCACGACAATCTGGACAGTACCATTTCGCGCGGCGAGAAGGTATATCGTCTTCTGTCATCTTCATGCAAGGGAGGTGGAACCATTCTTTATCGCACTGTGGCACACATTATCAGTCTCAGGTTCACTGTCGTAGTTATGAAAATGGAGGAGGATGGAGAGGAAGAGGCCAAACTCACGTTATTGTCACAACTAATCATCTGCCCGTAACTAACATCATCGCAGATGCAATACCGCGGCTCATTAGGATCGATATCATCAGCGACCTCAACCTCCTCTTCCTTCTTCCTTCTCTTATTCTTGCTGCCCTGAGCGCGCTTAACATTGGTAACAGTCTTCTGGCCGTCTTCCGCAACGGTGACTTCACCTTTTGGGGGCGGCTTGCGGCGGGAACTTGTTCGGGTGGTAGGTGCTGATGGTTGTTGCGCGGAGGAGGGTACTGTGGAGGTGGATGCGGGTTGGCTAAAGACACTATGACGACGGGTTTCTCGTGTTATCCTACCTTCTTCGTTGGGCTTGGGCTCTTCGCTTTGCGCTTTGAGCGTGGGTACGTGGCCGCGTGCGGAGCGGGGACGCAGGGTTGGTGCTGCGGGTGTCTCTGGAGCGGACTCCGGCACGGGTGTCGGTGTCTTTGAGGACTTCATGGGCGGGAGAGGAGCCACAGGCGGAGTGGGAGCTTTTGGAGCAACAGAGCCACGTGTAGACCTGGTTGACGCTGCTGTTGGTGCAGTTGAAACTTGGGCTGGAGCTGGGCTTGGAGCTTGAGCAGGTACGGAAGATCGCGGGGCTTCTGGCATAGCAGGTGATTCTTCTGGCGCTATAGGCGACGTTGTGATGGGTGTGAGCTCGGGGCTCTGCTCTTCAGGTACAGCTTTGTTGACTTTTGGCGTGCTTGGACCTGCTGGCGCGAGCGGGACTTGTACAGTGCTCCCATTTATCGAAGGCTTTATAGACTCTGGGAGTGGTACGGGTGTGTTCGCTGCTGGCGAGGGCACGACGGACGCAGGGAGATCTCGAGGAGTGGAGACAGTGGACGCAGGTGTCGGTATTGGGGATGAAACGGTATTCGGTGCTGGGGCAATGAGCTGCAATCGTGCGCGCTTAGGCTCCGGCGGCCTGGATGTGCTGTCTTGAGTTGCAACCGATGCTTCTCGTGTGGCTTCGATGGCACCGTCGGTGGCGGGTGGGGGAGAGGTGTCACGCTTCCGTTTGTTCGAAGGCTTAGTCACAGCTTTCTTCTTTTGACTCGCGGGCGTCGTAACATTAGAGTTGAAGTTGAGTTCTTTGAGACCGTTGGCAGCTTCTCTTATCCTCTCGGAAGCACCTATGAGCTCCTGGGCGTCCTGCATGGCCTTTTGACGCTGCGATGTGCGATCGAGCTTCCGGTCTTCTTTGGTCGCAATAGGCTTAAGGCGGATGCTGACTGGACCCGTCTCCTCTTTGGCATCTTCCTCAACAGGCTCGGTCGGCGGGGGTGGATTTGCTGCCTGTGGACCATGGGGTGCTAACAGGCCCAGGCCGGAGGCTGTCATGATCTGTTGCAGCGTCTCAGGCTCCTCGTCGAGGAAGTGTTCGCCTGCGGCCTCGCAGCGAGCCTTCTCCCTCTCGTAATCGGCCTCTGTACGATGCTTCTTCTCAAGCTCGCGGATCATCATCGTCTGGCTAGGCGTCCAGACGGCATTCTTCTTCATCTGTTTGCGCAATACAGCCATTTCGTATTCGGTCAACTTCTTCCATGGCGCCCACTTGCTACCAGGCTTCGCGTCAGCTGGAGGTGGGGCGAGCTGCGCGAGTGCATTGCTAGTGGAGATGCCCGCAATGGAGCTATGTACGTTTGTGCCCAACACGCCAGCAGCGCGCGATCTGCCTCCAGTTGTCCTTGAGTTTCTGTCCCGGTTGTCCTTGCGCTTCCTCGGCGACACCACATCGATGCCTGAGCCAGCATCTGAATCTGATGAGTCCGAGTCACGGCGCATTCGTCCGCGCCCTCTTGGGAGAGGAATGGCGGTCTTCTTGTGCCGATCTCGGGGTCGTGAGGTGTTGGCGCCATGGCGGCCACCATCGAAGGTTAAGCGCAAATGGGGGGCTCGTTCGTAGTTGCGGTTGAAGGGTCTGTGGGCGGTGGGAGAGACAGGCGGGGGCGTAGGGTCGCGTGACGGGGGCTGTGGTTGGGCTTGAAGTTTCCTCTTGATAACTGACGAGCGCTGGCAGTGGCGCACTGTGACCTCGTATAGCCGCGAAGCCTCAGTGTATGCAAACTCCCTCTGGTTGATAGCCTTTTGAAGATGCTGGGCAATTTGCTTGCGTAGTAATACTGGATCGGCGCGCTCTTGCTCAGGAAGGGCAGGCAGCTTTCCATACTGCACCGTCAGCTCGTGGACCTGCTGGACGGCATCCGAGTAGGTCGAGTCGAGGTCGGCAATCAGCGTCAGCGAGCGCACCAAATCCGAGGGGAAGAATTCGGTATAGTCAAGGAAGTCGTTCACAGTCGTCTGAGCATCCGGATTCGGGGCGGGTTGGGCCATCTCAGGCGCATCGTCGGCTTCAGACATGGCGCATCGCGGGGAGGCAGAGTAGATGGAGGCTTGCGACGCACGCGTCAGACTCTCCAGCCACGCGTCAACTAGATTATTGAGGAGAATCAGCGCGATAGTGAGGGCGCGAGTTGCGATATGCGCTGACAGCGATGAGGCCAACGCTGAGAGCTTGTCGCAACGTTGGACGATGTGAAGTTCGCGCTAGGCCGCTTTGGTAGGGGTCTGGTAGATCACCCAGGAACGCCTGGGAGAGCCGGCACGCCATCGCCCCGCAACTTTATCTACACCACTACGCTACATCCTGCATCCATAGTCGAACCAAGTGCGTTATCTCTTGTTAGCTGCAGTATGCACCATACTGACCCAACGTCTGGGAAGGCTCTTAGGCCCCTAGCCATCAGTGAACCCCTGAACCTCAGCGCTATCACGACTCCCTGAGTTGTCGGATGAGAAAGATCCAAGCATATATGAGCTAGACGTATCGTAACTGTGTTCTACTCCAACCCGGTATGTGATGTCTAGGAGTAGTAGGTGCAGTTCTCGCACGATGGACGGAGAGTATTTACACCATGCGCCTTCCATTCGGTCCACCTTCTTTCTTAGATTATGATAAAGTAAAAAGCAGCTTTCTTCTCTATCTCTATATTGTATATGTTGCCCTACTATTGTGTCTTTCTATTAAAACTCTGCGCTTCCCGTTTGCTCTTGCCTCATCCGTCTGCCCAAGCGTGATCCCCCACATATATCTTCCACTGCGCTTTCTATCACAAACGACTCCTGCCTAGCCAAACACCCACCATGGCTTCAGCACGGATGCAGCGTCTTCGAAGCTTCGTTCAACCAGACTTCGATGCCCTGCCTGACCGTCCTGTCTCCCCACAATCTGAGCCCCAGCCCGAGTCCAACCCCGAGTCCAACCCCGAGCCCAAACCTGACCGTGGCAGCGACAACTCCTTTAATCCAAACCTGGATTCGATGCGATTACCTACCGAGACTGCTACAACCCCTCTTACTGATGTCGCTGGTCATCCGGTCGCTGATCTGAAACGTGGCAGCCTGGCCTCACCTCGTCATCACTTCACCTCCATCCAGGCGCTCTCAAGATACCCATACAAGTACTGCAACAAGAGTTATATGCAAGACATTGCTTCTTCTTTCTTCGACCAAGGAAAATTTTGGCAGCGACAGTGGGATCTGTAAGTTCGCTTCACCTCACCTGCTCACTCTGTAGAGAAAATGTCATCAATCATCGAAATGGCTTCACTGTTCATATACTAATCTCACCAGCTACTATATCTGGGACTTCGAAGAGACCTCAAAACCCTTCATCCTTGTCCGCGAGAGTCAAGTTCAAGCATTACTTGGTGAGATCAACAAACACCTCAAGCTCACCCTAAGGGTCACCGATCAACAGCGCGAGGAGGTAAGATTGCATCTTTCTGCGTACTGTGTGAAAACCTAGACTAATTCCCACGTGCAGGGCCTAGTTGTACGCTTTCCTGATCACCCTCGTTGTTTACCTCGATACCTCGGTCGCTCTCAGTCACGTGAAGACGTGGATAACATGGCCGAGAATGCTCCCAACGAACATTTCCGTGCAGCTGGAGAAGCCGCACACCCACCGCTCCAGAAGCCCACCCTAGAAGAGTTCAAGGAGCTGATGGAGACCTTGGCACAAGCACAGAAGGCGAAGAACAAGGCAAACAGGGACAAGAAGCAACAAGAGCGCCTAGGCAAGAACAAGTCGATGCAAGACCAGTTTAAACGCGCCGGGAGGTATCTCGGTCTGCGCGACTCCATCCAAGATCCGTTGCCGTCTACGCCGTCTCCAGCCATTGATCCCTCCATGCCAGCTCCGTTTCCTTTCGATCAGTCTGTCGTATTTGTCTGCGTCGATGTTGAGTCGTACGAAAGAGACCATCACAAGATCACCGAAGTCGGTGTCGCCACCTTGGACACGCGAGAACTGGTAGGTGTCCCACCTGACAAATACGGTGGGGCTTGGAGAAACAAGATCCGAGCCCGCCACTTCCGCATCAACGAGTATCGCCATCTAGTCAATTCCGACTTCGTCACCGGATACCCTGACGGTTTCGATTTCGGTGATTCGACCTTTGTCCCACTCAAAGAAGCTGCGAACCACGTGGCGGCTTGCTTCCACGCACCTTTCGGAGCCCAAGACGGCGATGACTTTCTCAGTCACTATGACCCTACCGAAAAGCGCAACATCATCTTTCTCGGTCATGATACCCTTGGCGACGTCCGCTATCTCCAGAAACTCGGTTACGACCCGATGAAAGTAGAAAACATCCTCGAGGCCATGGACACCGCAATCATGTATCGGATCTGGAATCGAGACCAGCAACCCACCAGCCTGGGCAAGATCCTAAAGCAATTTGATATCATCGGCTGGAAGCTTCACAATGCAGGCAATGATGCCGTATACACCGTACAAGCCATGTTGGCAATCTGTGTAAACGAGGCTACTATCCGCGGCTCCCAAGAACTGGACAGTATACGTGAGCAAGAGAAGGCTGCTAGGCGACAAGCTGCTCTTGATGAAGCCGAGCAGAAAGTCAAAGACGACGCCGAAGGCTGGAGTGATCATGAAGCAGTTGGAGATGGCGGTGTACCTGTTCCTCTGGCATCTGTTATCGCACCAAAGCCAGCGCAGTCCAAGGTTAGGATTACACCGCAGTACGACGGCACTTCGGAGTTTAGCATGGGCCCACCTCGTGGTCGTGGCTCTTCCGGTTCAGGCGATAGCCAACGTAGTCGTGGATACCGTGGTAGCACTGGACAGAGAGCTTCTCGTGGACGTGGTCAGGTGGACGGGCGCGGTCAGTCGGGCGGAGGAGGAAGGCCTCGTGGACGAGCGCGTAGTCAGGTTCAAGGACGTGGTCGCGGCCGCGGTCGTTCGGACTCGCCTAGGGATGCCCCTGCGTCGGAGGCTATTCCTCAGGTGCAGTACCACTGGTAAATAGAGACACGACCACAGCGACCAATGTGTACTGAATGCCAGCAAGGTCTCTAAGACGCATCTTCTTTCAGTCCTTGGGTCTTTGAAGGAGAGAGACTGGAAATGGATGATCAAACTTCTACTCGAATGGACTATGACTGTGACTTTGAATCTTATTGTTCCTCTCTGAATACTGTCAGTCTGCACATACCAAGACGATTGGAATGATTCAGGCTTGTGCAAGACTACGCTCACCACCAAACTTCTCTATCTACAAACACAATGCTTCGCTGGAAACAAGAACCGCCAACTCATGTATCTTTATCCCCATCCGACCCAAGCCATCCTTCAGACGCCAAGTACGCCAACTTAGCTGCAACTCCACGCAGTTCATCCACATCCCTACAAGCAGCAAAAACGAATCGATCAGGCCGGAGAATAATGAACTGCTTGCCAGCCGACTCCCGCCATATACGATGCGGCTCGTAGTACTGTGGCTCTGGACGTCCTGCGCAAAGAGGAGAAGCTGCAAATTCCTGGGCTGTTGATAATCGGTAGACGTCGGAATGATGCTCGCCTACGCTTTCCGGAGGTGTTTCTGTAGTCTTTACGATGAACGTCGTTTCGGCTGTTTTTAGCACGCCAGCTGAAATCTCGTTTATGCCCGAGAGTACTCGTCGAACAGCTTGGACATCCAGTACCGAGTCGACAAAAACGACAAGTCGAAACAAGCCTTCCCTCCCTTCGTCGAAGATAACATCGTCCGTAAACCGTACCTCCCTTTCGCCTTCCCTTCCACCCACTCCAACGCAGTAGACCTGAGGAAAATTCGCCCCTCCCCCACCTACACCTGGCAAGAAGGCCATGTTCCCTCCATCCCGCCACTCGTACCTTGTCAACCCTTCTCTTCGATTCCCCTGCTCAAGCCACCTTTTCCATTCCGGACTGAATTGCACTGCCCAGAGATACCAGTCCCGCACGAAAATCTTCCAGGTATTGGATTCACAGACATAAGTTCCGTTTTCGACTGTAGATGCAAGAGAGCGGTCGAGTTGTTGTTTTCTTTCGACGTACCAACCTTCTAGCAACTTTTGGTGGTTGAGATTGGGAGCGGGATGAGGATGGGGGTGTTGAGTCAGAAGAGCAAGACGCCAGGCGAGCGAGATGGCGTCTCGGAAACCTGATGCTATGCCCTGGCCACCAAAGGGAGGAAAGACGTGTGCAGCATCGCCGACGAGGACAACACGGTCGACGGACCATTTATTACAACTTCGTGCTGAGAAGGAGAAGGGGCGGCAACGCAGAACCTCAATACAATCAAGCGGATACTGGACGACTTTCTGCTTGATGCCATATTTGCTCCCAGGATGCGTAATGTATGGGTGGACAACTTGGCAGATCTTCTCCGTACCGGACATGACCTCGCCATCTTCGCCCTCCGAGACTACGAATTCAAAACGCCACAGTCGATCTGATGCGAGGCCGAAACGACCGCATACCGCAGCTCGTTGGGGATTACACAGGAATCTAAAGTCGGTGGGGAAGTACGCATCGTAGACCTGTTGTGGCGTAAATCCTTTTGCCCATAACGCAAAGTCGGGATGCGTCTGGGGAGTAGGCAGCGATATCTTCCAGTTGAGAGCTACCCAAACCTCCTCGTAGCTTTCCTCTGAGACGTGCTTTAATTCGATACCTTTTGCCTCGAGATACTTTTTCCGTGTGAAACCCGTTTTTCCATCCGCGCCGACGAGGAACTTGCTGCGGATCTGCTTTTCATCTCCGCTGGAGGAGGTATAGGTTATGTAGGTCCAGTCTACATCTTCCCGGATAGACGCTACTGTGGCGCCTAGTTGTAGCTGGGAATGCGACGATTTATCAATCTTCGATCGAAGATGTTGCTCTATATACGGTTGTTTGTGGCATAGAAAACCCGGATGTCCTGTTCCTCCTTCGGTCTAGATCTAGTCAATAAGCCACCGCAATCAAGCAAATTTGCGATGATTATGGCACGAACCGTGTTATAATCCATAACCATAAAAGGCTTCCTATCAAGCTCATAATGTACGCCGCTTATGAATTCAAACTTGCCCATACCTGCCGCGTCACACGTCAGCCTATAATTCCTCACAACACACTGGGAACAGCGAGGAAGGAACACACTGACATTTTCCAATATCGGTAAATACCTTGTCGTAGATACCACAGGCCTGCAAGCAACGGATTCCATCTTCATCCAAAGCGATTCCACGTGGGTCGGTATTGATGCTTTCTTCCCGTTCGAGAACTATATTGCGCACGCCGTGTTTGTCAAGGAGGACCGATAGCATGGCACCTGTTGGCCCACAGCCGCATACGACGACGTCTGTAGTTTCGATATTCATGTTGGATGACATGATGTGTCGTGTTTCCGGAGAAAAGTCGGGGTATGAAAAGTGCGGGAAGTTGCTTTTTGGGTTGTTGGTCGGAACTCCGGTCGGCTACTTCATGCTTTTGCTATATGAATGTGGGGTTCCTAGAGTGGGTTGCGAGTGGGTAGTGCAGAAGATACTCAGGTAGTTAAAAGGTTACTGTCGCGATAATGATATGCGGCGTGGATGTACTGATGCAGGCACATAGGGCACAACGTACATCGTCCCTCGGTTTTCTTGATCCTGCAGATGTTGTGTTACCTGTCCCCACATTTTGTATGGACAAGCACCTGAATCCAAGACATCGACTGAGCATGGGTAATCATCCACAGTTAAGCGAACGCCTCTGAGGCGGTGGGGAGGTTCGTCGTCATTCGGCATACTTTCAACGACCAAAAGCAAATACCAAGAGATCCGGGCACCCTCAAGCTCAAGCTACGTGTCACCGGCAGATCTCGGTATTCTCAGACATCGGTACCTCACTGTTGCTAGTCTAACTAGCAAGTAAGGAAAAAAGACTGCCTAGATATTATCGTCTGGCTAGTCCTTCAGCACACCCTCAACAACCTTCATAATCTCCATCAACTCCTCATCCATCATGCTCTTCCCCACAACCTGCACATGCGTCGGCAGACCTTCACACTCACCCGCATCATCTGTAATACGCACGTTAGCCTCCATCTTCTCCTTGGCTACAAACAACACTTACAAGCCGGTTCATACTGCACTCCCTCCTTCGCAAATTCCCCATCCCGTTCCTTCTCCGCCTTGTCAACCGGCAGTATTCCACTCGGCCAATTCAGCAAATTAATCAACACCGTATAGATCGGTAGACCGTACTCGTCATGCCTCGGCGCTACACCTTGATATCCACACATCAGGATGGCATCCAACCCCTTCTCTGCCTCCTTCACACCTTCCCTAACATCACCAACCATCAACGTATGAAACTTCTTCACAACCCCCGCCTTCGCCACATTCATATCCCACAGCTCATCCAAGCTCGGCGTCCAGTCCTTCAACTCCGGAAACGAACACGTAGACAGACTTGGAACAGGCGGCTCCCCACTATCCTTGATAAACTGAAATGGCGTCTTCTTCGGATCCAACATGAAAAATTTCCACGCTAACATGGCGGTTTGATAGAGATCTGGTATCTTGTCATCTAGCAGGACGATCTCATGGCCTTGAGCTTTTAGTTTCGTAGCGGTGTTATGAAGAGCGCGGGCAATAGGGGGGTGAAGCGGTCGTTCTTTACAACCGCGTATAAGACCGAAACGCAGCGGGGTGGTGGGAATGGAAGGTTGGACAGTACGCCAGGGGACGTTGAGGCAGTTTTCGTCGAAGCGATAAGGTTGTGCGCTTACCACGCTCTTCATGAACAATTCGTAATCACGCGTTGAACGGCCACAAGGACCAATAACCACAGGAATAGAGCCGGGGCTACCTAGCCTTCCGACCGCCACGCCACCGGCAAAGGGAACGCGACCAGCAGTTGGTTTCAAAGAAGACCCTCCGCAGCATATAGCGGGGATGCGGTTCGACCCCGCGATATCCGTTGCAACGCCCAACACGCTTCCTTTCATGGCGAGCAGGGCGCCCTCGCCGCCCGTGGAGCCGCCAGCTGTGTGGGAGAGACGGAGCGGGTTTAATGTGCGGCCGAAGATGTTGTTGTGGGAGTCTGCCGTCATCATTGTTTGGGGGAGGTTGGTTTTCACATAGAAGACTGCGCCTAGAGAGTGGAGGACATCAACCAAGGCGGAGTTTGTGGCAGATGGGGGGCGCGGGATGAATGAGACGTAGCCCAGGGTTGCTTGGACACCGCGGACATTGAAGGAGTCCTGGGGTGGGTGTCAGGTATGCATGGAGAGAAAGCATGTTGAGGTGCATGTCGACAAGTATCTCGTAACTAGATTGCTGGATGGGAGAGTAAGAATGGGACTAGGTACCTTCAGACTAATCGGCAGCCCATGCAAAGGCCCCATAACCCTACCCTCCCTCTTGAAAAACTCATCACACTCCCTCGCCCTGGCAATCGCCTCGTCGAACATAATCTCTGTCAAACAACTCACACACTGCTGCGCTACAGCCGCCCTCTTACAAAACGCCGTCACCACCTCCGTACTCGTCAACTGACACTCTGCCATCATCTTCACCAGATCTGTAGCATCGTAATTCTCAGTAATGTCCAACTCTTTTTCCGTTAGGATGCCGCATGTTCGTGGTACGTCTAGCACGGAGATGGGCGCGGTCTCTGTGTATTGAGATGTTTGGGATGGAGGGAGGAGCCAGTCTTTGGGGATTTTGGTGAAGACTGAGGCACGTTTCGAGGCGGCGAGAGTGCGCCAGTCGGCGATGGGTGGTGCGGTGGTCATCGTTGTTGATGGTGTGCAGTCTGGAGGTTACGTGAATTTGTTCGAGTCTGAACTATTAGACAAAGAACGACGAGTATAAGAACATAGGTTCGAATTGAGGAGAAGCAAGCAGCAGCATAGCCGTGTCATGTTGGAGACGCGACCTACATCATTACACCCTGTCAATGAGGGGCTTTGGGGAGCCGGCCGAGGTTCCCGACTCGGAATGGTAATCGGAACGTGCTCAGCGTGGAGATATGTGGGTATGGACTGGGATAGTGCAGTGAGTGTACAAAATAGCTTCTTCCGGGGTGTCAAGTAAACTGTTATTCAGAAGAACCCAAACTTCAACTTCATTAATATCTGATGTCCGGAGAGAGTACTGCTAAACCTACTTGAGCTCGGATATACAATCGACCGTAACGATATCATGCCCGTCGAGGGCTCAACAGCGCCCATAGTCTCATGAAAGCTGACCTTGAAGATATGTTCCCTATGTAGGACTCAGGCTTCAATCCCTTCTCCTCTCGCTCCTCTCGTGTGGTGACCTGCTCCTCGTGTCCTTTCGACGTCTGCGGTCTCTCGAAAGTGACCTTGAGCGTTTCGCATCGATGTCGCGTTCGCGCCTGCGCTCTGCATGATCGTCTCTTCGCTTGTGGTCGCGGCTTCGTGATCGGTGTCTGCGTCTATCATCGCGACCATCGTCCCTCCGCCTGTCGCGCGACCGTGAACGATCTCGGTGCCTGTGTCTTCGCTCTCTGTCTCGCGAACGACTCGGTGATCGATGACGTCTTCTTCGCTCTCCGTCGTCGTCTCTGTGTCTCCGTGAACGCTCCTTCTTCTCCCTCCTCTTCGCCTTGTCGTCATCTTCTGCCACCTTGACTTTCTCGTCTAACGTGTCTTTGACGTCTGCCTGGTGTGCCTTTTCGCCCAGTGGCGTCAAATTTGCGTTGTTGCGTACCGGAACTGGTAGGCCCATTGCAGCTAGCATCGCGTCTTCTTCGGCCTCCTTGAGTTTGCGCTTCTCTTCTTTGATGCGCGCTGCCTCGGCTTCCTTTGATTCTTCGTCGCCTTTTGCGTACCAGTTCAGGTCGCGTCCTTGCTGCCAGCGGCCGACTGGAGCCATGAGCGAGTGGCCCAGGTAGTTTTCGCGTTGTGCATCGTTCTTGACATCTTCCCATTTGAAGTCGGCGCGACCGCCGCTGAGCAAGGTTAGTTAGTAGATCCGACATCAATCATGGGTGGGCTTACCGGCTGCCTTCTTTGCGCACTGTTTGTACGAGATCCATGGTGTTGATTTGTCGTGGTTGTGTAATGGAGAAGACGGCGCAAGTGAATTGCGGCCAACACGCGGAGGTGAGAGGCCCGTGCTACCAGTAGCTTCCCCGTCGACAACCTCAAAGAGCTTCTATACAGACCAGACACAATCACTCTTCAGTCGCAAAACTCCCAGCGCCAATATGCCTCCGATACTTCCACCCCCCGACGAGCAGGAGTACGATCAGCCCTCGACAATCGTTGAGCTACCAGGACGCGACCTGAGCGCTGGAAACAACCTCTTCTTCTACTTCACCTCGTCGCCATGGTTCGATCCGGAGGATTGTATCAATATAGCTGTCTTTACAAACCTCAATCTCCAGGATCCGGCTAATGCCCAACATGTTATGAACGACCCGAAACTATGGAACCAAAGGCTCAAAGACACGCCAACAGGAATACAATATGTAATAGCTGGCGAAGGGCAGGGTGAGGGCCATCCATGGCTACTTCAGCGCCAACACAAGCTCGAGATTACAAAAGACGATGGCAACAAGGAGATTGGCATGTTTGTTGAGGGTAACTGGTACACGCATGGAACCAAGGTTCTCATGGCGCCGAGCTTGCTGGACGTTGTGCAGAGTCGACTACTCACAGTGTCGACGCGCATGCAACAGATGGCTGAGATATCCAAGAACATGACACATTGGACGCCTGCGACCGGGTACTCCTATTTCCCTCCTTCACACGAAGCTACGAAAGCTGCGGCGACAGCGAGTCGAATCGGTAGCCCAACGCTGGCGCCAACGGATCCAGACGTCGCGGGCTCGCAATCACAGGGCGCAGGAGCGGGTGCGACGGCACAGGCGACAGATCCACTGGCATCTACCACGGAGTTCTCCGACGCACTATTCATGCATTCGCTAAATCTCACAAACGCGTACGGAGACGAGTACATGGACGAGAACCCACTGAAGGGCGAGCCAGGCGCGTTCGTCTTCGAGGGTACCAAGACCGCCGTGAGCGCGAGGAACAAGGCCCAAGAGCAAGCAGCGCAAGCAACGCAGTCGGCACCAACCGTGGGACTGAAAATCGAGACACAGCCGCCGAGCGTAGCGCCATCTGTTGTAGGCACACCGAAGACGATAGGGACGCCGACTACATTGGAGGCACAGGGTAAGAAAGGCACCATTGCTGCCGCGCCCAAGAGGAAGAAGGACAGGAGGAAGAGTCAAGGTGGATTAACGAGTCCGAGCACGCCGAGTGTGCCGTAGTCTTACTGTCCTTGGATTATGATGCTGCCGGAGCAAGTCGTCCATTTTCTTTCCATGATACCCCCCGACTGTACAAATGTCAATGTCAATGTCCAATCACCGTTAGAAGTCGTATTCGTCGTGTTCCCTGTGCGCTTGTACTCGTAAACTGACGCATGAATCCTGATTCCGATAAGCCCAAGGGACAGCCAACCGGAATGGAAGGTGCATGCGATATCTGGCGCCTCTCACTCCACCCCGAACGCCGAAGCAGAGAAGTAAGCAACATCAGGCCCCCAAATATACTACCTAGCAACATGTTGTTTTGTATTTAAGCAGTCGTCTTGATGATCTTCTCTCACCCTCATATCGCCAAGTCCATCAGAAAAGATGGTTTTAAGAAAAGTCGTCACTTCATGCTCTCACTCCGACTCTTGTCATGGCGAAGCACAAAACACCGTCACCAGCGACTCAAGCAAAGAGAAGCAACCCGAAGAGCAACTTGAAAAACAACCCCAAGACTTCCTCCCCGTCCCCAACCCAATGCCCAGCTACTGGCTCAAGCAACCCCACCGCTACGCTCAACTCCGCACAACAAAAGTACTCCCCTCATCCTGTGACATCGCCATCATTGGCTCCGGCATGGCTGGTATCCTAACCGCTTACCACATCCTGCAAACCAGCCACTTGGCTCACCTCACCACAGGCACACCTATGCCTCGCGTCATCATTCTAGACGCCAGAGACCTATGTTCAGGAGCAACAGCACGCAACGGCGGCCATTCCAAAGTCAAAACAGCGACGCTAGCAGGCTTGAAAGATGGGAGCGCTAGAACGGCGTTTCAAGACTACGTGCACCGAACACATACGGAGCTGAAGTCGATTGTTGATGAAGAGAGGTTAAGTGAGGAGTGTGAGTTTGAACTCCGCCGTAGTTTCGACGTTTTCCAAGATAAGCGCGAGTTTGACGAGGTCAAGAAGGTGTATGATGAGGATGCGAGGAAAGGGGAGGGCTGGACGAGGAAGACGGGTGTGGTGCCGGGGCAGTGGGTGGAAAGGGTGACTAGTGTCAAGGGGGCAGTGGGCGCGTTTTCGGTTGAGGCGGCGAGTTTTTGGCCGTACAAGTTGGTCACGGGCTTACTCGAGGTCATGGTAAAGCGGTATGACGGGGTGTTGTTGAATGTACAGATGAATACTGTTGTGACACGGCTTTCTACCTCTTCTCCGACAGAAGATGTCAATCAGCTAGAGACGCCTCGAGGCACCCTCACAGCCGGCAAAGTCGTCCTAGCAACAAACGCTTACACAGCCTCCCTCCTCCACTCCTTCAGCAAAACAATCATACCGTACAAAGGTATGAATAGCCACCATGCGGCTTCTCCATCTTATTCTCACGCCATCCTCCCTCACCTAGCCAACACTTACAACATCCACTTCGCCCCATCATCACCCGCCCACCCCACAGGCTGCGACTATCTAAACCCCCGCCCCGACGGCTCCATAGTCGTAGGCGGAGGATCATGGTTCTACCAAAACAAGCACTCCCACTCCGGTCAAGACCCCTACAAATGGCTCGACACCGTCGACGACAGCGAGGAATCAGGACACTTCCCGGCCTCCGTCTATGCCCACTGGTCGAATTACATGGTCAAGACTTTCCTAGGTTGGGGAGGAGAAGAAAAAGAAGACAAAGTAAAGGTAGAACCAGATTCCATATGGACGGGTATCCAGGGTCAGACGGGAGATGGGATGCCGCATGTTGGACGGGTTCCTTCCTCGTCACCTCCCTCCACTCTCGCTGTTCCCTACCCTCCTGAAAGTATAGTTGATATGGAAAACCGGCAGAAGAAACAACAATGGCTACTAGCAGGTTTCAACGGGGGCGGAATGGCGTTGATCCCTTTAGTGGCCAAAGCAGTTGCGAAGATGGCATTGCAAGATAAAGAGTTCGAGGATGTGAGAGAGGAGTTTGGGTTGTTGGAGGGCATGGGTACCGGGGGTAGTAGAATGACGGATGTAGAGGGAATGGGGATGTCATGATGTGTGGATAGTGGTCTTGATTGGTAACAGTACTCAGTATGCAAGGTAGTCTGGATTTCAGTTTTTGCACGTATAGAACGCGCGCGCATTCTATATGCTAACGGTAGCGATGGGTCTAATTACAATTTACGTAAGAAATTAAATCTATAGGTATGTATACACAGTTTAAGAAAGAAAGGTAAAAGCCATATATGGCTAGCTAATTGTTTGGTTGAATGATCCAACGAGATCGTCACTGGTGGTGCGCAGAGGACGTGATAAATGAGTGGGTAAATCCCGGATCCCTTCGCTGAGGAATCTCCGACGGATACGAGTCTTGACTAACTAATCATCCCTAAGAAGCGAATTGTTTGTGAGGTCAGAAAAAAGAAGGAAAAAACATAAACTCCGTCCCATATGCCGCTTGCTTGTCCCCTTCATATTTATGAGCCATTTGCAAGAGTAGTTTGACGAAAGCCTTCATCAGAACAATCAGTTTGTTTGTTTCAACCGCCCGCGAACAATGCAAGAGTCCCAGAATGCTTTCTACACCCGTGAAGTAACAAAGGAGAGATACCAAGCGACAAGGTAGAAGCGCGCTCGAAATGACGAGGTCGTCGGTGAAGTTGAGAGTGTGTGTACAGGTATAAGGTTAGAGAGGAGAGAGAGATAGGAAATGGTATCTCTAAACAATTTGAACGTGGGAGGGGTGAAGATTGGGGATCGTAGGACTCTCGCTTCCTAAGAACAACGTATTCCTCAAAACAAAGCAAAGAAAAAAAAGGGATAAAAAAAGTTGTCAAGACTACAAGTGGCAGGTCATAGTGCCTTACCACACCCACTCAAGGTCGCCCAGATCGTCGGTGACCTGGGCGTGATCGGTATGAGAGCGCCAATCTTTGCTCTTGTACCAGTTGTCCACCTTTTGCTCCCAGGAGCCAACGGTGTTGGTGTTTTCGTTGTGGCTGGAGCCCCAGTTGATTTGGCGTCGGCCAGTACCAGTACGGCTCCGCTTCCGGGCGGAGGGCGGCGCAGCGTGAGCTGACTTGGGAGACCTCATAGGTTTCGAAGGAGTCTGCTGCTGGACTTGCTGCTGAGCCTGCACGGCAGGGCTACGACGGCGGTCGCCGAGAGCAGCCCATTTGTCGGCAGCGGAACGCTTGGAGGCCGGCGCCGGGGCGCGATGCTCCTCGAAGACGAATCCAGTCGTCGCGCTGACGTGATCGACGGCCGTGCGAATGTTCTTAGGCGAACGGTCCCTGCTGTTATGGACGGTGGCAGGGTTCTTGACCTCCGACAAGCCGCGAGGGGTCGACACACCCGATCCGGCCTCAGAGACAACAGCCTTAGCCTTGGACGACTTCTGAGCACCAAACGAGTGGCAGTTGTTCTCGAGCTCGGCAAGGAACTGCGCATCGTCATCCTCCTCATCCCAAAGGTCACTCCAGCTCTTGCTGAACACGTCACGCTTCTTTCCAAAGACGGAAGACATGCTGTTGAAGGCCTTGGCAGGGAGCGAGCCAGAGATAGGGACGGGCCGAGAACGGGTAAAGTTCATGGACTTGGGTTCGCTGACGTCAACGGACTTGAAAGATAGGCCCAAGCCGGAATCCACAAAAGATACGGCAGACGCACTATCGGGCTTAACGTCGTAAGGCGGCCCACCGAACATCTCATCCTCGTAGATTTCGTCGTCAGGGATAGCTGAGAGTTGACGGAATTGCTGAGGTGGAGACATTGCCAAGGCCTTCGCCCATGGGAATGATCCACCATTATCGAGCTGAGGTGTCGAGATGGAGGGTGTGCGGAGGGGTTCACGGTTGGCTCCGACAGCGACGAGGTCACGCTCCTCAGTGCAGAAGTCATCAAGGCTCTCATCATCGGTGGTAAAGCTGATAACGCGGTCGAGAGCATCCTTGACGGCGCCGAGGTCGCGCTTCTCAGGGTCAATGGCCAAGCACTGTCGGATGACCTCAAAGGTATCTTGCGACATGTTGGGGAAGACATCGAAGAGACTCTGACGGTCGAGAGCAAAATCGGCGTACAGGGGATCCGAAGAGGACGGGACAGCGAAGGGGTTGCGCTGGAAGAGGATGTTGAGGAGGACGATGCCGATGGCCCAGATGTCTGCCTTGGCGGTAGAGTAGCCAGTGTTGCCAGGGTCGTACTGCTCAGGAGCCATGTAGCGGTCGCTGCCTACAGCAATCTCGTAAGACCAGGTGTCGCTAGTAGCAAGACCAAAATCTCCAAGCTTCATCGAACCATCCTGGGTAAGGAAGATGTTCTCGGGCTTGATGTCGCGGTGGTAGATACCCTTGGAGTGGATAAACTCAACAGCATCGACAAGCTGCATCATGAAGTCGCGCACGTGCTCAGTCTCGAGGGGACCCTTGCCAACACGGATGGCCTCGTAAAGGTCGCCATTGGAGCAGAACTCGAGGACTAGGTAGATGTGGTTCTGGGTCTCGAAGGACTGGAGCAGGTTGACAACATTGGAGTGGTCACCAAGGTGGAGGTGGATGCCAAGCTCCTCGGAGCGCTCATCGACTGCGAAAGCGGAAGGGCAGTTGACGGCGGCAGAGCTCTTGGTGATGACCTTGATAGCAACGTTGTCACCAGTCACAAGGTCCTTGGCCTGGAAAACCATGCCGAAGGAGCCACTGTTGAGTGGGGAGATGGTCTCGTATCGTCCATTGAGCACAACGCCATCGTGAAGCTGATCGCGCATGCACTCCATTGGGACGATGTGTAGTGAAACTTGGGGGGTTGGCTGTAGTAGTAGTGAAGCCGAACAAACAAAGGAACAGGAAAGGTGAAGCTCGATATGCGAATCAAACAATGGGCAGACAGCCGAAAGCCCAAAAGCGATGCTCTATCAGACTTTTAGGTGACGACGGAGTCTTGGGAAGATATCAATAAATGGTTGTAATGGTGTCCGCTGGTTATGGGATAGGTGGGACCGAATATGTCGTAAGGCAACAGCGTTGGCTGTCGAGGAAACAGAAAGCAAAGTCGTCGGTGATATGCACAGGAGTCCGTCGACGGAAACAGCAAGGAAATGCTCAAGAGAGTGTAGTTCTCATTTGTCGGTATTAATTGCGTATGGATAGCTCGAGTCAACGAGCAATCGGGAGTGAGAGAGGAGGGATGGAGTCGTCGACGTCCGGAAAGGAAGAGTTATCGCTGCGTAAAAGAGAAGAGAGTCGTAACACGTGGAAGTGGAGGGTGTCGTCGGTAGGCAGACAGAAGGGGGTTGTCTGGATGACGCGATTGACGGCGTGAGTCAGGTGGCACGGGCTCACGCGGAAGAAAGGGAGCTAGCAGGTCGTCGAAGAAGATCGAGAAGATACCAGTTGTCGGAGTTCGCTAAGACGGGTTCGATTGATAGAGCATCAAACGGCAGCTTAGGGAAGCTATTGCGGCGCAGGTAGTCGGGCTGAGGTGAGGTGAGGTGAGGTGAGAGATGAGGACGAGTGGGTACTCGGGCTAGCTGTCGGGCGGATATCGGGATGGCCAGCAGCGAGCTCTCAGTGTCACATCAAATCAAGGCCCGGCGGTGGCAGCTATATGGTCGAGTATATGCGTGTGTAGCGCGTGCTTGTCGTGTGGTGATGGTGGAGGAAGAGGAGTCGGAGGGGGGAGGGCGGAAGGGATGGTGTTGTTGGCTTGTTGACGTTGTTGACGTCTGAGCTGCGAGCGGTTGCGGCTGCGGAAGAAGGAATGAGTGGTGAGGTGGTTATTAAGGCAGCAGCGGATGTTGTTGTGATGATGATGAGGAAGCAACGCTAGAGCTTGCGAACAACGACGAGAGCAAAGATGTGGGTACGTGTTATGGAGGCATCGGGAGATGGTGGTGAGGTGATAGCGGGTAAAAGACGGCCATGCTGGGTATTAGAGGGCACAGCACCAGGAGCTGAGCCCTCGGGGGATCCGCTTACAGCAAAGCGGCGGTGACCTAAGCAGGGGTGCAGCTTAGGGACTAGCGGCTCTGCACTAATATACGTGGCTTGCATCATGAGGTGCTAAAGCAGCACTACCAGCACACCAATTGGATCCGCCACTCGTCTGCCAACTTTCCATGGCCTTCGACGGGTGTCCACCATAGTCGTCACTGCCCTCGCTTTCGTCCCCAGCCTTTGTCCCTGCTTTGGCAGCAGCGGGTCTCTCGGCATCGCATCATCTCTATTGCATCAGTCATTGCGGGAGCCCCTCCCCACCTGCCGGCCCTCTGACAGCCTCTGTGCTGGCGGACGAATGCTGAGAAATTAACCATGACGACCGCTGAAACATCGTCCCTGCTTCACAAAGATGGACGGCGGACAAGGCGCGCATCCAGACCACGACCAGTCTGACCAGCTGTCGTGCGCCAATGCAGGCTTAGCCCCAAGCGCCGCCTCCTAGGCCACTGCTGATCGTATCCCCAAGCACTGTAGGACACAACTGCCACCTGGCCTGTAATTGGTGACTCCCACCCTCCACGAGCTGCTCCAACAGGACCGTTATCTCTCGTTTCGTGATGCTTGCCACTTTATCTGCAGTTATCTTGCATGAGCCTTGCGGTACTCTGCCGACGTATGACAGCATGTATCGTTGTCGTGTGCCCTCGCATCTTGCACCGTCTCCAACTGTACGATCCAGGGGCTGGATCTACGCCCCAACAGAGCATGACAGGTGTTTCGTGTACTAGCTCCGAGGCCATTTGGTACACTATTCGGCTGACTTATTGACCCTCAACTCTGGCCTCAGCAGGGTCGGGCGGGTCGCGGCAAACATTAGAAATCCGGGGAAAGCTTGCGTTGCGTTGCGCCGCGCTGCGACGGTGACTGTGACTGACTATGACTGACTGCCCGCGACTGCGACCTGGTGTGCTGCGGTATCGCGCATCTTCAATAATCGCAGTCGGTGCAACACGCGCTTCAGATGAGACAAACTCATGTATGCGCTCACGCTCATTTGTCGAGCCCATGTTTTCGCAATCCTGCCTCATCCTTCTGTTTGTTGTCTTCGGGGCACTGGCTGCCCAGATTCCGGAGTAAGTTTCCCACTGCACTCTAGAGGAGGACACGCAGTAGCTTGCAGTAACTTGCAGCGTCCTGCATCCAGAGCCACCCAGCGAGCCTGTTGGACAGGCACTCGACGGGCTACTGCAGGTAACATGCACCGGGCCATTTCTTTGTACCCACTCGCTGTACCTGTCCCTGGGCTACCCATGAGCGGTGTAGAGCATCAAAGACAACACATTCTATACCAGCCTATAGCACTTCCAACTTTGTTACGTTGAGGCGGATCTGATTTCCATGACAGGCGGAGTTGAAGTGGGGGCCTGCGGAAGCTATCTGGAAATCTTGCGACATCGAGCATCAACATGCTCTTTTTAGCCAGGAACACCCGTCCATCTCACCATGGTCGACCGTACATAGTCCCGAAAACACATGAAGGTGTGGATATTCTGGGGCTCGTATGACGGTGTGCGCCTCAACCATCAGCCTCATCACGATCGTTGCAAGGAAGTCGTGGGGAAAGAGTCGTCTGCCATCGTGACTGTACGCATGGCTTCAACCTCCGATGCCCGATGACTCCTGATGCTTTTGAAAATTTTCTTCTCGACAGCACGTTCGCGGCTTTCAGGCCTCATCCGGCAGTCGTCCACTGGAACCTGTTTACATTTCACAATAGTGCCCAATTTTGCCGTGGTAACAACCTCACCGCTTTGCTTTGAAGTTCCTGTCTCAAGCCTCGCACCAGTTAGCTGCCAGCCCAGACACACAAAACTACAGTTCGCAGAATAGAGGCGCTATAGCAGAGATTTCCCCCTCACCGCTGTTCACCGCCCTGCACTCAACAACAACGACAACAACAAGGAAACAATGTCTACCGCGTCCCTCGACCACGCGCGCTGGAAGCAAGCAGAGGTAGTGTTACTCGATATCGGTAAGTCGCATTGCTATTCTCGAGTCCTGCATGCAACCACTGCAGCCAGCCTCCACCAACCTCGCGAGCTACGCATCTAGTCAGCAACTTTCCGATGGCGATGCAAACCAGCGACAAAGAACCTTGCCCTCGCCTGCCATGTCTGTGTTGCCCTCGGGCGCTACCCCAGGTTTTGCCTGCGCCACTGCAACTTCAGCCGCCTTGTCCAACCCCAAGGCGTGTGCTGACATGAATTTCTAGAGGGCACTATTTCGAGTATCTCATTCGTCAAAGATGTCATGGTAAGCTTTTCCATCTTCGAATGTCATTTCCTTCGCGCTTGCACTTTCCCTTGCTGTTCGTCTCGAGGCCCATCTTCCCCGCATCCGGACGAGTGATCAACACCACCAAACGTCTGTCGAGAATCACGCCGGCCCGCACTCCCATGCCATTCTGGTGTCACAGCAACTGTAACTCGGCAATGGTGAAGCCACTCGTTGCCTCTTTCTCGCCTCCCCTGTTCTAGATGCTTTTGCCGACCTGCACCTGCCACTCCAAAGATGATCCAACTTCCGTCATCTGTCACGCGATGCCTGTGGGGTTTCCCCTTTTCGCTGTCCGCTCACAATAGCCGCAGTACCCGTATGCACTAGACAGTCTCACAAGACTAGCACGAAATTCCTGGACGGATGCCGACTTCCAAAACCTCATCGCGTCGTTCCCAGACGACACCAAGCAGAGCGCCGATGCGCTAATCGCCCATGTACAAGACCTTACGCGGCGCGATATCAAGGCTGTGTACTTGAAGCAACTACAAGGTGGGTAACAAATGAGTCTGTTTCAACAATGATCAACATCCCGGCACTCCTTCTTCTGCTAAATCACTGCCAACACCAAGCGCCGACACCGCGCCGCTCTAAAGTGGCTAGCTCGATCGGAACAGACGAATAATTCGATCGGCCAGTCACCAACGCCAACATTATCGCGATAGTCGCCGCCTGTTGCAGCGACCCATGGTGGTGCCAAACCCTCGCCTCGTCAGCTCGACGCCGCTCCAAGAACGATTTTGTCCATCGCACCGCAAGCGTGCGATCTGCTCATTCTAAGCGCTGTTTGCGTGCTAGAATTATCACGTACACATGCACATTGCCTTTATCACATCACTCAACACTGGCATAACTCCGCCGAAACTAACACTTCATCGCAGGCCATCTATGGACAACCGGCTTCCGCAGCGGTGATCTCAAAACTCCACTCTTCGACGATGTAGTCCCGACACTCGAGCAATGGAAAGCTGCTGGCAAGACTCTAGCCATCTTCTCCTCCGGCAGTGTGCAGGCACAGCTCCAATTCTTTTCCTACGTCAGAGACGGGCCGAAGACGAGGGACATTAAGCCCCTGTTCTCCGCTCACTACGATACCGTGAATGCGGGTCCAAAATTGGAGAAGGCTTCTTACGAGAAGATATGCTCCGAGTTGGGCAAGGACGTATCCCAAGTCACTTTCTTGACTGATAACGTGAAAGGTATGTTGGCTGTTCTGTCACGCCTTGCTTTGGATTTGTGAAACAACACACCACTGCGCTCACCGCCCTTGCACCACCCCACCATACGTCCACCTTGTCTCGCATTCCACGCCACCATGTCCTGACTTCACATACCCCACACATATCTTTCGTCATGCCGCATGTTGCGTCTCGTTTAACCCCTCTCCTGCTTGCGTTGTTCATGTCGGTAGTCTTGTTCCACATATCTTCCTGTCACGCGACCCCACCATGTTTCATGTCCTACTTGCACGTGGCTAGCTCCAATACTCTGAATACAGTACTGACACGTCTGGTTTGATAGAGGCCGAAGCAGCGATAGAAGCTGGCGTCTATGCTGTCGTTGTTGACCGTCCGGGTAACGCGCCTCTGTCTGATGAGTCGAAGGCGAAGTTCGCTGTCATTGAGAAGTTGACTGATTTGCCCTAAGCGGACAGTATTGCCTGTAGTCGCTTTAAGCGCTGTAGACAGGGAAAGGGGAATGCCATGACAGCCATTGCTATCATGCCACGAATGGGACTATTGAGACCTCTACCAAGGTTTCTTCAATTAAAAATAAAAACACAACATAGAACACAGCTCTTGTATCCCTCGAAGCTATATTTTTTTCTTCATTCTGTGACCAAACTTCGCTTGCTTGTATCTACGTTTGTGCCATATAAATTCATCGTTTCTATATCAAATACTAGAGAAATGCAAAGACATATCTTAGTACTTGGAAGTCGAAGTTTTGCATATATGCCTTACTGAACCAATTCTTTCTCCCCCATGGTTAAGAAAACATTGCCATCTCGAACTTGCGTCGCTCTTACATTTTTGTATATTGTACGCTGCTCATATTCAAGGCCTTGAAATAATCACATAGTCATGCAGGAAGCTTAATTTAGTTGTAATTCAAGCATACACAAGTTGTGGAAGTTAAATCTGCGGGATTCCAAGGGCGACCGGTCGAAAACGAACATTCAGATTCCGCATAGTAAAATTCGCTGGAGAGATGGACAAATCTTTTCGCGCTTGAACTCAGTATCGAGATGGAGTTTCTTCGGTCATTCCAGTTCGTTGAGTTACCAGTCGACGTTTCGTTGAGTAAAATTTCCCTAGTATCGGAACAGCGATGTGAACAGGTCAAATATCGATTGCGCAATTCGTTTTGTTGGGATCGGTAGTACTGCTTGATATACCGAAACCGCTTTATGATCGTCGACTACGCCATGTATTCGTGATATTGCGCGAAATTGCGTTGTACATTAAGAACATCTTCAGTGGCTGATTCGTCAGGCAAGTATCCGGGGAAAACATCAACAATCTCGAACAGGCTTTCGCGGTAAATTCCATATAGACCTCGGTGATCATATTCGCTTCTTTGTCGTCATATCGGAACCGGGAGATAGTATGAACGGGAGTTCTTTGCGTATCGATATGAGCGTAACAGTTCGACTCTCCGCAAAGCAATCGAATGCTCTAATCGTTCGTATGCGCCACAATACCGCTCCTGTTGGGTACCAGCATCGAAGCCATATCAACCCCTCCCCTCCCCGTCTCGTCGCCCTCCCCGACCTAAACAACCTCCCCTGCGACCCCTCTAATCCACTGCACCGTCTCGTCAACCCTACTCAAAAACGGACTATGTCCACTCTTCACCCTCGTAACCTCAATCTCTCCACCCGCTTCCTTGACCCCATTGACCATGGCCTCCTGAACAATCGGCGGAACACACTGATCCTCCTCACAAAGCAGATAGCTCGTCGGAATCCCCTTCCAACTCGCACCGGTGGCAGGCGCGTAAAACGAGGCCAGGGCCTGTGACTGAATCTGCGCAAACCAGTACTGCTGTTCCTTTTCCACGAGATCCGAGTAGAAAACCCTGGCATCTCTAGCGTAAACATACGGCTCCTGTACATGCACCCACTCGGGAACAAAGTGGTTGATAGCATCCTGTAAACAAGTCCCCTCGTCCACGATATACGCTGCCATATACCCCGTTCGCACTACCCCGCCTTTCAAGCCTTTGGCTTCCCTTTCTGTCTTACTGAGGCCAACTAGGGCGCTGCCTGTTACTACGCCGCCCCAACTATGCGGTAGGACCACGACGTCGTTTCCACCTTCTCCTGAGTCGATGGCGCTGAGGACTAGGGAGCGGACGATTGCAATGTCGGCTGTGAGGTCGACGGGTGGGGTCGGGTTGCCGACGGAGGCTAGTTGGCTGGAATGCAGGGTGTAACCGAAGGTGCGTAGTTTGGACATCAGGGGTTCGAAGCAGGAGAGTGTGTGCCAGGCGCCTGGGATGAGGACGAGTTGGGGTTTAGGCATGGTTGATTGGATTTTGACGAATTGCGGTAAGGATGGTAGTTGGGATAAGGTGAGGACGTGGAGGGCGTCAAGATCGAGGTGTGCCGTGGGATGAGTCTTGTTGTTATCGTGAAGCTTGGGAGCTGTCGCTACGGGTACTTGGTTTCGAGTGTTGATCGATCGTTCTTATATGGCAATTAGTTGGTCACGAAACGGAAGATAGTGTTGCCGCGTTGCTCGACATGGGGCCAATCAGCGTAACTCTAGCCATCATGCTGCGGCGCCCAGGCACGCCCTATGCTGACATTTCTTACGTGGGTATTGGCGGCATGACTACTTTGTAGCAAGTATTCGGACGCTTCTCTGGTGGTTTGAGCGACCCAAGCCCGAAATTGTCCGAGTTTTTACTACGGGGGATTGGCACAGTTGCTCATGTCTCCTCACTATAAGCGGTGTCCCTGCCACGTGCGAGTCGAAAGCAAACTGCATGCCACAGTCTGGTCGGAGTAGGCGGTCGTAAGACTTATTCGCGAAAGTTATAACAGTCGAAGCCGCCCAAGTGCTGTCTGGTGATACGCCGACCTCCCCAGTTTCTTTTTTCCCAAAGGCTGAGCATGCACGTTTCTGGGAATGCTGCCTTTAACCACATCGCCTTGGGATCCATGGGTTTTCCTTGGGTGAGATGTTCCTGCTAGCGGGAGTCGTATCCACACGTCGTTGCTTCAAATATCTCGACGACCTCGGTATCGGCCGCGGCCATGCGGAATGGATAGCTCCATGATATCAGCCAAACTGACTCCGGTTTCGATACACGAAAGGCAGTTGATGCGGATCGGGTGGTCCGGAAAATCCTAAGTTACCTCCATAGCTCCATTGTTTCTCTTACTCCTCCGAAGGATGTGCTCTGGTCATGTCTCCTTGATTTGTAACGGTGTTGATCTTCGCACGTGCGTCCAAGTAAGGTACGATTCGTCACATAGCGGGGGATAGATTGTGTGGTGAGCGATCGTGTTCGTATACGTTGTAAAAGCTGTCGTCCGCTGTAATTGAGTTCGGGATTTGTTGCACTGCTCAAACTTGCAAATCGAAATTGATAGTGTGGAGTGGGGCGGAAAATGCACTGAAGTGTTAGCGAGGTGTGGTAGTCAAGATGCGCACACAGCCAATCACAACTCGCGACAGCCAGTAACACTTGGAAGGGTATCCTTGTCCTCTCAACAGGGGAAGCAGTCACAGCAGGACCAAGTATGATGGATTTATGTAGTTGTATACGAAAAGCCGAAGCTTGGGTATTGTTGTACGTCTGTCGCCGTCCGTAGGTAATATGTACGCCTTCAACGCCGACAGTACCCAGAGTTACCCCCCTGGATACAAACTGAAAGCACCGACTGGCAGGATGCATGCCTAGAAGAATCTCCACCAGATGAAGACAATGATTATGAAGGCCAAGCCGCCGATAGGTCCATACTGCGCATTGTTAGCAATCTATAACCTTTGTTTCTCTGCTCCTGCCTATCACTCACCTGTTTCAGCAACAACTCCCAGTTGATGCGCTCAGCAGTCTTCCTGTACTTCCTACTATCCTCGCGTAACCGACTCGAGATGTCGCCCATCCTCTCCAGACTGTCCCCACGGTAAAGCAGATCCTCAATGTTCTTGGTCATGACCTTTGTGACGTCCTTGAGCTCATCGTTCAGCTTGTCCAGGTTCTGTGTTGCCCTTGAATCTTGGTATGTCTTCTTTGTGCGCTGAATGAAGGTATCGAACTCGACAAAGGCGTACGGTCGGCATGTCGGTGAGAGGTATTGTTGCGGTTGATATGTGGTGGTGAATTCGCGGTGGAGGTCGGAGAGGTACGTGAAGGCGAGTTTGCGCGGGTAGGAACGCTCGCATATGCAGAGAAAGCAGAGGTCGCCTTCGATTATGTAGCTGATGATGCGTAAGTACGGGTTGGAGAATACTCTACTTGATCGAGGCAAGGCAGAAGATATACATACTGGTATGTGTAGTTTCCGCTCTCTATGCTTGCTTGTTGTTCCGCATTACGGTTTAGGCGGCGCTGCACAAGCTTGACCTTGGCCTTGACCTCGTTGAACTCGGCGTCTGTCTAGAAATTGTGAGTTTCCTATAAGAGCTACATGCACTGCGTTGGAGGTGGCAGTACCTGCTCGTCATCGACTGAGGCTGTCAACAGTAGGCCTGCGCATATGTCAGTACTTGCGCAACCCTCTATACAACCGAGTTACTGACCGTCAAGCCGGGATATCATCGTGTGCTTGATCATAGTGGCGGTTGTGTGTGCGAAATTAGACTTAGCAGTTGCACAGTATCGTCGGCTCAAGGGACCAGCACAGAGTCAGGCTTGTTGTAAGCAAACGCGTAGTAGAGGCTACGTGTTGGTGTTAATGATACCAGATCGCAAAGATGACGATGCGGAAAGGTTGCGGGAGAGCGCACGGACTTGCCAACGGCCATCACTGAACAACCAAGCATGCCATGACACTTCAATCTCCTGTCATCTATGACTCTGCCGATACTGTGTCCGCCACGGCAAGGGCAAACAGGTTCGCTGAGTGCTCGTCGCCACCTCCGTTACAGAACGTTTGGTACAACCTCAATGCCGCAGCCACCATGTGGATTCGAGCCGCTGTTCTCGCGTACCCTTCTCACACCTTCACTCTAGTCATCGAGTGGCGGACGCGCTTTCAGCCATAACTCCAGTCTTTTGCTATTGTAACCTTGTTGATGAATCTCATACTCGGCCATTGTCAGATCAGATTTGCGGAACGCCATAGCTACTGCCCCAACACCATAAGAGACCATCGTACCAGCTCTCTAGCAGCTGCCAATCTGGTCAAGCGCGTTGACGACGCGTCAATAAACGACACCAGCTCAAGCTCACCACCAAGCTTTTGCTACGATCTGAGCGACAAAATGTCTTTGCCAGTAAGGTACGTTTCATTTCTTCACCATGTTCGACGCCGCCTTGTCTGCCAAGTGCGTAACTGCTATTGTGCAATTACACAATACAACCTTCGCTTTCACTTCACGCACCAACATCAATATTTTTCTTATACAAGTTTATCGTTTGGTACTGTGTCCTATTCTTCGCCGATTTAACTCTCTCTGATAATAGAAGGCCCAACACGGATTGGTAGCCTTCATATCGTCTCCCCCAGCTTTGATTAACAAATTCAGACCTTCGTCCGCTACTGAATTCACCTCTGCGTACGACCCTCACCCAGGGATAGTCTTGCCTACAAAACACGCAGAGAAAACCACAACACCACCTCCTACAACACCACACAAAAGAGCAAAAATGTCACATGCTAAACCAGACCCCTCACCCCTCTCTTCACCTACCTCATCTCCTTCTGAGCAGACCTCGCCCCTGGACTCAAGCCTGCCAAACCAGGCTCCAGATAGTGCCATCCCGAGCATAGAGAACGGCTCGTCTATTTCCACGACTGCGCCAACATCCAACATGGGTGCCAAACGTGCGCCCAAGCAGAGCCCCAAAAGAGCTCGTGAGGAAGAGGATGATGATGATGAAGCTTTCGGTACACCACCTCCCAAGGGGACAGCCAGAAAGACAAACAAAGCAGCAAACAGTAATACTGTTACAAAGAAGGCAGCTGCTCCCAAGAAGGCAATGCCGAAGAAAACCCCTGCAAAGAAGGTTGCAGTTGCACCGCCACCGCCCAGTTCGCGCCCTTCCCGAAACCGCAAAGCACCAGAGCGTTTTGAGGACCTCGAGGAGAAGCCTACTCCCAAATCCCTCCCTAATAAGAAGGGATCCAGCAAAGTCTTTGACCCCATCTACATCACTACCAACTCCTCCAGCCGCTTAGTCAAAGCCGATGTTTACGTAAGTCTGCCAATTTCCAACCTATCCCCAAGTGAAAGCGCTGACGGATCACAGCACATGCTCCTCGAAGGACCAGCCTGGACAAGTCTTAGCGCAGAACAACAAAGCACCCTTGTCTCCATGCTTCCTCAAGATACGACAAACCAGGCCTTACTTGCCAAGATCAGCGCTGGCGAATTAGAAGATACGCGACCCTCAGCCTTCACTTTGGAAAACAACTGCTTCCGAACTGATGTCGCCAAGTTCCAGGAAGATCTTAAGAATGGTCATCTGGCGAAGACGTGGCAGGCAGCTGCTGAGCAGGCAGTTGTTGAACGGGCGGCAGGGGAGTACGATGAGTGGAAGGCGGCGGAGGCCGAGAGCTGGTGGGGACAGAAGGGGAAATGAGGTCGCCTGAGGCAGATGCTGAGCGTAAAGCGAAGACGGTCTTGAGAGCGCCTCACGCAGCGCTATCTGCACCTCTGAAACGCGACTTCAATAGAGTCATGACTTGCGGGAGTTGGCATGCAACGGCGTGCCTCAGTTGCTACAACTAGTACATATCTTCTTGATTAGATATGATTTCGACAAAGCGCATATGGAAGATCTCATGTATTTCGGCATTGTGCGCGCTGCTACTTGAGTCCATTCGAACTTTCCCTTCTTCCCTTTGTCACTTTGTTGTGCTCAATTGCAACAGTGAAATACCAGACATTCCCCACAACGTGACTATTCAGATACGTCAACACACCATTAGCGCGATGTAGCGAGTGTAATCTGCAGTTCTTCTAGATTCCATTTCATTCCCTGAACAAACGGTTCTACTACCCCTCCCACTTCGAGTGTCTTCAATCCACCGCGATTGCACGACAACGCACGCTCACGCATTCGAACGCGAGTAAAATTGGATTGAGAGCGCCGAAACTGAAAGAGACTTTACAGTGACAGAACAAGCGCACACTTGCACAGCTGGTCTTCATCCACGATCAGACTATCAATGTAAGTTCCAACATCGCTCGGTCTCTTGCCTACACCATCTCTAATCTGTACCTCAGCACTACGATACACGGCAAAAATGTTCCCTACCGCCCCGATCCGTACTGCACCGGATACGACGAGCCTCATGCAAGGCGGTGTCAGTACTAGCTTTGCGACTGTCACCAAGACCGATACCATCGTCAAGATGCCGTATAGAACTTCGACGGTCACCGTTTCTTCCACCGTCAAGTACACTACGACACACCTTCGCGCCATCGTCCCACCAAGTTTGCTCAAGAACGTGACTGCCGCCTACAACATTGTGGACAAGCAGAATGCCGCCACCGAAACATACGCAATAAAATGGGCATTGGGGCTAGCCCTCACCACAGGAGCAGCTTTGGCTTGGCATATTAGAAAGACTCCCTCTCCACCAGCGCCACCTGGAGTCGATCGATTGAGGTGGGAAGCCATAAAGTATCACGTTCACAACTGGCTATATGAGAAGCTTAGGTCCAACGCCGGCCTACGCAAAGAGCTGGAAGATGCGAAAAAGAAGCTGGAAGATTACGAGACATTGCAGGAAGCAAGGACTGACCATTCGTGTCAGACGGAGAAGCTGTCAGAAGGAGCACGGTCAGTTCAAGATGGCACATTGCAGCAAACGATAGACTTCAACAGGATGCCAGGCGAAGCGACGTCTCTGTACGGAGAGCTCAAGGCAGAGAAAGAAAAAGCAACCGAGCTACAACAAGCACTCAAGGTGGAGAAGGATAGTGCGATGAAGTTGCAACATCGACTCCAGAAGACGACAGAAGAATTGGGACGTAGCATCGTACGAGTACGAGAGGCTCGGAGGCATACGGTCGAATCTGGGGTCCACAGAAAAGAGTCGGATGACACCGGAGCTACAGTAGCTTCGCTGCGGGAGCAATTGGATGCGGCGCTTCAAGAGGCGTTCAAAGCCAAGGCTAAAGCTGCCTCCATGGATCAGGAGCTACAAGTGGCACAAAATGAGCAAAACCACGTGTCAGATGAAGTAAGCGATACTGCATCATGGACGGTATCACCTATGTATCACCTAGGTATCACCGATGTATCAGGTTTATGTTCAAAAAGGAGAGAGAACAAACCAACGAAAAAGAGGAATGAATCAAGACATAATCCATCATCGCAATCAAAAACTTCTCCTGAGCTCATTTTCAGCATTTTGATCTAACACCACGCCAATTCGGAGCAGGGCTCGCAACGGATCAAATCAAAGCAATACTTGATTTGATTGATTTGATTTGATTACATAAGCATTTAATTTGATTTGATTTTGATTTAATTTAGATAACTTGATTTAAATTAATACCCTGCAGCGGGGTAGATAGACCCCGATTTCTTGTACTAGTAAGTTATCTCCTAGCTAGTAAATTGCTACTATACTTGTTAAATTAAACAAAACGCACTTGTGAACAATAGATATACTAATCGTACGCTAGTGACTCACAGCGTCTACAGTAATACATTACGATAAAATTTTATATACAAAAGCAGTTAATTAGAGTCCTTAGAATTAATGTTAGAGTATTTAGCTTTAGCAATGTTTATGTGAGGGGTAGTTATAGGCAATAGTATTTGCTTCACACTACAAGAGAATAGTGGGGGAAAGCTCTGTATTACTACACTAAGTGGGGAGGTTGTGAGAATAATTCTTGCCCATGTCCTAACGCGCGGGGCGCTGGTTATGAGCAGGTTCAGAGGCTAAGGCGCGAGCGAGAGAAGCAAACATGTTGGGACCATAATCGTCCTCCTCGCTCCGCCTCTACCGTCCCGTGTTACATGTAATTAGCGGCTCTACTAATGCTTAATATGTAATAAACACTTAACATGTAAATCTAGTGTTAGCAGCACAGATCGAAATAGACTATTTTTATATAGTAAATTGAAGATCCCTTTCTGCATCTTCGTACTAAGCTTAGTATCGCTAGCTAAAGTTCCTCTTGGTAAAAGCTTATTGGTTTTTGATAAGACGGGGCATCCACACATATCGAGCCTCCCTCTTTACAACATGGAGGTGCTAACATGTTGAGCCAATTAGCAAGTCGATAACCGGCCCTAGCAATCTGAAGGCTGACAGTGTCCTTGACCGAATCGAAGTAAACAGGATAAAGATCCCCAACTTTGAGCACATCAGGACCGTTTGGCATCACAACGGTGCATACCAATGCGTTTGCCTCGCTAGACCACCTCAACACTGAGTCCTTCACGTTCGAGGTAGTATCACCTTGGATCCATCCGGCCGACAGGAGATGGTATATGCCATCAGTATTATCGATGGCATCGATAAGAGTCTGCGCCCACACCTGAGCAGAGGGTAACAAGTGCTGGTGCCCACCGATTATCGCCTCTGGTATAGAAGTATCCCAGGTAGAATGTAGATTCACGGACTTTCCGTTGAACTTTACGTGAATGCTGTTGCCACCCTGTGCGATGTCTTCGTTGTGTAACGGTTGCGTTGCATCGCCGAGGAAGTGGACGAGAAAGAGGAGAGCTTCTCGTATTTGCTCATCGTCCAGTTTCGGGTCGTTCACACGATGTGTATAATTCACTATGGCCGAGATGACACAGCCTTGAGACTTGCAATCTCGATCATAGTCGACCTTGCAACAGGTAGGCTTGTTTTTGCACACGGTGGGTGGGCAATCGTGGGCGTCGATGAAGTGAAGTACCCCTGACCATCTACCAGCTACTGAATGGTCATAATCGTCTGGCCATGAAGCATTTATCGCCAAGTAGTCAGTAGAGTAATCTTTTAGGATATTCTGAGCCCTGCAAAACGTCAGCATATATCTGATAGCATCTTTTTTAGGGTTGTACATACCAGCACGCTGTGTTTGGAAGGCTATAATACTGAGCAATGTATGCGACGGTCGCGTGGCCAAGAGCACCCCATGCGTGTACTGACTGAACAGTACCGAGGAGAACCGCAGCGTATTTGGTAACAATCATCATGAATGTGCAAAGAGTTCTTTGTGGGAAAGAATTCTTTAGTTTGAGGTGAACATCAGCTTGTACCGGCAGTTCAGCTCAGTATATAACGCCAGCAATAATCTACCTCTTCCAGCTCGACAGGCTTTCGAACCGACTTAGCACAGCCAGCATCCAATGGCGCTGTACCGTGAATTTCTGCGAGAACCTTGCGACATGAAGGGCCGCGTCATCTGGTGACGCTGTTGCTGAAGCTGAAAGTAAGGTATTTTAAATCATCTCGTTGGCCATATCCAAAATGATGCAGGCGAAACAAGCAAAGAAACTTTCCAGCCCTCAGTCACACGCATCAGCTCACGCAAGCTCTGCAACTAATTGGCCGTTGTTACCAGCTGAGTTCATAAATGGGATTGGGGATCATGCAGGGTCCAACGCCATGTTGGGCTGAACTCGGTACATGCAATGCTCGATCATCAAAGTCCACAATGGCTAGCTGATGAACAGCACACACCATTTCCAATCATTTCCAATGGTTTCCAGTCGGCATTTACCGACTGGAACACGTTCCAGCTTACTGCAATGCTTTCGCCACGACTTCGGTACACCCCCGTATTCTTCAATCCACAGTTGCCAACAATCGAGCCGATCAAGCCCCGCTAACTTGTAATGGTAACTGCTAAACCAACTGCAGCTAAAGCTTTATTGTAAAAGGTTAGCCAGATCTGATTAGCTTGATTGTTGGCAACTGTGCTTTAATCGCTGCAGTTGACTGAGTGGGCATACAAAGCTCTGTTATTTTGCCATGCAAAACCTACGAATCTTTCCGCTGACTTTTGTAGCAGCTCTCCAGTTCTCAAGTGTATAATTTCAATATCAGGAAAATGACTGACTTCACTATTTTAAAGAACATGCTCTCCTCTGAGAAGCAGGTGCTTGAGCCAGGCTCGGTAGGATATTCGAAAGCTGGTAAGTGCAATTGTTGCTCATTATGCGTGGGCGCGATGCTAATGATCGAATCCAGTATTCATTGGAAACTTGAACTACCGAATGACCATGCCCAGCATCGTCGTAGTAGCCAACTCTATCGAAGACGTTCAAGCTACTGTCACTTTCTCCGTGCAGAACAAAGTCCGTTTGACAGTCAAGAATGGTGGGCACTCTTACATGGGGTATTGTCTGAACCAAGGCGGAATCGTGCTTGATCTCAGCGGCATGAAAGGCTGTTACATTGACCCGGACAAAATGACGATTACGATGGCAGGCGGTATGATTTGGAAGGAAGCATACTACAAGTACCTCAAAGACCCGTCTTTCATTGTCATCGGTGGACAATGTCCAAACGTCGGTGTGAGCGGATTCACCCTGGGAGGCGGTCTCAGCCCTTTTTCTCGCAGCTACGGACTTGCCTGCGATAATTTGCTCGAGATGACGATCGTCACTTGGGAGGGCAAAATTGTGACTGTATCCCGAGATGAGCAAGATGAGAAGAAGCGGGATCTGTTTTGGGCCTTGTCCGGCGGCGGAGGGGGTAATTTCGGTGTGACAGTCAGCATAACGAGTAAAATGCACAGACTCAAGGACAAGGACGGAATTGTTGTCTGCGGCGACTTGTCCTGGGACCTTCCGCAGCAAAAGGAAAGCTTCGACAACATGATGGAAGTGTTCAACACCACCAAGTGTCCCGACGAGCTGACAATCGACGCACTCTGGAACCACGGAAAGAACAAACAACTCAGTGGCGGCATGACGGTTATCTACAATGGAAGTTGGGACGCGGCCCAAAAGGCCCTAAAACCATTGCTTGACTTCCAGCCGAAAGAGAACACTTTAAAGCCTATGAAGTGGTCTGATTGGGTTCACTTCAGCGAGGGTTGGGATCCATTCAGTCAAGTCTACCATCACCATGCATCCTTCATATTCGCTGAAGGGGCAATCACGCGGCAGGTCAGCAGCGTGATATATGATTCATTGGTCGAGGCTGTGAAACGACTGGATATCACGGACAACAACGGAGATAATGACCCCAAGTGTCATATCCTGTGGGACCACATTGGAGCTGCTACGACCAGAATTGGACCACAGGACACGGCCTTTTACTGGCGACAAGGCCATTACGTGTCAACAGTGAAAGTACAGTGGACCGATCCAGCACAAGGACCAAAGATGATGGACTTCATCGCCAGCTGCCAAGCAAAGTTACTGCCTCTTGCAATCGAGCAGAAGGCAGCTTACCTCAACTACATCGACGGCACCATTCCCAACTGGCAGGAGGCATACTATGGTCAAAATTACCCCCGCCTTCAGAAAGTCAAAACAATGTGGGATCCTCAAAATGTCTTTTGGAATTGGCAGAGTATCCAGCCACTTGCTGATGGTATAAACGCTATGCCCATACATGCGGTCCTTCCTGTTCCTAGCCAATCAGAAATCTTGGAGCTGCCTCAGCTTCGGAAGGTCGCAAGGTGGTGGGGAAAATGCGCGCCCTTGGTCACGCCGGATGTCTTGGGCTCACCTAGCACAGAGGAAGATGTTTATGAAAGAGATGCCGAGATTCGGAGGGAAGTTCTCCAAGGTTGAAGACTGTTGCGGAACAACAATCTCACGGGAGCAACTTCGCTGAAAGATCGAGCCCTCAGTTAGTAGTAAAAGTTCTAAAACTCGAATTGATAATTCTGGTGCCCGCATCGTTCAAATCTGACGATTTGGTTGTAGTATTTGGCTTTTGTGTTGCAGAATCAAAATACATCACCGTGACTGTCAAAACGCAGCCCTGCACCACTATGCTATGCACACGAACTACTTGACCTACACGTCACAAAACCGCAAGTCGCTCTTTCTGCCTTGCACTTCTTCACTTATGACCCAACATTAACAAACAAGCGGATGGGAAGAGTCTTTACCTTCAGCAGACTGCTGCCTGGCCTCTCGTGTTAGTCATTACCTTGGCGCACTCCACCACCAACGCATTGAACCATCTCCTCCACTCACCAGCCTGTTATCAACACCCCTAATTCCCGATTAAACCCACGATGGCCGATCCGATTGTCCCATTTGGCATCTATAGTCTCCAAGTAGAGATGAAAATCAACATATTCGCCTTCGTACGCGAGAAAACTACCAAGGCAATCGTATGTCTAGTAAGTCGAGAATGGCGAAACACTATGGGACCCATGGCTCTCGAGAACTTCACACTTTGAAAACGCAGAATCACCCCTGAGATGCTTTAGGTACAAGTCATGTATGGGAAACGAGCTGCTTCCTATGCAGTGGACAAATCAGTAGTAAGCACTCAGAAGCCAGCAAAACACCAACAAACATACGATGAAAAGCGTCCTTTTCATTGAAAAACTTTGTCCGCACAGCGTCCATATATACAAGAAATCGGCTAGCAAAATATTTACAAATCGAAGCCTTACTAAACCCCCTTTTGTCTTCATCTTTCATCCCTGAATCTTTTATTCCAAATCCTGAGATCATGTCATGTAGGTTGATGCACCCATAACCATTTAGAACTTGAGCGTAACACCAGCGGTTCCAACAACAGCAGCCTTGACGGCGCTAGCCTCAAGGAGCTCAGGAACCTCGTAGGGGGCCTTGGAAAGAGTACCCTTGGGGGCAGTGTTCTCGCTGTTACCAAAGTCATTGCCCTCAGCAACGGCATTGCCGCCGTCGGTGCTGTAAAGCGCCTTCTTAGCCTTGACCCAGACGTTGTTCTGGACGAGGAGCTGAGCACCCTGGCGGGTGTTGATGCCGTCGCTGACGTTCTCGTAGTAGTTGTTGTAGAGGTGACCGGTTCCGAAGCGGAAAGAGGGGCCGCGGGAGTTGATGTTGAGCCAGTAGTTGTTGTTGTAGGTGACGGTCAAGTGGCCCTTGTCTTCGCCGCCGTTGCTGTCGGAGTGGCCGACGAGAGAGGCCTTCCAGTGGTCGTGCAAGAAGCTGTTAGAGATGGTGACGTAGTCTGCAGCGTGGGTGACGTCGAGGAGACCGTCGTAGTAGTCCTTGTCGTGGTCGAGGTCAGAGGAGAGGTCAACGTGGTCAACCCAGACGTTCTGGGCTTCTTGGATGGCGATGGCATCGCCGCCTACGACCTTCTCCATGGCGAAGTTGCGGAGGATGACGTTCTTGACTGCCTTGACCGTGATGGTGAAGTCGGACAGGACGACGGAGGCGTCCTTGCCGATGACGGACTTGTTGCTGCCGACCTTGACGTTCTCTCCGCTTCCCTTAATGGGGCTAGTGATGAGAACGATGGCGGCATCCTCACCCTTGACGGCAGCCTCCAACTCGCTGAGGGAGCCGACCTCGATGGTCTTGCCTCCCTTTCCTCCAGAGGTACCTCCGTTCTGTGTGGCGAAACCGGTGGTCGCGACATCCTCCAGGGATGCAGCGCGCTTGGCAAGACCGTCACGCTTGGGTGCGATCTGTGATGGCATAGGTGCTGCCAGAGCAGAGACGGCCATGAGGCCGAGAGACATGATTGAGAACTTCATTGTCGAAAGAAGTAAGTTGGTGAAGTTGGAAAATGAATGTGAAGGGAAAAAGCGAAGGACTGGTGGAGGTGTTGGTGTAGAAAAGAATGGAAGAGCTTTGCTGCCGAAAGTCTCATGGGCAGGTAGTACACATCCTTATATGCAATCTGGCACTACACCCACGTCGGGTGCTGGACGTTCATTGTGACTCCGCCGTCGTGGTCAAGCCCTTGCCGACGACCGAAAGCATAGGCGCTGGGAGCACATTGTTTCAAGCTTTTCGCACCAATCCCCTCCGCTGGGCGGCCCACCGCAGCGGAAGACATGGGCTGTCACTCACGATTTCGGGTGAGCACTCTTCCCTGGTCAGGAACCGTGTGGCGGACAAACGTCGCGACAGGTAAAACGTTCTTGGCAATCATGCGGAAGGATTCTGTTTGAAACGACTAACCATAACGGGTGCGGGTAACTCCACTTCTCGAGATGTAAAATTGCAAAGGATGTCGTTCGAAACAAGCTCGTACTCGGGCATCATAACTATGCACCTGCAGGAATGTCTTGGCTATAGGATCTGTGGAGACATGGCGGGCGCTTGTTGGTATCGTCACCGGTCGACTGGTGGAGCGCACGGCTTGAGTCGTGAATGATCAGTAAACAACATGTATGAAATGTACGGAGATAGTCCTGATGCATGCAGTCAATCTTGAATATATGGATCTGTTGTGCCACACCATTCGGTGTGGTGTGGCCTGCCGGCTGCAGGTGCAGGCGTGACCGATGTGGGAGGCAAACGTCTGACAACACGCAATTCTTTTTAGATCGTAGAGATACCGGATCCGTCTATCGAGGCGAACCCGGCAACATGTGCACAACTCGTCTTTTCCTTTCTTTTCTTAAGATTGTGAGAAATCTCTGCCTTTACAGAAGCGTCTGGACTTGTTGATCCTATCGCGATCGGCCCTTTGCATGTTCCAACTCCTGATCAGAACCCAACAGAGCACGCCATCAACATTTGACATTGCGGTAATGAATTGGAATAATGTAGAGAGAGCCCTGCAGCATGAAAGAGAAGGATCGAGGAAGGGACGAGACGGATGCGAAGCTTCTCTTGGTTTTCTGGGCGATGTTTTGACTGCGCCGAACAACCGTTCTCAGGAGCGCGGCACAGCCACATCTCGATGTGAATGACAAAGGATAAATAGGGAAAGAAGTGAAGATTGCATGGTATCGGTGTGCTTGCTTACATTCATATAAGTGAAGCACCGCAGAGCTGAGTATCAGCACTTATGGCCTGTCGTCAAACGTGGACTGAATCCAAGATAATGCTCCGGAGCAAGCGCGAATAATGTGCAAGTCCATGAGTTTAGCTAGGTCTGGCTATATCATTTGAATACGATAATTTTATGTGACATTGAATGCGTGGCGGCCGACGTCCAAAGAAGGTTTTACGGTTGGAAGAAGGTTTCACGTGCCAGAGTGACATCATCGCCCAAAGCAGCAACCACCTCCAACGGAACCAAAGAAGGCGCCGAAGTGGCCAGTAGAGCATAGCACACGGCAGCAACAAACGATTTCTACAACGTGTCCACACTTCCAAATTCATTCCAAAACGACCACCTCTTCTGCGCGACCACTTTGAAAGCAAGTGTTAGCTTTACTGCGACCAGGGCAGCGTGTTATACTCACCAAGCAGCACGAAGTACAATCTACCACTCATAGAAGCCTACTCCAACTCCTCCACAAAAACACTTTGTACCTGCAACTCGATCAAGATGCCACCAATCCCCATCCACAAAAATGCCCCAATCGCGCCCACGACCGCCGCGAAAGCCGACGGAATCACCCCTTCAACCGCCTCATTAGACCCGAATAACCCCCCACCCACACGCACAACGCCCGCCTACGCCCCGGCTACAACAACACAAGATGTGTCAAGCCCTCCAGCTCCCCAGCCCGGAGCCCGTCCCGCTGCACCAACAGGCACAGGTGTAGGAGCGAACTACAACAGCACACCAGCACAACCCCAACCTGGTGCCTTGCCAACAGCAACGGTGGTAACAACAGAAACAAGACAAGCAGCACAACCACCTCCACCTCAGTTCAGTCACCCCCCGCCGTCTGACTCCATGTTAGCAGGCCGCTCAACGACAACATCTACAACACCTTCCGCGTCAGCCAGCAAACCTGGTCCTACAACCCTCAATTACGGCCCAGCTGCCTCGCCGTTCCAAACAGTTGATTCTGGGGGTGCAGCACAACAAGCGCAGCCTACGAGGACGAGCTTGGAACACCCTCCGGGCTATGTCCAGGCGCCGGATAACGCACCGTATATTGCTGGGGGAGGTATTGGGGGGCCAAGTGGAGCGGGAAGAGATACAGAAGGTGAGGGTGTTGGGACTCAGGCGTGGAATATGCTGAACAAGGCGGGCGAGGCACTGAAGAAGGGCGAGGAGAGTGTGTGGAGAGCGGTCAAGGGTAAGAACGGTGGGGGGTTCTGAGCGTGTAATGTGCTTCGTATAGAGGATGGCGGCATATGCATGGGTAGTAGATGGAACAGTACGTCACGAGTAGGAATGTATACTGTCACTTGATAGTGGAAGCTGGTTATTGCGTACAAAGAAACCCATGACTTTCTATAGACCACTATTTTCCCCATTGCACCAAGCGATGAAAAGAGGAAGTACAGGCAAGAGACAAAAGCATTGCAAGCCGGATATGACGTGTGAATGTATAAAGTACAAGAGTGTGTTACCACTCCGGGATCGTGCTTGTCGTTAGCAAGAACAACCTTCCGCCCGCAGGGCTTCTTGTCGTTCTCATACACGTACACCCCATCCCCATCTCTCACGTCGCGATTAGCTGCTTCCACCACATAAACGCAGGTTGGGGGTATCGAAGAGGGAAGAAAGGCGCTTAACCGGATCCACCCTTGAACTTCTTGCCGAAGAGGATGAGCTGGGCCTGGTCGTAGATGGACAGGACACCGGCACCGGCAACACCACGGAGAATGTTGGCACCAGCACCCTTGAAGAGAGACCTGACACCCTCGGCGGCGACGATCTGGCGAGCGGCATCCATGGTACCCTTGTACTTGACGGCCTCACCGGAGGTCATCATCATACGACGGCGGATGGTGTCAAGGGGGTAAGAGGCGATACCGGCACCGGTGGTGACAGCCCAACCAAGAGCGAAAGAGGCCAAGAAGTTACCCTCGAGGGAACCGGTGAGGAGGACGGGCTTGATCGAGTCGTACATACCGAAGTACAGACCACGGTAGACAACGATACCAGCAACGGAGGGCATGAAACCACGGTAGAGACCGCCGATACCGTCGGAGGCGAGGGTCTTCTTGTAGACGTCTACGAGACCGTTGAACTGGCGCTCACCACCCTTCTTGGCGGACTTGGCGTCGTTGGCAAGACGGGTACGGGCGTAGTCGAGGGAGTAGACGAAGAGGAGGGAAGTGGCACCGGCAGCCTGTTGTTGTTGTTAGATCATGTTCCGATAGGTATTGGACGGATGTACTTACACCACCGGAAGCCAAGTTACCGGCCATCCACTTGGCGTAACCGTCACGCTCCTTCTTGTAGGCGAACATGGACTTGTAGGTGTCGCGGAAAGCGAAGTTGAGCGCCTGGGTGGGGAAGTAACGGATGACGTTGGCGGTGTTACCACGCCAGAGGGAGAGGACACCCTCGTTCTTAGCGGTACGGCTGAAGCACTCGCCAATGCCGTCGTACTTGCGGTCAAGACGACCGGACTTGAGCATCTCATCCTGTGGGGTGTATTAGCAATTATTCATGTGCGGGGTGATTTTGGTAAAAGCTTACCTGGTTCTGGATGAGGAGCTTGACACGCTCGATGGGGGCGGCAGCGGTCTTCGAGACGGCGGCGGAAACACCACCCACTGGTAAGCCGTTAGTATCTGTAGTGTACGCAAATGATTGCTGAAGGTGCTCGCAACATATCCAAATGCCAATGGCACTCAGATCGATGGAGTGATCGATGGAACGTACTCAAGAAGTCCACCACGAAGCCCTAATTTGATCATTAGCCTGTGTTCCACGTAATTGACGCAGTCTCCACAATGTAGCCGCCCGACGCGCGCAATGCCAGCAAGATTTAGTCCATCTCATCGTATTGCGGAATCGCTGAGGAAAGCCCCGTTGATGCAATTGAGATAGATCTGCATCTGTTGCTGGCTCCACGGTTGTCGTACTGGACACCTTGGGGCAGCTGTAGGACGAGTTACATACCGGCATGCCGAACAACGACTTATCCTGTTGAACACCCGACATCTTGAATAGACGTGCAGAGGGGAGATTGGTTGAGAAAGGTGAGGTTGCAGATGCTCGTGCTGCGTTGAGGGAAGAAAGGTGTATTTGTAGCGAAGCTGCGACAAATTCTGCCAGCTGCGCTAACTCGCACTAGACCCATCACGTGCTAGTGGCTTCGTCCGCTATCCCGAGCGCTTCCTCATCAACACCTCGGAAACGCGGAGTGTGGGAGAAAGTGAATATGATAAGGCCGTCACGATGGGTGTCGCAATTCATTCGAGTTTCATTCTGTTCTGAGTGCTGCCGACAGACCTATCCTACTACAATGTCACATCTTTCTCCCTTATTGATCCCAACGGGACGCCCACAAGCGTTGCCGTAGCAGCCACAAAATGGATATGGTTTAACGAAACCGCGTCTAAAGGCAGCCCGCAGCCGTCAATTCAACATGGAAAATCCACTGTGGGGATGTACAAGTGTTCACATGCCTCTTCCAGCCCAAGTCTCCCACGCCTCTCCTTTCTGCGAGCCACCATTGTCAGGGTCCGCCATTTTTAGGTCGGGTAATCTCGGGGACGGAGCCTGGCTCGGGCCAACAACTAGCGGCAAGAGCTTCCAAGAGCGTGGGGCCCGAACTTCCAGAGCGGCGAATTTTCCATCACCCTGCCCGTTATTGGAAGACGTGCCGTGGTTCGCAAAGCCTCGCCTGGTCTCTAGGGCTGTTGAGATGGCACGGCTAGACGAGTGACGTTGGTGTTACAGTCTTCTTCGGGCGGCTTCGTCAAGTTGAAGCTGGGTGCCTTCGCATGTCGGTTGTCGCTATCTGACAATCTTCAGTACCACTCCGACTGCAGCCGTCAGGCTGACCACCTTTACAAGTTACCCGATCACGTCGTGATATCTCAAAGGTACTTCGTCAGTCAACGGAATACTAAGCCAACATCCCGATGCGAAATCCCGACTCGGTGATACTTAGCTCTCTCACCGCAAGTAGACTTGTGCCATGCATGGGTGAGCCTGGAGGTAGTCAATATGAGTTTTCAGCAAAAGCAAAGGGTTGAATATGGGGCCAGGAGTACTTCACGATTTTCCTGGTCAACAGGCTCACTTGTCAATTATCCGTGTATACGGCAAAAGACAAGAACATACCGATCGTGTAAGGTGGTGGGTTGCTACCATCCGTCCTCTACTCAAGGTGCGTGCCTACTAGCAAACGGTATCGCGCCCCATGGTCGCACATGTCACAGGCATGCCTCTACACGAATAGAGCCGAGAGTCTTCTACTGTCATCAACCACCGCTCTAGGTATCTACATGGCTCAAACCCATCATGGCGCGTACCTTCCAGTTTCATTGTCAGCTCCACGTAGGTCATATGCATTGTATCCCGACTTAAGATGCTTGGCTGTATTCGCGAAATGTATAAATATGACGTTGCGTGTCTGGCAGAAGATGCGAATGCAAAAGCCGCTGAAACGTCGCTGCTGTCGCTCAAGATACTTTCAAGAGTGATTCAGGTACCCAGAAGACCCGCTCGTCATGGTGCTAAAGAGGGCGCCGAACCAGAATGTTCTCATGGGGAATGAGTAAACTTTAGCCCAAGGAACTTCCTTCACACTGTACGGGGTCAAGAGATAGGGTTGTCAGAGATCGGGCAAGAACTAAACCACATCACCGCCTCCACCAACAAAGGCCTCACAAGAAAGTATACGAAAAAGCCATCTACACAGGATACCTTTCAAGATCGCATCAATCTGCCCAATCGAAGACCGATCTTCACCGACGTCATTTTCAGCGCAGACCTGGCAAATCCTACCTGACCATCATCATCATCGCAATGGCATACTTACTTGGGAGTCGAGTACCAGACTATGAAGTGGAGCGTAACGCCAAAGAGAAGGCCATGATGTTCCAGCGTTTCGTCTACACCATGTGAATCGTAACTTTGCTGGTATCCTTCAATCGCATCATGTCTTTTCATTGTGTTCGGAGAATATTGAACTTCTTGGTTCATATAACTGCTCGCCATGCATAGCTATGCTACGCCGCAAGTCTATGCTGCTATAAGTTGCCGTGTGAAATTGGTCTAGTCCGTGCAACACCAAGCAAGCATCATGTTCCGCAAACCTGCAAAGGCAAGAAGCTGCTTATCGCACGCGTGATGTTGAAGCAACTGAAGGTGGCAGAAGTGCGTAAAAACAGGTCGGCAAGATGACTCGTGGACGACATCAAGAACAGCGAGTTTTAGACTGCAAATTTGAAAGTGATGTGTGGTCCCTGAGTTGTTGGACTACAACGCTTCGGTCATCGTCTATTGCTGACGCACGTTTGAGCCAGTGTACCTAGGTAGCTTCCGACAAGCGAGGTACCCCTAAAACGTTAGGGTGGAACATCCCAGGAGTGAACTATGTTCAAACTGGACCTTTTAACTGATTAAAAACTCAATATATAATATTTTCGAGATGCAAATTAGTCATCAAGTTCTTCATCTGAAGCGCGAAATCGGGCTTGTGGTTTAGTGGTATAATACTCCCTTAGCATCTGAGTTTCACAGCAAGTGAAGCCTCGTGAAGCATGGGAGTGGTCCAGGGTTCGATTCCCTGCAAGTCCATTCTTTTTGCTCTCGTTGTCGTCGTCGTGTCGTTGTGGTTGCGTTGCTGTGGACGGCGGGATCGTGGGCGGATATCTCATTTTTGTCGAATGTGGAGTTCTAGGCATTCTAGACTCCGCCAGCAAATGAGTGTCTCCACACGACTATTCAACTCCAACTCCACCAGAAAGGAACTAGAATCAGATCATCACAAAACAACTGCGAATACTAGAAGAAGAGATGAACAAGGTGTAGCTGAGGTTGACAACGTCGCAACCCCACATTCCACTTGCCTTTTAGCGTCCGCTCACCACACGTCTCATTGGTGCATCCACCATTGCCATCCGGTCCGCGGGTTAGTGCCACGATCATCTCACTCATCAATACTGCTCAGCCACCTACGCCCTGATGGTCATCCGTATCTGCCGCAACGCCGTTATTCCGACGCATCATGGACTGCGACGATTGGCACGCAACCCTCCCGTGCCTGGACACCGGTTGATGACGGGTGGACGGAAAACGTCAGCTCCCGTTCCCACGTTTGCGCATTCGCGCAGTGGGTCTGAATGCTTGTGACAGCCTTTCAGGCATCCTTCAAGAACGCCACGATGTCTTCAATACCGTTGCCGTCTTCTTCTGCCCGCAAACTACCTTACTGTCTGAACTGCGAGCACGAGCAATCATTCCAAACGCCTTTTACAACTTTGCGCAATGTTCGCCATGGCATCAAGTGGCCATGTGCAAGCCGGCCTACCCCAACTGAGCACCACCAAGCGAATATGTAGAAGGGATTCGCTGTCTTCTTCCAGGACCCGTGATTCGGGTTACAACAGCGATCTCGATTCTCTCTCACCCTTGGATGCCGGAACGTTGGATCAGGGTACATCCTCCTACAAGTCCTAGCGGAAGCTCAGATCGCTAATGGCGCAGCAGACATTCTTTTCGCACCCCTTCCATGTGTGCCGAGCATTCTTGTCAACAACAAAGCTACCTTTACCAAGAGATGCAACGGCGATAGGCCATGGTTGGTTGGACGAAACAGCATCACCAGTAACCCTGCAGGAGTCGTCACCAGTCAAGCATCCCTCCAAACCACGCCTTCAGAGGCTCCAAAAATAGAATCTGTCAAGACATTGCTTGAGTGTCCACGTAAGGACATCCCTAAAGACAGGCCAGCGTCAGAAGATGAAGATATAGAGAGGTGGATCAATGACAATCTTCCATCCAGCAAGCGTCCTAGAGAACGAGTAACATCTATCGTCTCGATCTCATCCACAAGCAGCTGCGAAATGCATACCAGCACCGACGTCAGCGAAGACGAAATGGAGCACGATACTCAAACTGCACAGCAATTCCCGACATCCACCCAGAAGATTATTGATCTTATCTTACGCAAGGTCGAGATCAACCTTCGCAACGCGGCTTACAAGCAGTGTACGGGGAGCAGGGCTGCGCACACTCAAAGCAGGGCCGCAATCGTCTCGGGCCAGAGCAGTCGCAAAACGTCAGTAAGTTCAGGAACCAAACGCAAGTCCCGTCTCGAAGGTAGCCCACCGCCAGAGGAAGACGATGAAGACGGCCCAAACAAGCGACGTCGCGGGTCGACAACAACTATCACCGACGAATCCGAAACTGGTGCAAGATTTGCATGTCCGTTCTACAAACATGACCCGGATCGGTATCGCAACAGGCGCACATGTCCTGGGCCTGGCTGGCCATCTGTCCATCGAATGAAAGAGCATCTTTATCGGTCGCATTCCCAGCCGATATTTTGCCCAATCTGTTACGAGACTTTCAACTCGGACAAGCAACAATCAAGTCACGTGCGTCTGCGACAGTGCGAGAGCTCACCACCTCAAGAGATTGAAGGAATCGACCGCGAGACTGTTCGAACCCTGAAGAAGCGCACCCCTGCGTTGAGGCTGGAGGAAGACAAGTGGAGAGACGTATATCAGGTTCTCTTCCCGGATGTGTCTGATCTCGAGATACCCAGTCCATGTATGTTGTCTTAACATACTGAATAGCTATAATTTGCTAACATGCGTTAGTCTACGACTGCGACTCGCCTAGCGAAACATCTCGGCGCTTCCGCAGAGACCTTCTCCATCGTGTACACCAACAGCTGCTAGTCGAGGCCGGACATATCCCGAGTCCTGTCGAGCAAGAGCTTATGCAGCGCGTGGCCCACATAGTGCGCCGTTGTGAGTACGATCTACTGAATCAAGCGCAACCGACAGTCAACACGCGGCGTGCTAGCGCACCCTCTATAAATATTTCGCACCAAGCCACGTCTCTACCCCAGCCCACCTCAACAGTTCAGAGACCGCATCTAGCAGTGCCATCGATCGAAAACGGACAAGAACACGGATATGGTACGTCTGTCGAGGCAGAAGCGCCGCCATTCATCCCTGAGCCAACAATTGATTGGGGTCCCTGGGACTACCCGTCATACAATCCATTTGGCTTGGGAATTGACTGGGAAGCTGCCTTCCCATCTGCGCCTGAAATACAGTATACGGGTAATGATGAGTCAACTACGAGCTTTTTGGTGCCAATGCGGACGTAGGCGGATCGCATCATTCAACATGTTCATGGGCAAGGAGATGTAGATTAGAGAGCGAACAAGAGACATGCTGGGTACATTTGATAGCTCGTTTGGTGTGGCGTCGTAGATGTGGACCTCTAATGTATATGTGGTTTCCTGTACAGTCTTGCAATTACTTCAAGAGGCGTGATAGAGCAAACAGATCACTAGCGTGAGCGTGTTACTTTCCCTGCATGACAAGTAACGGTTGTTGCGGGATCTGTTTCGCTACGACGTCATGAATGTGAGAATCGCCGCGCGGCCGAGTCATGTAACGCGCCTCTCTATCGTGCACAGGTCCACGCATTCTTTGATTGCGCCGCCATGCCACCTACAATGCGCACACCCACTGTCGAGTTTCGATCACTCCTTCTACTACCAGTAAAGATACCGATACGCGCTCTCCGAACATTGTACCGCCCGCAATGCGCCCCCCGGGTTCCGCCCATCCAACGCCTCGAGCAACGCCGTGCGCTCAACCTGTACAAGACGGCCAGGGCCAAGACAGTCCTCGGACAGCACAAGGTCCTGAACTTTAGTCCGTATACCTGCCCGCCGCTGGACACATTACAACACAAGGTCAATCTCTGGAAGTCGACCACCAAGCATGGCACACAGGGAGTTGTCATGACCACAAAGGGGGACTTGATAGCGGACAATCTATCATTGCAAGACCTCTACGACTCCCACGTCAAAGATGGACAAATGCTCTTTTGTTTAGATGCACTGAAGAAGGGGATGGCGCAGGCTTATTTGGACACAGAGGACAAGAGCGAAGATGACAGGAGAATACCTGAAGAACCTAGGAATTTCTCCATCACCAAACCTACCAGGCTCGGTGTCCCGTCGTCCAAGAAGGGTAAAGAAATTGCAGGACTAAAAACTATTGTCATGAACGAGTCAAGTCCACCGGCATACTACAGTCTGTCACTGAATCGCGCATATCAATTCATTGACGTTGGCTGTGTTGTGGAGTTCCGCCTCCGATTACAAGGCAAGACACTGTCAAAAGAGGACAAGATCAAGCCGGCAGACCATTGCCATTGGCAATGGATGCACTCGTATTTCCCACATTTACGACCGGACTTTATCATGAAGGGAATGCCTGAAGACACAATCTATCTGATCCAGCCTGTGAGTGATGGACGCGTGGTGCAATGGGTGGCGTCGAAACCAGCACAAGTCCACCCCACGATAGACCTTACAAAACGAGTATTCAATATCAAAAACTCCGTTGGCCGCTCCATCAACCAAGGCAAACAAGCCATGCTGCCAAGGAAAATGCGTGAGCAGTTGAGAGAATCTGGGGTGGCCGACTACTCGCCCAACACCGCCATGCCGAAACAGCTGGCTCGGGCCAAGTTTGGAAGGGGTGGGAACGTCAAGTACAGTAGCGAGGAGAAGAAGTATTTCAAGAAGGATGCGGAGACGGATGGATTTATGACGCCGGACGAAGACTTAATGAGAAAGGGCCTAAGGATCAAGACGGTGGATGGCTCGTTTGAACGTGAAATGTGGGAAGGGAAGCATCGTTGGGAGGCCCGTGGACACAGAGGTGACTTTCTGAATGAGAAAAGGAAAATTCCAAAGGAATAGAGAATTATCGAGGGCGAATGGTGAGTTACGGAGAAAATATGTAGAATAGAAGTGCGTGTAGTATAGAAGCAACATGACTGTTTCAATGTCCAAGTTCTGGCTCGTTTGACGAAACCGTGACTATGTTTGATGTTCAGGGCTTGGCGGATAACGTTGGGCAGTGACCACATTTCTGGGTCGGACATGGATACTGCCGAACATGTTTACCCACATCCAGACCCTAGACTGACTTACTCTCCTTTCTCCGCGACCGTCCGCTTGCACATGCATGCACTTGTGCTAGTGAACGATCTGGTGCCCGAATAATGCAGCGACCCTAAATCTCTCGGCCATTCCATCTCGCTACTATCCTAATAACCCACGACTCACCTCCCCCCACCGTTCGTCATCGCATCGCCGCCGCCGCCGCCGCCGCATCCCGTTATCCCAGTTAATCGCTGCAACGCTTACCTCTTCTCAAATCTGCAACGTCACCACCCTGAGCTTCAATGAACGCAGCGCGGCAGGCGTGTCGCCCCAAGCACCAGGTCCTGGTTCTTAAATGCTATCCGAAAGTCCAGAAGAGCGATGCCGAAGCAAAGGCCAATTCGAGCGAGTTGAGCTACCTGCTCTTCTATGCGAGCACGCGCCGCAGTAAGCTGCAGAAGGTCGTCGACTTTCTGGATAAGAGGGCGACAAAGGATGTGTGGAAAGTCAGGACGGGCAATGTGCAGGTCACGCTGCAGATTGTCAGGGCGCTGATTGAGAAATGTCCGCGCGATCTTCCTCTGTATGCTAGCGCTGTGCTGCATATCCTGCGAACGATTCTCAACTCGAATGACGTTACTATGGTTGAGGAGTCTGTGCCGACTTTCGAAGCTCTATGCGCGCATCAAGATCCTGCCGCTCTCGCAGCTGACCAGGACCATATCAAAAAGTATGAGGAGATTGTGCAGTTATATGCTCAATTCGCGTCCAAGGAGACTGTCAAGACGGGCAAGGCACCAGTCAGCTGGCCCGTCGCAGTCAGATATCGAAAGGCTGGACTACAGGCGCTCAAGGCCGTTGCCTCGTCTGAGTCACTAGGGTCCGAGACAGGGCGTCAATTGGGGGCCCTTATACCAGTCATACTCCTCAACGTACATTCAGAAAGTGGCGCATACCTCAAGCGGTTGGAGGTTCGGGAAGCCGCCAAGGGCGAACACGAGAAGGAGCTGGTATTGCGACGGCGGCAAAGTGTGTCTACTGCGCGGACCGACGACGAAGACGGCGACCCGATTGCGGCATCTGGAACGACCGAAGATGCGGACAAGCTTGCGGAAGAGGAGGTCGGAGTACTTGCGCTTCAGGCGCTGAGGAGCATATTCCAAGGTGTAACCCGAGGGCAACTCCGGCTTGCGACATCAGCTGTGCTCAAATTCATTGGATCACATGTCAAGAGCTTACAGGAGGCTGCACCAAGCGAAAGTAGCCATTGGGCAACTACACTCATGGCCATGATCTGCGCATGGGTCCCCGTACAGGACCGATACACAATCCTGGTAGGCGCAGTGGAAGCCCTGGTCCGTAGTCCAATCGTGGAAGACGACCTCGAACGACAGCTGGTTCTGGCAACAATCATCGACTATCTCCTAGCTTCGACGATCAACTTCATTGGACTCAGCGTCATGGATGTCTTGGTTGGGCTCATTTCTCACTCATTGCTACTCCTCCAGCTCGGCGGACCAGGGTCGAACATTGTACCGCATCATCAACAGATAACATCTGTCATGTCAGAGAAGGACGCCAGTAATCAATCGTCGATGACCAATTTAGACGCTGTAGTTACGGAGGTTGTCAAGAAGCCCTCTGATGCGAGGTTGCAACTACTAGACACCGTGCAGAGATGCATGGCGGATCTTGCGACGCATGTATACTACACTGACCAGATCTCCGACATGGTTGAAGCGTTACTTAGTCGCCTTAAGCCATCGCGTCTCTCGAGCGTCTCGTCTACCGCCGAAGCAATACAGAACCCTGAAGGCGCGATAGATGCCGTTGCAGATTCCATCAGTATGCAAGAAAAGACGCATGTAGATCGGTTCTTCTCTTTCGAAACCGCACGTATCACTGCTCTCGATGCTGTCAAAGCTATCATCAAGACGGCAAATGCCCGGAGACCAGACGGTTCAACTGCGACTGTGTCGCGGAGCAAGGTGGGTGTTAGTGTCTGGGAAGGCACACAATGGCTCCTGCGAGACCCAAGTGGTCAGGTCAGGAAGGCTTACGTCGACGCGCTGATTACTTGGCTGAACACGGAGAAAGACAAGGAAGACTTGAAGATCGTGGATAACTACCGGCGGAAAGAGAAAGAGAACGATAAGAATACACTGGCTAGACATGCGGTCTCGAATGCTTCAGCGAGAGAAAAAGTCTCTAAGCGAGGCAGGGACACATTCTTGCCTTTGCTCCATTTGGCTGTTTATGAGAATGCGCTTCATTATCTTAACTCTGAAGCTGATTACCTGCTTCTTCACTTGCTGCTCACGACTCTGGTGAACCGGCTTGGAGTAAACGCAGCGAGGAGCGGATTGCCAATGATTATGCGGTTGCAAGAAGACATCGTAACAATCGAAGATCCGGGTGCTAAGCTTCGCCTGGGAAGCTTGGTGCATGGTTACCTCTGGGCACTCAGCATAGCCTTGGACTTCGAGGTCTCTTCTGTCGGCCGCGCCCTTCACAATGAGATCTCTCGTAGAAGCAGCAAGGGCTTGTGGATGAAGAGCATACGCGTCCCACCCATGCCCATCGAGCTCATAGAAACGCCACACTCAACGCCTGTTGCAATCCCCTCGGAGATTGTCGAAAACGAAGCCCTTAAACCGTTTGACAACCGCGAGGCTTTGGTCGAAAAAATATCGGAAGGTTATTCGACTTCCCTATACTCGCCTCCTTCTTCGCCACCTGGCTCACCTGGTCGTTCAGCATCTATATCCATCCCTACTATCCATCAACCAGCGCAACCCACAAACCACCAAAGCGCTCCAGAACTCCCTTTCAAAGTCCGGGAGGACCTCCTGTCGAACTGGACACGAGACGACTGTCTAGCTTCCCACACAAAAGACTCATCATCGGCCTCAATCTCCGGGTCGAAGACAGGAACTCATTACACCGCTGCAACGCAAAAGAACAACTTCCTCGGCGTCAACATCCCCAACGGCAATTTCGATAGCAGTGGAGGCAGCTCACCAGCCCAAAGCCCTCGTCGTGCACACAGTAGACCTCCATCCGCAGCCTATGGCCTCGTAGGCCGTCTCTCTTCGCCTAACCGCAGCCGCAGTCCGGGCGGCACCACACCGAATAGTTCCTCCTCCCTGCGCTCCACAGTCCGCGTCGACGATTTACGACGTGCGTTGTCTACATCGCATGGTGGCGCCCCTCGAACAGGATATTCCCACCGCGCGCCGAGCCACCGGCATCATAAGAGTTCTTCTCGTTCTGATCACGATGCGAGTTCGACAAGTGAGAGCATGGTTAGTGTGCATTCGCTGAGTGATGCGAGTTTTATCACTACGGGGCCGGCGAATTCAGATTCCCCTACTACACCTGCTGCTACATCCACTCCTAGACCGCAAACTGCTACGTCTATGAATTTCCCGGGTCAGTCGAATGGAAGAGAGAGCACTTATACGATGGATAATCTTCCGCCTGTGCCACCTATCCCTGAGGATATGCTTAATGGTCAGAGCGACACCAGAGACTTTGCCGCAGGTTCAACATCGAGACCGAAGACGGCGCCTAATGGCGCAGTAAAGAAGTCGCGTAGTGTGAAGAGTGGAGTGAGTCGAGGGAGAAGTGGCGATAGGAGGCGAGGGACGGGCTTGTCATCAAGTAAACCCGACTTCTCGGGCTTTTTGGACAGCATCGGGGTCGAGGATGATGAGGATGATCTGGAGAGTGTTGGGAGTGGTATAAGTAAGGCACCGTACTAGAGAGGTGGGTGGGGTTGGTGGAGGTTGTTGGGGGTGGAGTGTGTATTCTTCTTCATCTTTTGCTTCTCTTGATTCAACACTCTTTTGCGACTGCCAGTGCTGTGCATAATCCTCTGATTTCTCTTGTCATCGAGCGGTTTGTTGCGGCTACGGCTTCGGCTTTAATATTGCGCTCGAGCAAAAATTCCTAGTAATACAAATGGTCCATTTGTTTGGGTGTGGTATGGGTTTTGAGTTTCCGGTGGACGAACTTTTGCTTCATAGTGTCTCCACATCATGGTGAGCCAAGGTACGGTCTATGTACTATCCTTTCTCTGCGGTCAATTATGCATGCCATGTAGCTGTACAGTGCATGAGACATCATGCCGACATAAGTTTCTTCTCTGAATCGTTCCTGATTTCTCTTGCCACACTATCAATCACGCAATAACACAGAGTGTACCAGACTAACATACCGCTACCACAGCATACCAAGCTCGATCATCGAGAAACCAAGAATCGCAACGTGCAGCAAAGTTCCTTTCCATACCAATCTACTTACCACCACCACACCATGCTCCTACTCTCCCTTCTCTCACTCACCACTCTGGCCAGCGCTACCGTCCTACCTCACGCTGTAAGCCCTTATAATCCCCAAGGCTGTGCATCCAGTGTCACAGAAAATGGAGGTGTCTATTTCTGCAACGGCTACAACTACATGGGCAATTGCGACTGGCGCGCCTATCCCGACACCGAAGACTGGTGCTACAGCTTTGCAATCTAGACGAGCGACCGCGATCAATTGCGCCGGACCCGAATGGGTACTGTGAGTTGTTCAATAAGGAGGGTTGTCGCGGGGAGGCGGTGGGCATTTGGGAGGGGGTAAGCAATAAGAAGTTGGAATGTCCGGGTATGAGTGATAGTGGGAAGTCGGAGTGGTGGGTTAGTATGAGGTGTCAGCTGAAGGGGTACAGGTAACACATCACACAGTGTCTATTCTAAACACTGAGCCAAGGCAACGTTTGTGTACAGTGAATCGAGTATTTGATATCAATGTACAATGTAAATGACTTTACCTACTCATACTTAAAACCCAGTTCAAGCCTCGGTCGTTCTCTCTCTCACCGCCCAATAACCCGGCTCCCTAAGCAAATCAAGATATAAACAGCTCACAATGCATCTCCTCAGCATCCTCACCCTCTTCGCCAGCCTAGCCACAGCCATCCCACTATCTGCAAGTCCCTACAAAAACCCAGACACTTGCCCAGCACCACCCGCAAACCCTGGCGTCTTCTTCTGCCTCGGTCACAACTTCAAAGGCAACTGCTTCCATCAGCCCTACACCAACAACGGCTGGTGCGGCAACTTCCCCGACTTTGAGTCGCGGCCACGCTCCGTTGGGCCTGACCTAGGCGGCTACTGCATCTTCTTCAACAAAACCGGTTGTGGGACATGGGATGAGGCTGTGGATGTTTGGAAGGGTTCGAATGAGAATAGATCTCTTGAGTGCCCTGGTATGTCGGATACGGGGAAGCCGGATTGGTTCATGAGTGTGCAGTGTTTTGGAGAGCAGAAGCCACCGGCGGAGGAGGAGGGAAATCCGTCGGGCGGAGAGTGGAAAGGTAACGAGGGGTTGAGGGCTCCGGGGGAGAGATGAGCAGATGGGTACATGAGTTGCGCATGATGGGTGTTGGGATAGTGGGAATGAGAAATGTTGCAAATATATGTAACTCATGTCTGCTTCTCATGCCTTGCGGTGATTGTTTCCTTCGGATCGGTGGAGTGGGTGGGTTGGCATCAGCGTTTCCTCCATCATCACATGCTTTCACATTCAAGGTAGCTATGTTCAAATGATGTGGACAGTCACACGGATCACATCACATGGTCTTCTCAACGTGCTGAATTACTTCAAGATTATCCTGCATTTAATCCTGGACTTTGAATCCTTGTGCAGTGCAAACGACATCATGTGTACATAAAGCCGGCTTCAAGCTCGTTCATCATCTCTTCGTCGCCAAAACACCAGCAACTGCCACGAGAATCCCAATAACAATTTCACAATGCATCCTCACATTATCCTCATCCTCTTCGCCACTCTAGTCGTAGCCATTCCTTTCACGAGCCCTCTGTTCGCACTGAGCCCCTACCAACCATCAGCATTAAGTCCTCAATGTATTGGCAGACCCATTAATAACGAAAGCGGAGTCAAATACTGCCTCGGAGTTGGATTCATAGGCATCTGCAAACACAAGGCCTACACTGAAGGAAAGTCGTGCCTCGACTTCTCCGACTTGCTTCATCGGCCCCGCGCTATCGGCCCGGACCCAGGCGGTTACTGCGAGTTGTTCAAGGAAAGAGACTGTGGAGGAGAGCCACTGCAGATCTGGAAGGGTAGGAAGCTGACTAGTTTCGAGTGTCCGGGTATTTCGGAGATGGGTGGAAAGAATGAGTGGTGGATGAGTATGAAATGCCAGAAGAATCAGAATTAAGGACGACGAGCTTCCGGAGCATCGCCGGTGACCCAGGTATGGATGGATTTGGGTGCATCAGGCGATGTGTATCGAGGTACCGGGGGGTTTGGCATTCCGGATAGAGATCAGTAGACGGTTAGATCGGTTTTGCGCGACGGATATTGAGCTAGTGGAAACTGGCTTAGCGATGAATCGATTTTGCTTGACGTTCAGTTACTAGGTACTGGCGCAGCAATGCATTGGGTCTTTCGCATCAGAAGTTTTTGAGAAGCGAAGTCTTGCATGACGACGTTATTGCCATCTCATGAAGATGTTTGTGTAGCTGATCGGAATTACTTTAGTACATTGTACACTAGTGTTCTCGTAGCTAATAAGTCGCACATAAGACTTAAAAGCTCCTGCTGCCTTCATAGTGTGTAGTCGTGATGTGTAGGGGTAGAAAAAACACATCTTGACATTCTAGCTACTCTCTGCGTTAATTTAGATGCTTCAAAGTCTTCCACTTCCATCACGAAATCGTCGTACAAGAATGCTGTATATTTAGATTCACCATCTGTGTAAGTTCTTTTAACCTTTTAACACCATTACGCCGGCGAACAGAAAGAACGACTCACTACCTCAATAAAAGGCGTTCCTTTCTACGACCTGGGTCCGGATTCAGGAATCTTATAACATTCTAACACTCCCGACCACCGTCTTCTTCGCGATCGCTGCTACTGCTCCTGTCAACACGCCTGTAGCCAACAACATCCCCCTCCTCGGCACTGGTAATTCGTCTCTGTTGGCACGCGCATACGTGGAATTACGCATCTTTGAAGACCCGAAATCCCTCTTATGCAAGTCCAGAGTCGGCTGGCCAGGCGGCATCTACGTCAGTCCAGGACCAGACTTCACCCCCTCCGCAACGAAACAGTGCACATGGCACCATCCTCCCGCTCCAGACCTTTTTGAATGCATTACCTCTGGTCCCCCTTCCTCTATCTATTGGCCTTGATCCGGGTGGTTACTGCATCCTGTTTACGGATAGAGGATGTAAGAACGGGCAGCCTGTTATCCAGTCTGGGAACAATTTTTACAAGTGGATTGTTGAGAAACTTCTCAAAGATGCGCTAACGTCTATAGTACGCTTTAGTGCCCTGGTATGAACAATAAAGTTGAAGTTGGTGTAGTCGCGAGTTTGGAGTGTTGGGGGCTCTCGCAGCGGTGGTAGGATCATGGTGGGTTGGCAAAGGCGGGAGAAGTGCTGTGGTTTGTGATCGTTCATTGCTATTTTCGTGTTCTGTCTTATCTGATATCTCTTATAGCATTGTTTATGCAGAGATGAAGGTACATGTCCATGTGTTGAACCTAGAAGATGTTTTGTTTGTCCTTTCCATGTTCGCGCTACCACGACCCTTCGTTACTGCACCACGACAACATCACGTCACTGATCTATTGCAAGCCTGCTGAAAACATACCATACATGCATATATGTCGGCTGCATGGAAGATAACCCACTCGTTTGGCTCGCCATAAGCATAATACCAGTTAGCAATCGTCAGAGTCTTAACTTGTCGCGAAACGCTTGTTGGCTGTTTCATCCTGTAAAGCAAGCATGACCCGTGTCCGATCATACTACTAACATGTCGCTTTCTGACGTACCTCATCATTTTATGCATACATATAGAGCTGTTCATCGCTACGTGTTCTAACCACCCAAAGATAATCAATGATGCCACCCACCGACTCCCCAGTACCTCGCCTGCGACTATCAGAGTCAGTCCATCAATACTCATCACTGCTCGAAAAATCGTAAGGACCACGGCGTGTTACGTCAGGTGGCACTTTAACAAGGGAAGAGACTGGTGACTGGGTCAAGCTTGATACCCCGCCACCCGGCCGAAGTGACCATGAGCATGCACGCCAAAACGGTAGAGAGGCCATTCAAGTTACTATCTTTGAACTTCTAGAAGCAAACAACGGCGGAACTAGTTACAAGGAGCCACGCGAACGAAAGCTACTAGCTCGATGGTTCGTGGACATGTTGACAGTATCCAATTGATTGCCTACGGAGACAGTGAAGATAGGAAATCTACTCTTCAAGTAGCACATTCTTGCATGCACTTTGACGTAGATGTACCAATAGAATGCAGTCGTCTCCTAAGGAAAGATGATAATTTTACAATTGGAAATGCTTGATCTGCTAGCTAATTATTAATCGCAGGCGTCACGGGCAATGTGGTACGATTGCACCAGTAGAATGAGGTTTTGAATGAGGCTTCATGGTTTATGGCATGTGGTAACCTGTCCATTCATGGCATGAAAGCGATTGTATACTCCCCAGGGAATAGCAATAGCCTCAAAGACAATGGCAATTGATCTACTAGCTCAGTGTGAATTGTTGAACCGTTAAGTGCAGAACTTGTCACACGTACAGTGACATACAGATGGAGTCGCATCTACAGAGCCACGTAAAGAGTCATAATTAGAGATTGATGAACGCCTGATCTGTTTGTCATTACTAGATATATATATGCTTTGATTTGCTGTACTCTTCCTTCTATAGACAACTATAACAGCAAGCTTCTTAACCTACTATTACATCAACAACTCAACAATCTACTGCCGGCCAGTATTTTACTCGTTTATTCAGTCTCACTCCAACACTCGACTACTCAAACACGAAGAGTTTCCCATAGATACCTCGTCAATCTTTTCTGCTCAACTATCAATCAACCGCTCCTCCCTACAGAAGCATCTACTCATACCTTTGCATCTCTCAACAACTAAGATGTGTCATCTGCAGCCCGGGTACTGCAGTCAGGGCCATCAATGGAAGAAATTCATGGCGTGTATAGACTTAGCAATGTGCCCTGATAAGAATAACCCTCCAGATAGGGGTGTTCCAGTAGCAGTGAGTCCACTGGAATGTGCCCAATGTAGAGAAGCAGAGTCGTATGCAACCTCGGATGTAGCCAAGGCCGCTCAGAAGGCAGCGCAAGCCGCTGAATTCGCTAAGAAAGTAGAGCAGAAAGCACAGAAGAAGGCAGATAAGGACGCAGAGAAGGCTGCTAAGGACGCAGAGAAGGCTGCCAAGGCCGCACAGAGGGCCGCACCTGGTTATCAGACCGCAAGGAACAGAAAGAATCATGCAAAAGGTCTCTTCAGGAAAGTGGGATTAGGAATTGCTGGAAAGTATATATGGGACCACCAAGACTGGGAGGACGCCTTTGTTCAAGAGTGGACGGAACAGGCCTACGCAAGTTTTGAATCTAAGGAGGTTGCCAACCCAGGAACAAATTTGTCACCAACAAATCATTGGAACGAAGAATTTGACACGATTCTGCACAACACTATGGCAAATTTTGGAGCAACGAGACTCCCCAAAGGTTTCAAGACGATGATGATAGATAAAAAGGGTGAACTGGTTTATGGTCCACCAGCTCCGAGCCCTGAAGACTTTGCAAATGTAGGACCGGTAGATTACGGCTCCTCTGGATTTCTTTATGGACCCTGGGGTCAGGGCTATGCCGACCAGGGTGTAGATGACGGAGGACGTTTAGTTCCGGCCAGTCCCCTCGCACCATCCCCAAGGACCGGAAATAAACCAGACAAGAGCAAGGGCAGGGCACCCGAGAAAACACCAAAACATGTATCAAGACAGATGACAGAAGAGGAGTGGCGGCAGATGAATGAAGAAGATTTTTCTTATTTCAAGTGGCAAGATACTTCACCTCAATCATCACCTCCCCGGGGAGCGCTACGGTACAGTGACGATTCTGATCATGATGAACTGTACGCAAACCCCAGCCCTGGGAATCAATTCCAGGCGCCCGCTGCTGTTCGCAGTTCACCTCTTATTACAGTTCAATCCCCTGGCAGCCATGGTACAGGAAACCAAAGTCGAAGTCGTGCCACATCGAAGGTCAGCTCTAAGTTATGCGATGAGAGTTTGATGATGGTTACGGATTCGGCATCGCCACCAATCTATCGGCAGGGAAGCAACTCTCCTGCTCAGCGAGAAAGCTCAGGGCCGCCGAGGACGCCTGTTTCAGCGTTTATAGAAGACATGCAGGAGAAACAACTCGGGAAGGACTACAAACCGCTTGATAAGATGGACCAATATAAATTGATGGAAGCATCTGCACTAGCGTCTGGACCTAGTGGTTATGGTAAAGCAGCACCAACCTTGACTCCTCGGAATAAAGTCGCTGGCTATCCACATAGCAGGCCATCTACCAGTGCAAGTAGTCAGTCCTTCGATAGTGAGAGTTTTGCGATGCGTACAAAGCCATCGACACCTCGCGAAGGTGCTTCAGCTGAACATCACGGCGGCTCACAGTCAAAACCACTACCAAAAAAAACCAAAACAGATACCACGACGGCAGCACCTCGTCAAAAAGCATACACTTCTTCTTCGAGACCAGGATCTTCCCCAGCGCCGACTCATGCATCATTCCCATCCGCTACATCTCATGCAAATCCACTAGCGCAAACCACTACAGGAAGTCCTGCTGCAAGACACACCACGGCAGGAAGTGCTTCAGGTACTACGGCGAGACGCCATACCAGTACTACATCTTCAAGTTCCAAGCCAAAGGATACGACCAAGAAGGATACGACCAAGAAGGATACGACTAAGAAACCAGGTTCAGGGAGGAAGCCAAATCCCTAGAATTGAACACAGGACATCTGGCACATGGAATTAGTGTTAGCCTTAGCGGGTTGCCAGCGAGCTTTCCCTTTGCTTACCTTATGAGATTGAGCTGTCTGGAATTTACGATGATGTAATTGGTATTTAATTCTGGGGTAAAGTCTACAAGAGGATATGGCAGTCCCTTATCTTACTTTGTTATCATAGTTAATTTAGTCGGCGGTCTTTTAGTAAAGAGTTTTTTAGAATTAGTGAACCCATGCATTTTCACAGCCTTGTCAGGTATTTAGGATCAATCAGTCAAGCATAAGTAAAGTTAATACCTCCGCAAATTGCATGATGTTATTTTAAATTACAAGAATCGCGTACTTCCAATGCAATACTTTGATGTTGGGTCTGTACGGTGTGGTAATCGTATTTGTGAATCATCTCTAATGAGCAGATCTTCACATGTACTAGGGTTCAAATGTGATTATAATCTAAAGGTTTGAACGTTACTGGTTCGCTACAGGATCCTAAATCCTACTGTCTTGTTCAATGGTACGAACGTGATTGTGTGTCCTCCGAAGAACCATAATAGCTTCGCAAACAATAAAGCTTGACCTCATAGTCCATTGTGAATTGTTACATTGTTACTTTCCGAGTCACATACGTGGATTCATACGCAGATAGTCACATACTGAGATTGTCGAACATATTTGGGTCGTTTGTTACTGCGGAATATATATACTTCGAGCTGCTGTACCCCCCTTTCATAGAACAACAACGAGATTATCTATCTTCCATAACATCGACACTTCAATAATCTACTGCTGGCCAGTACCTTACCCAAACAGCACCATCTCACGTCTACACTTGAACACTCGGCGCTCGTGCACTTCGATACGGGAACACTTAGATACGAGATATTTTCGGCAGCTATTCTGTTAGGCAACTGCACTAGCATAGTCTCAACAAATCAACAGTCATCCAAGGTCCCCTGCCTTGACATCAGTACATTACAACAACTAGTATGTGCGCGGAACAGCCATACTATTGCAAGCAATCGCATGACATTCCATCGAAGATGGAATATTGTGGAGAAAGACATGGGTGCTTCAACACAAACACCATAGCCGTACGGGATCCTGTATGCTTATCTCGGCTTGAATGTCCCGAATGCCCCTCGCAATTCGGATCGCTCAGTGGGCCAGCAGATAAACGAAGAAATGCCAAGAAACAATACATTCGAGCAGCCCAAAAGGTTATTGAGCAGTACGACTGGCCATCTGAAGAAGACGCGGATGCCTTTGCCGTAGAGTGGTTGAGACAGGCCTTGAAAAATTTTGATTCCAGATTGGCTAAACATCCAGGAGAAAAGGTGCCAGCTATGAGACAGACGGACCGTGACCAGATATTCGAAAATGCCAAGAGACAGTTTGCGAATGAAAGTCTTCCCGAAGTACTGCGGTACACTAGAGCGCCCCCTGCCGGTCAAGGTGCGAATGTCGGAAGACGTGTCGGAGCAGTTGTGAACCCTAGGCATCTCCCGTTTTTAGAGTACTATGAGGCAGGTTATGATGACCCAGGCGGTTCCGGTATCGAGGGCATGTCCAGTTCTTCCAGTTCGAAGAGTCCATCCTCAGCAGATCGTAGTAAGGGTAAAGGAAAAGGAAAAGGCAAAGCCGCTCAGACCAACAGATCTCCTACACCAGCGTCAGAAGAAGATCTGGAGTACCACGAAGGCGATCATTTGACTAGAGAGGCGGAACGTACCGAACGTGGACAGAAAGTAGCTCAGCGACGGGCCCAGGCGGAAGCAGTGGAGGAGCGCAGGAAAGCTGAACAGGGACGAGTTCAACTTCAACAACCACTACAGCTAACCCAACAAACCCGGCACATTCAAGGGGATGGAGTGCGTCAAAACTATGTCTTCCCCGAGCGATACGTATCCCCCGAATCGGATTTGCAGGTATCGCCTCCAGTCACCAAAGCAGCCCCGCTCATTACTCCAAAGCCTCCTGCTACCAGAGGCACAACGGTGGCTGCGGGAAAACAACGGGCAGTAGAAACACATACAACCCAACCACGAAAGTCGATGACCCCAGCTCCATCCAGAGCCACATCAAGCGTGACCGCCGGTGTTATTGCAAGTCGTACTATGGGTACTTCGCATGCAAGCCAGCCACGACCACCCACGAATGTCACCTCAATGCCAACTAGACCTGCAGCGGGTACGGCTACAGCTGGTGCCGCAAAACGTACTACCGCAGGCCGTTCAACCATAGGCAAAACTACAGGTACTCCGGCAAAACGTGGTACCGGAAGTACATCCTCAAGTTCCAAGGCGAAGAACGATAAGCAGGACCCGAAGAAGGATGCTACTAAGAAACCTGGTTTAAGCAGGAAGCCGGGTGCGTAAGAAGAATACACGATATATTTAGCATATGGAGCTAGAGTTGATCTCGGCATGGTTTACGAACATGTGATTGTTGTTCGTTTCTGGAGCGGTGTTCTGTGGGCGGACACGGCGGTCCATCTTCTTTGTTCTTTCTTCTTGTAGTCGGTCTTCTGGGTAGACTTTCTGGCAAAGCCTTGATTTGGTATGGCAAGGTTTGTATACTATAGCGTTGGTATTCTGGTATCGAGTTGATGTTCTGCGATGGTTATGGTTGCGAGTCTTTGTACAGCGGAAGTGTTTATAGCAGCGAGGATAATGGTATAACAGGTCATTGAGGCAGTGTGCATAGCGCCATAGGAAGCATGAATATACAAAAAAACGAGATAAAAACTTGTATGCGCTAAAGTGACTGGAAATACTAAAACTGGTTATACGAACGATGCGCGGGGGCTGGAGGAAGCGCGCTTGACGTGACTATGACGTGTTAGCACAAATAGAAATAGGCTGAGGAGCACGAGATATCGCGTTACTGCGCCTGATGAATCGGGTTCTTCATATCATCGCGGCAGCATGGACATCAAAGAACGCATCAACCAACGTTATGATGCGCGCGATGACGAAGGAAGCTCCTCTGGGACGATTCCAAGAAACTAGGCCGACCGATACGCGTCAATTCCACGCTAAGAAATTATGTCATCAGATCCGCTCCACATCTTGATGCCAATCATCACCACTGACACGCGAACCTCACGTGAACACCACAACCACATGGAATCACCAACCCATCGCATTCGCACCTTCCTTCTCAAGAGACACAAACATGAGAACCATCGCGTCATCGCACCTTGTTCCATTAATTGACAATGTGGAGAGCGGCCAGCGTTCACGAACATCAGGTCATTCGGCCTAGTTTTAGAACATGGTAGTTCAATTGTGGCTCAGAGATAGAAGATGCGAAAAGGCTTTTTTGATCAGGCTATGGGTATTGAGGATACAAAGAGGGTACCAAAAAGCAGTAGTTGTCAAATTCCGCGGGCTAAATACCTCAGCCGCTTGCTCCTTATTACCACAGGGAACTTTGGATACCTTGTTTCGCCACGCATGTCCAACTTTTCGTAAGGATCAAAATGTGAAACAGCACAGATGAACTCAATCGCCCAGAGTATGTGCAAACTGTTGCCTCGCCTGGAATGCAAAGCCCTTGAGACATGCCGCAACGCCTTTTGGTAGATACCGATACCGCAAAAAGATCTTACGCCGAGCCTTTAAAGGCAGAAAGTGAAATCTTTACCAGGGCTGAATATCAGTGTAGCACGCGCACGGCACCGAACATACAGCGCAGTTGTGCCGTGGGTATAGAGACTGTTCGACGCCCTTCACCAAGCGCTCACCAAGCGGAGTTTCAAGGCTCACCGAACGCGCATCGGAATCACCAACCCTATATCTCACCTAGAGTTTCAGCCTCCTCTTGTAAAACGGTCCGCGGTACGCCTCAAGGCCCCCATCATCATCCAGTCCTACAAATGGTGATGGATAATCATTTTGCATGAACCGCCTATCCTTCATATCAACGGACAGTCCCTCCTTTATTGCCGTCTCAAATAGCCGGCCGTGTATACAAGCGGTGTGCAAGTTCTTTGGGCCCATCTTGCGCAGCATGCGGGTATAGATAGCCTTCAGTCGCAGTACTTCTTCGCGCTGACGGCAGAACTTGAATCCATAATCTCGCTGGAGGCAGGCTGGAGGTTCATCATCGACAGGGTCTTGTGTGAATTGGCGGAGTCGCCAGACAGTCCAGCGCTTCTTGGGTGGTGTTTTCAGGAAGGTCTCTAGAAAGGGGAATAATTGGCGGAAGTGACCGTACTCGTGCTTGTCAAAGAGTGCGACAAGCTCATCCTTCTCCAGTGCGGTTTGCAGCTCGCGAAAGATCGTTTCGGAGTTGTCGGCTTCTCTTAGTAGGGAGAGATACAGACCAGCGAGCCGTTGCTCTTGCTCTTCGTTCTTAGTGATGACGAAGGCAAAGGAGTACCATGCGGTTGCTTTTATAGACAGAAGCTTCTTCTGAAGGATTGTTCCGATGAGATGGGCGGTCTGCTGCTTAGCTGCACATTGTAGATGGGCGAGGGCTAGATTTCGGTCTTTTCGAGGAAGGTAGGGTTGAACGGCAGTCATCAGCGGGCCGAGGCTGAAAATTCCTTGTTTGGGAGGAGAAGAAGGAGGAGGGGAAGAAGAAGAAGAAGAAGGTGATGTTGTGGCTACCGTCGCCGCACCCTCAAATCGCTGGATCCGTTTAGACTTTTCTGGGTGACGTGGTGACGAGGGCTTCATGAGACTTGATTGCGTCGAGCTCGTCGTCGGAGTCGCGAATGAAACGGTCTTTGCAGGCGAGTGAGGTCTGATGTGGAATCTGACGTTCATGAAAGTTTGCGAAGCTCTAGCAGCCCTGATAAACGTACTGTGGGCGCGCTCGGGAAAACCCAATGTGCAGATGAGCTCATAAAGTTCCTCGGCAAAGCGGGTCTTCTCGAGGAGATACTTCAAGCGGTTTTGCAGATTGAGAAGTATTCGCGTCATCTCTGATGCTGATTGAACGATCATGCACATGTCTTTTATAGAACCGCTGAAGCTATGGACGTTTTGATGTAGGGCGATAATCCGGTCCCCAAGCTCGCGGTCTATCATTGAACCGTTGTCATCGACGTCGTCAACGCCGAACATTCTTGTTATATGAGATTCGTATGTGTTCTTGTTGTTCTCGAAAGTTCGCTGTAGGCTATGTATAGTCTGTTTAACTTGGTTATAGTTGAACATAACTATGGCTCCCCAAAGATCGTCGCGTGCGACTTCAAGCAGCGGGTCTGAATATGTTAATGAATGAAGTACGCAACGACTTCAACGCAACATACCATGAGGCTGTGATGCGATCAATGCTAGTGCGTCTTCCATAGCTCGTACGACCTTGCGTAATTCTTCGTCTAGGCCAACACTAGGCTGGGTTGAGTGTCGGTCTCGCGTAATGTATATATCGATAGTGTTGTTGTCGTGTGTTTCTCGCATGTCCACTTCCGCGCTCAGTATCTTAGAGAGTCGCCTCACGAATCGGCTTTTAAGGCTAAGTGGTGTGCGTAGTCCTTTCATCGGGATAACGCCAGTCGAATCGTCAATGTTATCTTCCTCAATGAGGACGCCATACGGGCCTTCTTCGATGGGTTGATGCTGAGTCGCCACAGTTCCTAGTTGTAGTGATCGATTGTTCATGTTGTGAAGCTGACGGTTCAGAGAGTTTTCGTCTTCGTAACGACCTGCAACGCCAGTCAATATCAATAAGTGATCGCGTTAACGTGGAATGTGCTGCTGACCTTCGTCTTTCCTTCGCTTATAGAGGGCGCAACTATCTTTCAGCCGCAATACTTCTCATTCCAGATTACCTGCTCTTTTGGATATAATTCGAGCCTCAACTGAATAGCAATATCGTAGAGTGGGTTACTCCATAGATTATTTCATGGACAGCTGGGCAATAGATACTTGCTCTCACAGAAGGACTAGAGTGTGGTGGGAAAGAGGCAGAGATCAAACTCAAGTGATCATTTAAGTAGCCAGGCGGAGGCTACCTTTACCTTTACCTTACGCTCCTGCCATGCCACGAGGAAGTGACATAATATATTGACGATACAATGACAGGAGGATTGTGAGGGGTAAGAGAGGTAAGAGAGCGGTACCTTGCTGACGTGTTCTAGACCTATCTCGTCCGTTTGAGCTCGGTATGTACCGAGAGTGGACTGTATAAACCAGAATGACAAGATAATGAAACGGTGCGAGGTGAAAAACGGAGAAATGAAGTTGCGCAAATCGATTTTCGAATATGCTTTTAACGTTAAATACAAGGAAGTAGATGCGATGCTGAAAATGATGCTAACGTAACAACAAACCCGCGCTCATACATGCAACTCACAGCCACCTCTTCCCCGTCCCTACTCTCTCTACTCTACCCTAAAACCCCAGTCTACCCACCAAACCCAAAAATCTCCGCGGTACTCAACATACTCATCCTCGTCCCCCAAAGCGCAATAACAATGGATACAACATCCACCGTAAGTAACACCACCGCCCCAACCATGAACCTCGGGCAAAAGATGCGATAGAGCATCAGATGCCTCCTCAAGTGTCCCGCCCACATGGTCGTCGCCAAATTAGTCGTCGCATAGAAGAGTATGTGTGTAGCAACCGCCTTAGTGACCACACTCAACACGCCCTTCTTCTGCGGTTTAACCTTCCACAACACACACGCCGGCACCGCAATCGCACACAAAATCTGCGCACCAAACGTATTGAGCAGGACAATAATGGGCGTCCACGGGTAGCGTATCTTGGCCAGCGGGATGAACGCGGATTCCCACTGGATACTGGAAAGAGTAGCCTGGTGACCTGTTTTGAAAAAGTGGAAAGAACCCAACAAACCAAGGACGACGGGTCCAATGGCAGATTGACGAAGGTTGTTCGTGTCGATAATTTCGAACAGGGAAAAGAGCTGCCAAACTAAAATACCAATAGCGCCTGCGCCCATGGGCTTTTGCAGTAGGGCGACGGCGAGGTACCAGATGGTAATCAACAGAGCGTACCGACTGCCGTGTACGTTTGCAAACCCGAGGATGGTGACGGCTTCTTTGGGGGCGCCGTTCTCGTCTACGCCGGCCCCATCTTTGTCGATGATAACGTTGAGGAGGGGTTTCGACCAGTTGTAGATGCTGTAGCCGAAGGCAAGGCTGATGGCTAGCACGATTTGCGCGAGGAAGCGCTTGGTAATGCGGATTATGTTGATCCAGTCGGGAGCCCATTCGCCGTCGTCGGCGGCGTCGAGCGTCCAGTAGGCGGCGGAGAGCAGGAGGCCGAAGCGCAGGGCGAGACCGATCCAGAGGGTGGCGTTGTGTTGGTAGGACTTGGTACCGTCGTAATAGCTCTTGATGAATGTGGGGATGAGGATCGCACAGGCGGCGGGGATGGCGAGTTGCCATGGTGCTGAGGTTGTTGATAGAGCGGAGTCGTAGTATGTAGACTTGCAGTAGGGCATCTGCTCTTCTCTGCATAGGCGAGAGAAGCTCGCAATTCTGAGTAAGACAGCGAATAAGATGGAATGGTAGGCACCCAGAGTGCGGTCAGCGATACGCTTTTGACGGAAAGACGAGATGAGTGCGAGAACACCGAACGTGGTTAGGAAGTGCAGGAGGATCTCATCTTCCCAGATAGTGAAGGAGTTGGCTGCAAAGCCTCCAGAAAGCGCAAGAGTGAAGATGGCACTCGTCCAGCCCCAGATGTTGTTTGGCATTGGGGGCATCAGACGGTAGCTCAGAGAGTAGAAAGTAGAGGCGCAGCCAATGATTCCTGTGAGAGCAGAGGAAAAGACAAGCACATGCGATCTGGAGTCCTCTGGCATAAAGATGGTGAAAGCGACACCAACGATACCCCCGAGGACCAAACCAATGGCACCTCGGGTGAAGAAGACGGGAGTGACGTCGGCACGATCTCCATGGAGTATTCTAGCGTAAAGTGCGACTACAACCAGACTGGCCGCCAAGATTACAACACCGCTAACCATCCGAGGGATGTCGAATCGAGCCCAGAGGTCTCGACAGAGGCGGAGCGTGTCGCGCTGGTAGGCACCAAAAGCCTCGTATGCCTGACGCATCTCGGCGCTGTTGGTCTTGGACTTTCCGAGCGAATTCCACGCGTCGTTTGCACTCTTCCAGAGCGAGAGCGAGGAAGCCCTGGCGCTGTCTGCGATACCACGAACCTTGGCGTACTCATGCTGGTAGTTGTGGATCTGCGCAGCTGTCAGACGGTTGACGGTCGCCAAATTCTTGTAGTCATCGCCGTTCCTGCCGATGAAGGCTTCTTCGATGGGCTTTCCGAGGTTGTTGAAGGGTATCGGCATGCCTAAGAGAAGCGACAACGTTGGAACTAGGTCAATCTGCCCAACTGGTCGGGTCTTTGCGTTGGGAGGAGGCGTGGCATAAGCAGGGTCGCTGCGCCCAAACACACCCTTCTTCGAGTACATCCACAGCGCAGCCTGGATCTCGTCATCCGACTCTCCTCCATGGTCGCCCTTTCCGTCCATGCCGTGATCTCCCATAACAACCAGCAGTGTATCGTCATCAATCTCCTCAATCATGCGCCGGAAGACCTCATCCATCTGGTTCAGCTTCGCAGTCATAGCAGGATGATCGGGCCCATAGCGGTGTCCAGCATGGTCCACGCCCAGGTAGTGGCCGAAAATGACATCCCACTTGCTGGCATTCTCAGCTTTTAGAAGTGGAAAGATGTGCTCTGTGACGCCATTGTCAACAGTATGTAGATCCCAGACATTGAATGAATCGTATGCGTGCGTGAGGTTCGGCTCGAAGTAATCAGGGAAAAGAGCGTGCCATGTGTCGTCACCAAGATGAACCATCCTCTTGCTCGCGTTTTTTAGTTGCCCGATGAGGTTGTCTTCATCAATCTCCTGTCCTGCAAAGTTGCTACCCACATCGATAAAGGTGGGCAATGTGCCCGTTGTGAGCCCCTTCAACCTCTGCATCGTGGCCGTTGGCGGATCGGCGATGAAGGGGAGGAGGAATGCGTTCTGTGGCTGGTTCTTTGCCGTCTCGTATAATACAGGGAACGCATTGTGGAAATGGCGCGGAGCGACTGGAGGGGCTTGAGACGGGTTCTCGGCGGCAGCGGTAAGGTCGATGGGCTCGAATTGTTCTGGGAAAGGTACGGTAAAGTCATATCGCAGCGCATCGACGATGATGACGACCGCTTTGTTGAATGTCTTTGGGTGCCAGCAGCCCTTTTCAGCATCGCCCGCTAGATACGCGTTCGCAGAGTCGATCGGGGCCAGGGCACATTCCGACTTGTGGTCGAGGACCAATCGCGTAAGAAGGAAGCCGCTGGTGAAAAGGTAGATACCAAGGACGTGAAGTATTCTGGTTGTGTAAGCTTTGCGCGTCTGTACGGAGAGCTTGGGAGATGAGCTCTAATGAGAGAGCCTACAATATGAAGGTAAAGAAAGCGACAATGAGGCCATGTTGTGCCTTGAAATGCACCTGTCCAATCCTTTTCGCTTTGTCGGGATCGTGAACCTGTGTCCGCGGGACTTGCGCTGCTTGCTGCTGTTGTGGCTGTTCCGCAAACTTCACAGCTTTGGCAGCTTTGGCAGCTTTGGGTGTGCTGCTCTGACCGGTGATGTCGGACAGCGGCGTAAAGACCTCGTTCTCCATGGTGGGTGAACAAGGGTGGCCAATTGGCTCTCAATAGATGCCAATCGGGGTGTCAATGGTATTCGAAGGGCTGAAGGGGCCTCAAGGAGCGACAGAATCCATAGGAACAAAGTTGATGCGCGGTTTACAAAAGTGAGGATGTGTTGCAAGCATCCACTGTGGATCACCGATTTCGCCGAGCCGCCGATGTCATGCATCCGCCATTGAGGCACGCGCCTTAATCACCGTAATCACCGTAATCATTTGTTACGCTTGGAATCTGTTATACGAGGCTTGACATCATCTGCATTCTAGACGCGACCTGCGAACTGTACTACAATGCATCACGCGCAGTTTTTGTCTCAACCTCTCACATTGAAGACGCAATTTCAGTCTTGACAAAGGATTGTATTGGCTCCCATGCTGCTCTGCACAGTCGCTAGGGAGTGAGTTTGATATCATACATTAATGAATAAGAGTTATGTAAGAGGTGTAGAAACCTCGTTGAAGAGATGGCCAATCATCAGGGTGGGTATACAGCAAAATGGCCAGTCAACTCCGAGAATGTACATAAATGGTGGTGCCCTGCCGGCTATTCCACAGCTTCGGCAGGGAACGGAGAAGCTGACAATCAGCGCAGTGTATAGCCGTCATCAAGGGTAAAGTCGGTCGTAGCCAAATGGCTGGTGTTGCCCGAGCTGCTAGAAGTTTTCCGTAGCAACATTCTAGCCGGGTATTGACGTGTGGTGTCGTGAGATTTATGAGTAGTATTTGTCGTCCTTCTCCTTCAGTCCTCCCATGCGGTCTAGATCGAGCGAGTCGAAGCGGTCTGATGCGTCTTGTTGGTAAGGCGGGAGGTCCTCGTGCACAGGCTCCAGCCCAACGCTGTGGTCTCCAACGCGAACGACAACAACGCGACCCGACTGTTGCTTGCCGGATTCGTCAATCTCGTCGGGGAAGGTGATGCGGATCTCAGGTACCGGGCTGGTGGGGCTGTCCATGAGGTTCTGCTTTTCCGAGTAGGTGATGACAGATTCCCGGCCCTTGTACGGCATAGCAGTGATAGTCAGGCGGTTGATATTTGATTGGCGCTTCTCGTAGACTGGGAGTTCTGGGTCGGTCTCGGCTTCTTTCCTGGCTCTGCGGATGCTGCGAAGGAACATGAGTCCTCCTATGCACAGCATGCCGACAAGGACCAGCATCATGAGAGTAACGAGGAGTGCGAGGTGAGTGGGGCTTAGGCTGCCATCCTCGCTGCGCTTGGTAAGGTTGATGTTCATCATTATGATATGGGTGATATTGTGTGTCGTTAGGGCGTGTCGAGGGCGTGCAGATGACTCTGGGGTTGATAGTAGTGATTAAGGAGTGTAATTGCTGTTTGTACGTTAGTTCCCATTGTGTAGCGCTCATATTGCTTCTGTTTGGTGTTGTGGTTGCTGGTTCTCGGATGCTTGGCGGAGTGTGACGGAGGCGGGAAGTAGCGGATATACGCACCTGGTAGAGCACCGTCGTTTCGCAAGCGGGTGGGTAGGTAGGCAACGAGAGACACGGATTCGGAAAGAGCGTAACGCGAGATATCGCTGAAAGAGTGAAGCGATAAATCGACGAGAGAAGAACGAGTGAAGGTAGGCGAGACCGTGGAGGAGGTGGGCAAGGAGGTCGAGGTATGAAGGGAATCAACGTATTTTGATGGCGCAGGGAAACCGCCTTGCAGTCACCAATGCAGGAACGATGCAACAACAACGAATCAGCGATCGACGCTAGACCGCGCACCTTCCTGCCTATCTAGTTTAGGAGAGGAAGCCGCCTGCGCTAAGCCGAGTTAGTGGATCGCAATAAGATGACGGTAGCAAGCTCATCCTCTCGATCTTATTTTTGGCTTTGTTGGCGCCAGTGATCTGCTCAACACTGTCGCACGAGACCAGGAGACCAGAATAGACAAAGCCGTTCGTCTGCGATGGTTCCCAAGACCGAGACAAAGAAATACACAAAGACACCGCAAACAGATCAAAACAAACCACGGCAGTCAGGCAGCGGAGTGTGGAGTAGCAGCGCAAAATGCAAGGGGCGGTAATAACGAATGACGGGGGTGGGATTTTAGCCAAAAGGTCGAGACTCTCCTGTGTGGATCGTGAGTGGATCGTGAGCCAGCACGTACTCCTCCTGATGCTTCGGTTGAGCGACAGCCCCAGACTATGTACTGTCTACATGCGTACGCCAATCTGGAAGTCGTGTTAAGCTCATCGAGTACGAGACGCGCAGTGTTTTAGACTGATTGTGACAACGGCGTGGAGAGAGCTGACAGCGAAGGCTGAGACGAACGTCTTGCCAGACTGCGGAGCGATAAAGGATGATGCTGGTCGATAGCACATACCACAGCAACGCGCGTAATGAACGATGGATTTGTGGGCCACTGTGCGCAGGGAGCGCCATGTGGTGATGGAACTCGAGCCTCCTCAGGCACGTCTCTCTTGCGTTGGACAAAGGCTTTAAGCAGCCCTTCATCTTCGCAGAGTTGGCATAATGCTTCTGCTCCACCTGCAATGTCGCAGTCGTCGACAAGGCGCAAGTGACAGCAGCGAATTCGTCATATTCTCACGGATGCACTCAGGCCGGCACTTGGCAACTCCACCGTCCCCGCCGTTAAACATCTCATCGCCAGGCCCTGTGTTTGAGCCTTCGGGACGTTTGATGCCTCTCGCTTGCCTGACGCCAAGCGACTCCTTAAATCCTGTGGCTGTCGCCGGCACTGTTGCATATGGCCTTCTAGAAGCGATGTGAGGGTTGTATTTGAGGTAAAATGCTGTCACCAGCTCACCATGTTACCTGAGGTTGCTTCATTGCGATGCTGGCGGCGGTTCGTCGGTGACTTAGCTTGTGTAACACCAAGCGAACACATCAAGAGCGGTGTGGATGTGAAGCACTTCATGACGAACCACGACCAACGCAAGTAGCTATAACCCTCCAGACCATGCCATGGCAGTCGTGGCCATTTGCTCTGCCTCTTGGAGCGCCAGCGCAGCACAACTTATGAGTACAGCGTGGAGAGACAGGTGGCTCACTGGACGCCTCGCGTCCAACTTGCATCCTCGCAGCGCAAACTCGCAGCTGGGAGGCGTTGTAGTTGCAGGGAGTATTGCGAGCGAGAGAATCCATGGATGATGCAGGTCACGAGCCTGAGAAGGCTTTTTTGCTTCACCCATTGAGCCCACAGTGAGTGCGACCATGGTTTCGTGAATCTTCTGCTGTGCGTCCAGGCAATTACGTTGGATAAGTTCCCAAAAGCTGCATCGAGGTCGACAGTGCTGCAGCTGGCTCCAAGCAGGCAGGGAGGGCTCAATTGGCGGGCAAGAAGAAGTCCACGACGGCAACACTTTGGTGGGCCTGGGTTGGCTACCAAAGTCTTGTCCCGACGGCAAACGTGCAGCAGGTTGAAGGCGTAGCAGAGGTGAGCTTGGACATGCCGGCAGGGTGGTGGTGAAACATGGCGGCCCTGTAGACAATGTCTCTGGCCTCATATCCATGCTCAGTCGTGTCTCAGGCTGCCATAACGGCAGCTCGCATCACTGAGGATCGACCGGATTCCGTTGCCGCATCGTCCCTGACTCATGCTTGGCACACGCGAGCGCATTGCAGCCGGTGGTCACAGAGAGAGAAGAAAACGGCGATGACCTTTGTTCTTATGGAGATCATATCTCGTCCTGTAATCGTCGATTTCATCTTTCCCACAAGCCTCGCCTGCACCAAGCACCCGAAGACGTCTAGGCGACGCTTTTGGTACAACCTTGAGCCTTAGCGTGCCTTTCCCCAGCGGACGCCAAACTTAGTTGCCGATCCTATCGTCGCCAGGGCCCAGCAGTCGCATCTCCATCGCCAAAAAGACATCTCCCCAACCCACAACCGGCGCAACCCTCACCCTCTGAAGCTGCGCCCGGTCACCAGTGCGCCCGCTACCAACTTGCTCTCCCGACCGCCCACACGCCCACAGCCCCGAAGCCAGCAGATATATTCTCCCTTCCAGTCTATTCCTGCACTGCTGCTCCACCGTCCCGCGCACTTGCATCCCCGCCGCTGCATCTGCTCATCGAACCCTTATGCAACCCCCGCCTGGTGCGCAACATCATTGCTTCGAGATTAGCATGTACTGTGGTTAGAAGGAGCCGCCCACTTCCTTAGACGCACCCTCAAACGCGCTCGCGGGCTTACACTTATCAACCCGCACTCCTCACGCGGACCTCCGCCGGCACTTCCTCTTTGTTCGCCGCCGCCTTCGTGCGCACATTCTTCGTACATTCTTCTCACTGTCCCTCACTCACCATATCAGCTGTAACAAGACCGTCGGTATTCTCTGTCCCCGCACCTGCCTTGCTTGAGCTGACGCCTGGGCTTAGTCCGATCCTCGCGCTCGCATCAGCCACCCCGCGCACTCCACCGGTGTACAGTGCTATATTCTCCGCATACTGATAGCCCCACGCTCGGCCTGTGTAAATGAACACTTCTCCCAGCGACTTGAGTCGTACTATGGCAGTCATGGCAGGCAATGTGGGTAGCGACTTCCCTGTGCATGCGGCACGGCGTGCTAACACTTACTCCAGGCTCGATCGCGCGACTATTCCAACGGTGTCTCGCTCAACAGCAACGGCACCGACGCCGAACTCTCCCGCCCATCTCCATGGGGGAAAAACATATGGAACGCCCCAATCGGCACATTTCCGCTTGGCCCCAAAGGCAGAGACAACTCACGCCCTCGAGGTATGCCACTGTCCAGGATATGATACGCGCGAATACTGACACACGCACAGAGAACGGTGCTGCCATAGGTACCCCCGCCGACCTCGTTGAAGGCAAGACTGGCTCTGGCTCCCTCCTCACCAACTCAGAGACCGAATGGAGATCTGCCGCCCGACCAGCGTGGGGCGAGACGGCATCTGGAAGCATACCACATGCAAGAAGCTCCGGTGCCTCACCAGCACGGAAGCGGTCCATTGCGCAAGCACAGCCCGTTCAGCAGTATAGCGACAACTCTCCCTCTGCCTTCTTCTCTTCCGCAAGAGGCTCGCTCGCAGGCCAAGGCTCACAAGCAAAGCCAGTGAAGCCATTCCTTGACCCCACTACCTCCAACTTCACATCACACCAGATTGAGTCGCTCAACACTGGTTTCACCAATTTCGGTTTTGGCCAGACAGATGTCAACTCCCAGCGCCCTGACACTGGCGTCACGTCATGGCCAGATACTGGTTCTGTTCACTCCCCAAACGACGACCGCCGGAGCATAGCAAATTCAGAGTACTTTGCATCCTCGAGTGGAGCTCCCTCACGAAATGGAAGCTTGCCTCCATCTCGACATGGTGGCGAACCAGCGCAACTCAGCCAGGCTGCGGATGCGTTTTCTAGGTTCACTCAGCCTTCCCGTCAAGCCTCGTCCTTCTCCATGGCTAGTGGTCGTGCCTTCAACGAGCGAAGCGGTTCAATACAAAGCGAGTCATTCCACACGCTCGGAAGGCTGAACAACGACCAAGAGCAAGATGCGCGCATGGGACCAAATAGGTCCTTCAGTATCAACGCTTTCACGCCGGCACACACACCCGGGCAAGACATGAACGATGCGCCCACGGGTTCGTACACTCCAGATGGTTATCCTAACGCCCAGCTCAACAACCAACACCCTCAGCTACGATCCTACCAGCTTGATAACAGTCGAAGCGCACCCAACGGCACTGGAGTTCGTCAAAGTCCATTCTACTCCCACATGAACACACCACCTGTGTATGATCGTCTCAACCCCTACACTAGTGAGCAAATGCTCGCTCATCCCAACAGCGTCACCCAGCTACAGAACAAACTGGCAGGATTCCAGATAGCACAACAGCGCAACTACATCTCCCCGAACCAACTTCATCAGCAGCAGTATCAGAACATCTTCCCCACGGCTCAACTGCAGAATCCATACCAGTACCAGTATGGTCTCCCGAACGGTCTACCTCTGTCCGCTATACCGCAACACATGAATATGGCTTCAATCTCACCCATGATGTCTGTTCAACAGTGCCCATCTCCGCCCAGAGGTCCTCGCGAGCAACAGGTGGGTGATGGCCTCGGCGCAATGAGTCTTGAGCTGGCCAATTTCAAGAGAGAGCAGAAGCAGAGCAAGCGCTGGGAGCTCAGCGACATCAAAGGCCATGTGGTCGAGTTTGCCGGAGATCAACATGGCTCTCGCTTCATCCAGCAGAAGCTCGAATCTGCCAACAGCGAGGTCAAGGAGAGCGTCTTCAGGGAACTTGAAGAGAACGCGCTGCAGCTTATGCAGGATGTTTTTGGCAACTACGTCATCCAGAAATTTTTCGAGCATGGAGACCAAATCCAGAAAAAGATTCTGGTAGGAAAGATGAAGGGTCATGTACTCGAGCTAGCGAACCAGATGTACGCTTGCCGAGTAGTTCAGAAGGTACCTTGTTTCTGTTTCCTGCAACTTGGTTTTACATACTAACTGCCCCAGGCACTTGAGCATGCACTTACTGAGCAGCAAACCGAAATGGTCAAGGAACTCGAAAAGGACGTTCTTAAGACTGTGAAAGACCAGAACGGCAACCACGTCATCCAGAAGGTTATCGACCGGGTCCCGATACAATACATTCAGAAAGTGGTCGAGGCTTTCAGAGGCAACGTTGGCGTACTCTCGGTAAACTCTTACGGATGCCGTGTGATCCAAAGATTACTTGAGAAGGTACCGGAGCCACAACGGAGGTTTATCCTGACTGAACTTCATGCCGAGGGACCCAAACTCATCACCGACCAATACGGCAACTACGTTACCCAACATGTCATCGAGCATGGCTTGCCTGAAGACAAGGCGAAGGTTGTCGCTCTTATCAAGGCGCAGTTCCTTATGTTCTCGAAGCACAAGTTCGCCAGCAACGTTGTTGAGCAGTGCCTAAAGTGCAGCGACGACGCTCAACGTCGTGAGCTCGTAGCAGTCATTCTTGCGAAGAACGAGCGAGGCGAGCCGAACGTCATGAACCTTCTCAGGGACGGTTACGGCAACTACGTCATCCAGAAGATGCTGGACACTCTCAACCGTGATGACTACGAGAAGTTTGTGCAGGCACTCAAACCCGAGCTCGAGAAGGCCAAGAAAGTCATTCCTGGCAAGCAATGCGTTTCGGTAAGTGGTCGCGTGACTAATATCTACTTCAACGCAACCGACTAACAATACCTCAGGTCGAGAAGAAGATGTTCCGCTACGATCGCATCGACTCTCCGACTATGCTCACACCATCTCTCAGCAGCTCCGCACAGTCACTCCAGAGCAGCTCCCACCCCAGCACGAACAACTCCACCATCGACGAAACCGTACATAGCGCGCCTGTAAACGGAAAATACAACGCCGCCAACGCCACAGGCGGTGTCAGCATCGAAGACACTGTTTGATCGCGCGAATACCTCAATCCGAGTCGAGTCACCCCGCACCGCACATAGGCCTCATAATACCCACCAATGCTCCGTTCTGTTCGACCAAAACCAATCGTACTTTACTGCATGTGTTGTCGGCGGCACATCTGCATTCTATTGTCCATATACCATTACTTATCACTTCGCTTTCATTGTTATATATCATTACGATTCGCTTGTACCGTTATACGGATGATGCACCCCCTATTTATACATCTTTTCACTGGGAAAAATGGCTTGGAGTCTTAATTGGTTGACTGTATCTTTTATTGCTATTATCACTTGGTATCGTTGCTTGAGTTATTGCTTAGGCATGGTATGGTTATTCATCATTGTACTACCTCATGATTGGCGCAAATGGCATGGGGAATCAATCCGTAGGATACCATGGGACCGGAAGAGGATATATAGATGGTCGGTGTATTGAATATACGACTAAACGTTCGAAGAGATCGCTACTCGTGAAGCTCCCCTACTTTGAAATGACGTGCCCGACCATTTGCGACTATGATGCGCACTGGGCGCGATTATCGGCTGCTGCACCCCACCTGATCCACTGCACCACTCCCGCCTAGCACACCTGTAGCTGACTCAGGATGTGCTGACTACACTAACTAGTCTCTCTAGTCCAACCTCTGTGTAAAGCTGGCTTTGCTGCTTCTTCCGTAGATCATCGAACTATCTTTCCTTCTTCTGTTTTACTAAAACAAAAAGGTCTAAATATGGCTCATGTTGTGTTTGAAAAGATCGAGCTACCCACCCAATATTCTCCCGTCAACTTCGTGTGAAAAGAAAAGATACGCATTGGAGCACTATGATCGATCTCGAGAAACCCTTGTCTTCCAGCCCATGCCACTCGCAAGGGTGTGTGGAGCATACAAAAGAATATTTTGAGGACTATTTACGAGAGCGCTGGAATGCTCGCAACAGTGGGTACAAAAGGAATTTCGCTAGCTGACGTTCCTGCATCTACATCATCCCCTCTGCGGAACTCAAAATGTGCTTGCAGCCTCGGCATGTCTGGAGACTGCAAAGTCTCGTCGAACGCCTAGATGGTTTCCGGTCCGCTTTTGTATCCTCTCCGTAACATTATCATTATCAGAATATGCTGAATCAAGACATCTATTCTATTAGCACGATTTTATGTACTGCCTTAACATGCTGTACCACTCGGCTCGGGTATGAAGAGACTGGCCTCTTCCTTCTCCTCCCCTCCGATTCTCAGACCGCTGTTTTGCAACACCAAAGTCAAGATATTTGAGGACATGAGTGTGGACCTAAAATATCAGGGAAATTTGCAATTTCTTCTTCTTTCTCTCCCCTATGCAGTCAAAAAACGACACGAGTCTTTTATGACCGTCACGTTCGAGAGGATCTTCTGGATATACTACTCCGCTTCCCTGACGTATAAGTATTGACCGCTTCTTCCTCCCAGAGGTTCTCCCTTCTATTTTCAAATTATCGGTTCACATTGTCAAAAGTTTCAGCGATATAAGACATGAGTATGGACCTAAAGATATCCGTGATACTAACATGTCTTCGTCTTCTCCGTCTGCTGAGGTACGAATACGATACGAAAAACTTGTATGACTAGCAAAAGTCTTGTGCACACATCTTTACCTTACGATTCAGTACCACCTCTGGCGTATAAAGACTAGTCTCTTCCTCCCCAAAAGTCCTCTTCTTCTATCCTCAAACTACTGGCTCGTATTACCAAAAACAAAGGGGTATCTAAGCGATGAATGTGGACTCAGAAGCCTCGAGGATACACCTATCTTCTCGCCGATTTGTTGCCTTTTCTGCAGTCTAAATAATACTGCTGAGAAAGAATTCATGTCTGGCACGGTGGTGCTTCTCTTCTTACCTTGTCATTCCATTTCACTGTGGTATAGAAGCTATCCGGTTCTTTCTCCCGAAATGATTTCTCAAACTATTCTCAGTGTCGCATTCTGTAGAACCGGAAGGTTTGGGTTTGGGTTATATCAGTACGCGTCGACCAAACAGCCTCCCAGACAACATCCATGTCTTTGTCTGCCTCTCTTCGTGAATTTTAAGGATTGCATAATATTCTTAAATGTGACTGATATGATCTCGTGCATCTTCTCATCGCACTAGCCTACGACAATAAGGCATAAGATCTACTCTCTTCCTTTACGGGTGAAAGAAAGGTCTCGTCTTTCTCACTTCTAAAACTTATTATCCTTGTTCACATGTGTGGATCAGGGAGTTTTCCTTTGCTAGCTATTCAGAATGCGAGTTATAGATATCTCAAGTTATCATAAAGTACATTACCCCACGAAAAGCTCCGCATATCTACCCTCACCTATCCTATCCACAGCATCCCTCTCCACCCACCACTCACTCCTTCTGTACCTCCCATACCACCTCTCCAACGCAGGAAACCCTTCAAGAACATCCGTATCGAACCAGTCCTTGAACAGCTCCACCGCCGACAACAGATTGAAATCCGCCGTCGTCGGATACTCCAGCGCACCAGCCAGACTTATCGCCTCTTTCTCTTGATCAAGAGCCTGAACCCATCGATCTAGCTTCGCCAACTCTTCCTTCCACCGCCTCCGCGCATACGCAGAAGCCGCTGCGCTTTGTTTACCCGGGGCGCACAACCCTAGACTAATTGTGAAAGGGTGCATGTTGAAAATATCGCATTGCATCCAGATCATGGCGTCGGTGATGAGTTGAACAATCGCGCGGACATGAGCCCTCAGCTCCGGACTGCTCGCACCAGACAAATCTCTATACCCCTTGGAAGGGGGGAAGTAATCCTCGAGGTATTGAACCACGGCGGTTGACTGATGGAGGATACGTGTCGTCTTATCTCCCGGGTGGGTGATTTTTATAACGGGAAGTTTGGAGTCGGTGGGTTGGGGTTCAAGGTCGGGGTAAACTGCGGCGAGGCGATTGGTCTTTGGGTTGACGGCTATTGGGATGATGGTTGAGGAACCGGAGGGGTTGGACGGGGTGGCGAGAACGGAGAGGGGGAGGGCTTCAGCTTTGAAGTAGAAGTGCATTTGTCCGGGGTAGAGACCTCGTGGCCATGTCCAGAGGGCCATTTGGGAGGTGCTTGGGAGCTGCAACATGGTTGCGATGCGTGAGCCTAGTGTCGCAACTTATGGAGGAGGAAGTGGCGCGAGTGGCTGCGAGAAGAATATCAGTTGTTTACGAAGTTCCCAAAAGTCCTTTTACACAAAACATATTTGGGGAATGGCCCTATTTCGAGTTGTTACTCCGCACTAATTTTCGACTATCTACATAGCTTATGCCATTCGCATTCGTCGGTTTGTCATCGTGCCTACCTGACTAACAGCACAGTAGCGCAACGAGGTAGGACCGAACCACATCTCGCTAACCAACTTCGTACAACCTAGATAATGACAAGTGACGTTTCCGGACAATTCTAAAACTTTTACATACTCGTATGCGCTACCGCGTGTACCTATCCGCTTTTGGTTCCAAAACGCGGGTTTCTAATCAGCTTCGTACAACCGATCCCTAGACAGACGGATGAGCACAAGCCTCCTAAGCATTCATGCTCATTGTTGCACTTACCCATATCTACTTAGTATTCTTAGCTACATGTCATCCTTCTCTTGCTAATCAATTCTCCAGGCTGAGAGAACACTGATCAAACCCAACTTCGGATACGGGATGCAGATCAATGACAAACGCGTGACAGGCTCTCTTCTGGGTGGAAGTCTCCAAATAGCGACAAGTTCCACGATGAATACTTCTCGTACCACGATCAGACTCTGGAGCCACTTCTCACTCGTTGAGCGATAACCTACTCCCCACCATGATATTTGTCAAATCGCATCTCGTGCTAGCTGCGTTTGCAAGTCGCGCGCTTGCTTGGACGCAAGAGTTCTCCAACACATCCCAAAGTGTAGATCCACATGAACTGCTCAACCGCTCTCTTGAGGCTATACTGGGTACAAATAATGCCAGTCAAATTCAGACGCTTGTTCTTCATGGACCCCGGTACGTTCATCCAATTTCCTCATCCAAGTTCTCCGTCGCTGATTGAATGATACCCAGGGTCCTCCGGATTAGGTCCGTGCCTGAAACCCTCTCGGTTGATGGAGCAATGGATACAAGTGTTGTTGTGAAGGGTGGCCAGAACTTGAGCTACAGCTACGACGAGCCATTTGTCAAACAGCGGATGGACAGAATCTTGCATTTTGGAAGTAAGCGTCCATCGTTATTTACGATCAAATTCACAAAGTCTAACATTTTCAAAGGTCTCTGGTACTACGCTCAGCCGAGCCCTGCGCCACTGGAGTTTTCTCTGGTTGTACACGGCGGAAAGGGATTCGCAGGAGTGGTCGCAGGAGATATGATCCTCTTCATCTTTCCAATCCGCCTACGGTGTATCTCGAAGGTCTGCAAGCCGGTTACCATACGCTTGACGCAGCTCGCTGGGACCCTCTTCTTGTCAAGACGATCTTGGAAAGCAACAATTTCACATACGCTCCTGTCACGCATGAGGGTATCGACATGCCTGCGGGTAAGACCAAAGGTGAAGCTTTCTAACAGGTATCACTACTAACAATTCTAGTACATGATCATACATTAGGTTTGAGCGTCGTTCTGGATCCGAACACATTCCTCCCTTACCTCGTCCGCACGACCGAAGACCATCCATTCTTCGGCAAGTCCACTTACGATGTCCGGACATACAACTACCGCTCTATCAACGGCGTTATGGCGCCTCACCACTACAAAACTATTTACAATGGTGAGAAATTGATCATCGACTGGCAAGTCGATAGCGTTGAGATCAATCCCGAACTCCCAGCTACATGGTTTGATGGGCCCAATTCAACGTTCGGGGATAGTAACATCCCGTACACTAACGAGACCATGATGGCCGAGATCCAAGAGAAGTCGAATAACTACATCTATTTTGGCTTACCATTCAACGGAACCGTCGAGGCGTTCAAGGTCCATAATGATTGGCATGACTTACCCAATGTATGGTCTCTCAAGCTACTCGAGTGGTACCAATACCGCCAGTTGGTCTTGGAGTTCGACGACTTTGTCGCTGTTCTTGACTGTCCACCTCAGCAGAGTCACACTGTCATAGCGTGGGTGAAGACGAACATTGGAAAGCCTCTCAAGTATATCATCGTAAGTCAAAGATGTATCCCGCCCGCTCGCTGTAGGTTTCTAATTCCTCTAGCCAACCCATCACCACCATGATCACTCTTTAGGCCTGACAGACTATATCAAAGCCGGCGCAAAGGCTGTAGTACCCGACTTTGCGAAAGACTACTACACTACACTGGGCGACGACGATTTCGAAACTTCACGTAAGTCAAGATGGCAATACCTCAACACCTTATGTTGTTGGATACTAAGTAGCCAAAGTGCAACTGAACCCTACATTATGCAAAGCGCCATGATGAAAGCAGTCTTCATCAACATGCAAAAGAGCGTCCACGCCAAAGATCAGGTCTATGCCGTCATCATGCCCGCATGTATAACCGACAACAGCACCATGCTCGTCTTCGATGCCGACCACCTCAGCCGTCACGATATGCTTGACGACCACAACGATCAGGCGGGGTTCTGGGAGATGATCGAGGACTTTCGGCTTAATCGTATTTCCCGCAATATCAACTATGTAATACCTTCTTGTTATCGGTTATGTGTGTATCGTTACTAAGAGTTCGTACTAGAATGGTTCACGTACACAGTGAAAACGATACTACATCCTTTGAGATATTCCTCGAGAGTGCTGGCGCTAAATATCCTGATTTCGAGCTGGGAGACTTTTTGTATGCTTCTCCAAAGTGTACGTAATGTACGCTGTTTGGACCATCATAAAAATAGTTGAACACCGGCTAGTCACTCAGCATCTCAAAGCCCAACTTCGTACTCTCCATTCCAAAGTGTTCAATGGTCGCAATCACCCCATCCAGACATGTTCAGGATACGCAGTGAACCCCGCAAACCCGCTTATCGTATGGCAGGCTTATATCATCACACGTTGAATTCGTTTTGCTCGAATCAAGATAAGAACGCTGGATATCGAACGTATTCTGTAATGTTTTCCTTTGCTGGTAACGCCAGAACTCGCGTATAAGTTTTGCTACAGAGCGATATGGTCAATGTCACGCGCATATAGTAGTAATGAAGCCAGATATGTCTGTGAATAGCTGCTTTCCCTTCAAAAACATTCGGGATGATCGTAGGACTGGTGTAATAATTCTTAATTGGCGAACCTTGCTGGAATAGGTACTGCATGATATCGGAAGCCAGCTGATTGTATTGCACTGCATTCACAGCGGACGGAATATCTTGGTGGTGGTTCTCAGCCGCTGTCAACAAATGGTTGACGCGCAAGCTGCGTAGCGAGGAAAAGCGGGCTAGTACGTCCAAAGCTTTTGCGAAAGTCTTTCCTCCAGGGGCAGAAAATGGTGCGCCAAAGGCCGGTTGGTTGAGGGTGGCGGCATGAACACCAAGTTCCTTGATGCGTAGACATCCAGCTATGCGTGCCTTGAGCTCGGTAGCTGTGTAATCGTTCCAAGTCTCGGATAATGCAGGGCTCTCTGTATGATAAAGCGGATCAAAGTGGAAGAATCGCAGGGTTTGCCCTTGTCGGCAGATCTTATCCACGGCAATGCGCCCAGACTCCCGGGTTGTTACAAAGAGCCTCTCTCGACTTGAAAAGCATCCGATGAATAGATTTGAGAACTCGAAGAAATCCGCTTCGCTAAACAGCTGCATCACAAAGAGCGACTTCAAGGCATGTTCGTCCGAAGCAGAGAACTCGGTACTCAAATGTCGACGAAAGTGTGAGACGTTAAAACAATGTCTTTCGAGTTAGCCCACGCGAGATGAATGGCTGGACATGACGTCGTTGGGGTGGGCGGGATACCAGGGATGCTAGATCGATTAGATTACATAAGATCCCATCGGAAAGATCGCCATCGCATAACCTCACTTCTCCAACGAAGGCCTCCAAATGACTGTTGCTCAGAGGTGCTTTAAGATCTCGATGCTCAATAATGTAAGATGCAGCGAAGACTTCCTGGATATACTAAGTCTTTATCGCAGAACACAACAGGTCCACAATTTGGATACATTACAGGATTGTACGCAACAATTCTGCGAACACCCACGCACGATCTTGGTCGTTGAGATCGCGATCATGCACATGGTAGCTGTGTGCTTCACACTCATGACGAGACTTATATACATAGGTGTTTGTAACCGTCCGTCATGGATCGCATCACCTCTTCTGTTGATGGCCCTAAGCGCCGATAGATAATGGTGGGAGAAACGATGCGAAAACCATCTACTTAAATTTGACCGGCGGTGTGCCCTGCACCCTCTTCAGTGGACCAAGTAATATAATCAGCATATCGTACATTGCATTTTTTTCAATAATCGCTGCTTACCAAGGTAGGTGTTTATTGGAAGAGTAGGATAGCCCCACCAGTAACCTATCGCGCCGCTATCTCCACTCCACATCTCAAAAAATTCTCATTCTAGTCCGCCGCCAGCCACCACGTCCCACACGCTTCTTCAGGACATCGAAGCTAAATACCGTGATGATCCGTGGCAACGGCAATAAGATCGACAATTCCAGCCACTCTTCCATCAAATCATCAATCTTCAATAGTATAGTGGTCAGTATTTCCGCTTGTCATATCAGCCTTCGGGCTCTTGACAATTGCGCGGGAGACCTGGGTTCAATTCCCAGTTGGAGAGCATTCGATTCGAGTTTCTTTTTGCCTTTTTCTCTTTTCCATTCACTACAGTTACTTGTTCAAGGAGCGCGAAGCGATGCAGCAGCGTCCTTTTTTGGTGATTCAGTGAGAGCGTTGGGAATAGAGGAAGATTGACCATGGCCGGATTAGGACCAGTTGACAATATCTCACGTTGTGGTGCATCTTTTGGATCGCGCTCCTCTTTGCAGCGCGACGCGTCAGGTTCACTGACATCCGGATTGTGAAAACCACAACGCCGCTCTCACAGTGAAATCGCACTACCGAGCCTTGCCATGGCACTCAACTATTTAAACATCTTTCATTGCAGTCGCTCACCATCGCCCTCTCTCAACTGTATCAAGTACCACAGACAACTTACTATTCCTAGGTCCGCCTGGGTTACCTGCGCTTACCGGTATGGCCACGAACGCCTCAGCTCAGCGCGACCATTTTAGTCGCCTCCCTACAGAACTCAAATGCGCAGTCGTACGATACTCATCCGAAGCAAATCCGTTTAGTGCGAACTTTTCTCAACATGTCCTCGTCCTCAAACTTGCAAGAATCTCACTTCGGTCCTGATGCAAAGACCACAGTCGTGCAGACCAGAGCACCGGGAACGAAGAAGTCGAATACACACAGTCTTCAGCTAGTCAGTCTATACATTGGAGAACTTGTTCTTCCTCCGACCTTTGGCACAATGTTCCAGCGAATAGACATTGTTGCTCTTAAGGAGCTCGCTCTTGATGGTACCACACGCGTTGCTGGGCTATTAGACGCCATGCGCTCCGAGTTCCAGATGCGACAGCCCTCGTTACGAGAACTAGGACTCGTGGGGATGAGCGAACTCACATCAGGTGACTTCATATCACAACTACAACTGTTCCTACTCTCCTTCCACGGTTTGCATAAGCTACATATCCAGTGTGCCAACTGTATCAAGATTAATGTTGATGGTATCGTCTACCATGGAGAGACTCTTACGGAGCTCCTTGTAGTCAATGGAGATATTCATCGGCAAGATAGCACGAGATGCTTCAGCGCAGAAGATCTTTAGAAAGTTGCTATGGCGTGTCCAAGATTATAGAGACTATGTCTCAATCTATATGAGATCGATTCAGATGTTCCAGAAGGCGACTTCCTTGGCCCTTACCCTACTATCCCTTTGGAATCGACAGAATTTGAGAAGGCTCTAATTGCCATTCCCAGCATACGCAGTCTAAAGTGGCTACGCTTGACAAATCCGCCAAATTACCGCAATGTATATCAATACCACCACCCGGGAGAGTTTGTGAGCTTCTCTCGCCAATCTCTCGAAAATGGAGAGTAGCGATATGCTTTCAAGGCTCGAGCAGATAGCATCATACGATACATGGGTGATCGGGGTTCCAATATCGAGTTTCTTTCGTTCTCGCCTATAGAGAACCTCACGAAAGCCACCTCCGCGGACAAGAATGGGCATGTTTGGCCCAGGTACTTCTACTATTGTGAGAGGATGAGGGGACATCAAGGGGCTGACATGTCTATCGCGAGACCGGTGACGGGTTCAACAGCGGAGGCTATGTTGGCGAGTATACAGGATGAGCTATGAGTCATCCGACGCCGAAGGGTGCAGCAGCGGTCAGTTCAATACGCGTGCTGTACACAGTAGCTGTATTTACGGTTGAAAGCAAAGTGTTTGAATGCATTAGTAGGTGGAATACATCGTGTTCATTTATGATGTGAGACTGCTATGAATGGCAGACAGCACTAACCAAGGAGTTTGTGTGGCCATTTCCTCGAGGTTGTGACTGTGCGGGTGGCCTTGCCTACTGCCTGGAACAGAACCAGCCTAGCGCAATGCAAAAGGGTAGGCACAGCCCCAAGTTCTTATCACCCGCTCTTCTTGTTCACCTTCACTCATAACACCCAACTTTTTCAGCATGACGAATCTTTCTGATCTACCAACAGAAATACTGTGCAAAATTATTATACACGCCGTTAACGCAAGGACGCTCATATGTGGAGAAAGAGAAGCTATCCGAGGGCTCAGGAGGGGGCTAAGATTGAGGTTTGTGAATAGTATGTATGCTCAAGCATCTCGCAACTGTGATTGCAGCAATACAGTATGCTAACGCTTCGACAGAGGAGTTCTCTCAAGAAGTGAAGAATGCGCTCTATCAATCACCCATACTGGATGAATACCTTAACGTGTGCGTTTGCCCCAGTTATATAAGGAAAAAGGGTATACCCGAATTCGATACGTTTTGGCAGCCATACCTTACCAATAAGATCATCCAGAGGAACTGGGACCATATCGACATGTATCAACGCATATGGCGCACAGCCGAGCGTCTTCGCCAAATAACACATCCCAAAGAGGTTAGCCAGAAGAGATTGCACGAGATCTCGAGGCAGTACATTTATGTATTTTGTCATCAGGCGTGGCGCCTGATAAAAAGAGTACGCTTCGATCCCCATGTATTTTGTAATCAGACGCGGCGCCTGATAAAAAGGGTACGTCTCGAACCCTACAAGACCTGTCAATTCAGAGATTTGTTTTGCCTTTTGGAGATGGCCCTTCTAAACGACTGTCAAGAAGGGATAAGGTTCGTGCTCAACGATACGACCTTGGACGACATGATATCGCATGCTCTCGACACTTCTTCAGACCAATGGTTTCACCATCTCTCCTCATTGTCCGCCGAGTGTGGAAACATAGTACTACTCGAAAAGATATTTCTTAATCCGAACTTCCAGCAAGATCCACACGGAATTCGGGGACGAGCCTTTCTTGGTGCGGTGAGAGAGGGTCGGTTAGATGTTGTAAGGTTCATCATAGAGCCCCGTATGCACTTGCCCAAGTTTAAACTCAAGCCTTATGTGTTTAAAGAAGAACTATTGGCTGGAATGTTGAAAAGCCAATCGGTCGACTTCTGCTCTCAGCTTTTTGAATTGCTGCCATCTCGGTACAAAGAAAAGGATTGTCCCGTTAAAGGAAATTTCCAGTACGACGAGCTTTTGAGTTACGTCGCAAAAGCCAGCCCACAGAGAGTTGACGTGGCGGAATGGCTTCTCAATCAAGGAGCTTCGGTCCAGCTGGAGGCGCACGAGAAGGAAAAACTTATGAAAGGCAAAAGGCCATTTTCGGACCCGCTTAGACAAGCCATCAGAGGCGGCAACGAGAAGATGGTTTATCTACTCTTGAACCGTGGGCCGCATCTTGAGACTGGTGGAGGTGCCTTGCTAGATGCTGTAATGCGAGGGCGTCTGGATATAGTACGCATACTAGTTGAGCGTGGTGCGTGTGTTACACAGCCCCCATCTACGAGTAACGTTAGTGTTCACATGAAATGGACGCAGGGCATTCTGATGGAGCGGGCCGTGCAGACAGAGAATGAGGAGTTGTGCCGATATCTGGTCGAACATGGAGCTATTGTCAGTGGCCGTCCCTTGAAGGCGGCTGTCAGTGGATCACTGGTGTCAATGGTCCAGCTTCTGCTTGAACTAGGGTCCGAAGTCACTAAAGATATCATCAGCACAGACAGGCTCTCACGCTTCCTGGGCTTGAGTTGTTCGGAACTCTTGCCCTTGCTGCAAGCCGCGTATACTCCGCCGAGCTGCGACAAGTACCCATCAACCTCACACAAGAGGTTTCTCACTACCAAGGATGCACGCCGCCGAACTCTAGGCAACCAGATCGTTCGAGAGGCCAATCTGTGTATCGTATTCCTACAAGCATTCGATCACGACGATCCGACCTTCGACCAACTCACCGAGCGCCTTCGTTTCCTCAAGGACGAGTATCAGAAGGCTCAAAAGGCAACAGGGTGCAACGATGACAACTGAAGACGCCCTGGAGCACGTGCTAGTCATTAGTTAGAAGCTGGATCTGCATTCCTCACACCGTCTCAAGCGGGCTCGAGCTGTTCGGCTGTCAACCAGACAAGCGAAATGCACGCTCTACAATACGCAGGGAAGTTCCGATGTGTAGGTAAAGGACCAACATCGGCCACCGAACCTCCAACGATCAACGCACGATTCAATAGCCAACAACGATGAGTTGCGCAATGGAGTCCGCGCACAGCACATCACAAAAATTTCCAACATCGTAGATTTACAAGCTATTGAATATCCGCACTGGGCGGTCTGTGGTTCCAGGCGCATGGTGCATATGCATCGTCAGATCTGACATGTGTAGCACCGACGACGACCGAGCAAGGAACCGATGGAATGTACAGCTGTCGACCAGTCAGCAGAGCTGCAAAATATATGGGGGTAACCCTTGTCAAGCCCAGTGAATCGCATTGTCCCAGTTAGTTTTAAAACAACGTGGTCACGAGGCCCAATACAGCGGTGACAACGCGACGTATCCCTTCCTAAAAAGCTTCGAGTGCTTTACACCCTGCCAACGTCATGGGAGAATCAACGTTTTTTTGCATCGCGCATCACGCGCTTTGCCTCGCTAGGAGCAAGATATGCCGTTTGCGGCGGCGCCGACCTCGCCATCATCGTCACACTTACCGCTTCTCCCTAGCAAGCCACGACGGCACACACGCGGCATCTCTATCGTTCCTCCTCCTCCTTCCCTCTCTAGCATCAATTCGCGGCACACACGCGGCATGGGTTCATACATGCCTACGCAATCCTTCTCATCTCGCGTCTTTGGCTTGATGCTCATCCTTCAAAGCCTCAATTCATTTTATGCCCACGTCCGAAGCTAAGAAGCGGCTGTTTCATGTTGGCCCTCGACCCCGGCCAGCGCATATCTGGTCCCTGCGTCACTAAATGTGCTAGGTAACGACGTTTGTTTCGAAACCGACTAGGGTTGTTCAAGGTCAAGCGAGTTGATGCGAAAAAAAGGTACCAGGATAAATTGAAGACAAAGAGCCCTAGCATCCTGGTGAAGATCATGGGAAAATTGAAAAGCGAAATCCTGCACAACTGCAAATCCTTTAACTTGCGAAATGTAATTTGGACCAGTATCTTGGTTTGTCTGGAATAAGGATGGCAAGATGGATACCAGACTATTGATTTAGGTATTAACGAGATGAGGATATCTTCCCAATCTCGTACGACATTTTTTGTCCGTCTGGCAGTCGTTTCGGTCTTGTTGGAGGTGTGCAACTTGCCCTTTGTGATGTTCAATATACCGAGAACGCCGAGCAAATTCCCAAGCAACAAGATCATCGACTTGCTTGTCGACGGGTGGTTCCTTGGTCCGAAGTGCCACCGTCCTTTGTCTCATCTTACCATATTCCTAATTGTATTGCTGGTCGTGTGACCTCTCAATTCTGCTCATGCCGCTCATGCCGCTCATCATCCCCATCTTCATTAATCAATCTGTTACGTAGGGCTGCATGTCGCGATCTACATAAGATCAGAGATTGTCGAAACGGGATCTGCATGATAGACAGTCAGGAGGATGCAATGAGATCAACAATCGTCCGCGGAGCAAGCGGAGGGAGTTACTATGATGGGCAGGTGTGGGATTGTGCAGATAGTTGATGGGTGAGTATGAAAATGTGTAGATGGAGATAGGCGTAGGAATGGGGGGTATCACAATCGCGGTAGTCCAGTAATGACGCGGTTGGTGTTTTGACTTGCTTACTCATGCGCGCGCGTCGTTGCTGTCATTGGTGTTGTATGGAGAAAGGCCTTGGTGGACCAGCTATGAGGTGAGGATGGTACTTCCGATAGTGCTTCCGCCAGGCATCTCGCCGTTTGAACTTTTTTGCACAAGTATTTTCTTCGCAAACGTATGGTTTCCTTTTACTATGCTTTCACCTTTTGTGCCGTACTAAGTTTCCCGACGACAAAGGCCTGTAAAAGATTGCCTACAACTCTCCTCTCCACAATACAAGTTCAGACTACACCGACTATGCCACTAGGGAGCAAGAGCGGTTGTGGTCCAATGAAGTTCAGTAGTCTGGTTAGTGACGCAACACTACCGATTGAAGTGCTGTCTATGCATGCATGCGAACACGTAGCCAGGGTCCAGAAGCAGAAGACATCATAGTTTGAAAAACGAACATTGTTATTGTGTGCAGCTAGGGAAAAGTGCGTCACTGTGCGTGAGCGCTACTTTGATGCAACTTGTCCTGTCTCTGCGCGCCTATCCACTAGACATTGCGTTTGCTCGAACCAGATTAACAACACCCCAACAAAATCGAAAAAGGTATTTCCTCCACCTCGGTTGACGAACAAGAAAAGATCCGCCGCCTAAACAGGTCGGGGTTTCAGTCGAAGAGTAAGAAAAAATAAAAGGAAAAATGAGAATGGTCGTGAGACATGGTGTGTTTCAAGACGGCCTCAGCCACGTGTAGCAAAACATTGTCTGCCGAATAAATGCCCTCATCCCTTGAACTCGTATGAACATGATGATTTCTCTGTCCCAAAATAAACTCGAAACTGAAAAGTTTGAGAATAGTAATAAAAAGGAATAACATATAGAAATGGGGTTGGGGCGTGTGTCTGGGTATAACCCTGCGTGCTTGGCGCTTTTACAAAAAAACGTATCTGAAATCAACAATGCGCGAATACGAAGAAGGGGTAAACAAGTGGTAGTGTTCAATGACCTGCTAGACGAAGAATAAAGAGTTGTTGAAGCGAGAATGACGATGCGCCGTAAATAATGATAAGATCAAGTTGTCGCTGAATAGTAATTATCGAAGCCAAAGCCGAGGCCGGGTATCATCATGAGTGAAATAGGTCCCAAGCTCTTGCACACAGTCCAATGAATTCTTCCTTCTTTTTCAGTTGAGTTTCTGGTGAGTCACGGCCGGCGCCGAAGGGACCGAGACGTGGTTGTTGGCGACCTAGCGGCGGGGTACCGTTGTCTTGTTCGTATTCGTCGCGGCCGCGTCTCCGCGAGCTGCCACTGCGATGCAGATCGGGCCTCGATGGGTATGCTGACGATCCGTTCTTGGGCATTGGTGAGGGGGGTGTTGGGGTTGGTGGCCACCGTAGTGGACTAGACGGGGCAGGAGATCCTCACGGCCCCCAGATAGTTGTTGGACAGCCTCCTCAGCGGACTTGTATTCTCTAGGCCTTGATGTTGGGGGCGGCTGTGTAAATTGTGGAGGCGGGAAGCTTGGTGATGGCATTGGGGGCTGGACGTTGGAATGCGATGAGTGTCCTGGGCTGCTCTGGTGGTATGGGTTCCGCGCTGTTCCGAGGGGCTCTGGGAAGACGTCTGAGATGGGCGGTAACCGGTTGTTGGTTTGCTGTGCTGGTACATGGTGGATGTGTGATGATTGCGAGAGGTTCGAGGGACCATTGGCAAGCTGTCGCGAGGGCGGTGCATTGCCGCGCAGACCCGTGAAGGTTTGGTTTATCGGCGCTGACTGGATTACACGGTCGTTGGAGAAAGACGAATGGGAGGGGGGCGCAATGGAGAGACCCGGCGGTGGGCCCTTCCGGCGAGAAGTTTGAGGTGTCTTGATTGTTCGTCCAAAAGCACCAATCTCAGTGCCCCGTGTGTCTTCCATGTCAGATGGTCCAGCCTTGCCGCCCTTCTGGCGCGCTTCGATGATTTGCCTTTGACGTTCTCTTACATCCAAGCTTCTTTGCAGCTGCTCGCGCATGCCGGGGTCTTGGGTGTGGAAGCCAGGCGAGAGGCAGGCCATGCCGACATCGTGGAGGTTTGCACTGCCTTGGCCCGAGGGCCGTGCAGTGAGGGCACCGGAGGAGTGCACGATGTTGTGGTTGGCTAGGTTGAGGCGATGGGGCCGATGCCTTGTGGTGGTGGGCATGTCTGGCGATGTGGGCTCCTTCTTGACTACGACCTTGGGTACTGGGCCGCGAGACCTGCGAGAGGAAGGACGGTTAGACATGAGTGACATGATATCTCTGTGAGGAGGAGACATGGAGGTGCAGGTGGGAGAGGAGGCCGAAGGAGGACGGCATGATGAGGAAGAAGATCGTGAAGAAAGACTAAACGACGTACGAAAGAGGTGAGGGCTTTGTCTCGGCTCTGTGCTGTGCACCTGGACTGGAGGAGGTAGGTGAAGCATCTTCTCGTGGTGGCAGCTTAGAGCGAGAGTTGGGCGTCACTTGGTGGGGAGAGAGAGTAGAGGGCGCAATGGGAGCATATGTCCTCGACGAGCCTACTCCGTCTGCCGACGCTGGTGCCGCATGCTGGGCCGGGGCCGGGGGATTGGCGACAACGGTGGTCATGGTCGCGTGTGGGCGTCCGTGTGAGGCTCGGTGGGAGGGGCAGATAGATTGTAGGAGTGAAGTGTGGCAGGGTCTTGTAGGAAGTCCGCTACACCAAGTGTCGAGGGATGTGGGCAGCCAGGGCGGGTTAGAGGCTGGTGCAACACTAAGCCGGGGCGGGAGTCTGGGCTAGGAGTTATGCCAGAATATGCACTGGGGCGGAGGCAGCAAAAGAATTAGATGCGACAAGAAGCAGCGCTGGCTGGCTTGGGAGAGAGACAGCACACGTCGTGTCTTTTGGGGCGCGGGTGTGGAGGGGATAAAAATGGCTCGCACAGACTTGTGTTTGCACAGGGCGGGCAGGGAATGGCCGAGCGATACAGCGGCTGGCATGCAGTAGACGACGTGCCTCCAGACGCCAGGCTGGGGGGGCGGTTGACACGGGCGGCCCTATAGCGAGCGTCTGAGCCAGGCCCTCCATGCGTAGTGTGAGATGGGGATGCCTAGGGCGAGCAGATAGTCGCGCCCTCTGCGGGAGCTCGCTGCACCAGACAGACGCCACCGAGCAACCCACTGTTTCGCATCCACGGCCTGCCATCCATGGTGGGAGATGGATAAAATCTGCGCTGCACCGTCGTTTCCTAGTCCAAATTCCAGCACCACTGAGAACCTCTGACCCCGTCAGTCATGCGCAGCTCAGAATCTGACCAACTCCACCCCCAAGCCCATTCCAGCTGTCTGCAACATGTGCGCAACCCGCACAACGACTGGCCGACGTATGCATGCAGCGCGTTACAGGCCCATTGCCAATACTCGCCCGCTGTCCAATCATAGCGTCGCCAGCACATGCCTGCAACCAGGTCCTAGACGAGCCTTCGACTTGTTTCACGCCGGCGCATCAGTGGTTTGACCACGCTCAAAGCAGATGCCATCGACACGGAGCGGAAGAGGGTTAATTGGCCAGGAACATCGTTCATGGCCTCGTGTTTCAGCAAGGCCAACTCTCCAATAGCGCTAGTCGATGTTTGTTTCTCACAATCTCGTCGTCGTGTCGGGGCAACCCTCAGCCATTCGGCAACCCTTAGTCATTCAGCCAGAACCAGGGTCCTTTGTCGGCATCTCTCACACGTGGCCGGCAACGTTCGCCCGGTCCTGGGATACTGCTCCTCTGCGACTTCCTTGCCTGTCACATGGCGACTTCCTTGCCAGTATCGCGCCTTCCTCAATCACCACATACCGCAACATCGCCCCTTCCGCTTGACTCATCTCTGACAAAACAGCCGTAGCCTAGCCACCTCTTGAAACATACACACACCCTTTCTTTGTTGCCACGGTTCCGACACCATAGCCGACACCACATCCGACACCACCATCGGAGTCACATGCTACAAAGTATTCTCCGACCGTTGCGCAGAAACTACTCAATGCTGTCCATCTTCTAGACCCTGATACCATGGTAGATTCTGCAGCCATAGTATCGCGATTGCACCAATGCTACTGCGACGGCATCATACTACCATCAATATGCTTCGGCTAGCACTTGTCCGTCGCTTTTCCTCGGCGACCTCCCACATCTCCTGCAATATCCATCATCTTTTTGTCTTGAGCCACTTCAATGCAATCCACAATCATCTCTTGGTCGACTTGAGAGTCATCTCAAGTACATGGAGTACCTTGAAGCTTGGCTGCAGGGCTACTGTTGACTGACAGCCTGACTGCAGGGTACTGTCACTGCCGCCAAGCGCATTGCACTCATCCCTAAAACTCCTCTTCTCATAATTCAACTCGCTACTGCCCGTCTCTGTCGCCTCCGCTCAGCCGCCGGCCTTTCACTATTCTTCCACATCCCCAGTCGATATAGGTCGATCAGGTACCGACTTGACATGTCTCCAGGATAATTTCAGGCAGTCCATCCAAAAGCGGTAATCGCTCCATCGCCTCTCCAATATGGAACCAGTGGGGCTTAACACGCTCGTTGCATTCAACCGAGCGACCGGGATACGGCTGTCTTCCCACCCACCATCCAATCAAGAAAAGGATCGCCCGTGAGTCTATTTTGGGAAGTGATCGTATCACCTCTAGCCATGGTCGCACTCTAGCACGCGTGCCATTACCCTGTTGTTGGGAATGAGCAATTACTGCTATCTGTTGGGACAAGTCTCAAGTAGACGCTTTCTTGGCACGCTGTTGAAAGTGTACTGATTCAGGCCCGGGAATGAATCCGACGTCTTGTATTGTCGCGTAGAGCAACGAACCGATGAGTTCAAGTGACAGTTGATGACAGTACCTTCGGCAAATAACATGCGCAAGGGTGCAGTTGAGCGTCGTCCAAGGCCCGCACAACAACGTGTACAGCCTGCAAGGTGCGCATGCGACACTGAAACCAGCTGCACCGCAATTATTCGCCCCTTCATATACATCTCTAAGCATACACTTCGACCACTGCTTCCCCAGATGCAGCGCCGTATGACAATACCCGTGTGTGACCTTCTGCACTGGGACAATTGCGTCAACGCAGACCTGCCGTCCCACGTTTACCAATTCACGTCCAAGCAACTCGCTTCCAGCCGAATGCACCCGTTGCGCCGATGCATCTGACTGTTGTACCAATACTTTCGTTCGAGCTTCCGCAGTTGTACTGGACGATGTGCAGCGCTATGCAGCTCGACGGTTTCGGATCGAACCGCGGAAGCCTTCGCGCGTGCTGGTGGCTTAGTGGCTGGATAGATGTGTGTTTGATCTGCAACGTAGATCGCGTTCTGTTCGTGCGCCTTGGGGAAAAGGAATGTGGGTGAGGCTTGCCAATGACTTGAGGAGAGTGGGCTATAAGCGTCTAATGGCGTTTCTGTGAGGAGAGAGTCAGACTAGACGTTTCACACGGGCACAGATCCCGAGAGAACTATCATCACCCTCTTGATGCCATGCCATGCACGCACGATAAGACACGACTTCGGAGATTTTGCTCTGAACGGTTTCAGTGCGACGGTAATATACCTGCCGGACCGTCATCACCTAGCCTACAAATGTAGCTCTCGTCCGAATGGACAAAGTACACAGTATACGATACACAGCAGGTCGCTTGCAGGATCGCCCGTTGTCACGGTGTCATGTCCTACATGAGGGTTATGGATGCCTTTGTGGAACGAGCATCGTGGGCGAGAAGAAAGTCAATGAACGGAACTCCAAGTTGGCGGCACCGGGAAGCCGATCCGAATACTCAATTAGCCGTCTGCCGCTATGGAGGTAAGTGGAACTCGGGAGATCAGCGCGCAAGCAACTGCAACTACTCAATGTGAGTGGTAACATTGTCATCGTTGTCGTCATGTATGAGTAACACTTGAGCACACCCATACTCCGTATCACTACGTTTTCCCCTTCGGAACCGTGCAACACAGCTATTACCATAATGACCACGGCCATACGCTACGACATGCTTCGGAGAAGATACTCGTTTCCTGTGCTGGCAAGCCCATTTGTGACGCGTTGTACGCTTCGGTAGGGTGCTGGGTATGCTGATATCCGCCTTTGTCGGACCGGAAAGGCAACTTGCGACGGCTTACCTTCGCCTGCCACAATCTAGTAGCGGTCGTCGTGGGGACAGTGTGCCGCGTATGTAAGAGGGCGTACAAGCGCGCGGATGCCACTCGTAAACACGAGTGGAAGAAGCATCACATCTTGAACGCAAACTTGAGGTAGTAGGGGAACTGCATTTGGATAGGAAAAGGAAGTCTAGAGGCTCGGACAAAACGACAACTAAGGATTTCGTCTGTGGAAGTTTGATGTTGGAATATATGGTTGGGCCATGCACCTGGAAGTAAGTGTAGTGCAATAGGTATGATTGTTGGTCATACCGCTACTTGATAGGACTCTACACGCTGCTGATCTTAATCCAGCGTGTAATAAGGAAATAAAACATACGAATGGTAAAGATCAGCTTGGGAAACATTATGAATACACGTGAGCAGTTCGTACATGTCCGGGGTTAGAAAAACATTGACTTGTATCTAACAGCAATACATCGCAGCCTCAACACGTCAACACGAGCGCAATCAGTCAAGTTGCAAACGTCGCTTAGGCCGAAGACGTTTGTTGATAATCTTGACTTTCCTAGGATAGCCCGTACAGATAAGGTCAAAGTATAAGCATAATGATAGCTCAAGGCCAAGAAGCGGAGAGAGCATATAGGAAGCAGGGAACGCCAACACATGACCTCGCGCACTCTAAGTTTTCGGTTAAACCAGCCATCCTACGTAAATGTAAGGTCGCACTAACTGTAACACGGACGTCATCTCCTGCAGGCTACAACTACCCAGCAGTATCAAAGCAATTTCACGTATACCACGGAGTTACGTTGAGCGACTGACCTCCTGCAATATAACAACCACAGTCGGCAACTTGGAAATGGACATCACAGGATGTTTCATTCTACATGATTTCCTCTGGAGAGTGATTCTCGAACAACTTGGACAGATCCAGGTGACCAAGATTCCGCTGATAGATGGCTGGGTGACTTGCCTTCGATCATTGTTCAATATCGAATATGCCACGATATCACTGAGCGTGAGACACAGCTGATGGCACAGCGCACACAACTAAGCTCTAGCACGGTATGGTTTTGCTAAGCGTCTTCCTTCCTATTGGTCTATCGCTGGCAGGGTCTACAAGCGCACAGATGCGACGCGTAAGCACAGATGGAAGAAGCATCGTTTACTAGACGCAAAGCCCGTCGCGGTTGGTATGTCTGAATGTTTGTGATTAGGGGAACCAAGTCCCAAGATGTGCAAAGTTACTTGTCACATGTATTGTAGACGACTTTCAAGATATGGACTTTGAGATAGGGTGTCAATTAACAGATGATACTAATCGTACACCGCATGAACAGCGACGAACTCAGTTCACTTGTATAAAAAAAACCCATCGAAGTCCTCTTATCGCTCTGCTTGTGCGAGTATGAAAGGTGGCGTGAAAGGCAGGATCGGATTCCTCAGAGGCATAGGGTTGAAGTGTGAACCAGACGGTCGGTAGGCTTTTGTGAGCCCATCTGTCGGACTTTGATAGAGTGATGATACTACTCGTTTATGTGGACATGGATGCCGCGATTTCTAGATGACACAAACCATCGCGCAGTTTCGAGCAATAAGTCTCGCATCTTGCGGAGAGAGCTGACATGGCGAGGGTGATTGGTGGATGAGTTCCTTCTGGGCACCGCCAGGCCAAGTTTAATAACCATCCAAGAGGCTTCTGCATTGGGGAGGAGCATTAGTACACGGGATGACCAAACCTAATCGCGCGCTGGGCTTGTATGGCGAGCAATGTGTTGGCGTCTTTCTGGCGGCTATGAAGCGGAATGTAACGAGGTTGCGACGGGTGGCTTGAGAAAAAGCGTCCAAGCGATGCTGAGCAAGGCGGAAATCGCGAGGCTGGGGGGTTGAAGCGATGAGCTGGCAGTTGCGGTGTGGTCAAGAATTGAAACTAAGTGAGTAGTCTCGTGTGTTTTTGCGAGCACGATGTTGAAGTTGATGGGGGGTGCCTGTTACGGTGCAGGAAAAGCACCAGTACTGATGTATAGGCCTTCGCGGCGGTGAGGCTGGAGTATCGTGTGTCTTGCAAAAGCAATATCATGGTTGCCCTGCGTTGTAACATTGTTTCGCAGGTTAGGCGCATTGTATTGTCGTTTAGGTGCGAGTAGTCAGTTTGCATAAGATGACTTGCGTTGAACTGTGCAGAACCTTTCTATGGCGACGGACCCAAGAAGATATGGAATATAAGAATTAGCCTACCCAAAGACTCACAGAACTATGGTTCGCCAACATATTGCCCAACCGCGGGCCTGGCAAGCCTGGCAGCACCATCTCCACAAGCCAACGTCACACTTACCTAACCCACCTACACCCACCCCTACGCATCCCGTCCGAATCAAACACGCACCCCAACCCCCTTTCCCAACACAGCCTTTTCAAGCACTCGACGCATGCATCATTCCAAAAGCGAAATGACATGCAACGCCAATTCCGATTCAAAACCTGCATTAGCTGTGCTGGAAATTGCATTGGGCGTGTTCTCGATCTGCCCAAATGCTTGCCTAGCGGGTGAAACTAAGCGGGGGACGGGGCGGGAAAGAGGAACAGGGGTGCAGTTCAAGGAAAAGCGTGCCGCAGACGTGCATCATAGGTCTCTTTTCGAATGGTGAAGGGAAAAAGTACCTACGTCATATGTTGAGCCAAGGAGGTTGGGAGCATGGCACCACCGTGCAGGTTTGTGAATGGGGTCTTAAAAGTTGGCACTGCCACATGTTGGCTATTCACTTTGTCCTGCATCTGTCTTCTACTTGCATTTAATTCTGCATCTTCTCAACTATACTAATTTGCTGAGTTTCCTCGACGTCGCGACGTTGAAAGTTTATCGCATCACGCAATACCACCCGACGGGAACCGATAGTCGATCGTAACGGTCGCTGATCACCGAGAAGAACCACCGAAATCATGTCTGGCGCACAGGAAAAACCGCTCAATGAGTACGTGATGATCCCCCAATGCGCAGCGCATTAACGCGTTCGCGTTCGCGATGGAATGGATTGGATGACGTCGCGCATCGCATTGTCGCGTTGGTGACGAGATGGAATCTTATCACACTACGCACCGACTAACACCCCACCCACAGGCTCCTCTCCCGCTCAATGGTCGATATCTATGTCGGCCCCGAGAACACGCACTGGATCCTCCATGAGAAACTCCTCTGCCACCACTCGCCCTTCTTCCGCAAAATCTTCTACTCCAAATCCAACTCTTCATCGCGCACACAATCCTTCGGCCTCCCCGAAGAAGAAGATGCGCCCTTTAAGACTTTCGTCGGCTGGCTTTACTCCTCCTCCCTCCCCGTCCCGCGCGAGGAAGCCGACCTAGGCGTATGCTTCGACCTGTACCTAATGGCCGAGAAGTTTGAGATCCCAGGTCTCGTCGCCGATGTCCTTCAGGTTGTTAGGGAATGGTACAAGTACAGCGATAGCTACCCTGGTCTACGTCGCGTACAATACATCTACGCAAACACCGAGGAAGGCAGCCCAATGCGACACATGCTCGTGCACGCCGTCGCACGCATGATGGTAATCGAAAAGGGCATTCCCGCACACTGGGACAAGGCACTCCGTAAGAACGGACAACTCGCCGTCGACATCATCAAAGCGATCCAGGACTGGCGTCTTGAAGAAGAAGTCGTACCTGATGCGCGCGAGGAACCCGCTGAGGCCGAGGACCTCATCGACGTGGAGCAGGAGACGGCGAAACTGGATGAGGAGGCGGAGCAAGAAATTGACGATGATATCCGTGCGGAGAGAACCGAGGAGGCTGATGACTCTGAGGATACGGTTGTCGAGAGCCCGACTAATGAGTCGAAACGCCCCAAGCCGACGACACAGAAGAGCGGCAAGGGCGGCGCTGGCGAGGATATCAAGAGCAAGGACAACGGCCTTGTCAAGGACTTTAGCAAGTTCAGTTTGCAAGAAATGCCGAATGAGATGACCAATGGCGACTACGGCACTCTTCGCGCGTAAGCTGGGTTTGCGCTACTACCATTTTCACCTTTTGGATTCAATTTGCATAATTCATCGCGCGTGTAGGGAGGGGGGAATATATCCGGCGTTTGGTCTTGGGATTTGGACATTTCATCTCTTGTTGGGTTTTCTATTCAAAAAGAGAAGATAATGTCTTACTACCTTTACGTTTTAGTCTTTGTAGTATGTTTGCAATTGTAACATCATCAATACTTTTAAGCATGCCCGCTTGTGTCCAGTGCTGGCTGACCCGGTGACTGGTACTAAAATGATGTTACATTATTTTCATTTCTCCACTCGGTCTTAGAAACGAGGCAAGAAGATGATATTAAACGAGAGCTACGGTTGTACTTGTACACAGATCACAGAAAGAAAAGGGAGTGTCTGTGTATTACCCCATGATAGTCTCCCCAGCCGGCCGCCTAACAAACAACATTCTCGGCGCAGCCCCATTCGAACAAGTAGTCACGGCATTCACGCAGATACCCCCTCCACCCCTGCAGCAAGTGTTCACAACACACAACTGGTTAACCGCACAGTCCTCGTTCACCTTACAACTGGGACTGCTGCAGGAAGTACTTCCAGGGACACAGAGGCCACCACCACCACTGACAGCACCACAGATGCAGCCTGAACCACAGTAGACGTAATTGGAGCAAGATGAGGGGGCACAGCTAGGGTTTGTACACAGACCGCGACTGCAGGCACCGCTAGCGCAGACATTACCGCATGCACCACAGTTGTTGGGATCATTTTGGAAATCAGGAGACGACGTGGCCGTGGCCGTGGCAGTGACAGTTGTAGTAGGCGTCGCGGTTTCGGTCGCAGCGATTTCTTGAGTCGACGTAGTGGTTATTGTCAAGACGGTTTCAGTAAAGGCAGTGGATGTTGAGATGCTGACTTCCGTGGCGGTACTGCTGATCACTACGGTGGTTGTAGGTGTTGCGAGGGATAGGCATTCACAGCCTTTGGAAATCTGTGCGCATTCGTATTGCTGAAGTCCTGATGGGGCGGACGCGCAGAGTGTTGGGGCGGGGAGAGTGGGTTCAAGTGTGGATGATGGCTCGATGGTGGATGAAGGTGTTGCGGAAGATGAGTCCATAGTGGTTGAAAGTATCGTCGAAGATGATTCTGCGGTGGTCGAATGGGTCGTTGAAGAGATATCTATGGGGCTTGAAGTCATAGTAGAGGATAGCTCCGCGGCGCTTGAAGTTGCTGTGGAAGATGACTCCATATTGCTCGACGGTGTTGGATATGCTGGCTGTACTACACTCGAATACGCGAGAGAGGATACCTGAGACGTGGTCGCATATCCTGAGAAAGAAGCTGGACCTGTGCTCAACGGTTCGTTCGATAGGGACGTCGCCATACTGGAGGATTTCGCGAGTGATACACTTGTAGTGCTTGAGCATTTGGTAGATGTGGACAAAGGAGTCACAGTGCTCGAAGACTTCTTACTCGCAGTGCATGATGTGCTACTGGAACTAAGTGTCTGCGCGTAGTCTCGTTTGATGGGTGCTTCGACTGTTATCGTTTTTCTCGGGCATAGATCGACTTGGGTAGTTCTGGGGATATCAGCACATTTAGTCTCAGCATGAATGCGAAGTGACCTACATGGTATTAGTCACGGTGACCGCATCAGCGGTCAAAGTCATTGTTCCAGTAACTGTAGTCTCGTCCGTGTTCGTGAATACAGCTGTAGATGTGACGGTCTCAAGGGTCTCCGCCATGGATGTCAGAGTCGATGTGCTCATGGCGATCGAAGTGACGGTAACGGTGGGGATGCTGAGTAGCGACGAGCAAAACTCGTTGGCGGATGGCACAATGCGTAAACCATCGACGACTGGCGAAATGAGCCCGCACTCTGAATCTTTGAGCTCAGTAAGACTGGGAACCTCTTCCTGGGCAGAGCTGGCAACTGCCAGAGAGAGCAGGAGTGAAGAGATGGATGCGCGCATTTTGATCAAGGTTTCCGATTCTGGGCCGACTGTGGACTGTTGTTTCTGCCACCGATTGTACAGTAAATTTGATTGAATTGTTAGCTAAAAGGGAACACCAGTATATATATACATTCTCGAAAACATCCACTTGCAAAGCCATTTTGGTGGCGCTGAACATGGCTGAAGCTATACAGGGTCAGACGAATTTACTCGGAGGTTCCGAAGGCAATTCTACCCTCGTCTCTACCAGCAGCGGACCCTTAGTGATCACTGAAGCGAGATGACCCTTAACTTAAATCCCCAAAGGTGTAAGCGTTTCGCTGAAGTGCCGGGTCGTGGGTAGACACTTGACTCAAACGAGTATCTTTGCAATGGCAAGGCTGCAATGCTGAATGTTCTAACCCAAGATGACTTAGCAGATCTGTATAGGATAGATGGGCGCTTTGTAGCGTATCGAATGGACAATGCTTCATGCGGAAGTAGTTTGGTGAGAAGCGTGATGTGTTCCGGGCTAGTGCTGATCTGGGGAAAGCTTCATCTAGACCGTCCCAGACCTCCATCCCCTGTCTGTGCTTGACTACGGACCAAGCGATAGTCGACGCCGCATCTTACGATAATCGAATCGTATACATTAACTGCTCGGTGCATAGTCAATGAGCTTCATCCAGGAGATAGCATAGAAACGGACATGAAGATGATGACAATTGAGTTTGTCGAAAAAATTGAAGGGGGTATCTTTAGTTGTGAACGACTATTGCTACCAACGTCGGCAGTTTTCCTACGCGAACTATTGAGCAGTACGGCGCTCATCGGGCATGTTCTTCCTTTCTTTCGCCGTGACCTTCTTGCGACGGCGTTCGATGACCTTGTCGCGCTGCTTCGATTTCATATTCTCGAAGCGGTTGACCAATGCGATCTTCTTCTGCTCGGACTTCTTCAGGAAGAATGGCTGCTTGCCCTCCTTGATAAGCTCCTTCTCCTTCTTCTTGTGCTCGCGGGCCACTTCTTGTAGCTTCTCCTTGTTCTCCCGCGCCTTTTGCTGCGACTCCATCGAGAGTAGCTTCTTCTTCAACCGCTCCTTCTCGTCCTCGTTCTTCGTCTTCTTAATGGTCTGACGGAGTTCGGAGATTTCAGATGTTCGGTAGTCGTTGAGGAAGGAGTACCGCTTTCCAACCACGAACTCATCGGGCTGGGGTCCTGAGGCATTGTCGAAACGTGGGTCTCTAAAGACTGGCTTCTTCACTTCGACCACGTTCCGCTTACGTGAGACCATACGCTTGCTCGATTGAACGGCAGGAGCGTGTTTGCTTGAGCGCGCGTGTGGAGCTGCATCGGAGTCGGAGTCTTCATCGTCGCCGGCTTTCTGAGGCTTTTGTTTGTCTTCGCCTTTACTCTTGCTCTTGGCCGTCTTCGCCTTTTTGCTGGGTTGTACACCGTTTGCAAGCTTTTCAGCCTTGATCTGCCGCAACCTCTCCCTCAGCGCTTCCAGTTTATCTTCCTGTGATTTCGATGTATCATCGCCTCGTTTGCGCTTACGGTCCGCTGGCTGTTGTTTCGAGAGGGCATCTTGTGCTTTGGCTAGTGCTCCAAACGAGACTTTGCTCATTTGCGCTTTTACTTGGTCATCGTCGGATGCATCTGACTTGGGAATGTTAGTGGTACTCGCAGACCCAGGAGGTATATAGATGCTCACCATGTCCTCATCTTCAGAGTCGCCTTCTTGCTCGTCCCCTGAGCTAATCACGTTACCACCCTCATCTGCTTCGATGACAGACGCAGAAGATGATCTGTCCGTGACCTCATAGTAACTTTCGCCATCTGAACTGTCTTCGGCTGCGCGTAAAGTGCGGTCGAGCTTCTTTGAAAGCACCATTGCAGGCAATCTGATAGAGAGACGTCGGAAGCAAAGCGTTTGTTGGGCCTATTGGGTGTCGCAGTATGCGGTTCCTGTCGCGTTCTTCGTTCGCCGCGGTCTACCAACATTTTTGTGGACCCCACCTCCCGGGGGTTTGATTCGCCGACAAGCCCGACAACAGGCAACTGCGCCCAAATCTCGAGTGCGCCTCACACCGTTTGGCTTCATGCTTCGTGCTCTGCGTCTTCACCTCACCAGACTCTTCACCACTCACACCTCCCTTATCGTCGAGCGTTTGTCGCTATCGCACGTGCTCCATGGCCGCAGTCGCATCAGCTCGGTACAGCATCCCCCACTGCGCTCCAGTCGCAACTTCTTCCACTAACACCGACAACTTCAAGACCAAGACAGGTCGAGACAGCACTACTTCCGAGCGGCTGCTCACTGCCTCCGCAAGCGCCAGTATGAACGAATCCTGGAATCCCAATGCCATGCCCTTCCGTCCAGGTGGCTATGACCGCCGTGAGCAGAATTTCGGCGCCTTCGAGAATCAACTTCCACCTCCCCCTCCTCCTTTTCAGGCATCACCGGGGCCGCCAGGACCATACGGCCCACCGAATGGCTTCTTCAACCAGAACTTTGCGCCGCCTCCACCGCCGCACCAGCAGCCTCCGCACATGTTCAATAGCCAACAGGCGCAAAATGAATTCGCAGGCTACCAACAAGCGCTGGCATACCACCACTGGATGCTGCAGAATGGTCACCCGAATCACCCACCGCCTCCTCCCCCGTTTCCTCTAGGCCCAGAGGCCTTCGCGGGGCGTCCTCATCCCCACATGCCGCCTCACGGCCAGCCGCCGTTTGGTGGGCCGCCATTTGGCCAGCAGCCATACGGACACCAGTCGCATCACGGCGGGCCGCCGCCCATGCCTCACCAGCAACGCCAGATGTTCCCGAATCGGCCGCCCTACCCTATGATGCAACAGCAGGCAAACTTCTCGCATGGAGCAAGGAATGAGGACATACAGTACGCTTTCGATGCCTTATTGAAGGGTCTAAAGTCTAAGAGCCGCGCCGCTAATACTCACAACAGGGCACCAACTCCTCCGGGCAAGAAATCAAAGTCTGGGCTTACTGCCAACGGGCATGCTAAGCAGAAAGAGTATGGTACCCTCCACCGCATTGCTTCTTTTGAAGCCTCGTGCTCTCGGATTAACAAGCTTCACAGTACGCCCAAGGCACCGAAGGCCGCCGCCGAAAAAAAGGGACGCTACGGTGACGAGAAAATCATGCTCCCTGCGCCGCAGCCTACACAAGAGTATTTGGATCAGGCCGCTGGTGAACCTACTACTACCGAAACACCAGGTCAGATGTTGGTTATCCTGGATCTCAACGGTACCGTTCTCTTCCGCCCAAACCGAAACGCCAAGACAATGATACAACGCCCTTTCCTGGGGCCGTTCCTGCGCTACCTCTTCGAGAACTTCAAGGTCATGGTGTGGTCAAGCGCGAGGCCTGATACTGTGAAATCCCTTGTCAGCCAGGCTTTGGACAATGACCTCAGGTCGAAGCTGGTAGCTCAGTGGGCTCGCGACAGCTTCGGACTCTCGCCAACGAATTATCAACAGAACGTTCAAGTATACAAGAACCTGAAGCTAGTATGGAGCCGAAGCCAGATTCAGTCATTTCACCCAGATTACGAGGCTGGCAGCTGCTTCGGCCAGCATAACACGGTGTTGATCGACGACTCTTCGATCAAGGCGAGCGCTCAACCGCACAATCTCTTGGAGATCCCAGAGTTCTCAGCTACGCCCGAGCAAATGCAAGGTGACGTGCTACGAGAAATTGCAGGCTACCTGGAGGCATTGAGAACGCAAGCCGACGTATCGAGGTTTATCCAGAAGCAACCGTTCACCCCTGGCGGACAGTGGACGTTCGATTGGCCTGATGATGCCGCTGGGGGTGGCGAGTTGACTAGCAAGGTTTCTGCTGGTGTTGCTCCTACTACGAGTAAGAAGAAGAACAAGAAGCAGAAGGCCAAAGAGGCTGCCGCTGCAGCAAGTAGAACCAACACTCCTTTGAATCAGGCAGTTGATACCCTGGTATCGGCGTCACTAGCTGCACCCGCGCAGCAGCAACAGCCGCAGCAATAACAGCAGCAGTAAGCGCAGCAGCAAACGTAAAGGCAGTTCCCACTCGACAGACGGTGAAGGAATGATCTAATTATGGGCTACTCCTTTGGAGAAGTGGCTTGCCGACCGAGCGAGAAGTATTGAATAGATAGCTTGAATTTAGCGGATATTGTCTCCATATCCCAATAGCATGGGATACAACGGACGAGCATAATGTACAGATACGTGCTGAAAAGTTTGATACCACTACTTATGGAGGTCTTCTAATCATCCCGACCTATGTTCTTCGCCATAATCTAGTGCTTCTCGCTATTATGTACAAGTCCCTTACATGTGGCGAATGACTGGAGTGGATACATACGCAGGGCGCAAATTCCTTGATTCTTTTCCCTCTCATCAACGGGATCGTTTCAGCACGTTTTCCCACTACACTGTACGCTACCCCGTAACATATCAAAAATGTGTCATCTGTCCCCTCTTAATCGGCCATTCCTTAGGAACTGTTCTACAGCATCTACTAGATCCCCCTTTAGAGTCACTCTTTTGACCAGGTGTAATCTCCGCCTAAAAAACACTATCGCGTGATCCCTAAAAATCTCCTTCTCCATTTCACTACATTCAACAAAGTAGGAGATAAGTTCTACGGGCGGTGTGGGAAAAGTTCGGGCTGTATTGGTCGAAGGTACGGTCTGCTCGATTCTACAAGACCTTGATTTCTGCCAACATGGCGACGTCAGTCTCTGACATGCCTGGATGCTGTCGCACGACACAGATTTATGTCTACTCGAATTCTCAAGGGGCAGGACAGCAAAACATAGAAGAAACATCGCTCGTATGTTACGACAGCACAGCTTAGCACAACAATCACACCTTGAAAAGTCAAAGTAGTCACTAGACGTACTTGTTAGGAACATATAAAATCGCAATTGTAACATTGCGTTTGTCTTCATGACAATTTCAAGGTTACTGCCTGTGCGCGCTTGGTCCTTGCCTTCTTTGCATCTTGGGTGCCACATGCCGGCAAAAAGACAACGTTCCCCTTCCACGACCCATCCCGCGCCCATCTTATTGATTTATACACATATGTATCCGGCAAAAACAAAAAGAAATACATGTGATGGTCACTACGAGGGTCGAACTCGCGACCTTGGCGTTATTAGCACCACGCTCTAACCAACTGAGCTAAGCGACCTGTTCCTGTTATTCGATAGAGAATTCACCAAATATTTGCAATATAATCCAATGGATACATACCGTAGCGGAGGCTAATTGTACAAGCTGAGTCGTGGTGTTGTCATCAAGAATTTTACAGAGATGTGTAAAGATTCTCAATTCGTGATGTGGGGTAGAGTCAGTGGTGCGGGGCACGGAAACAGAAGGAGCTTTGGATTGCATGAAGAGTTGTATTCGTCAAAGTCATTCTGAACATGTTCTTCTCTAAGACATAATCGTCTCTAACCATCCGTTCATTGAGTAAACTGTACAATCATCCCATCATGATATCGCGCCCTCCTCACCACTTTTACACCTTCGGCACAGCATCTCCCACACTCCCCATATCCATACTCAACGCATCTCTACACGCACCACCTTCACACACCATAACCCCCTCCCTGGCCGCATCCATACTCCTAACCAGCTCATTCCTCTTACTCAACCATTCCCCCATACCTTTCCCCACTCTACTAACAGTACCGAGACTAGCAGGCCGCTCCCGGTACCTCTGCAGCCACTCCTCCACTTTCTGACCTTCACCCGTGATGACACTATGTCTGATACCGAGCTTACCAACAACAACCGCATCCATCATACTAGGGAAGAGGAAAGGATGTTGCATAATCTCAGCTTCAAAAGCAGACGCCGTGTCGCGTGCTTTCCTGGTATAACTCTCGTCTTCTAGTAGCGCACCCAAGCGGTCTAGGTTCTGTGCTGAAACGCCGTTTGTGCCTGGTTCGGCATTGTCCATACCATCTTTCAACCGCATGATGAGATCCTTTTGGTCTTCGGGCGTGGAGAAGAAGCCGAGGTTTTCTTTGTCCCAGAACATGCGCAGTTGAGTTTGTTGGAGGTCGTCGGCCCAGTGGAGGTAGGCGTCGTTGAAGGTGGCTTCGTAGAGGGAGATGAGACCCGAGATTAGGTAGGCGTAGTCGTCTGCAAAACCAGGGGCGTCGCCACGGCCTTCTCGGTAGACGCGGATCAGAGTCTTGGTGTCGGAGTTGTAAAGCTCCTTTTGGAGGAAGGCGGCTGCTTTCTCGGCTGCGGCTAGGTATGCTTTTGAGCGTGTGGGATCTTGTGATGAGAGCGCGGCAGAGGTTCGTGCTAGGGCGCCGATGGCGAGTCCATTCCAGGATACTACAATCTTGTCGTCGAGACCGGGTCGTGGACGCTCTTTGTTGCGGTGCTCGAGTAGCTTTTGCCGACCCTCAGTCAGTATCTTACTGACCTCGTCTTCTGACAGACCAAACTGTTTTGCCAGGTCTTCTGGTGTTGCGGTGATGGCTAGTACGTTCTGGTTGATCAGTTCATCATGCGCATCATGTTCGGGTGCGACGTTGCCCTCGTCCTTGACATTGTAATATCGTGCGAGGATCTCGGCGTCTCGATCGCCTAGTATGTCCTGGAACTCCTTCAACGTCCACACGTAGAAAGCGCCTTCTCGCTTCTCCTTATCATTCGGTCTGTATAATGAATCCGCGTCCTCCGACGAGAAGAAGCCTCCACCTTCGGCGTGCATCGGCGGGCTGGTCAGATATGTCGCGATGTCGTGGACTGCTGAGAGGTGTTCCGGGCTTTTCGTCATGAGATACGCATCCAGGTACACAGGAAGCAGCTGTGTCTGATCGTAGAGCATCTTCTCGAAATGCGGTAGGCTCCAGTCTTTGGTGACGGAGTATCGTGCAAAGCCATTTCCAATCTGATCATGTATACCACCCTTGTTCATCGCATCCAGTGTAGCCAATACCATGTCCTTCGCGTGTGTACAATCTTTTGCTCCGATTACTTCTCTGACGGCGTTCGGGAATTCGGAAAGCTTGAGGAGGAATTGGAGGTTCGAGGGCGTAGGAAACTTGGGCGCACTGCCGAAGCCTGCGTGCTTCTTGTCGTAGCGCTTTTTGAAGTGCTGGAGCTACTCAGTGACGGGCTCTATACCAAAACATGACTGACTCACCTCATATGCTTCATCCAGGAGGTCTAGATCCAAGCCTTCATGAGCTGCGCCATCTTTTCTGCTGATGTTGCCGTCCTCAGCAAAGTCTCGCAATTGTGCTGTAATCTCCTTTGCTGAGTCTAGACACCTCTGACGCTGATCCCTCCACACATCGCGAATCTTCTTGAGTATGCCAACAAAGCCAATGTGCTCGCCCATTGCCATCGTGGACCCTGGACCAGGCCAGTACGTCCCGCCGAATATCGGTTCCAGGTCTGGTGTGATGAAAGCATTCAGGGGCCATCCTCCTGAGCCTGTTGTTGCCTGAACGTAGTTCATGTATATGCGGTCGACATCTGGGCGCTCTTCGCGATCAATCTTTATTGGTATGAAGTTCTCGTTCAGCAGCTTCGCGACCTCATCGTTCTCGAACGACTCGCGCTCCATGACATGACACCAATGGCATGCTGCATAACCTATGCTGATGAATATCAGCCTGTTCGACTTCTTCGCCAGCTCAATTGCTTCTGGTCCCCACATCTGCCATGCGACCGGGTTGTTCATATGGCCTCGGACATAAGGGCTTCGGCTTTCGTTCAGGCGATTCTTGAGCTTCAAGTCATCGCCTGAGGTGGCGGATGCACCGGAAGAGTTATGCGCGTCCATTTTCAGGATAGAAGTACGGAAGTTGCGCTGTTGCGCTCGAGATGTAGATGGTGGGGTCACAATAGCTGGAGCTGGTATACGGCGGAATGGCGTGGTCGCAATGGGTCTGTGTGCAGTTCGACAGGAACCTCGAAGATTGAATCTTACGGGAGGCATACAGCAAAAAAAGTAGAGTTATGGTGAAATATGGTGGCGCGCGTCTCCGAGGCCACTGGACGTTATCAGTCCATAGCTCCGGCAGCCCTGCCGAATCGCAACCCCGCCAACGACGTAATCTCCAGAACCCTAAGTGGCTGGGGAACTGCGCGGGGGTTTGATTCTCTAGAATCTGCATCCTTCTGACCTGCATTAATTTCGCAGAGTATGCATCACACCAACGTAGGGTGCAGTGCCATGACGTGAATGGTACGCCATTTTTCAAAGATTTTATTGGCAGCTTTTCCACGGTAGCGAAGTGCTTTGCAGAAGGCTGCTTGGTGGCGATCAACACGACACCATGATCCGTCATAAACGACCCGATGACATGCAGAAGGCCACATTTGCTTGTGTCGTAGCATCCTCAGTACAATCATGAGGAATTTTTGACGTGAGAACAATATGCGCTTACGCATTTCCTTTCCATTTTGAGACACGGCGTACCACACGATCGTGACATCGCGTTCTGGTGTCGTGTGCAAAGCGTAGCGAACATGAAACAGCAATTGCGAGAAGGAAAGAACTCTCGATGGAGACGATGAACTCGGACCACTCGAGAGATCCCATTGTGGAAAGACGAGCGTGGTGAGTGACGGGTGTTCCATTCTGCGTCTTTCTGGTTCCATGTAGCCGGCGCACCAAATCCTGGAAGGGAGAAAGGAGTTGTAAGAGACAGCTCAAAGCGGCAAAAGGAGTGATGGGTTTCCGTTCGGCTGTGTAACCTTGCTTAAGACTTGTCTGCAGAGAAATAAGTAGGAAAGAATCAGAGTCTCGGCCTTCCAAATCACGATAGTCGTTCTTTGAAGTTGTGAAGCTCTTACCTTTCACAATAGAGTCTCCCAACGCTCAGATAGTCGAGACCTGAAAGTAGCACAAAGCCAGATTGTGTGGCTGTGTGATAGTAGCAGACGAGTGATGGTGGTTCCTGCAAGGCGGTCTAAGAAGCTGTACCTGCCTTAGCGCGGATCACAAACGTTCCCTTGCTCATTCCTAGATTGGCTAACCATGTCGTCCTTTCTCAGATTTTACAAATGAATAGTCTGTTTGTCAAATAGGCAGTCGAGTGCGGACAATGTGTCAGGAATGAGCAGTGCTTCGATCTCGCGCTACTAGTAAATATTTCATGTTGAGTTGGTGGATGATCACAAGCTCAAATATCAGAGTCTGATAGCTGCAAACGTCTCGCTGTTGAGCCATTGGCTAATAAACCATTGGAGAGTTCGAGTGGCACTTTGTACTGCTTGAACTCGACCTTCACCACCACTCTGCACTGCCACCGACTTGTGAACGCCTCCCAACATTCATAGTCAGAATGATTGGGCTGCCACCAATGGCATTGCCTTTGCAATTGCTGCCGAAAATAATTCAAGATGACAGTGATAGTGACCGCATTTGGGCTGTATCTCACCTCGTGGCAATCGCTCTTACCTCATTTTGCGTGCGCTTCGCCTAATCTAGAGTTGATAAACACTCACTTGCTTCCTCACTTACCCTCCTCCATCACTCGCTCATTTGCTCAACTCACATTCCTTCATCTGACCCTCTCGTCTCCTCCTCCTCCTTTTGCAGCTTGTCTGACAAGAACACCCTCATTACTTTCCGTGCAACTACACTCACTTTGCATCTCAGTCGCGCCACGGTCGCACTTCGACATCTCACAGCTCCGATAAAGCCGGCAATTAAGTAAGTCCAGTTCTCACTCCTCATCAGGATTCCAGCACGTAAAGATACGGCAAAGATGCATTAATCGATACCACATAATCTGTCGGCATCATCTCACTATGACCATGTTTGACCTGGCAAGCAGTCTTTCAATTCTATCTCTTCCTAAGGTGAACCGGTCTCTCTGCCACTCGCTAGTACTACATAATCGGGCGCTTTAATCTTTTCGAAGATGCTCTACTCCGTTCTCATCGCTGCATCTCTGGTCGCAAGCGTCCTTGCACGGTCGCAGCTCCATGGAAGGCAACCGAAGATGGTCTATGAGACTAAGATTGTCATTCAGACGATCATGATTACTCTCACTCAGGGCTATACTCCGCCAATGTCTACCTCTTCGGCACTCTCTTCTATCACTCATCCTGCAGCTACTCCAACCCCGGAGCCGAAGCCTGAGCCTTCGACTTCTTCAAGTTCCAAGGTCCCCAACCCTCCGGCCATATCCCAAGCGCCTATTCCCATTTACAGTCCTCCACCCAAGGCCGTCGCCCCGGTTCACGATCATCCCTGGGGTACTGATCAGGCCTATCTCTCGGCCGGACCCGACTACCAGGCGGTCGTGCTGTTCCATCACAACGCCGCCCGTGCAAATCACGAAGCTGCTCCGCTGACTTGGGACTCTGAGTGCGAATCCAATGCTCGTATCGCTGCTAGTAGGTGTAGCTTCGAGCACTACATTCCTAAGGGCGCCGGCCAAGGCCAGAACCTGTTCGTTGTGTCTGGCGATGCTTTCAATGCTACAGCAGGCATTTCGGAGAGCTGGTATCGTGGCGAACTGACCCCAATGATACCCTGGTTCGGCAAGAGCAACCTACCTCACGAGGTCTTTGAGCAAGTCGGTCATCTTACACAGATGGTGTGGAAGGAAACTACCAAAGTCGGATGCGTCTCTCTTGACTGTGGCGGGGCAATGACTGTCAACGGAAAGGGTTCAGCCATGAACAAGTATACTGTCTGCAATTACGCCCCAGCGGGTAACGTCCGCGACCAGTATGCGGCGAACGTCGCATCTCCTATCTCCCCTGCTAACCTCGTCGGCTGGGCGGACTAGTTGTCACTCCAGCTGACACCCCTCAAACCGTAGTCCTCGCGATAACATGGGCTACTACTGGGTATGGTTATACGAACATTACTCGCCAGGTCGCGTGCACTGCGGGTACGATGCGGGCCTTTACTTGTGTTCATCATCATGGTATGCTTTCTACATTGCGCTCGTATACACCGGCTTTCGATCTTCCAGGTGCTAAAAGTTTCGGCAATGTTTTATTGCAGCGCATACTTGTATGCAAGCAGCATCGACATAGTTTTAGACGTAGCTTGTGTGGAATGACATGGCTCATGTTGTGGAATTCGTGTACCTGTGATGCGTGAAGATAGGTGAGCTCGTGGGATAGGTTTCAATTAAAGCCACAAGGCGTACTTCGTTGCCGTCAGCATAAGTGTATAGCTTGTACGCAAATATTGTTGTGGTTGAAGGAAAAGGAACGACGAAGTTGCGATGGCGTGGACTGATCTCCTGTGACAGGGGGTGGCGCCATCCTCCACCGCCAGCGATGCGCGCCCTTCCACGACACGTCGCGCTTTCCAGCCTCCTCTACTCACTGTGTCGCCACTTCACCACCAGCCTTTCCAAGGCACTGAACCCGGCTCTTTAATCATTGATTGTCTTGGAATGTGAGCTGTCACTGTCATATCAGACGGTGTCTGCACTGGCTGGCGTAAGCTCTTCTTCGCCTACGACGCCTACAACCAACGACCATGGCTACCTTCTCAAGTCTTTCAACTGAGATGAAAGCACACATATTCAGCTTCATCCGTCTAGAACTAGATCAGGCGACTGTTTGTCTTGTGAGCCATGAATGGAGAGAGATTATGGCGCCTTTGTTGTGGGAGTCACTCACGTTCGAATACCAGAGTATCTCAACGGCGAAGTTCATCACACTGATACGTCCTGACAGTGGTATAATCCGCCACGTCCGTCGAATCTTCATCGACTACGATCCAGAAAGCCTGGATGATAGCATCCCACAACATATCCAGGCTGCCATCGAGCTCACCATCAATACGCTACCAAAAAATACCCTGCGCAGCTTCAGAAGTCGTGTTGCTTTGGCGCCCAGATTTCTACTTAATCTGCTCCGACATCAACAGAAAATGACTGGGTTGGAGGTTCCAACGGATGATCCAAATGAGAACGTCTCTATCGACTCCGGGATTGTCACGCATGGAGCCTGGATCTCTACTGCGTTGTGCGAATTGAAATGGCTAAGTGTCTATATCGGGTCAGGGGATTACACGTATCAACACAGCGCATACATGATTAGAAACGCACCAAAGCTTATAGACTTGTGCATTGACTCTGATGGTGACGAACAAGCTCCTATTCGTGGCGAGCAGAGCTGTGACGCCTTTGGTGGACCGTATGCGGATGATGTCGCTGTGCAGCCGCTGCAACTTACGCGCTTTCGATTACAATGGATCGCCTTGAGTCTATCTCATGGAAGATTACTTAAGTACGTCAATCTTCCTGGGCTCCGATCACTCGCGCTCATATGTTGTCATGGCATTGGACCGTTCCTGATGGCCATCGCGACACAGTTATCTCTGAGCTGTAACCTGATCGAGTTGGGAATTGTAATGTCACAAGCTCTCATTGTGCAGGATGATAATGTGGTCCAAGGAATTGAGGCTGTACTGGATTCCTGCTCTGGCCTGCAATCCCTTTGGATAAACGTAGACAAAGCAAGGATGGTAGAGCCTTCGTGCATTACTCGACATGGCCAAACTTTGCGGAAGCTTGGAATTAGTATTGACCCCGAGAATGCGGTATATTACTCGGTCTCCGATCTCCATGCCATTTTGACATCGGCTTCACATCTGGAGGAGCTAGCTGTACATATCCCTCCAATTGAGATGGGCAGTCTTCAGTCTCTCGGCACAAATTTCAATCTCAGAGTACCGTACAATGGGTATTTCGACGTGCCTACTCTCTTGGTGGCATTCCTAGTATGTCGGTATTCCAAAAATTCATAGGATGTTTATCACTGATTTTATAATAGACTTGCATCGCCTGTCATCCAACACTCCACACCTTGCGTATACTTTCGTTGCCTGAGATTAACCACGGCTTCCCACCAAATACAATTCGACTAGATCGTGAACATGTCCCTGATGACCTCGTCCCGAGCATTAGCACGACGATACAGAAGCTCGCAACAGAAGCAATGTGCTTTTCCGGCAAGGCGGGCTCCCACATTAAAGTGCTCGGTATATGCCCCGACGATTTACCTCAGTACCGTCCGAAGCCTGACAGTAACGGCCACAGATGGCCGAAGTACTTCTACATACGTGGCCATATTTGGGATCCGATGAGCAGTGAGCGAATTACGGCAGTTCCTATCCCTATCAAGAACTTGTCTGAGGGCTCGGTGTTTAACTTTGACTATATTTCTACGGCAATGTAGTCCTTTCAGGAGTACACAGGAAGATTGTATGCTCTAGAGTTTATCTATAGCATGTCCATAGGGTACTTGCTGTGTTCCACATAGTTGGAAGTATGACCTAAAACGCAACGAATACGTTTTGGGACGGAATTTGCATTCTAAGCGGGCGAGTGACTGGAGAAATGGAAGTCAATACGTTCTCAGCTTTCCTGTCTTGAACTCTTAGAGTTTCGTCCGAATTCCCAACTTCTTACAAGCAGCCCCCAACATCTTTCTCAATATTATGCGCAGTTCAGACGAACAACTGCCAAGATGTTAGCACTAACCACGCGAACCCAGAGCACAAGCTTACAGTTTGCGAATAGCGTATACGAATCCGCATTGTTTAGCGCCTGCTCAGTCGAAAGTTTGACCGAAGCATCGTATCCATATGCTAAATCTTGCGTGCTAGGGCTGTAAACGCTCGAAGCATGCGTCGTTTCATGCAAGATCGTAGTACCCTGATCGAAAGATTTACATCCGGTCGTAACTGGCCTAGTTGCGGTGAAGAATATTGGACAGTACGTGATAGTGTTCAGGGTCGGCAAAGTGTACGCAACTATATTGCCTCCATCGCAATAGCCGTACTGGTCAGTACAGTATGATGTGGTGCCTGGTGATGTAGTGCCACAGTCCTGTGCTACTGCGCGCATCCGAGCAGATACCTGGTTCCTGACGCTTGTTGATGAAGACTTGAAGAAAGTTTCAAGTCTGCTACCTCCGGCTGCAGCGGCTGTTGCGGCACCGGACGCCAGCTTTTGGCAATTCGATAGTGCGGTCCTCAGAATGTTGAGGCGATCACCAGTGCAGCCTGAGTCGATGATGGTACGTTTAGCCAGTGACTTGCGAGCAGCAGCAGCTTCAGTGCCATCAACGAAGATGCTGAGTCTATTTGAGTCGTACCTCAAGGCGCCTGCAAGCTGGGTTGAGTTTTCGTTCGCATATGGTAATACGCCATTCGCCAATACGTCGAAAGTTCCGCCGTTGCTGAGATCGTGGAGGGCACCAGTCTCAATTGTTAACTCTTTCTTGCCCCCAGCTTCTAGGATGAGGAAATCATCGGCGGATAGGGCGCTTGGATAAAGTTGAATCGTGATACCTTCAAATGGCACCCTCCTAGCTGAGTGTTTGTTAGCAACAGCTCATACATAGCTTCAATACGTGAGCGGAATACACGATGCATATATTCCCATGTGGTTGCTAGAAATTAGGACTTTGACAAAAGAGCCTGTCGCTTACAGCCACTGTCAGAGTACAAGGTGACCCGCTCAACGGGCAACGTATCATCCAGAAGGGTGCCAGTGCTAAGAATATTCAAATTGGTGTCACCAGTGTTGGTAACTACCACCTTGACCACCGAGTTCCCCACAGTAGTCAGCTGAACATTGAGGGTGTCTTCTCTTTTGAGCAAATTGACTGAAGCGGCAAAAGTGTAAGAAGCAAAGACCCAAGAAGCGACCAGTAAATTAGTGAGAGTCTTCATGGTGAGAGACGATGAGAACGAGAGAGCTGGAAGAACTGATACGGACAGATGGGTTCAAACCTCGCGTGAACAGGCAAACGCCTTTAATTGGCAGTCTAGACATGTTGTTGAAGAAACTTTATGCAGTAGAAACTATTATTGTAGAAGCTGCATGCAGATTCCTGGATTTTGCTCTTTCTGATATCGTTCTTACCGGGTAATCGAGTGCAAGACAACAGTGAACTTGCTCTAGTCTCATAGCCCCCACTTCCGTGCCCCGTTACTGCATGAGGCGGAACGGGACGTGAGAGACAGTGGCCCACATACACGAATGACAGCAGAACGATGTCGCACTCATCCGATGTCTCGTTCCACATCTAATCTACTTCGACTGCTTTTGGCAAGTTGGCCGATGCGTGTCTAGCATCCGCTCACTGAAGACCATGATCGCGGTAACTACTAGTCTCTTTGACAGCCAATTCTACCTTAGAAGAGATTACTCGATGGGGAAGTTGCGAATGTAACTATCCTTGGCTGCGTTTCTTTGCGTCGTCCATTTATCCGGGTATTCGGCGATGGGAGCAGACCTGATCACTGTATCAATCCATCCTGGTGGGAAGAGGGTGCGTTCTCCTCTTTCGACTGCGACGATGTTAGGCCCTGCGACCTTCCTGTTTGGGTAGCGACCATAAATTGAAGGAATGATGGAGTTGCAGGTGCTGCTGGCATGAGCGATTTCCTCGGAGATGTTTGCACAGGTGAGACGCCCAACATCTGCGCAGAAGGCACAAATTTGAATGTCAGACCTGGCGAATGCTACACACATCCTTCATCTCGCAGAAAAATAGCCTGTTCATCCGCCGGACGGCTACTCCTACCAGGCCCTGTGAAACTCTTTCAATCCCACATTGCAACATCCTGCCTCCTACCGATACGCTCCGAGCTCGGAAAGCTGGCTAGCTTCAGTGGCATCTTCTCCATAAACCAGTCGTGCACTAACCTTGCGACCTCGAGACTCTAAGAGTTGCATGCTAAACTGCGCAGCCTTGATGACGTTTTTGTGGATGGAAAGAGAATAAAACTCGTCACACAAGTTTCGTTCCACTGCATCAGCATCATGTTAACAGACTGTCGAAAACGATCCAGAGCGACCTCAAGAGATGCAGATATGAGAACAAAGACGGAGAGAATTCAAAGATGATTAAACAATTAGATTACTTCGATAATGAGCTCTTCTCTAAGCAACAACGGTCACAGCAGTAGGCGTAACATCAAACTCCTGTAGAGGAGCGACGAACTGGTTGTAAATCGCTTCGTGAGAACCAGTGAAGTTGTATCCAGTGCTGCAGGTCCATCCGTTAGTTACATGTTCAGGTTTTCCTGAGAGCAATAAGAAGGGATAGAAGAGACTTACGTGTTCAACGGTTCGTATGGAGCCTTCTCGAAGCTCAACAAGATCTCATCTGGGGAACCAGATGTGTCGCTGGTCCTCTCGCTGAACTTGGCAGAGACACCGTTGTTGACGCCCTCCAGGATGCGGCAGGGCGCGTACCAGTTGCCCTTGCGGTACCAGCCGTTCTCGTAACCGGAGCAGTATGCCTTGACGCCGCCAATTTCACCCTCGACACTCGGTACGGTGACGTTGAAGTTGTAGTAGCAGCCGCTACGGGCGCAGCCGGCTGACCATCCCTCGACGTGCCAAGTCCAGTTGGAGGGGATCTCAGTTTGCTCAGTTTGGACGGTAGTAGGGGCTGCGAGGGCGCCGGCCGCGAAGGCGAGGAGAGTTGTGAAAGAGACCATATTGATGGGTTTGTGTTGCGGGTCGGTTCGATTGTAAGGGAGATGATATGTTCTTGCCAGATATTGGGTTGGTGTCTGGTTAGATATCGGCTTGATTCTATTTGGCCATCTGCCTTTTATACTGTCACACAATGCGTCGTGCGGAACTTATTTCCATGAACGTCATGTTCAAGATCCGAGCGTACCGACTCCTGTCCTAGGTCGGATATTTGGCCGCATGAAGTGTCACTGGTGTGTCCAAGCGCGTCACCGAAAAGGTCCGCAAGCTGCCGATCTCATTTGAGGAGCACCACCTTCGTGGTCAAGCTGCGCCGTTTGGACCCTACCAAACGTCATCCCATATTGGTAGTGGCGCGAATACGAGGCTGGTGCTCGGCTGGTAGGGTGTAACGTCGGGGAAATGTCTTGGTGACTTATTTTTGGAGTTGGTGCCCATTGTACAAAGAGTTTAATTCTCCACTCCAAGTCTCCGACTCCGCGCTTACGTCATTACTCGTACGACAACATCATGATAGTAGCTATCAACACCTCCTTCGCTCTTTCTACAACTCTACTTCGCCCACTATTTGAAGCACGAACCGTATTTAAAGGAAATCACAACGTGCCTTTTGAGTTTTCGCACGTGGTTTAGCATACCACTCCCTGACTGGTCCGTTATTGAATAGGGCGATGCCTGATCATCGCTACCTGGGCACCTCGGTATTCTTGGAAGCGACTTGGAAGAAAAGCATGTCTATAAACGAGCTGCATTATGGATATTATCATACCTTAGAGGGCAATAGGCTGATCAAGGAATTGAATTAGAGCTTACAACTAATGACTGATGACTGCTGATGCGACGGATATGTTGAACGTACGCACGACGCTTTCGGGGGACCATACATGAAGGGAGAAGCTATTCAGACTCTGGCTGGTCAGTCTTGGTCATGTACAGTGTCTATGCGCCAAGTTCAGGCTATTTACGCACAGTACTTCGCAGATAGCCAATAGTTCGGCTTCATTCGCTGTAGCGTAGTGCGCGACAGTGACTTGCACTATCCAGGCAGAGATTGGGGGGTAGATGGTAGACAACCGCTATAGCACAAGGTTTGTTATGCAAGTTGAGCTGGTGGTGCTGTCGATCCATATCGCGAGTGTGCCCTTGGATAGCTGATAACTGAAGCTTTGTGCAAAGGCCATAGCTTCTTGGTTGAATTTAATATTAATAGATATTGGAAATGAATATGCGGCATCACATGGAGATATTGAGGTTGATGGCTCGGTGTTGGCACTGGACAAGCCTGGTGAAGCTGAAGTAGCGGCAGATGTCATGTCCACCTCCATCGTATAAATGAGTTTTATGTTCTTACTGTGATAAGATGATTTGCGACGCAGTGTGGTCCATCTTACAAGAGTGCTTAAGTAAAAAGTGAAGTGTAAGGCATTACTCGAGTTCGAAAACATAGTTCGACTGTGACCCAAAAGTCTCATGTGTGAGAAACATATTCCATTTCGCCAATGGATTGCAAGTTGATTGCGGTCGGGACAGAGACTTTGTCATTGATGTCTTTCCATAAAGACGTTATTGGGATTACTTTAGTTGTAAGTGGTTGGCTGCTTAGCAGTTGATTATCGCAGAACTAGTATATGTTAATTAAAGTATAGCATCACGCAAAGTGCGACTGTGTGAGCTAGGGGCTAGTATACAGTATATAAAAGCACATTGAATCCTCAAAGCTTTCAGAACTCAGAACATTTCAAATACCATGGCCGAAGTAATAAGGCCGCCAACATTGCCTCCTTGGTTGGGAAGGACGCACGCCTCGCGATGATCAGGGTAGCGTAGACGAAATTGCAGGAAAAGGTTTAAAAAGAAGATTGATGAATTGATGGAGAATATCCGCATTCCAGTTGGATTAGAGCTGTAGAGTGTAATACCGCTTATATGGATGAATGAGAAACAATAAAACCATTAAGCAACACCACACGGCATATACATAGCCAACTTCTTAGCACATAACCAAACAGACATGTAAATCGAGACTTCATAATGTTCATTAATCATCGTAGCACATATGCCTTACAGTAAGGCCTCCCCTTGTACCCATTTCTACCACCCACTTCACATCATCCCTCATATCTACAAATACAAAGCGGAGCAAAAGAGCACGCTACCGCAGAAAGACCAAAGATCGTGCCCATAGGGCTGTGTGAGAGTGATAGAGACACGAAAAGACGCTCGTCGTGCTGAAACTGAGATCGACACAAGAAAATACTCAAGAGTACGAAGCCATCAAGGCTACGCCGCTATGAAGTTTGGGTTTGCAGGTCCTCCCGCCCACTAGGCGGCAGGTTGGGCACCAAATTCGGCGCCGCCACGGCCTCTGGGTGCACCACGGCCACGGTAGCCGCCGAAGCCCCGACCGCGTCCACGACCACGGCCACGTCCTCCTCGACCACCACGGTAGCCATCGACACTACCCTGGCCAAAGGTCTCCATGTTCTTCTGGCGCTCTTGGCTCCTGAACTCTTGACCACGCATCGCAGCTTCCTCTCTGTCCTTCAACTCGCTCGAGATGTTGTCGAAGAAAGAGCTCTTGTCGTACATGGATCCACCAGGGATGACGACTTCTTCCTTTTCAGTGGAGGCAGCCTCGACAGCAGGGGCTGCTGGAGCATCACCCATTGGCGATCCAGAGGCGATGGCTTCCTTGATCAAGTCCTGCTTGTTGAACTTTGCGTTTGAGGACTCAAAGTCAAAGTCGGTTGTGGGCACTTCCATCTTTGGGTGTTGTGGATGAACGCCACCTCGTCCTCCCCTGCCGCCCCTACCACGGAACTCTCCAGTCCCTCGTTGACGGGGTTGATGCTGACGGCTCTGTTGATCGCGCATGCCCTGCACCTGCTGTGCCAGGTTGTTCATGGGGTCTGTTACAGGAGCTTGGCCTTGTGGTTGACCTTGCGCCTGACCCTGCGCCTGACCCTTGTTCTGGAGGTTGAGCTTGGCCATAGCCTCGGCGACAGCGGCAGTTGCTAGTTGAGTAGCATTCTGCTGCTGAGCAGCGGTAGGCATTTGTGTAGGGACGGTGGAAGCAGCTGCACTTTGTTGAGTGTGAGGCGCCGTCTTGGTCGCTCTTGGACTTGGGATGGGTACAGCGGGGACGATCCGCCCACCCTTAGGTCCGCCCTTTGATGGTGGTTGAGTGGTTTGGGGATGGGGTGGTGCCAGCGCAGCTGAGACATCGGGCTTCGAGTCAACTGGTGGTGGAGGAGCTTGCTTGCCTGCAGTAGCTGGCGTTGGAGTGGACCCAGATGCCTTTGCGCCGTTCTTCGGTTGTGGCTTGGCTGTTGAGCCGTCCGCCTCAGCGACCTTCGGTTGCTGGACCTGACCTGGCTTCTCATCCTTGCCTGCTTGGGGACCTGAGGGGCCCCGTGGGCCTTGTGGAGGTTGGTTCTGGTTCAGGCCGGGAGGACCGATAGGCATGTTAGGCGAGAACGGGCCAGGGGGCTGGTGAAAGCCTTGGCCTGGTGGGAACCAGCCTGGAGGCCCTCCAAATGGAGGCGGGGGCATACCGAACGCGCCTGGTGGACCTCCAGGACCTGGGAAAGGACCTGGACCACCAGGGAAACCACCTGGAGGACCGAAACGGTTGCCATATGCACCACCAGGGCCGCCAGGTCCACCGAACGGAGGGTATCCACCAGGTGGAAATTGACCTGGTTGGGGAAAGTTTGGCGGCGGTTGTTGGCGACCGGTGATGTCTTGTGGGCTACCCTCTTGTCGCGACTGAGATTGTTGTACCTGTGGCGCATGCGTCGCGTCAGCTTTGGCTTCGTACAGTATGGGAAAGAAGCAGGATGGGTATGAGGATCTCAGAAGGAAGGCAACGGAAAATATCCACACGGTTTTGCGCTCTCGGTGGTTTAAATGATTTACATCCGAAAATTTTACATCATCGAAAAAGAAAAAGAAGGGTGGTGTCATAGACTTACTCCGATGATGGCTGGGTCCTGGGGCATTGCAGGCTGAGCTTTCTCCTTGACAGGCTCTTCAATGCGCAGATCCTTCACATCACTGCCTCGGAAGACAATTTGCTCGTATACAACGTCTGATGGCGGGTATTCATCTTTGCCGCCTTTGCGACCCTCTGTGCCGAACGAGCGCACATTGTCTAATGAGACTGTGGAGGCTTCTGAATTGATCTCGACGAGAGTGCCGACATAGCTGCGGAATGTTAGTCGCGTCGCACAATGCATCAACGCGATGGAGAACTTACCGGATGTCACTCTTGGAGATGAGAGAAATGCGAGATCTACGCGTCCGACGTCAGCTGGAGCTCCAGCTCGAATTGGAGAGCTGCGACTAACCCGATGAACTCGGACATGGCTGTGGAACGCGGGTATCAAAACGGGTATCGAAAGGAATTGAAGCTCAATGAACAAGGAAACAAGGCTGGAAAGTGGTTGTGAAGGGGATAAATTGTGGATGGAGGAGTGAGGGGTGAGAGAAGGTTGGAGAGCTCCGTGGTCGTGGGCTGAAGCTGAGAAACTTGGCGCACGTTTAGCGAGGCGTAGTCTGGAAGCTTGAGCCTCATTCATCCACCTCGGGCTACCTTTACCCCACAGTACCACCTGTGCTGCCCGACAGTCTGCACTCATGCTCTGCTATAACCGATCTACTTGGGCATTCTTAGACCCTTGAGGTCGTCAAGTATTTGTTTCTCTTGAGCGTTTCCACACTCCCTTTGGGCTTCTCAGATCGCCCTGCTCCTCGCCATGAGCGTTACCGACGATGGGCTAAACGACATCTACGAAGCCCTAGATCGCTACAATTGGGACGATGACATCGAGTTCCAAGCCGGTCTGCAGGCCATCATTGGCAGTAACAGTACGCCAGAACAGATGACCGAGCTAGCATTACGCGCGCGATGTTTCTATTATGCGAGGTACGACAACAAGTCACCCATACATGAGACTGCATGCTAAGACTGGACAGAAAGTACAACAAGAACATAGACTTCAATGCCTACAAAGCCTACCGCAACGCGCGCAACCGACCACCCCCAACCCCACCCACCCCTCACAACGTCCTCGCCTCCTCCGTCGTAGACGAGATGCTCCCACCCGGCACTACACCCAATGCGTCCACGACCAGTCTGCCTATCAGTACAGAACTACCTCCAAGCACCGAGCCAGGGGGCATCATGCCACCACCAACAACCGCAAGCGAACCACCTGCGCCGTACCCAACATCATTCGCACACATTGTCGAGTTGATTACCAGTGGGAAACCGGTACCCGGCATTAAGGAGATTCCCCCTACGGTGCTCGAGGGGCAGGGTACGCAGGCTACTAAGCCGAAGAGGAAGAAGCCATGGGAGAAGGATGAGGCGTGAGGGGTAGTGAGTGTATAGTATTTAGTGGCATCGATTTGAATGTTTTCGAGCTGGAGCTGGAGATCATCAGCGTAAGCGGAACAGGTGATGGAACGGACTTGATTGAGGAGAAACTGTGGGAATTGGGGCAGGAATTCTAGGGTTGCAGAAAATGGTGTAGATATGGTAGCGACCTGCTTATCTTTGGGATCTTGGACACTACGAAATGGAAACGATACCCATGCGAGGACAATGTGGGGTGTGCATCGAGCAGCTGAAAGACCAAGATACTATATACTATCCACTCACCCTTGGGATTGAACTCCCTCATTTGAGCTGTTCAACCATGACCACAATGCAACTTCATGCTCGAGTACTAAATCCGATGACTTTTAGCACTCCAGAATCTCCATACTAGTATCTATCTTGCTAGGCATAACCGAGGAATAACTCCATATCGGGGAAATACAGTAATATCTTACTCGAACGATGGGCAACCATGATGTTTGTGCCTGTGATGCCCGAGACACGACCCCAAACGTAATGATACTCAGGCCATTGATGGCCGTTCGCATCGTCAACCAGCTCTTGACATCCTCTCGATCCTCTTCATAGCTAGGTTTGAAGGTGAGGACCCTCAAATCGGATCCTCGGCTAACCAAGAAATTGAAGTTTTGCACAAGGATGTGACAGAGGGCAACATGCTGATTTGAGGGCATTTCTAACCAATTCGGCTCATCACCAAAGCTGATAATGGGGAGGCTTAGAATGCGCAATGCATGTATGGCCGGATGTGTGGAGACTGCGGTCTGAAATTCCGTCAGGAACTGAAAATACATGAAGGCAGATGGAGGTTTACCAGCATATTCATATAGTTCCCATCTATGCAGAAATTGAACTGAGGCGATAGAGTAGAATGCGCATTCAAATTGGGCATGTTTACTGTTAATTGCTTCAGGTAACGGCGAAGCTCTTTGTCATGGCGCAGAATTGCACACAAGGAAGTGTCTTTGCATTTATCTGGTGATGGAGAGAATAGCTCGAAATACATCAATTCCGGACAGCATCGCGAAAAGGCATGATTGTTGTGAAAAATGCTCTCCCCTGGTGCTTTGTGTGGCTTGACCTCTAACCGAATTGCTGAAAGCTCGAGCATCAGTGAACCCATGCATGCATGATGTTCCTCAGAGTCGAAATCAGACGGCTTTGTTCGACCAGGAATGGTGAAGGGGCTCCAAATATACAGTTTGTGAATTTTGCGTTGAGACTGCAGAAGCATCTAGAGTGTAAGGCTTGTAAGCTTGCCATCGCTCTCGAAACGAAGCACAGCTACGGCTGCGACCTAGGCACCTTAGGGCCTACATTTACTCTGATCCTATCCAGCCGTGAGGCATCCTAAAGATATTTGCTATATCTTACGTTTGCCAATGTTCACGTGGAATATGGTACCTTAAGGTAAAGAGTACATAGGTATCACTTGGAAGAAATGAGCCTCCTTGCCAAGGGTTACTCTCCGTCCTTGGCTGGAACATAGACATCGAAAGTCCTTTTTAGTCTCAATGATATTCAGCCTGGTGTATGCTGAGTAGGCGACCGCTGGCTCCAAACCTCGAGGCGCTTCGTAGCTTAGGGTAGAAGCGCTATGCCGATACCATATCTTGCCTCTTGCTCGCCCCATGATACCTTCTCGGACTCGATGCAGTTTCAACACGAATATTCGCCCCAAAGAGCGTGCTTGTCGTACGTAGTGGCAATATACCTAGAGCGAGGTTTGGCCGGCGCATACCGGTTAGGGTAGTAGGTAGTCCTAGAGAGGCTTGGAGTGGTTGCCACTCGAAACACATTTGTCGCATATTCATGGTAGAGCATAAATAGGCAGCCAGTCAGCGTGCAGGATGAAGGTAGTAAGGGTGATGATGGTGCAGCGACATGGGGTGTGGTGAGAAGTGGTGCGTTCAGATGATCCAAAAATAGAAGCGACGATGCTGGGGTACCCGCTCAGCTGTCATAACTGACCAAAATGCCCCAAAGCAGGCAGGCATGACCCGCCATAACACCTGAACGACCGCAAATTACCACCTGCTGGACCCTCGACGACGCGACTTGATAGCGCGCTGCCACCGCAAACGACGTAATACCCATCTCGCGACGAGTGTAGTCGCGCGACGGCGCTGGGCGCATCGCATCCTATCGTTGGACCTCTTCGCGCTGGACTCGCAGGCTCCGTTGCGACAGCAGCCGCTGCCAGAGACTCCCCTTTGCGGCCAAAAGAAGCAAACCTCAGGACGTGCTATAGCGCAGGCGTTGGACAGGCTGTCGCGCACTCTCTACAGGCTACTACGGGCTATATCCATGGCCTGTTATTGGTGTTAGCGCGGTCGCGATTCATCCTCAGGCTCTCATGGCATGCTGACGGGCCGAGGAAGCAGCAGAGAGCGTCACATCGTGGAGAACCATGCAAGTCGACTTTGGCGACGAGGGAGAGACGGAGCACAGTCTGCACCTGACAGCCAACGCCCACCAACACTACGAACACTCGGCGCCTGGCAGCGGGCCGGCCTACACACAGTTTCGGCATCCGGGTGGTGGTGGTGGTGGTGGTGGTGGTGGTGTACCAGCAATTGATCCGGGACTGGATCAGAGCACAGGTGCCAGCCGCAATGTGCACACGCCCATGTCGGCGGTCCCCCATCAGGCCCAGTCCAGTCATCTACTTCAGCCTGACAATGCCGGTCACCTTTCCCACGGCTTCTATGGCGACATGCGCAGCTCCCAGACTCCCCCAGCGTCTGCAAATGCCTCGCCGCGCTTCTCCCAAATATCCCCCACCAGCCAGCCGCGCCAGGCAGCATCCCACTACGAGCCTGCCGACCGCGACACTCCATCGCGCGATGTATCCGACGACACCATCGACGACGCCTACGCGACCTTTATCCTCTACTGCAACCCCAACTTCCCCACCACCATCGACACGAGCGAACTAGTCAAGCTGTTTCGGACACCGCCAAAGAGCGACGGAAATGCATTCAGCACATGGACTCTCTTCGAGCTGATACGGAAGTTTGACGCGAAAGAAATCAAAACATGGACACAATTGGCACTAGATCTGGGAGTCAAGCCGCCAAACACAGACGAGGGGCAGAGTACGCAGAAGGTGCAGCAGTACTCAGTCAGGCTGAAGGTAAGAGCACTTCATTTCAGTCACTTTTTTCTTATGTCCGGCAATCGCCGAATCGTTTTCCTACCAATACACTGGTTCACCTCTTCTTCCGCGTTCTGGCGCAGTTGGTTCCAACAGTGTGTTCATGCATGTCATCCGGGTCGTGCGGCGCAGTCGATATAAGCCTCCAACGCCTCATTGTGATCGGGACCATCTAGTTGGTATCTGGCGCAGTATGCGAACCGAGCCACTCACAGTGTGTGAGGTACCTGAAATGAACTGTACTTTACGACTCGGTCCATATCACGGCCTCTGCAATTCAGAGGGGCGCGCAGTCTTTCTTGTCGCGGCATAGCCACTATCGATTGGCTATACCACTTCTCATAACTACCATTCTCCTGAGCTTTGCTAATCTTCAACAGCGATGGATGCGCGCCATGCACATCGACGCCTTCTTTGAGTATCTACTGGGCAAGCAACATCCATACTTCCTGCAAATACCCCACCCCCATAATCCTTTCCCAAGTGAAGGACGCGATGGTGTGCCCTTGGAGGAGGATCTAGCTATCCGGGCCCTGGATCCCAAGTTCAAACCTAAGCGCGGACGACGCAAAGCCGATGACGGAGATGATGACATCGACTTCGATGAAGGCACACCGGCTCGCAAGCGCCCACAGTTGGACACGTCAATCCCTTTTGGCAACGTGCTGCAGCCCCAATCAGCGTATCCTACAAGCGCCCATCCCAACAATATCCACGGAGGCTTCCTTACACCGCAAGATCCATGGACTTCAGTCTCAACTGTCACTCCTTCTTCAGCTATGACTGCAGCTTCAGCACCTAGTCGTCTAGGCCAGAGCAATTTGACCCCCTACTCAGATTCACCAATGTCTGGACAGCATATACGATGGCGACTAAACACGCAAGACACACCTCAAACACCTCATCCGCTCTCTGCTGTAACGCCACAATCTGCGTACCCGTTCTTCGACGAGCCCCAGTCTGCTGTCACGCCATCTAGTGCAAGGTCGCGCTCTCGTAGACGTCACGGCCCCGCGGTGTCCTCAGCATGGTCAACCAGCAACACCTCATCCACTGGCAAGTTGCGTGGTCGACCTCCACAAAACCGCTCAATACGAGATGGACCGTACACTACCTTTCCAGCCAACCCAAAGACCAAAGAAGGACCGCCCATCGATCGAACTCCAGGCAATCTGACACCAATTGTTGAGCGTGCGCATTCCGACCCTCCAGCACCAGAAAACTCCTTCCGATTCCCTCCCACCCCAGCATCCGCCATCTCGCCCTCAAAGATGGAGGGGCAGTTCACAGGCGGCATGCCCCAAAAGCAACGACTAAGTCTCCAAGTCCCCCCAAACGTCGGCAACCCAGTAGTCCGCCTAGTCACCCCAACCGTCCTCGTAAATGGAGAAGAAAACTCCTCCCCAGGCACCAATCTAGGCCCCTCCCCCATAAGCGCCGCCTCAACACAAGTCTCACCCGCCAATCATCCTTATGAACATCAACAAAACCTATATCAAAAACAACCGGATAGGCCGACACATCAAACCTACCACGGCGCTCTTACTCCTTCAGAGACACCGGCGCAAACAAGGCCGCCACCACCAACACGCTCGCAGACCTCACCAGCAGAGATCTCGACCTCGTCGCCACTCCCTGCAGTCCCCCCAGAAACACTCAATAGAGCTCTAGCTGCGGAACTGATACGCGCCCCGCTAACCAAACGCCGCAAACGCCTAAGAGGCAACGAAGCGAAAACACTGGCTACTGCTATCTTGCAACCGCTCTATTCTAAACCGGTGTCTGGATCGAATACTTCTTCCCCGACAAAGGTGATGAGCGACCAGGCTCTTGGTATAGCTATAGCGAGTTGTCTGGGGCTGACGAGTGCTGTTGGTATCGGGATGGGCGGGTCGACGGGGGGTGTGAAGAGAGTGGAGTGTGTGAGGTTCAGGGTAGGTGGGGATGGGTATGAGAGTCCTGTTGATGACGAGGACGAGGAGGGGGATGCAGTTGATGCGAGGGTAAAGGAGACTTTTGATGTTTTCTTTGGGGTAAATTTTGGGGGGTTGAGTGGAGAGTGGGTTGTCAAGGGACTTGAGATAAGAGCTGATGAAGGCAGTGAAGAGGCGGCAAGACGCCTTGAGGGAGAAGTTGACGGGGAAAGGGGTGAAGCAAGTCAGTTGACTTCGCCGGCGGCTTGGAAAACCAAGTTTCTGGATGCACAAAGACGACTGTGGGAGAAGGAGGAGGAGGTCAAGAGTCTCAAGGATAGGATTCTTGAGGCTGTTTTATAGGAGACACTTCGTTTCGTTTGTAGCGTAGGGAGGGTTGAAGTTTTTCTTTTCTTTGTGTGTATATTGGGCGCATGTAAAGGGTCGGTTTGGGAGGTCGGATCTGCTATATACCCCTGTTGCTGTTTGGTATCTTGGATTAGGGTAGGATTGGAATTGTGATTCAGATGGATGTAAGGAAAAATTCTTGTATGTGAAAAGGTTGATTTGTAGATAGCACAGCGTGTATAGGCTAGTTTTGGATTTATGCATCATATCGTTAGTGAATTGGTCCTCAACCAATCTTTTTGTTCATATGCCAAACCCTTCAAGCGGCCACTCCAAACTCTCAATCCTTTCCAGATACACCACACCCCCTTGCTTCCTTACTTGATCCATGACCTTCATCATAACCTCCGTCTCCTCAAGCCCACAAATCTCACTCTCCATCTTTCCATCCCGAATACACCTCGCACACTCATCCGCCTCCCAGAACATGCCGTGTCCACCCCCAGGTATCTCTTTGTACTTGTCCACAACCTCGTACTCGAAATCCGCGGGTTTTCCCCTCTTCTCATTAGCGGCAGGCGTGAGCGTGTATGTCCTAGGTCTTGGTGCATAGTCCACTGTCAGGTCACCGAGGGTCCCTTGAATCCGTACTGCGTCTCCACCAGGATTAGCAAGTTCAGCATTCGGAGTTGTAGCAACAAGAATACTCGTTGTAGCCACGGCATGTGCGCCAGTAGTGGGGAAATGGCAAAGCACAGTCGTCGTCTCATCGACGCCCGTCTTGTACTTGCTCACCGCCGACTGCACGACAGGTTCCTCTCTCCTCTCTCCAGACTGCGTATGATATGCCGCGAGAAACACCCACGTCAAACTATAAATGCCCAAATCGAGTAATGCGCCCCCCGCGAGTTCCGGGTTGACCATCCGATGCTGCGTCCCGAATTCCCCGTCGACGTCGTTCCAGAAACTGAAATCGGCAAAGACGCGCTTGATCTCTCCTAGCCGTCCACTTTGGAGGATGGAGCATACCTCGAGTGTCAGGGGGAAGAAACGCGTCCATACTGCTTCCATGATAAACTTGCCCTTTTCCTTCGCCAATCGCCTCAGCTCGTTGCATTGTTTCGCGTTGACGGTAATGGGTTTCTCAATCAGTAGATTTTTTCCCGCTTCCAGAGCTAAACGCGCGTGTTGGTAGTGATGCGAGTGCGGCGTAGCTACATAGACGATATCCACATCAGGATCCTCCACGAGCTCTTTGTAGGAACCATAGGCTTTTGCCGTGTCTGGAGCGCCAACCGAATTCAGGAACTCGGCAGCGCGAGATGCGGATGTAGAGGAGGCTGCTGCGGCGACCACGTGGCGGATATCGGATGCATCCCGCGTGTCAGAGGGGATGACGAGGTCTTTTGTGAATGCTGAAGTGTGTTAGTTGGGAGGAGCTACTTGTGAAGACGAAACAGGAGACAGCTGGGGAAAGAAGGGGGCGGCTGGTTACTTGTTGCTATGCCTCCGGTCGCTTATTGCTTCATTAGCTTCTTGTTCGTTTGTACATGTGTCTGTTGTGGTCGTGTGCATACCCAAGATACCCCACCTCAGTGTAAACGGTTCAGAACCCATATCTCACAAGACACAACAACTACAGGAAACTCGAAAGACGCCGACAATGACAGTGGAAAAACGACAAGGCGCTCCATTTTGTATTCCTCATCGCTACAAAGACACACCGAACCCATGTCATGTCTACGCCCTGGCTTGAATGGATGCTGCAGGTACATGTGTAACGTCAAGCAATGGGGACACTGCCGACCTCTCGATTAAAGTACCCCGCAGCACGGGAAGTAGATAAGTGAGCATGATGGAGGCGACTAGCGGAGACACGGGATGTCATCCGCCTCATCCTTTCACCATCTTCGCTATACATGAAGATGTAGGAAGCAAAGCCCAACCCAAAGCAAATGACGCATGAGATTCTGGGTATATACATTTTAAAGGCTCGTGTCCTTTGCACAGAACGCGAATACAGTGCTCATATGCAACCTCAACGCTCAACACAACGTTCCGCCGTCCTACATGGTATCGCCCTTGTTTTACGGGTCGCGACTTGACCCGATATATCATTGCGACCGCGGTTCAGCTAGGAGATGGATTCTAAGCCCGACGCATGGCAAGCTTCTTGCGTGCCTGAATCGTGTATGCGTACAAGGCATCCTTGAAAGCGAAGAGGAAGGCAGCGGTGATGACACTCTGGGTGACCTTGGGACCAATACCTATCAATGGTTAGCACACATCTTCTCTCCGTACTTGAAAATGCTGTCATACCTCCATACAGCCCACTGTATCCCTCCTCCCTGATGATGCGCCTGAAGGTGGTCAACATGTCCTCCCTGGGTCCATCTCTACCGGCAACATGCATCCTGCTCTTCACAGTGATGTACGGGTACGTAATGCTCGTTGCCAACAACTTGCCCAGCGCACCCAGGTAGAAAGCATCCTTGGGTGTAACACGCCTCCTCTTCTCCAGCATCTGCTTGAGCTGCTCAAACACGGTATACTGGAGAATGGGGTTGATGACCAAGACCAACGCAGGCATGACACCGGCGAACAAGCGCGCAGGGCCCTCATCACGAACGAGAGCGAAGAGGGTGCCAAGAGTCGAGGGCGCTTTCTGTGCGGGTGTAGGCGCGCCTGGGAGCGACTCGTCGGAGGCTTCGGACTTGCGTGTCGTCATGCGCGTGTTGACGACCCAGATGGGGTTTGTCATGAGGACGGTTGCGCTACCGGCGAGGGCGCCTGCCATCATGGATTCGAGTGTGGTGAGCTTGGACGAGGCGCGACCGGCTTTGAGCGCAGCCTTTTCGAAGAAGGAGCGAGTCCATTCGTACCCTTGCTGCTGTCAGTCCCGTCGTTGTATCACACAGAGGTGGAAGTGTCATACAGTAGTAGTATACGAAGTTCGTAACGCTGATGCCGAAGAGGGCCGAATCGAGACCTGCATAGAGTCCAGCGACACCCTCGCGCTTGATGATGCGGCGCGCTGCATTGAGCGTCGACGACTGAGCACGCTTTGATTCGACTTGGGCGCGGGTAGAGAGGGTGATGAGCGGATAGCTGGGGGGTTGTTAGCAGCCCGCATCGATTTGTCTCCATGGCGCATACGTCAGGGCCATGGACAATAGTCCTCCACCAGCGCCGGCAAGCGCATGCGCGACATTGTCGCTCTGCTGAGCCGCCGTGCTCTGGGGTACCGAGGAAGTCGACTCGGCAAGCTTCTCCTGTGCCTTTTCCTGTGTCTGAGACATGATCGAGTGCAGAGTCTGGTAGCGCGGGTGAGAAAGAGGGGGGCGCAGGCGGATGTCGCAATGAGAGGCAAGAGCTGCCGTCGAGCTGATGATGGTGGTAAAGGATAGGATGGACTGTGGAAGGAACAGTATCAAAAGGGAATCGTCGTCCAAGGCTCCTCTGATGGCATGTGTCTCCGCATTTGAGCTGCGGCTCCGGCTGGCTTGTGAACGTCACCCAAGCGTTTCCGGGGTAAGAGGTACAACCGAGGCAACAACTTCCCCCGAACTAGTCGCATACGGATAATCCTTCACCACCCTTCAACACGTGCAATCTCAGATCATCATGCAGCACACAACAAACATGGCAACAATGCTTATGATTGGGTCTTGCTACTTCAACATCATCTCCCGGATATTCTCCTCTCTACCACCCTGAATGGTACATAGAGCACCGCCGACAGCACAACCGCTACCTCCAGCCCGATGTCGCCCGTGGTCTCCGCAATGGGTCCTGTCCACCAAATCTGTCCCATGCACGGGATGATGAGGCCAAACGACAGCAGGAATGCGCCGATTGCCGCGACACCAGGTGGAAGCTTGCTCGGCTCGTCCCACGCCTCTTCATCCTCGGTGTAAGCCATGAAGCTGCTTCGTCGGAATAGCGTGTGTTCGGTCAGAGCGATGCCGATGAATGCAGCGCTCCAGTATCCAATCACTCCGATGAAGTTCTCGAGGTTGAGGAAGAAACTTTTCGAGGCTTCGACAGCGACGCCAATCACAATTCCAGTGATGACGATGCTGAAGAAGATGCGCGGGATGCGGAAGAGCCAGGGAACGAGCATCTGCAGGTTTAGTGTTACGCTATACATCGTTGCCGACAGGTTGCCCAACATGCTGAATGCCAGCACAACGGTAACGAAGCGACCAAAGCCACCAGCTGGGTGAAGCATGGCTGCAAGCACTCCACTCGCTGCGTTGACATCGTATCCAGCTTGCCATGAAGGAATGTTTGGTGTAGCGCTGCCCATAGCCGCACCGAGAGTCATCAAGAGTATTGTCGGGAGAGCGAGGCCGGTGTAGGTGTAGAGTGCGATCCGGAATGGAGGAGCCTTGGGATGCATGTACGTTGAAAAGTCACTCGCAAGTGCAGCCCATGGAAGCATGAAGCTAGCCACCAGCCCTCCAAATGAGAGGACTTGTGATGCTGTAGCAGCAGGTGCTGCGACCTGGTGGCCGAGACTCTTACCTCCACATCCTGCAGCAATGACGAGTGCCGCCAATGCTGGGATCCATGCCCAGCGTTCATAGTGATGCAATACTCCAAAACCACAGAAAGATATGACCAGCGACAATATAGCAATGATGACAATACCAACAGTAGCGTTGATAGTCGCTCCATCTTGCACCGCCGACAATGCCATACCGCCAATGACACTATCAACGACGCAGAATCCCGTCAGAGTAGCGAGGTTGAGCAATATCAGGAGAGAGACAAAGTATTTCCCAAAGGAAAACCTTGCCTGGACAAGCTGTCGCATACCCGTCTTCGGACCCCATGTACACATGTACGCCACCGGCACGGTTGAAGCGAGAGTGAAGAACAGAATAACCAGGGCCGCGTCCCGAAGGCTCAAGGCAAATGACATAGTGCCCACCATGCCGAAAGTCACACTGCATAGCCGTTAGCTGTCATGCTCATGCAAGGTGCGACACGTTCCAATCCAACCACTTACGGCAGGGGATTGCAACTCATGCAAAACCAAAGCGTGAAGATCTTTGAATACTGCGTCTCTCTCCTATCCTCATACGGCACAGGCGTACATCCTCTAAGCTCAACATCTCCTTTCTTTTCCAGAAAACTCAGCACCCCTCTCCACCCTCTTACTCGTTCTTGCTTGCCTGCAGTGACATCGGTGCTATTCCCCACATCTCCCACTTCCCCAACCGATAGATTAGGCCGCTTGATGTCTTCCTGCGAAGGAACCCTGCTGGCCCTAGTACTGCTCCCTACCCCTACTTCGGGGATGTCTGCCATCTCTTTTCCGTGGTCTCTTGGCTCTGTGAGGTTGTTCGCCGCTCCACCCCGAGATATTGTGCGCGTAAGGTTTGTCAGGTCTTCGTAAAATTCCGGGGATTTGGTACAGCACCGTTGACGACCCACCGGATTATCCAGCTACTACAGCTATGGCTTGCAGTGCGAAAGAATTGCGTGTCAAACTGATGGGTCGTATGATTAGACGATAATAAACCCAGTCCCGGAGTCTCTTGCTGAAAGCGGCCTATATACCTGAATCATTTGCTCCACCCTCGACATCGTCGTTATGACTCCATCACGAGTGGCGTTCTAGTGCTATCAAGATGAAATTTTTCTTTCTACTTGTGGTCTGGCTGCCCGCGGCGAGCTTAGGCGCGCACCCGTCGGCACCGACAAGTATGAAAATCAACGGCCCACAGCGATCTGGCCCGCCTCGCCCTCTGCTAAGCCGACAACCACATGTTAGCCGTTTAATAACCGCGTATTATACTTGTGCAGCCGTAGCTCGAGGACCAAACTCCGACATGACGGAGGTGGGTGACTGTGACTGGGGGGCATGTGTTTCTCTCGGCTGCATGCTCGCTGCGCAATGGCCTGACTATAGACGCGCTTGCCGACTTCTCGCCGGTCTGCCGGTCTATCCCCATCATCTTGACCGAATTGGGTTGGCAGCGTCCAACCACACAGCTTGCGGTGGTTGATACTCCGACGGTGATTGTAGCGTGTCGGGGAGAGTAGACTTGTTTATCATGGACGTTGGGCGCTGCGGCGTAGTCTTGCATGAGGCTATCGTCGTCGTCCCTTCTTCGCTCTCCTCCATTTTGTCTATTTGGAATCTACGTCTTTGGTCATGGCTACTGCCACAGATGAGAAGCGGGAACCTATACCGGTAGATGAGGCTGCTGTAGCACCTGAGCTGCCGGTAAAAGGTGAAGTCGAAGTACCATACAGTATATATACGAGTAAGGAGAAATGGCTCATTGTAGCCATGGTAGCGCTCGCGGGTTTCTATAGGTACGCTTCTTCCCTTTCATCCCAAGACATGTAAAACGAATAGTACCTGACATCATCACAGCCCTCTGCCTGCAAACATCTATTTCCCAGCCATACCAACACTCGCCCGCGCATTCGGCAAGTCAATAGACGACATCAACCAAACCGTTACCGTGTACCTGGTATTCCAAGGAATCAGCCCTATGCTATGGGGCCCCATCAGTGACCGCTATGGCCGTCGCCTCGTCTACCTCGTGTGCCTAGGCATCCTCGTCGCATCGAGCATCGGCCTAGCACTCTGTCCCACGAATCACTTCTGGCTTCTATTATTCCTACGCTGTTTCCAGTCCGGAGGTAGCGCCAGCACCATCGCTCTTGGCGCAGGTGTCATCGGAGACATTTCAACGAGCAGAGAAAGAGGAGGCTACTTCGGCATGTTCAATCTCGGTCCTATGCTCGCACCTTGCATCGCACCCGCCATCGGAGGCGCCTTGTCACAAGGACTGGGGTGGCGATCCATCTTCTGGTCCATCGTCATCATGGTAGCCGTGTGCCTCCTGTGCATCGCCCTTTTCCTGCCGGAGACCCTGCGCTCCATTGCCGGAAACGGCAGTATCCCTGTGCCTCGCTTACAACGCGCTATCCTGCCCATTGTAGGCCAAAAAGCAACCAAAGAAGCTTTCGACCCGGATTCTCGCGCTAAGCCAAAGCACTCTGTAAACCCATTCGTTCTCTTCAGTTACCCTGATGTCATCGTCCTGCTCACCTTTACCGGTCTCGTCTACGCTGTTAATTACACCATTACCGCCACCATCTCCTCCGCTTTCGCAAAGATCTACCCTGATTTGTCGGAGACGGTGCTGGGACTTTGCTATCTTCCCGTTGGCGCTGGTATGATTCTTGGATCTACCATGACGGGCAAGATGCTCGACTGGCAGTACGCAAGCATGAAAGAGCGGTGTGGTGACAAGTTCACCATTGAACATGCGAGGCTGCGTATCATGCCCTTTTACCTCTCCCTCTTCATCGTCTGCGTCATAGGCTGGGGTTGGACCATCCAGTCAAAGGCACATATCGCCGTGCCGCTGATTCTCGGCGTCATGCTGGGATGGACGTCGATCGGTATTCTCAACACTACCATGACGCTGAATATTGATATTCTGCAATCGCGAAGCTCGGGCGCTACGGCGTGTACGAACTTGGTGCGCTGTTCGCTGGCCGCCATCTTGGTGTCTATCATCGATCGCCAGGCGCGTGCGTGGGGCGACGGCTGGACGTATACCTTTTGGGGCGGCATCTGTTGCCTGTTGATGCCGCTTATGCTGCTGGAAATTAAGATGGGTCCTGTGTGGCGGAAGAAGCGAGAAGCCAAGGAGTTGGAGTCTGGGAAGGCTTGATCTTGTTATTGAGGGTGGATATCAGGAGTTTATGAGTAACGGCCAATGTTTGGTTAAAAGCATTATACCCTTTTGTTGTCAGTTTAGCATAGCGTCGTCTAGTATCGCATCGAATTGCATTGCATATTCATGAATTACTCGTTTTTGTCATGTTCAAGATGATATGTGCGGATGATGTGTGCGGAGTAGTCAGACTAGTGACATCATTGCAAGTGGCACATGTTGCAAGAGACTGCTTTAGCATTCTAGACTAGAGATAAGACTACTAGTCCGGCCCCAGCCTTCAGCCATCGCTTTTCAAGCCCTCTGTATAATACCCTCATGTCTTCATTTTTGATCAAGGTGCAGACATCCTCATGCCTCTCGCACTGATGCCGAAGCCATCTAAGCCCTTAGTGTAAGAAGTGTACTATGTACAACCTCCGCCACAGCAGTAGCCTCAGCCTCCCTAGCAACACGCCTCTGACTCCTTCCACCACCAAAGTCTTGAGAAGTGACACGTCCAAACAGCTTGTTGCATCCAGGGCTCCAGCGACAAGCCGGACCACAGGTACCCGGTGGGCAGTAGGAAACAGAAGTAGTAGTAGTAGTAGTAGTAGTAGTAGTAGTGTAGTAGTAGTAGTAGTAGTAGTAGTAGTAGTAGTAGTAGTAGTTGCAGTGGGAGTTGGACTAGAAGTCTCATGGGGCTGTTGACGTGCCTTAAGATCGCTCCTCGATGTGATAACTGCGTTGGCCGGAGGCCAAGGCCTTGGTGGACAGTCAGGACCGAACCAGCCAGGAGGGCAGGAATGCGTAGGCTTAATTTGTGGCGGTGAAACGAAGCTCTTGCAGTGATTAGCAACATGACCCGGAGAACAAGGCGTAGGTTTAGCTTGGCGAGCCTCGGGCGTAGGTTCAGCCTCCCTTGCAACCCGACGCTGAGACCGTCTACCACCGAAGTCCTGAGATGTAGCTCTAGCAGCGACGGGCGGCTTGCTAGACCTCGTCCATGTTTGATGTGGCGCCCTCGTCTGTTTCGCCTCGCGGGCAACTCACCGCTGAGATCTACCGCCGCCAAAGTCTGGGGATGAGAGTGGAGCTCTTGGCGTAGGGTAACAGAGATGTGTCTCGGGGTGTGCTGCGCGGGTGAATGCAGAGGAGTTGCAACCGCACTCGTACGACGTAGAACAGGTGGGTTTAGATTCGTCAGGACCGCATTGGATGTGGGTGGAGATGGGGGTTGCCCATTTGCTATAGTCGCTGCGGCTGGTAATGGTTGTGCAAGCTGAACTCGGGGGCACTTGGCGACGGTGCTCGGTGATGGTGCGGGTGAGATCTGTTGAGTCGGTGGTCGGGGAAGTGTAGACATTGGACCGGGTGGGTGTGCCAGTGGTACAGAATGCTAGGTTGATGCAATCGGCGGAAGTGAGTGTGGTTTCGAGCTGGCCAACGGTGATGCCAGCGAAGCCAACGGCGATGGTGAAGAGAGTGGTAAACTTCATTTTTGCTGTTCTCATGTCAGTAACAATCCAGTGAGATAAATGGAGACATTTTGAGTTACCTGACGTCGGTATTATTGAGAAAATAAGGAGAAAAGATGAGTAGAGAGTGGAGGGTAGAAGAGAGGAAGGAGCAAAGGGTTGTTCATAAACGTCTACGCTGTTTGGGAAGTACGCTAATAAAAGTGAAGCGCTACCCAAGCGGTAATCACCTGCGTTTGTGAGACATTATATCTAGAGATAAGGCTGCGGTAAGAGACCGGACTTGTAGTACTATCAGACATAAAGTGGGGCGGGAGGCATCGAAGCTCGAGGTCACCGTTTGCTGAGAGATTAGAGTGAACGAAACGCGGCACTTGCGGTGTAGTGGCAGGAGCGCGGCGCTGTCGCTGTAGCCATATCATCGTGTAAGGGAGAAGGGTGAAGTGTGAAATCAAGAATGGTAACTGGGACGGCTGGATAAATAATGAGGTCAGATTGGACCAGAACTCTAAAGATGATGATGATGATGCAATGCTGCTCAGACGCCAAAGTCTATCACTCTATCCATACGACCACCTAATTGAAAACACCCCGTCTATATCAGAAGACCCTTTGTGAAATTCTCCAATGCAGCTCGATATTGCTGACTATACTCAATGATGATCTGCTGCTGGTACCAACTATGACGCGCGTTGTGGTCAGCCACAAGGTTGTGTGCAAGCTCATGGCAGTAGGTGCAGAACCAGCTGTCCAAAGCTCTGAGCTTGCCTTCCTTAGTTTGACACCCATCGCTATGTAGAGCGATAAACCAAGCAAGGTTGAAGAACAGACTACCGTTCATGTTGAAGGCTACTGTATTGGACTTCTTGTCAAGGAAAATGTTTACCGCGGCGGGGTTAACGCTAAAGATCGACGTGAGTCCGAAGATGAGCGGTAGGAATGCTTGCAGATGAGACTGCAAATCGGTGAGGGGCGCAGTCTCGTCACGACCGTAGTAAATGTCCACGTGCCGACCGGAGAAGGGTACAGAAAAGGCTTTATGTAGATTCTCCCATTGTTCGCCGTTACAGTAACCTCCACGGTCGAGCTCTGTCGGGTCTTGGTGATGCTTGGTGTTGATGTTCTCCATACCAGTAGGTCGACATTCCTTGATAGCATTTTGAATGTTCGACTTGGTAGCCTGAATATCGCGGCTGATCTGGGGCCCGTCTGTACCGCGCGAAGGTCCGCTTGGTGCACTCGGCGCGTTCTTGAAACCAAGCTTCTTCGCCCAATTATTGATAAGGCCTTGTTCTTCCTCTGGTTGGCGGCCGCGATTGGCAATTTCCATGCCAGTGTCTGGACTACCAAAGGCACCAGGCATATGTTTACCCTTCTCCGGCGTCTCGGGTGGCATGTTTTCTTTATCCTCAGACTTCACATGACCAGACTTGGCTTGTTCAGCAACTCGCTGCTGCTCTTCTTCTTCACGCTCTTGTTCAGCCTGTTTGGCGATACGTGCCTCATGCTCCTTCCTTCGTAAGATACGCTCTACATTGATACCCTTTTGCTGCAGTCGGCGTAATGGCTCAGTCAAGATGCGCTCAAGCGCGATGGCATCGTTACGCTTCGGCCGCGACACTAGCAGCCTGACTAGTTCACTTGACACCTCGTAAAGATCGTATTTTGGTGTGATACTCAGCACATATCCCGTACCACGCACCTTGATGATTACGGCAGATTTCCGTGAAGATGTTGCAACATTGCGCTCCGCCAGTGAGTAGCGGATGGAGATATCTGACACGCATTGGACCGTCAAATTGGAACCCAGCCACTTGGCGTCGTGTCTGATAGCCTTCGATGAAGCATCGCGTTCATACTCGTGGAGGAAGAGACGCACACGTTCTAGGATGTCCCGTCGAAGATCTTGGGCAGGTGCCTGGTCGCGTGCCACTGTACCGATACGTTGATCAGTCTTAACTAGCTCTGAAACCTTCTGAACACCGAATCGGGCGTAAAACTCCTCGAGGAGCTCTTCCTGCGGGGCTGCGATGATATAGTCGCGGAATCTTGTCATATAGTTGACGTTGTCGATAATTACGATCTCGCCGGCTTTGTTGAGAGACCATTCGCGATGGACATTGTCCTCATCAAGGTCATCCATCTCTTCGTCACCAGCTTCGACGTCCTTTTTGGTATCCTCTTTAATGTCGCGGTAGCCAAGAAGTAGCCTTGAAGCCACAAGTGCTTTGACCAACTCCTTGTCCTTCCATAGATTCGCAGCATGCTCAGCCAACTTTCTAAGCAGGTCAAGATACTTCTCTTGGCCAATGGTATTGAGGAAGCGAGCAGGATTTCTAGCGAGGAGATACGCCAAATCATGTGTGGTAGGCTCGTGCTTCGCGCCGACCTTGAGAAGAAAGACTGTGGCTTCCGCGCCATAGTGAACGTAGTCGAGGATACCACGATACTCTTGATCACGACCAACAAAGACATGCTCGGGTGGGTCGTAATGATGAATGCGCATCTCAGTCTTGCCGGTTTGATTTTTCGATCTATCCTCAAAACCACTGCAAGTAGGATCGAGGTAGTACTTCCTGAAGATCGGTACGATATTGGAAGTCGAAAGGCTCTGTATGAGCCCTTTGTACTGATCGAGCTCAGATCCACGCGAAGCAAGGTAAGCAAACTGCATTTCTGCATCGAGCTTAGTCTTGGGTGGTGTTTTGATAAGATACTGAACACATGGGCCTATGCTCGGATCACGCTGAACCGCTAGCTTCTCGGCATGACCGCGAAGATCGCTTCGTAAGATTGGAAACCCCAGGCAAGCTGCATGTTCGTTGGTATAGCATTGAAAGGGGCCGACCAATGCCGGAAAAGGAGCCTGTTCAGTTGGCAGGATCGGAAGGGTGAGGGCAGCGAACTTCTGGTGCTCTACGGCGTAGTTGTTCTTGTAGTAGTTTGTCAAGAAGTAGTCCATCGCACGCGTATAGAGCTGGAGATCTTTGGCCTGACCGGCGCGATGGAGTACGTTTGCGATGGTGATGGAATCTGGCCATTGTCGTAGTCCTAGACGCAGAAGTAGTACACCTTCCCGTGTAGTAGGCTTGAATTCGAAAGGCAGATTGATCTGAGTCAGACCTAGAGCTACAATAGCCGGGTCGGGAGCATAGAGGTCTGAAGCTTTGAACTGCTCGCCAGGCTTTACCCCAGCACCGTTTCCTGGCAAGAACGCTGTCTGTTGTAGACGATTGAGATCCTTCGCCGGAATCTCGTTGATGACGGATGCGAAGTAACGAATAAGGTCAACGTGGTTCCAGGTCGGCTTTTCAGACTTTTCAGACTGCTGCGCGTCGCGACTGCGCATTCGATCAAATACCATGGGAAGATCGATAGTCTTTCGTACACCAAGCGCTAGGAGGAATTTCTCCTTCGAGCCGGGAAATGGCGTCACAGTCGGCAAATCGTCGAAAAGTTTCACCGTGGAAAAATACGACTCAGCTGGTCGCCGCATGCCCATCTTTGTCGGCAAGATCGTGTGAGGGGTCAAAATCTTAACGACCGTCTCCTTAGACGTTCCATCGAGTTGTTCCCAGACCTTGGAGGTCAGTGTCAGCACGGAGAGGGCTAAGTTCTCGTCCTTGGTGAATTCGTCTAGCTGCGGCCGTGTCGTCATGTGTCGAAGCCAACGAACCATTGACAGTTCCACCCAACCGAAAAGTTGCAGTTGCTTGATCGACATACCTCTGGTGAAGGCGAAAGGTATCGTGTCTGGTGGAAGAGGTAGGTGCGCACCAATGCGGGCTGGGTTAACGAACGTGCTGATGTCGCCCAAGGCGAGGATTCTACCGGAGTTCTTCTCTGGCTGAACATCGATATTGGCGACCGTGTTTTCGAACAGACTACGTGAACCGGGAACATCGATCTCGCCGCTTTCCAGCTTAGACCCACACCACTTGAGAAACTCAGAAAGTTCATCCTCGTTCAGTGCCCGTGACTCCAGGCCTTGGCGGATATCCTGCATTGTGAGCTCGGTGATAAATCCGCGGTTGTGTAGGTTGAGCATAAAGTCTACCGCTCCATTTGCTAGTTCCTGGGGAACCATAGGAACTTCTCCTAGGAAGCTCAAGGTTTCTGCTGGCATGCGCACGCGCTTACTTGGCATGAACCCCTTAGTCGAAAGGATGTCAATGGATCGCTCCTTGGAGCAGTTCCAGAACGCTTCGTCAATCTTATCGCCGAGAGCTGTGGATGGATGTGATGATCTAGAGGTGTATTGTTTGAAAACATACGCAGTCTTCGTGATCAAAGTCTCCAGAGGTTCCTTGCCAAACTGGGTTTGTAAAGCTGCCAACTCTGCTGCATAAGTGATGCGACACGCCAACCCTGCAACGCGCAGGAGCTCGATATTCCAGGTGGAAATGTAGCGAGCATTCATATCCACATTCTCGCGCTCCACCGTCGGAATGAGGGATGGTGCAGAGATGTGCGCAAGATAACCCGTCGTCTGAGCAGTAGGAAATCCGATGAAGATCCGTCCAGATTTTGTTGGGAGAACTTCTGCGAAGATCTTGTCGGCGAGCGCAGCTGAACTACCGGAGCCTGTTGCCAGAGTGGCTGATGGGTCCTGATATGGACATGTCAAGAGTGCGATTCTGGTCGTCTTGGGTGGTGATTTCTTGGTTGCTCTCTCAATTTCCGCAGCAAAGTTTCGCGAGACTTTCGTAGCTGCCACCACAGTACATACTTGAAGGAAGATCGTTCCTGTTGAATCGCCCGCTATCTCTTCCGCGGTATTGGCCTTCTCAGGCGCGGCTTTAACAGCTTTTGTGGGCGGCGGAGGCGGTGCGGATGCGAATTTTGAGAAAAAGCTTCGTAGTGAAGTACCCGCGTTGCGGACTTCTTGCTGTACGAGGTCTGCTGCTTTCTTCGGGGGTAACTGAGCGGTGGCAATAACGTTCATCCAGGCTGCGTCGATCTGAGAGTGCTGTTGTGTAACATCTGTCACCCGCATCAAGCCGCCTTCGGTCTCTGTCTTTAGTCCATTGGGCACGCGGACATTCTCTGGAGGTGATATCTTCTTGGTGAACGACGCGACGACGTAATCATCAACATGAAGCTCGATGCTTTGTAACCCAACAAACGTAAGACTGGTTGCCAGGAACTGACACAAAGTTGGTAAATTCGGAAGCTTCGATGGATTATACGACGGTGATGCAGGGTTTGCTTGCCGGTATTCGAGCATGAAAATTGTGTCCCTCGTATTGTGTTCGGCCGGTACAGGGGCGGCTTTGGTGGAAAGCATGTTACCCTTCCAGTAAAAGGCCATAGTCCTGTCCCCTGAAACGACAAACGGCTCATCGCAGTCGGCGAAAACGCTGTAGAAACCGACACCGAAAGCACCAATCTTCGTTTCGTCCGGGTTTCCATCCGCAATGCTTTTTAATCGACTCCAATCCGCGGTTGTAAACGGCTGACCATTGTTGCTTACAACGAGTCGCTTGAGTGTGTGATGTTGGATGATATGCTTTAGTAGAACAGGGTCATCGGCACCCTGTGGTGTGGGAACAGTAAGAGATGGATCCGTCTCGAACTTGATGACAACTTGATCTGCTTTTGCATCTGCCGCATTTTGTATCAATTCTCGCAATGTCGTATGTTCGCTAGAGTAACGCGCTAGGACCTTGTCTATCAATGCCCGAGTGTTGACTGTGACCTCGCTATCGAAGCCATCGGCCATCGTTTGGTTGCGCAGACGCGCAAAATCAATCGCAGCCATTTTGGATAGACTGTCCGAGAATGTCTAACAGAATGTCGTTGAATATTTGAAGCCACAGTGGCGATGGTTTTACTACGGCCTGGCAGCTGATCGAAGTAAGACTGGATTCAATCCGGGTGTGAATTCTTCGAGGCAGAAAGATCTCCTTTATCTACCCCGCTGACGATGCCACGTGAGCTAAGTCCGGACTTTGCGGTTGAGGTTGTAATGTAAATGCGCCGGTTGGATCAAGTGTTCTGGTAAGAAGTAGGCGGCGGTGGCGAAGCCAGTAGAACGAGCCCGGACGTGGAAGATTCCCGCGCAACCAAAGACAAACTCCTGAATATGCTCACGCTATGCAAAACGTAGGAAACATATCAAAGACTGCAGCGCAGCCTGGGGAGAGACGAAGGGTTGTCGGTGAGATGTCGTGTTTCGTGTGGCACTTGATGTTGCAGGCGCTGGCGCAGGGGCCAACATCGAAGGGGGCTTAGCTCCGTTCGGGCCACGCCACGAGGGCCGAAGCTTTGAGGATCGTCAGCCGTTTCACCGTCCGACTGTATTCGACGCATCATGCAAGCACCCGTCAGCACAACGTTATCTTCTTGATTCAGTATATTGTTTTTGGCCGTGGGGTCTCCAGTCTCCAGATGTTGCGATGGCAGTCGACCCTCTGTCCCCGATCGCGCCTGCGCGCATTAGGGCCCTGCTTCTCCCCGTGGGTCGCATCAAGCGTTCGCGCTTCATAGCCTTTGTCGACCTCTTGCAGCAAGAGTCACTGGTTCGATTGGGTGATATCAGCCCTGATCCGCGACCTGACCGGAGTATGAACCCTCATGAGCCAGCTTAGCTCTGATACTTACTAATCTTGGCGACGAATAGATATGTTTTCTCCATTAGCGTGGCCTGATGGAACCTTACTCTATGACTTATCAACTTCCATGCCATCTGCCTCTCATCTATCGCTGTCGCCCTTTGAGCAGTTCAGAGAGCCCCTACTGGTCATCGGAATCGGAGATGCGTCCGAGTATGCCTGGTTACAGCCATCACGTGCGACTGATGGGACGTCAAGTACGATGTTTGAAGATCCTCCAGCCGGCGATGATGAAGCCAATGCTATTCAGTTTGGTATCGACGACCTCAGAGAGCAGTTCCCCAGGGCGTATCTTCACAGCGTCATGATGTTTGATTCAGTAACTCAAGCTCGACATCCGCGATTACCTCAAGAGACGCTCTTGATCCCACCCAGATCACATCTGAAAACTACCACAATGAAGACCGTCATGTGCGATCTCACTGCAACCTTATTAGCGGAGATGACAACCTTAGCAAAATCCATACAAGCCCTTCCTACTTTGGTCTCACCTGCGTCTCAGAATGGTACAGCGGAGATCACACCAAGTTGGGCCGCAGCCGACTCGACTTCGCAATTTGCGCGTCGCAATTCGCAAACACCAAGCACCAGTAGGCCGGAATCGCCCGTAAACAACGCACTGAAGGATGGTCACCGAATGTCGATGCCGGTATTGCCATCAAGTTCGGGAGGACCGCTGTCTACAGAAGATCCAAGAACGGCGTCTTCGAGTGCACAAGGCACACATACGCCACCAACAACTTTTGATGAAATATCCGGCATTAACGCAGCCAATATGCTGCATCAAACGAATAGTAATCCCACCAGACCTAGCACCGCTACCAAGAACGCTGCAGCGGACCGCGTTTCGATACATGGCTTTGGTTCTGGCGGGGTCGGTGAAAGGGCTCGGAACAAGGGACGTGGTCGTATAGGTATCGTGATCGGTACACTGTATATGTGCGCAGGTCAGTGGGTTGAAGCGGTGCGAGAGCTCACAGAGGGAGCGACAAGAGCACGGGCCTTGAGTGACCATCTATGGCATGCCAAAGCTCTTGAACACATCATGGTTTGCATGCTCCTTTTTGCATGGTCGGGCATGGAATTCCAGGTTAGTTTAGCTTCCACGTAAAGATTGTCGAAGTTGCTCACGGACCCTTTAGATACCCGAAGTTTGCTATCCAGTCGGAGGAAGCATAACCCCAACGCATACGCCATCGAATAGTGCTTCCGACGTTTCGACTCCAGCCAAAGCGCACAAACACGACAACTCATTGGACGCCCTGAACTCGCTGCTACCAGACCTGGTCAATATGATCCTGAATTTGTATACTCGTGCGGCCAACTTCGCTGGCGAATCGTTGCCGCCTCTTGCATTCTCGGAATGTGTAATACGATTTTCCAAGTTACTGGCTGCGATAAACTTATCAGCGGGATTCCTCGACGATGATGCGTTGCGACACCTTGTACAGAACATACCGTACAAGCAAAAGGCACGGTTTTCGGTTCCGAGGCTTAGCGTACACCCTACGCGTAACGATATCGCTTCCATGCTGTTCCGTGCACTACCTGGGCCTGTGGAAAGCTCCGGGATGAACCCCACAGACCGCGTTGTAGTACTCGCCGGTGTTGCCTCAATCTTGTCATCATTAGGATTGCAACGGAAGAAAGCCATCGTCATGAAGGAGTTCATCACGTCTCTAGTTCCTGGCTTGATTCAGGCCCGTAAAGTAGGTGCAGCAGAGATGGGAGTCCACCCGGCTGCTGGTCTTGCCGCTCTCAACATCGCAAACGGTGGCAGCTCCGGAAGTGGTGCCCTCAATCTGGGTGAAGGCGAAGTCGAGAATGGCATCGATGAATTCTTGGGTCTATTGGGTCGCATATACGGGATACCTAATTCGAAGGGGAACATGCCCGATATCGCCGTACCCAGTCAAAGAAATGAGAACGCAGAAAGTGCCTCAGACAGTATTGCTAGCCAACGTGTGGTCGACGCTATTCTGGCGATCTCCTCATTACGATCCTTTGGCAGTCTTAGCATCAAGCTGGAAATACTGCGAACGTGTCTGAGTTTCTGCGAAGCGCTACCAGATTTCAATAGCGTTCTCCATTTCACTGCTCTCTTACTACGAGTGGCGGGCCCAGGCACGGCGCCAAGACCTAATAGCACTGATGTGTTCGTGTCTCTTCCCCGAGATGAACAGATCCGACTCTATTCGAATATCTCGAGAACAGTTACTGCCGCGAAGAAACTTGGTCTACAGCATGTAGAAACAGAATACTGGGACGATTTCCTCATCCGCGGATTGTTTATTCTTGAGGAAATGGAACCTCTACGGCTAACTCAAAGGCAAGGGACGGAACTAAAGGCAGATAGCCAAGGAAAGGAAGGCCCGTTCCTTCACAACGCCTGGTTGAAGAAGCCGCAGACAAACGCTGCAAACACGGTTTTGGTTGCTAACGAGCACTATCGTTTCGTCATCGCCATGCAGAATCCATATGAGTTCGAGCTTGGAGTAGAGTCGTTGAAGATAGCTGCTGAAGGTGTTGAGTTTATTGCATTAGAAGAGCACTTCCTGCTCGGTCCTTACAGGACCCAAAAGTTCCAGATCACAGGAACAGCGCAATCGTCAGGGTTGCTCAAGATCATCGGTTGCTATGTCAAGCTCATTGGGTGCCGAGAGCGACTTTTCCCCATATTTCCTGAGCCATGGAAGCCCAAGAGGGAAGCCAAAATGAAGCGCATGGGTCTCAAAGCATGTCTAGGCGCTCCAACATCACGGCCCTCGACAGCTATTGCACCATCAATCGATCACAGAGCAACCTTCCAGCCAAAGCCAGAGTCACTGAACTTCTCTGTAATACCAGATCAGCCAGTCATTGTCATCACCAACGTTTCTCTACCGCAATCAGCAGTCATGGTGCTTGAAGGCGAAAGAAAACGGTTTACTGTTACTGTTAAGAACACCTCAGCTGTAACAACCGTTGATTTCGTTCACATCTCTTTCCAGGATACTGCAACTGCGGCAATTCAAGCGGCAACATCCGATAAAGACTTGCCCGCAGCTGAGTTACATGAGTTGGAAGTTCAGCTCGCCCATCATCCATCATTGCGTTGGTGCAAGAGCGAGGCCGAAGAACCACCGAGCATCAAGCCGGGCGCCGAGGCGGAGTTCACCATTGAGGTTATCGGCCGCACAAGATTGACAGATGCTACGATTCAAATCGACTATGCCAACCTCGGAAGGCGAAGATCGGAAGTCGAGGAGCACTTCTTTACCCGCCAGGTGTCCGCGCCTATCTCAATCACTGTAAATGCGAGTGTGCAGCTCCAGCGCCCGGACATAGTACCCTTATCCGGCGACATTGGCTGGTCTAGTATCACTTCGTCAGGCTCTCAAGCCCACTCTGATCATGAGCCATCGTCTGCTCTGTCCTCTGGGAAAGCTGATACTCATCTTCGGTCTTTCATCAACCAGAAGCAAATTCGTGAGAATGACGAAGAGCACTGCATGCTCCTCCTAGATCTCAGAAACTCGTGGCCAAACCCATTATCGATATCACTCCAAGCCCGAAAGCCCATGGCTGACGGCAACTATAGTGACGAGTCTTGGAACGAAGGACATGGTGTTAACGAAGTCATACAGCCGGGCCATGTCAGCAGGATTGTCATGATCCTTCCAAAGGTTTATCTGAAGGCCCCGCATGCCGCTGTTCCATCGTTGAATCCTGCAAACCAACGTCAGTTCGTCGTTAGCACGAGCAAGATCTCTCCCGAAACCGAACGAGCGAGCCGGGAAGCTTTCTGGTACCGTGAGGAGCTGCTCAAGATCGTGCGAGGTACGTGGACGGAAGACGGCAATGGACGTCATGGCGAGCTAGAATTGCGCAGCATTCGCTTCTCCCCACGCATGGTAGAGGCCATCAAACTTGAGGATCTCGCCATGAGTACGACCATTGTTTGTGACTACCCCACAGCGGAAGGCGAGAATACTGTGCGGCAAGTCGGTCGTGCGAAGTTCGAGGTACCGATAGATGACTTCCTAACAATGAAGACATCCGTGCGTAATCGCAGTCCGCGTCCCATCTCGCCTATACTCAGACTGCAGCCGCACCTCGCTGGCCTTCCTCACAATATCGCTCTGGACCTTGATAAGCGGTTCTCGTGGACAGGCGTGCTACAGCGCAAGCTGCCGGTCATACAACCCGGAGAAACTGTAGAGTCCGAGCTTGGTATCGTTGCGTTATGCGCCGGCACGTACGAAATCGGTGCCTCGATCGACGAAGCGGAGTTTATGAAAAGTGGGAGAGAAGAGGAAGACCAAAACCCGAACGTTGACACCCAGACTTTGCTGCAGGGTGGGAATGTTTTGGGCGAACCGAAGCTACGAACTTGGTACATGAGAGAGCCTTGTACGGTTGTTGCAAGGAGATGAAATACGGAGATGAGCAGACTAGTTGGATGATATAGATCTTATGATACGTTCTTCATGTGTGATTTCCTAAAGTACAAACACTCTTGTGATGCATCCGGTTACTCGAATCTTTCCAGAACTAAGCCTCATGAGTAGGTGACCTCTTCTTAGCGTTTGATCTGATCTGTAGGAGGGGTTTAATATCGTTGACGTCGTTAATGCGACAGTTGCAGGTGACTCATCGTCTGTGGGCCATTGCAGTACCATTGGATAGGTGGATGAAACCAGAATCAGCTTCGCGCACACAGCGTTGTGATCATGAGTAGGTGACAGTGCATAGCAAACACTGAAACGGAGTATAGCAAGTCAACACCTTTGGGTACGTCTATGGTAAGCTTAAGACTGCTCCGATATGTCCAGGCTAATTGATCTGCCCACCGAGCTCGTCGCCATCATCGGCTCGCTCCTCCAAGCTAGCGACATAGGATCACCCCACCTACTCATTAAAAGGTTCCTTGAAAAAACATCGAACAGCTTTCAACTTCTTTTCAAACAAGTGAAGGTATCCCTGATCAGCACTAGCTTACAAGAATTGAGAGATGCGGTGTGGTCCAGTGACATTGGAAACAAAATTGAGCACCTAACCATCGGTACCGAATCACTGGAACGATACCTCCTTGCACCAACATCACTTCCTGATACTCTCTGTGCTATGCTAGACATTGAAGGCACAAGGAGTGGATTGCGAACTTGACTGCAAAACATCATCATTCAGCATCTACCAAACCTGCGAACCGTTACAATAGAGGATCGTGCCGAAAATCGAGCCAGCGAGGTCTATTGCGCAAGCATGAGAAGCGCTGAGTTGATGCGTACGATGGGAATTGATTTGAGTTAGAATAGGCCGTACAATCGGATTTCTCACGTTTCTTATCAGGTCGACTGTCTTTTTCCCTTCGCATCTAGATCGTTAGCATATACGACTGTCTTCAGTATGCTACGCCATTTGAACACATGTAGCATGGTCTTAGATCTTCGAATCGTCATGGGAGGTTATCGGGTGTGGGGGGATCATAGAAGCTACATGGTAGACGTCTTCGATGTTACAGGTGAAGTGACTCGGGGGATGACTGGACTCTCACCTTACACATCTTATGATAGTTGAAGACGGAAGTAAGTGGGTTCATCAGCCGCGTGTTTCGCAACCTATACAAGGGCTTTACGCGCATCCGCTACTTGTAGGTTATCCCGTTGGTGGAACGCTTGGCTGATAGACAATTATGTTTGAACGTGGGCGGAATCAGAGACTGAGTGTACGTATTGGCGTCTAATGCCTAAAGCCATAGGAGTTTACATTGCGCAAATATATACCGATGTGCTGAACGTAGATGAATGGTGCACGTGTCCAAGCGGAGATTCCTATGGAGCTTGCTGGAAGCTGCGGTAAACACATGATGGCTTGATGTGTAATGAATGCAGAAACCAGCGACCTGGAAGCTTTGGTGTGCGCAACCCTCGCGCTTACCATCGTCGCCGTACCCTGTTATCGCATCATAAGGTCCCCACGAAGCAGCACCGCCTCGGGCATGGAAGATGTTCTCGACAATCTCATTTCACAGGCTTACGAGCCGCTACGCTACCTTTTCGGATGATTTTTTTTGGAAGACTGTAACCATTGATTCGGATATCCGATCAGAAATTTGGAATCGTGGGGAAGAGTCGCTCGCTGACAGATCAGGTCATGCACTGAATGGTTGGCCAGTTTTGAAGATACCGGCAAGTGTATTGGTGTGAGAAAGCAGAAGCAGAGGACGCACGGGGCCTTTTATACCCTGTCCATCGAAATCAGAAACCCATAGAAAATTTTGTACATAGTTTCCAAAGCCAGTTCACTCATACAGTGAACGTATAGGAATTTTCAACCTGGCCTCCGCTCTTGAGCGAACTGTAGCAACTGTTTCCTGGTAGAAAAGAACACGAGGTGAGTCTAAGGCTTTGCATTTTGAGACGCGGACAAACACCCATAACGTATATTAAGGGCTTCTTTGGTGAATTTGCAAGGCATGGTATATGAAAAAGGTAAGAGGCAAGCCAGTAAAGGCTCTTTTTGTATTCAACACTCCATCCCAGCCTTGCAGGTCTGGGCTCGTGAAACCATGACATGGTAGGTGCAGATATTTGAGAAACGAACTCCGGATGTCAAACCGGCGTTGTCTTTTGAGTGTTGGGCAGCAGCAAGTGTGACACATTTGATATACGTAGGTATATATTTGATCAGAAGGCTGAGACGGTCATGATTAGCGCGTACTCAGATTCTTAGAAAGAAGAGCTTAGAACACATGAGTGTTCACCGTACAGGTTTAAGAAAACGGTAGATAGATTGTGGTATAGGAAGCAAGTAACATAGCCGACGAGATGTCGACTTTATACCCTCCGCTGACGCACGGACGCACAACATGGGTTATATTTGCGGCGTTTCCTCGTAAAGTGCTTCTCATCGTACGCTCCGTGGTCCATTTTCGATTCTTCTTACGAAAGAATTACATGGCTCATGATACGTAGTGGTTTGAAACGGCGAAGAGCAGTAGAACGGCATGGTGGCTTTGCGATGCTTTTAATGGACCGGAGAAGAGCCATGGCAATTATGCATTCCGCTTTCCAAGTGGAATTCTAGAAGAGAGGCGGTAGTGAAGAAGGAAGGAAAGGCTACACGCTGATTGTTTTATAGCCGTTCACGCCTTGACGCCGGTTCTTCTGCTTGTCACACCAAGGTTGTCGTTACTCGGTTGCGACAGATACAGGGCTTTTGAGATTTTGGAGCGGCAGGCCGGGTCACTAATGCATGGTGTTTCCTGTTCTCGTATTTGCATATACGGCTTGATGGTAACAGCCAAAGAGTAACCTGCATGCCATGCAAGGCGATATCTTTTGGGGGAAAAGCCCGGGAGAGCCGCATGTATCTGTTTGCCGCATGTTTTGGTAAACCACTGAAGTACTGTGGTTCATAAGAGAGAAAGAAGAACGGACAGGAGAAGAGTTTTTATAGCCCATCACAGTCCCGTTTTCCTCGACAACCATCGTAGAGTTGAGTGATTCATTCTAGGAAGCAACACAGCACACTCATGCAACCATTATTGCACCATTCTGAACAACGCAGCACTTCCCCATAGCAGAGATAGGAGTGGTACTTTGTTCAAGGTGGAAGCGAGAAGCGGAAACGGGCAGCGCAACTGCACATTTACGCTCGCTAAATTCATTTTGGGTAGAAGAGGAATACTGGTAACAGCCATGATTGCGCGAATGAGCCATTTCTGAAAGGATGTAAAGAAGGAAGCAGGCCGCAAACTCTCACATGAACTGATGGTATAGGTAGTTCTTGTAGACGAAAAGATCTGGCCATCCAGATGACCGTTGTCCAAACTTTTGCTGGTGGGGAACACCGAGGAAGTGCGGTACTGGAGAAGTGGAGCAAAGACTCGGAAAGATGGTCCTTATATACCAATCTCGCTATCTTCGATCTCCATGGAATTGTTTTGTATAGCTTTGTTTATGCGTAGCGCAACAGAGCGTGGATGGCTCTCATGGGCGGGCTCCGGATCGATTTCAAGTGCGGTTCACCTGGGTATGGTACGGCTGGCTGATTTTATACCGGGTTGCGATCGCTGTAGTAGAAAGAAACGCAGCAGGGACACATCGCCACTCCTCGAATATCTTTTGACAAGGATGCCGGGGCAAACATGTAACTTTGATCTGCCTCTTTTGAAGAATAGTATAAGAAGATGTGCAGTACAGGAGAGAGCGAAATGACGGCAAAGAGTGTTTATATACCCTCAGCATCGTCTTTACTACCATCAGACGATGCCTCTCAAAGCACACATCCTTGCCATCACATCCACCGCAAAACACCAAATGTGGAGTGAAGTAAAGACATCGCGGTCTAATCATCATTGCATCATACCATCCATCAATCTATCTATCGTACGCCACCGCACAGCCCATGCAAAAGGAACGATGAGAAGAAAGAGACGCCTGAAAATGCCCAACAAACGTCATACATGGCCATAAAGGACCGCACCAAACCATACAGGGCGTCAAAGGACCAAGGGGAACATTAGGAGGTAAAGTCTCACCCCGAAAAGTAATGTAACCCACCCTACCCTACCCTACCCATCTCTAAACTATATTAATACACGCGTCCATCGCAATCCATCTGATCATAATCAAACCCTCCTCTCTCCTAGTTGTTCACTAGCGTAGGCGCCCTCCTGAGCTTATAATCCGGCAAGTGATCAAAGTCATCCGTCTCCGAGTTGTAGCGCCAGGCCTTGAACTCCACACCATACGGCTTGGGCTCTAACTGGTACAGCATACCTAGTGGACAATCCAAATCAGCCACATCCTCGCGCTTGAGGCCCTGGAAGTATGCGAGTAGCACGCGGGCTACGCTTCGGTGGGTGATGAGCAGGCAGTGGTCTGTCATGCGCTCTAGCTCGACGATGACGGGGCGGATACGGTTGATGACGTCCAAGTAGCCTTCACCACCGGGGCCGGGGTAGCGGTATGCAAGTTTGTCGCGGCGCCGTTGGAGGTATTCGTCTGCGTACTTTGTGCGGATCTCTTCGTATGTTAGACCTTCCATGAGTCCTGCGTTGAGCTCGTCCAGCATGCGCATTTGTTTGACTTCGAAGTCCTCGTCGCAGAAGTATTGTCCTGTTTGGATGCTGCGCTTGAGCATGGAAGTCCAGACACAGAAGTTGCGCTGTTCGAGCTCGTGGCTGTAGTACGGGTTTGGAGGGGTGTGGTCGCCTGCTACTGGAGGGAAGTGAGTGTTGGCCATTTTGTCTGCTTGCCGGACCGCCCAGTCTTTGCGCTGTGCAGCAATGAAGCGTGTCATCGCCTTTGCATACTTTTGTCCGTTCTCGCTAAGGTCGGAGTCACCACCAATCTTTCCAGCAACATTGTCCGCCGACTCGCCGTGTCTTGTTATCCAGATCATGCGCGGTGCGAGGTTGAAGTTGAGAAGGTAGTAGACGGCCTGGCCAGCAAGGAAACCCCTGATCTGATGCGAGATCATCTTTCGGCCAACATCCACCATCTTGACGTAGGGCATGTTGTTGTCCTCCTCGTAGTCGCCGATGGGGACATAATTCTTCTCGTAGATAGCTACGCGCTTCTTGAAGTCGGCCAATGCTGCAACTTTGTCCTTGTCTTTGTAGTCTGGCCCTGAGAGCTTCAAACGCATGTTAGATTCGAGCAGGTTCTGATCCCGGCACACACTTTCAACGAACAGGACGTTGAGCTCTGGTCCAGCACGGTTTCGTATCCGCTGCATGATTTGCTGGCGCCGCGCGAGCGTGCTGTTGGTAGCATCGAATATGCCAACAGAGCCACTACCCTTCAGGATATAGTCCAACAGGTCGTCTAGAGTCTCCATGGCGCATTGCTCTCGCAATGCCGCCGCGCGTTGGTTTTGTGGGTCGAAAAAATCTGCCGACTGGTCCATGGCCTCGTTCTCCTCCTCGGTTACCGCCTCATTGTTGGGTGTAGGCGCCTTCGGGCCTGGCGATGTGACTTCAACTCGTGGCGGTGGTAGTGGTGGTCCGTCTTCGTCCTCCGCAATGGCCGTGCTACCCCGGCGTGGGTCCGGCAGGTTCTGTGGGTCTACGGGCCCATCGTGCGCGGGGTCGCCATTGATAAGAATTTTTGCAGCGATTTGCGGGAGTGTGTCTTGGTGCTCCTCAATGGCCTGCTTGACGCGTGAAGAGACCCGCTCGAGGTTCGCTTGTGACAGGCGAAACCCACTGTGACTCGCAGCTACTCTTCGCTTCTCTCCCACGTTGAAAATCTTAGTGTCGTGCTGCAGCCAATTCAGATAGCGTGCCATCTTCTTTGTGATGTATGATTTGCCTCGCGCGGGCAGTCCGACCATGACGATGACGAGCTTGGAGCCGACATCTCGCTGTGCAATCTTGCCATCGGGGGAGACCTTGGACTTGGTCAGACCAGGGATATCGAGCGTAGTAGGTCGTAATCGCGGGGTCGATGTGACGGAGCTATTGCGGGTTAAAGTGCTGTTACGGTCAGCGAAGTAGGATGCGCTCTGCGACGGCGGTTCTCCATACTCGCGCGGACTTCCAGGAACGGAGGGCAGTGGGGTGTCACTCAAGGCAGCGCCCACGCCATCCTTTGTAACCAGAAGACCATTATGGTGTTGTTGGTTGACTGGATTTGGGACAGCCTTCAGTTCGCCATTTTGGAGCGCACGCTCCTTGAGGGCCTGCACGTTCTTTGCAGGCGCAACAGCAGGAAACTTTGGCTCAGCGGATGCGGCGCGGGGCGTGAGATCGTGGTCGACGTTTGTGCTTGGCTGCTTTGCGTTGTCGAGGGGTAGGGTGAGTTTGCTCATTACAGATCGGGCGTATATGGAATGGGAGCTGAAGCGGCGGTTCGAAGTCGAGGTATTTGAGGAAGCTGAGGATCGGCGGCGATGTGAATGCTTGTGATGTACAAGCTCGGTCACAGTCGGCGTCGGGACTGCTTCCATGTTTGGCGTCATGCCAAGATGTCGAAATACTTATCAGAAGCTAGCTTGGCCGCTGCACTAAGATAGCACCCAGGGCTCTGGAGGCGAGTCGCAGTTGCCGATACAAGACTGAGTTGAGCTGAGACGATGTTCAAAAAGCTGTGTGGAAGAAGTGTCTCTGTCAGATCGTCGTGTGAATTTCTGGATGCAGGCTTGTCGGGCCGGTGACCTTATCCAATGTGACTGCTCGGAGTCGGCCTTTGGTTGAGAGGGCTAGCTATCACGGGTGCGCCGCTTGAACTAGACCGGCGGTAGCGGAGGGCGAGTTTTCAGGAACGCGCGCAAACGCGTTGGGAAGTGCATGGTGAGCAGTTTTAATCCTTCAGCCTGGACGGTGAGATTGGGAGATGACAAGGCGCGACTTTGTCTGCGTGTCGCTCTCCGAGTTACAAACCACTTGGCAGGTGTTCTTGCTGGAAGCGGACAACCCCACACAGTCCGACCCCGAAAGCCAATCGTTCCCACACGCTTCCCACTGCACCTCGAGACAATAGAGATAGCACATAGCTACCCTGATTTGATCTTCTGTACGCAGGTACAGGTTGGGCATATTTCATAGTAGCTCTGGATGATGTGATGGTTTTGTTCATTGTACCATGTTCCATTGCCTTCATGGTGATTCCGTGCTATGTCGACCAGTTCCTGGGTGGATCGACCAACGTCAGCGTGCAGCTACACACTCCACTGTTTCTTGTATAGGCCGAAGTTCTTGGCAATCATATACATACACGACCATGTATATCCCCAGATTTCAGAGGTAGTCCTAAAGCATGTTTCCAGATGAGCCTTCCGCATTGCGGGAATCTTTGATCACCTGCGAAATGTCTGGGATGGTTCCAAGGTAACGCTGTCACCTGTGATGAGACCATTTGTCGCAGAAATGTGACCGTTCATCACGGTTCGAAGACAACAGTGATGAAGTGCTTACATGGCAAGCTTCAGCGTCAGTACCAGCAGACATACGTATGCTGAGACGCTCAACGCGGTCAACACAGTGACCACGTTGCCGGATGTTCGAAATTTCTTCCTGTGCAGGCCATCCTCACCGACTTCTGCAAAGAACTGTTTGTTTCCTATTCGTTGTCAGCGCCTACGCCTCCGTCGTCATACATCTGCATCATTACTCCTCGACTTACCATGCTGTCGTCGAAACAAACTGATAAACAAGATGCCAGCACCATAGACCGCGAACAACGCACCGATCGAATAGAACTCGGCGGTGAAGATCTTTAGTACGACGAGTGCAAAAGAAAATTGGCCGATTGCCGTGCGGACGTATGCGCCTTCGAATGTTCGCTGTGCTGCGCGGATCTCGACCAGCTCTGCACTCGTCAACACGACTGAGCGTGCGCGATGTAGATGGAGGCGGTATCTGTCTGATGCGTGACGGCCCTGGCAAATATGAGCGCTAAGCATTTCTTGACCAATACTGTTGAAGTCGTACCTCGAACATGATGATTATTGTGGGGTTATTGACTTATAGGTCCAACGTGTTCAGTGGTGCTGTTGCCCACCCGGCATCACCTCGGCATGGAGTTGGAAACGTGATCTATGTGACGTAGTGGGGCAGTAAGCTTCCCGAGGTTCAGACAGTAACGCGTCGGGATGCCCAGCATATGCGCATTTTCGCGTTCATGACGTGTCAAGATCAATCATTGACCAAGATCTGGTGTTTGATGATTTCTCAATCTTGCCAGATGCATGGCGCCGTTATGTCCATACGACGCGTTAGCTCCTGCTCAAGCTGAGGCTCGACTTGGGTTGCTGCAGGGTCCACGCACCTCCGAAGTTGTCCCTTCGCAACTGTCCCCGCAACCTCAAACAACGCGCTCAAACGTCCAATGTACTACTTAGCCTTGCAATTACGTCTTTTTTTGAAAACCACTTTCATTCCCCTCCCTCAAGCCAGCGCTGTATGCTTCAACGTGCTCGGCGAATCTGCACCAGGCGCGTCATAGTTCCTTTTTCCAGAACTAGCATATCGTACGTTCGCACCAGGACGACTACCTCAACCGCGCACACTACCTTGTACCCAACTACCGAAAGCTAATTGATGGGACCAGGCATGCAAATAACTGCCGCATCCACTTGACCCGCATCCCATCCCGATCGTCTATAACCTTCTGCCGCCCGTTTCCACCCTGGGAGGACTATCCTAATACTTACATCACCGAAGAGGGCAATATGGCAGGTGGGGGGAAGTGGAAGTTCTACGCAGTAGCTGCTGGACGCGTACCTGGCGTGTACACAGATTGGCCGACTACGCAAGCGCAAATTAGCGGCTTTAGTGGCGCAAAACACAGGGGCTTCAAGACGGAAGAAGAAGCCCTGGCTTTCGTTCGCGGTGTCAGCGCACCCATCAGCTTGCGAGGAGATCTCTCTGCATCCACATCTCCGTCAGCGACAGGTAATATGGACAGGAGTACGGACATATCGGAAAGTGCGCCCAAGCGGCAAAAGAAGGAGAACGCGTCGCCGGCGTTGATTGCACACAACCAGGACATCAAGATCGAGCCTGGCCTTGGCCCACTCCCGCTAGACGCAATAGACGGTTTCGACCCAAACATAAAGCTAGATGAGCAAACGGGCAACATCAGACATAAAACGGGGGACGAACTTGGTAAGAGGAAAAGGCAGCCGACAGGAGACTTCAAAGGCCCAGTGGTTGTATACACGGATGGTGGTTCGCGGGGCAATGGTTACAAAGGCGCAAAAGCCGGTTGCGGTGTTTACTTCGGTCCAAAAGACGCTAGGTACGTGTGGTCGCATACATCATGTTTGTAGTGTGGTGCATTCACTGACGTCCCATACAGAAATGTTCAAGAACCCCTAAGGGGTGACCCCCAGACCAATAACCGAGCTGAACTAGTCGCAATGGCCCGGGCGATCGACCACGTTCCCATAGATCGCGACCTACACATCATCAGCGATTCCCAATACTCTAGGAATTGCCTTACAGATTTTGTAGCGGGCTGGGAGAAAAATGGCTGGAGGACCGCCAAGGGCAAAGACGTGGCGAACAAGGAAATTATCCAGCCCATTCTAGCAAGGATACGGGAACGTGAGAGATGTGGAGCAAAGACGAAAATTACCTGGGTGAAGGCTCACAATGTGGATCAAGGTAACATCGCAGCCGATGCGTTTGCTAATGAGGCTATGGACAGGTGGACCACTGAGCTCGCATCAGGAGAAGTCTTCGACATGTCAGAGACCCTCCGGACAAAGTACAGAAACCCCAACGATCCCAAGTCGGAATTCGGTGACGGGGAAGACTTTGATGAGTTATTCCGCGACATGGCAGATGAGAATCCAAATGGATTTGTGGGCGACCCGTTGGCCCAAGACGTTCTTCAGCCATCTGTTGACGTAGGCCAAGATGCTGTAGATGCTGCGCAGGAACTTGACGATGCATGGGCCGATCATCCGGAACTTCCATCAAATATGAATGGTGAGGAGAAGAAGGAGACCGAGCTCAAAGTCATTTGCTAGATGACCACCACGAATAAAGATGAAAGCATATACGAATTAGATCCCGAAGACATTGGAGCATCGTTCTCGACAACAGGTATTGACGTAGTTGAGGGACGAATGCACGTCTCGGATCTCATCCCGAGATGTTCGCCACACGCCCGGATGAAACGGCTACAACTCTCAATAATGCTACCCACCATCATCTATAACAGACACTGTATCCGCCTATTGCCTCTTACACCTGTTTCTATTTCATGACTTTCTGTCTACATCCCTCCATTCTTTGTACAATATCAGTATCCCATCTTTCTATCTTTGCATCGAGTCCGCAGCCCAAAAAATGTTCAACTACACCCCCGAAAAGAAACTCAAGATCGCTCGTGCCTATCGTTGGTTTCTAGTCGCCTTTGCGGTTTTTTCGACGGCCAACTTTTTCTTCCTGGGGTGGATGGGGATGAAGCTCACGATTATGAATGTTTTACAGGTGGGCAACTCGTATCTGCTGTTGTGGCTGGGTCGGCACGATGAGAGACGGTATGAAAGGATGGTCAGGGAGGGGATTGAGAACAGTGGGGTGGAGGATGAGGAGAAGGGTATGGCAGAGAAGGTGAGAGGAGATGCGGAAGGAGGTTTGGGGGAAGTGACAGGAGAAGGAGAAGGTGGAGTTGGGATTGGATGTGTGAAGAAAGTGTGGCCTGCTCGTTGTTTTCGACCCTAGATGTGCTTGGATGCAATTTCCTCGCGCTGCTCCAGCATCACGTTGAGCGGCATGCAGTTTAAAATACCTTTCCCAGCTGACCTCGCTCACTCGTTTGGTCTGAAAGCGTACACGCCGATCAATCGAATTTTCTACCAACCCCATAGACATCGCCGGAATTCAGGGTACCAAATTGCAAGCAACTATGAACTACAGTCCCAATTGGCCCAAGATTATCGATCGTCTTTTTATGGACTTGGTTGCGACTGTTGGCATTAGCATTATGCTCATCTGCGGATGCAGGGCGAGGGCTATATACAACAGACCTGCGACATCCGATTACCGCGAAGCACTGCTGGATATTTTCACCATCATGAGCTCGCTCATGATAGGTGCTGTCACCTTGAAGATCATTCAATACTTTTGCAAAGACGCTTTGCCGCAGTTTGCAATGTATTTCCTCCCCTCGGTTGGCAAAACTATCTACTTGAGCATCCGCTACAGAATCGAATTGAATGAGGTCCTCATCTAGGCTACGAAGTTTTTCCACAGTGTGTCACCCAATCGCCCAGCGCGGCGATAGATTGTACAATATCTCTATCGACTACAACATTGAGCAATCTCTAGCGACCTATATCGAAGCTCATCGTACCGGCTTCGTTGTCGAAGGCTTCATGGCTATCCTATTCCATGATACGCGAAACGCTTCACGCTATATTACCACGCATACGCAGATGGAATTATTCTCGGCGGATCAACAGGCAGATAAACATTCAGTTTCGCCCTTCACCTTCCGGATTGTGTGGCCTTTGCCTAATCAATGCGGCACAAAATGCTGCACCTCGGAGTTCTCACTTCTTCACGCCCACAGTGACTAGCCAGGAGCCAGTCACATCTACAACAACTGTCACAATACTCAAGCCAAGTTGTACCTAACAAAGAAAAGCGATTGCAATCACAGAATTCAGAGCATTTCTTCACAGCAGTCAGTGACCTCTACATCCTTCACAAAGTCTTCCCCGACACAAAACATGAAGCTTCGCCTCTAAATCCAGATATCTCTACTCGCAACAATGTCTTCCGTGCCCCAAAGCACTCGCGAGACTCTCACTTACTATATATATGCATATGTGGCCGTCGTAATCGCCATTTTCTTTTTTGTCTACAGCTTTGCGACCGCTTACCATCTTTGCAACCTCACGTTTGAACTTGTCAGCAGTAAGTCCGTGGCATTATGCAATTCGTTCTTGCTTCACTAATTTCTGTACTGTTTTTCTACCTTGCAGATATACTGCAGGTATAGGCTATGTATAATCCTACATTTTATTAGCCTAAAGACTTCATGGCCGGGGGAAATGTTCAGTAGACAGTTTGGTTCGGCACCCCATCAAGGGACAGAAGTAGGTACAAACGTCTACGCGTTTGAACTCTGATCAAGTTTTCTTATCACTTCCTACTATTGCTGATATTCTTAAGCTTGTTGCGCGTTCGTACGAAACCCCTTCTTTAACCCTGGTTCAAGAGTTCTGAACCTCGGTAGCGAAGATACCTAGAAACGGGATATTCATCGTGCACGCAAATGAGCAATATCTCATATCCGGGGTTCATCTTTACAAACTGTGGGTGTAACCGTTCACCTTCTGACCGCCGGACTTTACAACAGTCTCATCGCTCTGCGCAAGCTTCTCCCAGACTTTTACCACAGTCTGCACGCCGTTTTGGCAAAGAAGAAGAACTGTCCAACATGATCTTTGCGCCAGCGAGATGCACACAGGCACGATGCTTTGGGCATTGTTCACCACGGCGGGTAGCATTGCCACAACCTCTTCGCCTCTAGAACCATCGACGACCGCTACCAGCACTCCTGCACTTGCCTCGAACCCAACTACGACTTCACCGCACGCTGTCTTGACTTCCCTCCCCAAGATAACATTCAAGACTGGTCACGGACCTGTCGTCTTTTCACGAACTACAAGTGCAGTCGCCACTATATCTACCCCGACGGTTGCGAAACGCGCAACTGACCTATGTCCAAGCTACCACACCTCCGACAATTGGTACATATGCAGCGCTGTCTGAAAGTTTTGAGATGCCTGGGGTAGGAGAATACCCATAGAAAGGAGAGCATGAGAACAGATGTTCCGCAGGTAATGAGACTACGTATAATGCAAAACTTTACCACTTTTGCTGTCGCTACTTAACACCCACCCACACCTCCCTCAATCACCCTCCACCTCCCCGATAACCCTAACCCTGACCCCCTCACTACTCAGATCCGGCAGTCCCAGAAAACAATCATGGTTCGTGAGCACATCCCTCGTCTCCACCGTATCCCAAATATCAAATTGAAACCTCCTCCAAATCATCGCAAGCCCAATATACAGCTCAGACGTAGCCAGATTCATGCCCAAGCAGTTCCGACTCCCGCGTCCAAAAGCGAAGAGGTAGCGCGTCAATTTGGGATTCTCGAGCCACCGCTCTGGACGGAAAGCGAATGGGTCGGGGTAGATGGTGGGATCAGTGTGTAGGAGATATGCGGATTGCATGACGGGGGTTCCACGGGGGAGGGTGTATTGGGCGTATGTGAGGTCTTCTCCAGTGGCAATTCGGGGTTGGCGGGAGGAGACACCATGGGCGCAGCGGAGGCCTTCGTTTATTACTGCGGCCTAGAGAATTGGTCAGCGCTTCGTTGCTTATCGTATTGGAACATCAGGATGCTTACTAGGTATGGCAAGGCTTCCAACTGCGGTAGTGAGACCTGATGATCCGCTGTTGGCATCACCTTCTTTAGCTCTTGCCTCAACTTCTCACCCGCCTCCATATTCTTGATCAGGTAAAAGGTAGTAACCGCCATCGTCCTTGCCGTCGTCTCCGTTCCCGCACCCAGGAGTACACTTGCGTCCATCATCAACCTCATCGGATGTTTCTCACTCTCTGGGAGTTTACCCCCAATGTCATCCCTGATGTCATGAAAGACCGTGCGTCTCAGGTTCTTCGAGTTATCCTCGTCGTCTTCTCGGCTCAAGATGCGTTCAATTTTGAGTAGCATTAGTTCGTTGAAGGAGTTAAGCTTTGCCGCTCCGGCGTCCATCTTTGCAACTATGTGCGACGGGAGATCCAGCATGAGATTGAAGATAGTGGGGAACTGCCTAGCCAACGGGCGGATCTGGATTCCTTGGTGGAAGACATCGAGCCATTCTTTGCCATACTCCTCTTTCTCCATGCTATTCATTGACTCCCCGAAACAGTATTCGGAGATGATGTCCATGGTAAAGGCAGCATTCGCGTTGTTAAGATTCACGACGCCAGCGTTGGGGCCTTTCTTCTCTAGCTCGCCTTGGAAACGACTAAGAAGCTTCTGAGTGTTGTTTACGACGAGGCCCTCGAGAGCCTGAACAGAGCGCTTGCTGAAGAAAGGAGATATGGCGTTTCTTCTCATCTTGTGCATGTCGTGATCCATTGTTTCCAACATGGCGCCCGCCCAAGTTTTCGAGCCGGCGTGATGCGACCAGCCACATCGATCTCGTTTATGATTCGCTCCAGACGCGTATATAGTTTCGAAGTAATCTGCATCGTAAATATGGACGTGGATGGGGTTTATTCGAATGATGGGTCCTGTTGATATGGTCAGATTTATGAAGCAGATGGCTGCAGCTGTGACTTACCGTAACGCTCATGCAGTTTCTTGATCTTCCAGAGATACTGGAATTTGTTTGGATAAATCTCATAATAAAACTCATACCAGAATGTGAGCGCTGCCAACTATATGATGTTAGCCACTCTTCCAAAGTTTTCCATACGCCATTATGTCTCGGAAGTCGAACCTTTGGCCCAGGTATTCCTGCTAGAGGATGGAAATACACCCTATATATGCCTACAGATACCCAGTACAGGAGCCATATCCCAAAGACAGACGCGACGATTTCCTTCGATCCGCTGTTCCTTATGTGTTCCGAAAGGGACTCCATAGTTTAGACGGTGATCACTCCGCTGCGATCGCATTTCCTGCATGAACTGGCTTCGGCAATTTATATGTACACACGGCGGAGACTTTTCAGAAGTAAGCTGAGACTATGTCATGCTGCGCTGTGTGACCTTCGTGTTCATTGGTTGAGCGTCCTTGGCGGGGCGAAATACCTGAGTGCGTAAACAAGTTGCAGGTCACTAGCGCTTATCATCATGCTGACAGCTTATATAAGACATGCAGGCATTAGTATGAGCGTCGAGAGTAAGGAAATAAGATTTGTCCGCACGATTACTCACAGGGGAAAGATTGAACCTCGTACTGGCTCAGAGTGGTTAAGTATTTGATGCATATACACCACCAACACAAATATACGCTCCTACCATGTGCCGGACCTGGGTTGTACATCTAAGAACTAAAAAAAAAAAGCGTCTCAACGTCGCTTATCAATCCACAAAATCTCCTCGATCTCTATTAAGATCACATTTCAAAGAAAACTTTTTGCACACCCAAAGACACTATATGTTCACAAAGATTGAGTTCGACTTCGTCTGGCAAAAACAACGACATTACTCTCTTGTCTTTGGTCTTCGGCAGCGGCTGGGCTATTGGACTAGTCCACATGAAGCCTGGGCGAAGGACTAAACACGCAGTGATGGAGTAGCCACTGAGCGAGTTGCCAAGTTCGTAAGGTGGTGAATCGAGAACCACATAATATCTATTATGAGTTCTGTTCTGAAACATCATGTGTTAGTATGATTTCTTGTAACGAGGTAATCTCGGAGGCACTTACAATGAACACATGAACAGTTTCAATGAGAGTTTTGTCATCAGGTTCAATGTAAAAAGTATCAGATTTTGATGTAGAGCTCCCTCTTCCAATCGCAACATTGATGGTAAATCCAGTGCCTGGCACTAGCCGCCTTTTCGTTTCTTGGCTGTAGAGGATCTCTCTGGGTGGCAACAGGTTCGATAGAAGCTAGGGTCATGCGACAAAGCGAACTTTTCACAAAAGGCGACGCGCAATCCGTTTATAAGAGTGATTTCCTTCTCGACTATATCGGCGGTTGGGCGAACAGCTGCCTCTTCATCCATCATCCATCCCACCAAGCCCAAGAAATAATCGTCAACAGCAGAGGCGTCTTCCTTGCTCTCCCGATCATGTTCGTCAAACCAGGCATTGATTGCGCCAAGATTTGATTGGAAGGATTTGTCGTTCGATTGTCGGAGATTCTGGCTAAGGTCCAAGGTATAGCCACCGCACAAGGTCATAATTTCGAAGAACACACAGCCCATGGCAAAAATATCTGCTGAGCGTCCGCTAGGTGTGAAATTCGCGACTTCTGGCGCGAAGTATTTTGGCGTTCTTCGCTCCCCATTTTCTGTAACACTCGAGGATAATACTGAGAAGTCCATCGCCGTACCAAAGTCTGTCAACCACAATCCGTCCCTTGAAAGAACGATGTTGGATGGTTTCAAGTCTTTATGCTTGATATCGGATGCATGAAGATATGCCACTGCATTGGCTATACAGCCAATTGTCTGTCTCAAGAACACTTCCGCTAAGTCACGAGTCGCCTCCGTTTAATTTCGGATAAGAATCCCAAGTGCTTGAAGTTTGGCTTCCCCGTCGACGTTGTGTTCGTTCCATGCTCCTGGTACCGAGGGTGACAATCCAAGTTCTATGAAAACTTGCTTCTGCAGCCAATCCGCGTCTTCAAGGAGGCTGGCAAGGTGACAGGTCGCAACAGGCCACAACAACAATCCAAGAAATGGACCGTGCGTATAGGTTCTCATTAACCGAATGATATGGCGATGCGAAAGCTTCTTGATGATTTCAATCTCGCGCCTTTCTCTCTCACCTATTTTGCGGCGGCAGTATTTGCGCTTGAAAGCGAGCCTGACGCCATTACAACTAGTCTCGTAAACTCTACCATGCATGCCATGGCCGAGAAATCCGCCCTGTGTGAGAGGAAGTACCTCAGATTTGTTGTAATCAACGTGAGACGTGCCTCGGCCAGACCAGTCTAGTGGTACTCCATCGATGCACTCGCAAGGCGGTTGTTCGGTAATGCTTGGCACACTAGATGGTCGAGGGAGAGGATGGATAGAGTGGCCGGACGCCGACATGGGTCATATGGTGTTAAAGTAGTGATAGTGAGTAAATGTCGACCCGAAAACCGATCAGGCAGTAAGTCCTCTTCTCGACGTGTTGTGTTGGCATTCGGCTACGGGGTCCTCTACGCCACCGTATGCAGGCCAACTATCAGCCTCACCATGTCATTGGCTCTTAGGTATATGCGTCTGACGCTCTTGCATAAGCATCGTGTTGAGATTAGAGCAGAGCGGTTTTGTGCATCCGTGGATAGAAGTCATTGTATGCTATGAACATGGTGGGAAGATCAAAAAAATACTTACAGCTCAAATCCAGGATCGAACTGGAGATCTTCGCATATCATAGGAGCTACGAGTGCGACGCCTTACCACTGGGCCATTTGAGCCGTGTTATTACCGAAGGCGGATATCAAGGTGATATACAGCGTCGTTGGAAGTGGGGAAACCAAAGCAGCGCCAGCTCTACCGAAATCTGCGGTGGGTGAACGTTCACACGCTACGTAGACAGAAAACGAAGCTACCCTCACCCGAGACGTTCGTCTTGCTTGCGGATATTCGTCTTATCCACGTTACTGGTCAACGCATCCCTCCATTCCTGGTCTTGCAATATACTCCGGACTCTAGCCTCCAACCATTCAGTGTTTCCCCAGAAGCCCCAGCTGGCCTGGAAGCGAAGCCAGTCCACGAGGGCCGTCTCCCAGTGTCGCACGAAGATGGACCAACTATACTCTTGTTTGCCAACCTCTCTTAGTCTCTTCCAGTATCGTTGCAACAACTGCTTTTCGCCTTCCTGCATGGGTAGCTCTCGTGGGACATGCCGGCCAGCAACAAGCATGCTTAGTGGAACGGAGCATGTGAAGAACTTGGCCAGATCGCAGACCCCGAGACCAAGTCCAACATATTGGAAATCGTAAAACGCAACCTCTTCCCCGGAGCTGCTGGTGAACATGTTTTCAGACTTCACGTCACCATGTATAAGAGTTTGATAACCTTCAATTGGAGTCCAACCAGAAGTCTTCGGGGAAAGAAATGCAGCCGCCATCTCGGATATGGAGACCTCCTCGCCATCAACCCATTCAGTGAGTGGTTCATTCCACTCAGCATCGTAATCTGTCACCAAAGTATTATACTCCTTACGCCGCGTTGCAAGGTAGGTATATCCGCCGTTGAGCCAAACCGATTTGTTGAACGCATCCTGTCCGTCGAGCTGCACTTCCTGAAGTGGTGGCAGTACGAGCGAAGATGAGTCCAAAGACTTGATGCGAGGCCACCAAAAGCCGTGAAACCCAGAGAGCCAGTCCAACGCAGCATGAGCTTGTGTCGTTGTAAGCACGTTGCGCTTCTCTCCAGCTGCAGGGTATTGATGTCGAAGATCGCTCAACAACATCGCGGTTATTGAGGTGCCATCCGCATTGTGCTTGTTAATGCTAGCGAGGCATTCGGCAACTGGTAAAGTTGCTGGCAGTTGGGGGGCGAGGTGGCTATAGAAATATTGCTCAACTTGGTAACTCAAGACTTTCCGAGTATGGCCTTCGTCGTCTGCCCTTGTCGGCGGGGGGTTGACGAGCTTCAGTATGTAAGATTTCGTCGAATTTCGCGAACCGATTGGATTAGCGAAGACGCGACAGATCTCGCCATAACCGGCCCATAACGATTGAATGGTTTGTAGGAATTGAAATTGTAGTCCTTTCTCGGCAAGAAGTGCTGATGCTACTTCATCCGGCGATACTCGCGCAGGCATTGGATTGGTTGGCGGTTGTAGTCGAGTATATAGAAGCGACAACAGGAAGACGGAGAGGCAAGGAGTGAGCAAGTAGGCGAAGATCCACTGTGAACGTGTTATCATCCGAGCGGCGCTGAGTCGAAAGTAGGGAATATAGAATGTATGTGCATGGCCAGATGTTAAGCATCTGTTGTTACGCAGGACGAGGGGTTCCGCCAAGAGTCAGTGTTGAGATGACACGACGCGGTTCTAGTCGTGTCTCGCTGACATAAGCGAGCTCTGTGAATCATGCTGCCTGTCGCAACCAGGATCGCGTGTCTTGTACCCTCCCGATGTCGACACTGCTTAGGTGGTTTTCGAACTTTTCGCATTCACATGTTTCACGAGCTATGTCAACGGACTGGTCTGACACCTACTGAACCTCTGCACATCGTCGCCGGATCAAAATGATGAGTAATACCGGCCTAAGAAACTACTGCACACGCTCAAACAGGGCTATTCTCATCGATCAGAACAGTGACATTGGTATCTACTTCTAAAAAGTGATCTGTATATGCCCATTATATCGACTAAACTATAGTAGGTACTGGAAGTAGATATTCTCCTTATCTGTCATGTCCTGAAGACCGTTCTCGCCGTGCACCTCAGCACCAGACTCATGGAACTTCCCCTCCATCGAGTAGTCAATCGGGTTCCTCGGTAAGCCGGCCGCCTCACGCTGGTCGCACTTCTTCTTCTGCATCCAGGAAATGAGGAAAAATTGAGCGACAACGACACCCCAGAGGATGCACCAAATTGTCAAGATACCTTTGAGAGCGTTGACCTAGAAAGACGCATCGTCAGCCATGATCTCCAGTTTAGAAGGTACGACAGGGACATCAAGTTCTTACGTATTGCGGTTTGAATTTGGCATCGAAGATGTAAGGGGTGATGATGTTGCCAATGGAGTTGCCGGCGTTAAAGGACGTGTAGTAGATGGCCTTCTTGGTTTGTCCGGCACAGTTCGCGCCCATCCAGGAGATGAGCAGAGGATTGATTGCATACACGAAGGCAATCAAATAGTAGCCTACAAGTAGACCGCCTTTGTTGGCCTTGGTTTTCGGAAGCGCAACCATCAAAGCAACACCAATGATGACGATGGTAACAAGGCCGAGCAAGAAGGGGGACTTGCGCTTGAATCGGTATGCCAGATACGACGCACCGAGGATGGAGACAAACTGAAGTGCTCCGAAGGGCATATTCAGTAAGACGGCTTCATCAGGAGTGAACCCAGCCAAGTTCTGGAGGATGATGGAGCCGAAGACCGAGGAGACTGAAGCGCCAGCATTGACAGCGATGACCATGATCATATATAGCCAGTATTTGGGTTCAGTCACCGCTTCAACGACATGCTTCCAGTTGAACTTGTGCGAGACGATACCCTGCTGGTTAGCCTTCAACCGGTCTACCGCCTTCAAGCGATCCTCCGGCGACAAGTATCGAGCCTCCCCAGGACTATCCTGGGCCCACCAGTATGTGCTGAGGCCAATGACGATGGTCAGGAGCCCAAAGAAGAGGTAGACAATCTGGTATCGGAACAGCGAGGATGAGTGTATGCGACCGAAACCGTAAACGATGGGCGCACTGATCAGAGTACTGAGGCCATAGCAGCTGTACCAGCAAGCCACGCGGAATGGCTGCTCGGACCGCCTGTAAAAAGCAATGGTGATCATCGAAAACAGGGGAATGACCGCGGCCTCAAATGCACCAAGGAAGAATCGCGATGCGAGCAACCCGGCGTAGCTCCTGGAGCCACCGAGGCCGCCCGCAACTGAGATACCCCAGCAAGTGATAATAACGGGGAGAACCTGGCGATATCGAAGTTTGACGAGGATCCATGCGGCCAACGGTTGCACACCAAGTTGCGCGTAGTATCCGATGTTTCCGATGTTTGAGTAGTCGTTCCCGACGAGATGCGCGTCCTTTTGGAGACCGTAGACAGCTGTCAATCCGATGATCCCCTTATCAGCCGATTGTAGAAAGTAAACCATGCAAAGAAGAGACAGCATCCAAATGTCGGTCTTGCGGAGGATTCGTTTGTTGTCCGCGTCGGAACATATGTGAGCCTCGCTTAGGCCAGGCTCCTTGCCCTCCTCGTAAGCCACGGCGTGGTCTATCGAGGTATCGGATACGTGCTCGGTGCCATGAGCGCTTGGCTTCTCAATTGTAGCCATGGTACAAGATCAGTTCCTGGAAAGATGGAGTAAAAAAGTGATCTGGGGTCGAGCTGTAATCTGGGGTATCAGTCTGGGGTAGGTGTTTATATGCTTTCATTAACGCGACGCCAGCGACGCCAACGGAACCCGGGTCAACGGCGCAGCGGACTAGAATTATTCCTCCAACGAGTTCGCGCGCACTAAAGGGACGTATTGCTCGAATTGCGCCTCTTTACGAGCTGTGCTGGTGCCAGGCGGATGTGACCAATGAACCGGTCAAAGGGGGAGGTCCCGACTGCAACCGGCTAAATCGATGCAGAAAGAGTACTCGTGATGCGCCGCCAATCGTCCGCGGCAAGAACGAGCTGTCGCCTGGACAGACGGCTCGGACTCTGACAGACCGAGAGAAATACTGGTCTGTTACACAAACTGAGTTAGACTCATAGAGCCTTGACATCGACACGTTGTAGTGTTTTAAGGAGCGTCGAGGCGCATGGCCATAGCATGTACCTATCGCTCTATTGTATAGCAACGAAACCTATCGCGTGCCGATCTGTCCGTTTTCCCGGATTCGTGGTAATGTCGAGACGGCCCGAGCTTAGTGCATGCTATTATGCTATTTCGGTTGGAAGTGTTCATCGATGATCCGGTGGATACTACTCTCTTCACTGACTTCACTTACGCTCAATACCTACTGATGTTGGAAACAAGACTCTGCAGAGCAAACAAGACTTTCTTGACTAGACGACAAGCTTCTAGCCAAGAGTATGTACGGTGGCAATCCCCGGATCCTACAAACGCCACTGTTAGAGTGATTAGCCGCCTTACGTCATCACCCCCAAAACTTCCACCAACAACCAACCTGTCCTAGCGCCACAAAGCCATCATTATTTTATATGCGATACTATCTGCCAAGAAGAAGAACAACAACGATCTGGGGAGAGATTCAAACGCAGAACGTTCGATAATATCATTCAAAGTCGGATGAATGAGTCGGTTCACGATAGTCAGAGCGGAGTCGGAGCTACGACCCCACAGATGCCTCGGCGGCGCGGCTCCACATGTGCCACCAGCTCAAAGAAATGCGGGGTAAACGTCGTCGCAGTTTGAGGTGTCGCTGGTGTTTTGGAAACTCCTTGCAAAAGGTTCCCATAAATATCACAGTTTTCGTGATTTCCATACTACCCGAGTAGGCAAAACAACGTTCCGTTGCCACATCCAAATGACCGACCCCAAGAACACCACGGCGAGCCAGCGCTTGACGCAGATAAAAGATTTTCTTACGATGAACAAGACCGCGACTACGATACCTTGGGATCCGGATAGTACCAAGTTCCCAACAAGAAAGGAGCTGCCGCAGATTCCGGGTGCTCCGCCGGAGGCCGCATGGGTCTGGGGTGACAATGACTACGTACGTCCGGCCGAAATCTGATTTTTCCGCAAACCATACTCATCAACGTCAGATCGGCCGTCTCAACCTCCTAACGCCTACACGTGTAGCAGCGGCTGCAAGGGAGATTAGAACTGGTGAAATCGTTCCTGTGAAGTGCGTGTCGCCCTGATGCATCTAGCACGTCTCGACTAACCGCGGCGCAGCCTGCCTCTCAATGTGCCCAATGTGCCTGCATTTGGCCGTGAGGTCTTTCAGCATGAAATCAAAACCTTGGCGGAAGGGCTTGCCTACGATGATGTGTACCACATGAACACCCAATCCGGTACACAGTGGGACGGTTTCCGACACTTTGCTCACATGTCTAGCGGTTCATTCTACAACGGCGTATGTACAAGGCTTGCGTCGAATGAACAGCTGCTAACATACGATGTAGACCAAAGGAAGCGATGTCACGGGTCCAAACGCTAACCACAAATGCTCGATCCATCACTGGGCTGAACACGGTATCGCAGGACGGGGTGTTCTTCTGGACTACCGGGGATACGCGCACAAGAAAGGCATCAACTACGACCCTTACGACTATTACCCTATCTCATGGCAGGATCTTTATCAATGCGGCCAGGACCAAGGGATAGACATTCGGCCCGCCGCTCAGGGCGGCGATATCAAGCCAGGAGACATGCTTTTCATTCGTAGCGGCTGGAAGGAAGCTTATGACAACAAGAGTGATGAAGATCGAACCAAGGCTGCACTCCGACATGGCTCGGGTAAAGATGGCGAAGATGGTCAGCGATATGCCGGAGTGAGCCAGGAAGAAAAGATCTTAGACTGGCTTCACGACTCCTACTTCGCCTCGGTTGCTGGCGATGCGCCGGCCTTCGAGGCATGGCCTACACACGAGAGTATGTTTTCTCAAGTCCTTGTCAAATGGCTTTGACTGACTTCATCAGACTACCATCTCCACGAGTTCATCCTCGCCCTCTGGGGAATGCCGCTCGGCGAGATGCTTGATCTTGAGAAACTTGCGCAAACGTGTCGCGAGAAGAACAGGTGGTTCTTCTTCTTCACCTCTGCGCCAGCCAATTGCCCTGGTATGTTCATTGCACGAGTCACGGAATTTGTGGCTTTACTAACCACGCAACAGGCGGAGTGAGCTCCCACGTAAACGGCACTGCAATCTTTTGAGCGTATCAGAAGCATCTGGAGACTACATTGAAATCAGTACTATCATTGTATATATTGAGAACAATCAAACAACCGATCTCACAAACGAGCCTCTCTTGTATGACCGCCACACCTCCGCTGACTAACAACAGATCGATCACAAATCATGTTAACAGAACCACTACGCTGGAGCAATGCTCTTCAAAGTTCCTGACCAGGACTCTGGGAAGGATCCCGGGCATGTTACGCGCTCCTTTTCGCGCGAGCTCTCACGCGACGCGGTCCGTGCATCCGTTTCGTGTTCTGGCGGAATGGCAGGCGCGTCCAAGAGATTTGACTCAAAGCTTTCCTCACTCTCCATGAGTGGCGTCGCATCGCCATTTAACGACATTGCAACGTCGTGGTCTGATGATAGTTTTTCCAAGGATGGTTCGTTTTCGACACTGCTGTCATCATGTCTCGCAGAATCGCTTGATGGTGGTGGTGGTGGCGGCGGCTCGCGTGCCGGTGGGGCAAACTTCACCTCATCAACGGCTCCTCCAGCTTGCGCTGTCCCGAACATGGGCGAAGGCGAATACCTAACTTCGAGATGGTAGTCTAGATCATTCTCTGTTTCTGATACATGATCATGATCTAATAGCTCAAGCCTTTTTGGGTTGTCCGCTTCCAAACTCTGTTCTGAGGCTTCTAACCGGCTACTGGAAGTGGGTGAATAATCATCGACCTGGTCGTGAAGCGCTCGGTGCGCCTCCGCTCTTCGCTCCTCCCAATCAACAGTTCGAATGCCATACTCAATCATATCAGTAGCGACTTGCGCGGCTTCCCGAGACGCCTTCTCACGACGATACTTGTAGCGTTCTTGTCTTCCGGCCTCTATTGGCAGGGTTCTGTTCTTGTAGCACCCGTCTGGCCTCGAATGCGTATGGTATCGACAGCCTGATGGCAGTGAAGATCGTGTATCCTGCGAGAGGCGTCGCATGGCCGTGTCGAGTGCGGCGCAAACGAAGAACTCTGGCAAACTATGCGGATCGACGTCACCAAATCCTTGAGTACTATTGTTGATCCAGCGATCAACTAGGAAATGCTGCAACATCATCGGTGTGTGCTGTCGCTTCTCGCCGAAGACATGCGAGATCGTATCGACATCTGGACGTACACCGCTCACAATCTTTTCATCGAGTAAATACATCATTCGGTAGACGAATTTGTCATCTTCTAGCATGAACCCATGTATCACCGCATTCATCAATGGCCAGCATGCGATCCATGTATGCTGCGGGTCAATGCCGTCGGGGTCGAAGTTGATATCGCGGTAGCGTGTCGGAACAACACCAGTATGTTGCCAAATTCGGTGAAGCTCCGCTGCGTCAGGGTCGATGTTGCGATGCTTGACGAGTGATACCAGGTGATCGTCATGGTTGTCAGGCATCCTAACCAAGCGTCGCGTCAAGTACCAAGATTTTGGGTCTTGGCGGCCGCATAGCACGCTTACTTTTGACGGTCTGGGTGTCTCTGCAAGTGCATTAGGCAATGGTAGTGCAGGTTGCAACTTCTGTATATTAAGTGAATCTTCTTTAAGGGGCTCTGACTGGACGGGTCCTTGCATGTCTGTGTCAACACCATCGATGGCTTCAAGGTCGCTTGGCAGCTGTCCACTCTCGAGGATTGAGTGGTATGCGTTCTTTCTCATCCGCTCCTCGATACTTGCTCGACGTCGGGGCTTGTAACTAGTTCCTCCGATTTGCTCATTTCCATCGAAGATGCGTGGAGGCATGCCGGCACGCTCAGGCCTTCTCCGTATCTCACGCTTGTGTGCAGAAGACATCTTATCGGTAAGGAGGTTTCCCATTAAGAGCAGTGAAGCCAGCCACTATCCTGAATGAGTTGTTAGAGGGACAATCTTAGAAGTTCGGCAAGGTACTAAGACTGCTTAAGTGGAGAAATTTGCAGGAACGTGTCTGGTCATATCGACTATGAATAGTGTGAAGAGCGCACGCATTCGTCATCGCCAGACGCATCACGCTACCATCCTCGAACAAATACCCATATTCACAGCCAATGTTCTCAATAGCCCAGATATTACTGACAGCAGTCAATGATCGCAATACGGAGACGACTCACTCTCGATTATCCTTCCATAACGATCTTTAGTGAGCTTTCAGCAAGGTTATCGAGCTTCGAACTTGTTCGTTATGTCGCAGCCACTTCCACATTCCTGTATCGCTATTTCCTTTGACTATTTACTCGCAGCACCAGATCGCGATGCCTCTAGGTTCCACATCTTTGACATCGGCAACATTCGTGCTCGCAGGTCGAACAATGCTGTCAGAACATTGCCCCGCCGAGTACATCGAAGTTGATCACACTATAGCTAAACGCTCACCGTACCTTCGAATCTACCTTCCCCAGCGTGTGCGGGATGATCGGCCTTTGCTGCCCATCCAGCTTGGCGACATCGACCCAGCGGGCTTCAAGTTCTATATCGAGTGGCTTACCACCGGCATCGTCAAACTCTCCACTCAGCGGGGCCTTCCGCTCAACTCCTGCATCGACCTAATCTATGCGCACACCGTCGGCTCTTTTTTCTCGCAACCACATTTCCAAGACTATATTATCGATACTCTAGCTTATGTTCTTGATCCTACGCAGAAACCCGACCTGGAGATACTCGGACAGTTGTTTTTGGAGAAGCACGCATCAAGTCAGTTGAAACGATTTTGTATTGATAGAATGTTCGCGCATGAGCGCAAGATGTTGAGTATGGTTAGGAACTCTCTCTCGGATATGGTGACGGAGAACAGTGGTGTGAAGGGTTGTGAGTATCATGTGCATGAGAATGGCGTATGCTATAGACATGCAAGGGCGGATGACGTTGAAGATATTACAGTAAATGTCAAAGTGGAAGAGAAGAAGTGGAGTATTGACGACGACCCGGAACTAAATGCCATGGCAGCACAGCATTTGGGTAGAACGAAGGCGACCTCCACCACAACAGAAGTCCTATCAAAGGCCTCGCTCAGATTGCCAAAGTTTGTTGCTTGCAAGCGTCGTGCCTCTGTGGAACCACGCCGGGATCGAAAGCATAGCCTCGTATCGCAGCCCAAAATATCTCACTTAGAAGTAATGCATTCCCTAAGCCTGCAATGTCGAGACTTTGCAGCATCATCTCGGAACTTGCCAAGTTCCCAACCATCAACAGGATCACTGGCCGCTATCGCAAACACTAACAAACCCCTACCGTCCATACCATCTCCGTGTCGCTCACCGTCCTCGCTGACCCTAGATCCTACTGGACCGGCGTACAGCAACTTGCGCGCCTTCAATGACAACGGCGTTCAGTCGCCCAGTACACAAGATCTAGTTCTCGAATGTCTAGGAAGACTCCCATCAGCAGTAATACGAACCTCAAAGCACGATCAGATGGATTTGTGTATTGTCAAGTCACCCATGAACCCCAGAGTACCTACCAGCCTCGCAAGCGACCGCGAATCTGCTTCCACACTGCCGTCATTAGAAAATCTAGTCACATCCTTACTCTTACCGACATTCTCTAACACCTCCACAATCTCGGTCTCATCTTCGTCATCACAGGGGATCCCGTCCTCCTTATGTCCCGGCGTCCCACCATCAACATATCCAACACAAAACCCAGCTTTCACACTTCTCTCAAAATCCAGGTCTACATCCCCAAGTCCGTGCGCCACTACAAAGCGAACAGCCACACCTTTCTACACACCTCTCCATCAACTTCTTGATATATCATGCACTCCCAGACCATGTTCCTCCCCGTCACCCTCGTCGTCCACTGGTCAGGCTATTCAGCGGCCATATCATATATCCCCCTCATCGCCATCTCTTCCTCACTTCCCCCCTTTGATAAAACGTAAGCCCGCACCACCCCGAGGAACGGACTGGCTTGAGCAATGGGACAGGCTATTCGCTTTACAAGGGACACAGGGGTTTGGTTTGAAGAGGGGGGAGAAAAGGGAGAGACGGAGTCGATTTATGGAAATCTTGGAGAGCGTGAGGTTAGATGGTGGAGGTAGGTAAGGATTAGGAGGGAGAGAGAGTGGAAGGAGGCGAGGCTACTCGGTCAATGACAGGGCACAGTTCGCTATACCTCTAGTAAAAGGATGGAAGCTGATCGCTTCGGACGCATATTCATCACACCAGGAAAATGAATGAATCAGCTAGAGAGCACCAGAACTTGTGCGAGCAAGATCGAATTTGAACGTTGCATTCCATTGGTATAATACAGCTACTCTTTCTCTAACCCCATATTATCTCTAATCCATACTGGTATAAGCTTCCCTTGTAATCGTATCGACAGTGTAATCCAATGCGCCGTGTCTATGTTGTGTGTATCCAATGCAAGTCAAACCGTTGTGCTCGCGTCTACGCATGCAAAGTATTCTTGAAGCCAGTATCCGCATCCCCAGCCTTGCCTTCCTCCTTGAATTCCCAGGCCAGGAACTTCCAGTTGAGTTCGCTCGGTCGCCAGAACAAGCCGTTCTTCAGTCCACTGCCCGCTGACGATGAGTTGCCCGGTCCATCTGATGTCATGCCGCCGGTATATGGCATTCGCTTCCCGAAGATGCAACGCCGGAATCTCGAGTGCAGGATGGCCATGGAGCACATGACGCAAGGCTCATTGGTGAGGTAGATGTCCAGGTCAACACACAGATAGCCACTTGACGAGATGTTGTCTTTCTCGTAGTATGTCTTCTCGAGGTCTGTGAGCGGGTTGTCGCAGAAGAGGGAGCGGTCGAGGTAAGCGGGGTCGGTGCCGGCGACACGAAGTCGCTTCTTCGCAACCATAGCGATGGCGCGATGGACAGCGTGAGCCATGACGTTGCCAGTGCCGGTGGGCGGTTCAGCGGTGCCGGTGAAGGATCTCCAGCGGCAATCGCCTGCAACAGCGACGACCTCCGGTGCGTTCCTGGTGCGGTCGACCACGACGACGCCGATTTTCTCCCCCAGACACTGATCCGAAATCTGCTGGCCAGCTGCTCGAGCTAGCGCCAGCCAGTTGCCCGCCTCGGGTTGTATCTCGTCCTGATTGCGCTGTACGAGGCTCGGATGTGGTCCGTAGGGATTGGTGTTCTTATAAGAGATGGGCCAGTACTTGTCGCTCCATTCTGCAGCCTGCTCTGCAGATATGGGTGCAAGAGAGGGAACGGTCACATAGAGGATTCGAGGCGGTGGAGTCTTGCCGTCGAACGGCGGACAGGTGCGTATGAGAGCTGCGAGGTTGCTATGTGGGATATGGCGCGTAGGGCACAGGAGGAAGTAGCGAACTAAATCAAAATCTTCAGCAACAGTCGCGCCATGAGCAGCCTCACTGCCATCATCGGCCGAGGACGAGGACGCAGGAAGGGGAGCAGAGGGCGCTGGTGTAGCAGAGGAAGATAATAATGCAGAGGCAGGATCATCTTCTTCACCTCTCGGCAGCCTCGCGGGCGGATAGAACTGTTTCTGCAGATGCGACGGCAGGTACTTGAACTGCACTACGCGGCGTAGATGAGAGATTTCTGATGTCTTGAAGTCGGGCAAGGCTGCTTGCACGGCACTGATAGGTTAGCAGGGATCACGCTAGTGCATCAGGAGTGAATGGCTCACTCCTTGATAACATTGGCAAATTTGGCCGGCACCTCAACGACATAGACGCTATGAGTCTCCAGGCTGGCGCGCACCTCGTCTTTGGTCCTGAGGGGAACGAGACGCCCTGTGAGAGGAGGTGGGCTGCTCATAGCATCGCCTGGTGGATGAATCAAAGTTGGAGTGTCGAATAGGCTACTAGGCGTCGAATAAGCGGCTAAGGGGTGTTGTGTTGAGTCGAGCGTTGGAATGTTGGTTTTGGTGAAGAGTGACGGCTGCGCAAAAGACAACAAAAGTCTCAGGGTCCAGCGGGGCGGTCCTGCTTAACTCCGAGCTCCCCTTTCCCTTTCCCTTTCACCCACCACCATTGCCTCGTCATACGTGATGGAACAGCAACAGCATATCGCAATGGAAACTTCAACCATGACTTGGTAGTAAAGACAAGGAATCCATCTCGGGCTAAGGCGCGCATCATCCGAGTCGTGGGCGCGTCTCCCCGCATCACATTACAGCGAAGGGGCGCCAATCATCACCCAACCTGGGGCCCCGCATGATTCTGTCCCGCCCATTCGGTAAAATTCATCCAAACGAGCCTTGAGAGTCGCTCATCCCCCAGCAGCTTGATCTGCCGATATGTAGGGCGTTGAAAGACGACGCCGCTACCGCTCATCTCCATGTCCAAATGCCTAGGCCAAGCACCTGCAGCGTGGTGCCCCACTGTAGTATATGCGTGGTCTTGTTGGATATAGACCTTGCCCACTCGTCTTCTTCCTGTTCGTATCTTTTCATCTAGCTTGAAAAGTCATGGACAGCAAAACGGGTGCTACCCATATCGAGACCGCTCACGCCCGTGATGCCCATATCGTCCCCATCGACCAGGAAGCCAATGATGATATCCATCATGTTAATCTCTCCTGGAGGTCGTGGATGGTCGTCTTCTGCTGTTGCTTCGCGTATGTCCGAGACAGTTACGATGCCCGGCGTCAACTAACCTACTATGTAGCGTCATGTCTCAAGTCTTCGTGGTAGTGGCTGCGGGTTCAGTCCTCTCATTCATCATCCGTGAGCTTGGGGAGCCTGCTATCGCAAGTTGGATTATCCAGGTATGGCCGTCAAAGATCAAGATTGGTACTGGGTTCTGACACTGTTAGGGTCCGCTCCTCATGCAATCAGTCCTCTCTCCTCCCGTTGGCCGCCTGTCCGATGTCTTGGATCGCAAGTTGTTCGCGACTATACCTCCGCTAATTGCATGCATTGGCGCTATTATCTGTGCCAAAGCTACGAGCATGTCCATGTTGATCGGAGGTGGTATCCTCATCGGCACGACGCTTGCGACCATCTCCATCGTTCAGTCTATTCCTTCCGAGATCTTACCTTTGAAGTATCGACCCTTGGCAAATGGACTCGCAGGTGTGGCCGGGGTCTTGGGTGGCACGTAAGTAGAACACCTTATGCTAGGTATGGTGTATCTCGCAAGTTACTAACAAATTTGCAGTGTCGGTAGTCTAGCGGCTGGTGCAGTGACGAATCTCAGCGCTTCTGGCTGGCGCTACATCTTTTGGATCCAAGTCGGACTACACGGTATCACATCGCTCGGTCTGTTCGCTTTCTACTGGCCCAAGAAACGTACCGAATATCCTCGAATGAGCTTCAAAGAGTGGATGTGGGCTTGCGATCCTATCGGCTCTCTCCTACTCGTTGCTGCTGCTACTTTGATGCTTTTGGCGCTCAACTGGGCAGGCGGAGCGTACAAGTGGAGCAACCCGCATGTGTGCGCCAACCTTGCTGTTGGTATCGTTCTGTTCATCACGTTTTGTCTCTATGGTACGATTCCCGTTCATATCGCTTCGACGAAACGAGCTAACATAGTTCAGAATGGAAGGGTCGATCGGACGGCATCGTTGCACACGTTTTCTTCTCCACCGGACCAAATTTCTGGCTCTCGACGTTTGCCTTCGCTATCGAGGGTTGGATCTACTACTCCGCCATCAATGCAGTTACACCGCAGCTCATCCTCAACGTTGGGTTCGAGGATAACTCATGGGATATTGCTATTCGCCAACTGTCCTACAAGATCGCGTCAATCTTTACTTCGCTGGCTGTGACGTGGTACGCAACCAAGTTCAAAGACCTGAGTAAGCAAAATCATTCTCTTCTAAAATACCCCAACTAACATCATGCGTAGAAACGCCACTTGCTGTCACCTTTGCCATCATGTTCATCGCATCAATATGCTTCGCGTTCATCAGACCCGGCTGGGGTACTGAACAGATCATCTTCACAGCTTTAACGGGTATTGGTTGCGCTGGCCCGCTGACACTGCTTGTCGCATGCATTCAGTTCACAGCCCCCCACGCCTTTCTTTCGACAGCCACCGGCCTTGCCTTCTCCGCCAGAGCTATCGGTGGCGCTTTCGGTACCGCAGTCATCTACGCCATCGTCAACTCTCGTATCGCATCGCATCTTGCCGGAGATGTTGGCTCTGCCGCCATCGCAGCCGGTCTGCCTGAGTCATCAGTGCCTGCGCTCTTGAAAGGTATGAAGGGAAGCTCGGTTACGAAATTCAGAGGCGCAGGGGTGCCTGGTATGAATGAGGCTATTATCAACGCTGCGTGGGATGCAAGCCATTGGTCATATGCACATGCTTACAGACTGGGTTACTGGAGTGTAGTACCCTTTGTTGCGCTTGCGACAATTGCGGTTCTGTCAATGAAGGGTATCAAACATCTGATGACTGAGCATGTAGAAGCGACCGTTGAGCACGAAAGTGAAGATGAAGGGAAGGGTCTGGGTAAGGCATAGCTATAATGTTGATGTATAGCGTTGGCACAATGGAGAACGTCTTCAACAACGTCAAATCTATCATTCATATTCCGTATCTGGAAGAAAGTCATGCGCATTGTAGCTGCTCATACACGTTTTTGCTTATTACTAGTAAAATCAGACCCTTTCCAGTCTCCGTTCGACATCGATGTATCTCGCTACTCCATGGGTGTATCAGGGGCGCCCATGCAAGCCTAGTTCTGGATCGGCCCCGCGCTCAAGAAGTCACTTAGCGTTTTTGGGGTTGTCTGATCATTTAGCAGTTTCGTATGGAGTCCATCTGTACCCGTCCAGAGAACTGATAGTCGCCCCAGCATCGAGCAGTATTTTGATAATAGGTGTGGAGGAGTCTGCATCAGAATTCCAACACGTCTCTTGGAGCGGACTATGTCCATCCCAATCAGGGATATTCGGATCAGCACCGGCGTCGAGGAGGATCTGAACAATTTCAATCGGTCCCTGTATGCCGCATGTGACAAGATACTTCTTCACGTCGCTGTTGTCTGCTTGGATTTATATCAGAGATGCCCTCTTCTACTTCCTCAGTGATTGCAGGTATAAAGCGAGAGATGGCCAGTAAACTGATACCGCATGTCTTTTGTAAGTCTTGAATCTCTGATAGAAACGCTTCTCGACAGCCATGGGATGCAGAACACCTTGAAGAAGCCTCGTAAGGCTACTTGTTATTCGACAGGTTGTCTTGATAGACCTGAGAGTAGGGTGTCTAATGTCTGCTCGTTTTAGCGCCTATGGTTGCAAAAGAGGTGAGCTAAGCCAACCGTGGCGTCAGCGTGGTACCTCTCCCACAAATCAGCGTTGATTATGGATGCAAGAACCGTTTTGCCTGCACATGGAAAACCCGGGCGACATAGAGTACGATTGTTGGTATTGAGTCAGTCTTGGTACATCTGCGAGCACAAGAGCCATCCGCCGGTACCAGGTTGCCATCGGCTGGTGGCATCCCGCTGTTGCAAGGCATGGTCAACGGGTGTTAGCCAATCCAGGGTGCGCTGACGCTTTTGCATAGCTTCCTCCGTATCATGACGCCCACGTAGCTCTTCGACTCTGGCCCGAACGTCATTCTGCGTCGTTTGAATTATTTGTAGCTCACTATTGAGGTCTTGCAGTGTGAAATGGGTTTTCTCGACACGTAGTTCCAAAGCATCTTTGAAATCCAGAAGAAGTCGTCCATTGCGCTTGAAGCGTGTGTTGAGTTCGATAAGTAATGATGTTGAGTTGTGAGAAAGAGCGAAGTCTACCATCGCCATCTCACATTTGATCGCTTCGACGAGCTTTCCTATATCCTTTTCCTTAAAAGGCCATCTAAGCTTCTCCTGGAGCCCGTCCCGCGTTGAGAGAACGACAGCTGCCAAGCTTAATGCGTTTCCAAGTCGTGCAAGAGGTGTATAGGGTAGCTGCAAGATCTTGGTCCATTCCTTGGGCTCGTCCGAGTCGTCGATCTCATCCTTGAGTTTCAACAGTAAACTGGTGCAATATCGTGTCTGAGACCAAAGTCGTTGTCTTTCCGCCTTAGGTCCGAACACAGCGACAATGTATTCGATCACTCTCTCGCACAGCTGTGCCACTACAATAATGCTAGCAGTCGTTTCCATGTGGGGTTCGATGAGTATTCAGTGTAGTTAGTGAAGTGACATGAGACGCAGGGTTCATCAGAAATCCAATCAACTGGGTCTGTAAGTCGAGGCCTTGCCACACTGCACCTGCAAGTAGCGAACTTGCCATCGTCCATGGCAAAAAGCGGGGCGACGTAGAGTCTTCGCTGTCATTCGTTGACAATCTACAAGCATTGAATGCATCGATGCTTTTGTTTCGAGATTGGGCGTCAAGCACGTCACCTCGCATGCGATGCAACGAGGAGGGATGTTGAATGGATGAATGGATTGAAGTCGAGGGTAGTGCACGTGCGCTCGCGTTCGGCACCAAGCTAGCGCGACTGCCTCAACCCCCGATCCGTCAATATGGTGTTGCAAACATTCAAAACAACATCGCGACAATGTTACCCGACGAAATCATCGCGCAGCTAACGGCTGAATTCACATGCCGCGATCAGCAAATACGGCATCTAGCTGCACTCTATAGCGTACCTAAATTCACCCGGCCTTAGGAACATCCTACTAACAGCAACCCAGGCGCATCTCCCATCTCCACCCTTTCTAAACATCCACAGCCTTACAGCAACTGGCAAATCCTCGATACTGCGATCTTTCTTCCATCTATCTCGCATACAGCACACGATTATCAATGTTCGCGAATGCATAACGGCACGGCATCTCCTGGAGCGCATTGTTGCAGCTAGTTTAGATGCGCTCGATGAGTTCAATGACGACAAGGTTGATAGGAGACCGTATGCACGTACAGAGAACCTGAGCGCGCTATGCGTCAATATGGAAAAGTTGTTGGAGGGTAGAGATAAATTCGTGCTGGTGTTGGATGCGGTGGATAAGTTGAGGGAAGGGGGTGGGACCCTGATCGCTGCGCTGGGACGACTGGGAGAGATGGTATGCTCCGACATATACGTTTCGACTTACCGGATACTAACAGCTCGAATAGATACCAAACCTTTCCCTCATCCTGACGACAACCCTCCCACTTGCGCCCTCGGTACTCCATTCGTCATCGGCATCCTTCTTACACTTTCCATCATATGCGCGCAGCGAACTTCTTACCATACTTGGTGCCAACCCACCGAAGATCTTCCTTCAACCACCCACTCTAGATCAATTCCCAGATTATACACCCGATCTCGCTGCCGAAGACGACACCTGGCTATGGGGTCGTTTCCTACAAGCCGTCTACGATTCTCTCGCAAAACACACAGGAAGAGACCTCATAAGCTTCCAGAGCTGCGCAATGCGACTATGGCGCCCTTTCGTTGAGCCAGTAGTATCAGGACAGTTCGGCACACGCGACTTCTCCCGCTTGATGGTGAACAGACGCCATCTTTTCCAACTTGAAGACTCGGTCCTGGATCGAATCATTGCCGATACTACCGAACCTACAAAAGACGCTGCACTGGCAAGCCTCACCACACCTGCGACGCCTAGCAAGAAGAAAATGGCGAATATGACGGCGCATACCCTTCCCTACTTTACAACACATATCCTCCTCGCTGCGTACCTAGCGTCCTACAATCCCTCGCGAACCGACGTAACATACTTCATGAAACACACGGATAAGCGGAAGAACAAGCGTCGCGCACCCGGTGCCGCGTCTTTCAGCGTTACTGGGAAGCGTACCGGAGCTAAGCATCGGAAGATTAGTCGGCATCTGTTGACGCCAAGTCCGTTCACTTTGGACAGATTATTAGCCATTTTCAGGGCATTGCTTGAAGGAACGGTACCACAAGTAGCAGACCTATACACACAGATAGCCACGTTGACTAGTATGAGATTGCTTGTGAGAGCTGGAGCAGGAAGTAACGATGCACTTGAAGGAGGTGGTCGATGGCGCGTGAACTTTGGATGGGAATATGCACGCGCACTGGGCAGAAGCGTAAACTTGGAAGTAGGCGAATATCTCGTTGGTGGTGTAGACTAGGTTGTATTTCTATTCTATATCCTCTATATCAACTTATCAGGTGTGTGCAGAAGGTCATCTAGGAACTACAGCTACACTGCATCATTCCCTTGTGCGCCGGTACATCGCCACAGAACCTCTCTTCCTCATCTGCATTCCACTCCCAGTTCTCTTGGAATGGGCTCAAAGCGAGTTTCATAATCTGAGGTAGAATCTCGCGCTCGCCCTGCTTCTCCACGCGCTCGATGAGTTCGTCTAGGATCCAGGAACGGGGGATAAACTAGTCGTCGTTAGCATCGCATACTTTAATTCTTGTGGTCAAGTGGGAGGGAACTTACGTTGGGGTTCACAGCATCCATAGCCACCTTCCTCTCCTCATCTTTGCCCTCACCCCAGTCTTCCTTAACTCTAGCCGACCATTTCTCAAGCCACTTTCCAATCCTCTCCCGCCCATCACTCTCCTGCCTCGGCGCACCATTCTTCTTGAAAAACCTGCCCGCAACATCCTTCCTCTGATCCTTGGTTTCAACTTCCGACAACTTGATGCTACCTAACCTCCGGAAGGCATGATGGAAGTCTAGTTCGTACATTTCCAAAGAGTCGAGCAACTCGGACATGAGTTCCTCAAAGTCGGAGTCTTTCTGTGTCTTGAGACCGAGACGCAATGTCATGACGCGGCGGTACTCGGCGAGGAAAACAGCTTTATATTCTTCGCCTGCGCGGTCGATTGCTGATTCTGCGCATTTGACGATGCCATCTGCTTCTTCTTCCGTGACACCCTTTTCAACAAACGTAGCTTCATCGACTTTACTACCCGCGCCCATTAATTCACCCAGTGCCTCGCCTAGGCGGACGAGGTTCCACCAGATAATTGTGGGCTGGTTGCGGTAGCTATATCTCAGCATATGGTCGTCGTGGTTGGGCGTGTACGTCGGATCAAAGGTATCCAAAAACGCAAAGGGACCGAAATCAATAGACAAGCCGAGGATAGATGTATTATCTGTGTTTAGCACGCCGTTCATGAAGCCGTAAGCTTGCCATTTCGCGACTGTCTCGGCGTTGCGGCGAATGATTGCGCGGTAGAGACGGACGTAGCGGTTTTCCTCCCCAGCTCCATCGCCTTCGACAGTATCTTTCGCAAGGCCTGAAGAAGTCTGGTTGTGGACGTCTTTTGCGTCGCCAGCGGGCAGCTTGGAGGGTAGCTTGTCCCAGCCGCCATAGACGTGCTCGGCTGTGTAGTCGGCGAGGATGCGAAGGGTCTTTCGGTCTCCGCGGATGCGCTGGAGGTCGAATGTTCCAAAACGGATCCAACTTTGTGCGAATCGAGTGACGATGGCGCCGGGCTCGGTTCGTTCGCGCATGACTCTACTTCCCTTGTTTAGGGTGAGCGCCAGCGCTCGCGTACTTGGGATACCGATAGCGTTGAGGTATTCTGAAACAACGAACTCTCTGATGGAAGAGCGTAGTACTGCTCGACCATCGGCGAATCGGGAGTATGGGGTTCTTCCAGCGCCCTTCAATTGGATCTCGTAGCGTATGCCAGTTGCTGGATTGGTGGACTCGAACAATGAGATGGCGCGACCATCACCCAGCTGGCCAGCCCATTGTCCGAACTGGTAGCCTCCGTAGCACTGCGCCCAAGGATATATTCCTGACTCTGGGTTTGACTCATCCCATGTCAAGATTTTCTTTCCTGCAACGACTTCCTTGAACTCATCAGTCTCCACTTCGTCTTCCTTGAGGCCGATGTCACGTAGCGCTTGCGGGCTGACAGCTAACAGTTCCGGCTCGCCCTGTGAATCGGGTCGAACATATGTGTATAACGCTCCCTTGACCATGCGCGGTCCAAGCATCTGCCGTGGCGCATCGTGCGAGTCTTTCGGTCTAGGGAACGCATCATCGGCTGGAAGGTTCGACGTGAAGACATTCGACTTGGGAAGGGACCGTAGCGTGTGAAGCTCGCCAGACGAGCCGTTGGCCGCCTGTGAGGTATCAAGGTGCGCCATGACTTGGTTGAGGCGCATAAAAGTGTGGAATGGGTTCTTGCAAATGTATCTCGTCGCTGATACGGCTTTCCTAGTAGGCTGCAGCGCAGATGGGATTCGGAGCATGAGCTGCTAAGGGAGTATAAAGTGGTGTATGAGAGAGGGGCAGTGAGGAGGCGATGGCGGCAAATATGAGCGCCTTCGAGCGCTGATCAGAGTGATGTGAACACTATGGAGCAGTGGCGTCATGCCTCGGACCTGCTAATCGATAAGAAGTCGCAAAAACATCGAATCGTCGCGGTACCTGACTCGCGCTCTTCTCTTCTGCGCTAACTTATAGACGCGTCAACATTTCTACCACTTTGCCTTGCACTTCCAACATGAATGGCCAAGCAATACCTGGATACTTCTGGGACGCAGAAAAGAAGAAGTATTTCAGGATTCAAAATCAAACTGCAGCGCAAGGCTCCAATCTCAAATATTCATCGGAAAACATCAAAAAGACTGAGAGGAAAGAACGCATCCAGAATGTTGCCATTGCGCGTTCGAATAAAATTCGGAAGGAGCGCGTCGTCAGGCGCAATCCAAACACCTTTGCTCAGACCAACCTTGACAGGGAGATAGGCCATAGACGGAAATCACGCTATCTTCAAGGTCTTTGGCCTGATGCATGCGCAGCGGGTATCAGTAGTCGCCCACAAGAGCTGCTGGACATCCGCCAACCTCGAAATTCCGGCTTGAAGTACTTCGACATGGATCCGAACGAGTCTACGATATACGCAGTTCATAAGTCGAACAGCGTGTGTATGCTGTTAGCTGATGCTGGCAGTGCTAAGAAATATCGCTATACATCGCCGCCGTCCAATATAACCTACTCACATCATGCTTGGGAAGAGGTAACGCGAACAACCTCGCCAGTCTCATCAATATCCTTCCTTCCCCAGACTGGTGCGCTTGCAGTGACTACATATGGCTCGGATCGTCCTCCAGAATTGTGGCTCAGCGACCCAGGGCGCGATAATCCAGTAAGTTACTCATCAGTCTACACATAACATCAAAACCTACCCTAAAGGGTTTCCCCGGGTTTCTTAATTATAGGAATTTGACCTCACCCGAAATCTATCATTCAGGGTAGGTTTTAGTCTTGCGTATTATCTGTCGAAAACCAGCATCTCAGTGCTCGTGCTGACTTCACATTTACAGTACGTGGGCCAGAAGTTCACACCCAAGGACTGTTCGGCGATATGGGGTGCTGCAGCCAGACCATCAACCTTCACACCATCCCCAGGTCTCGCAAACACTGTTGCAGCGACTTGGTCTGAGCATCTCGCAGTTGCAGCTTCGAGTTCGATGCTACTCTTCGCTCGCTCAGAAGCAGGAGCATGGGACTCGCAGACTGCGGTGAAATCACTCGATTCGGATGTGTTAGCCTTGGAATGGATATCGTACACCACCGTCGCTATCGGCTGTCGTAACGGAACCATCCGACTCTACGACACTAGATCAGGAGGCTCAAGTCATGTTCTTACACACCCATCTCCCATTTCGAAGCTCAAGCGTGCCGACGATGAGACTAGACTAATTTGCTCTGGACTGCAAGACACGCTTTTCTTATACGACATCCGCGCACCCCGCTTATCACGTAGTTCATCGCGAAAGACCTTCAATTACGATAACCATCACTACAATGAGGAATATTTCAAGCAGTTGTATCCCACCTACCGCGATGGGCACAAGCGACGAAAACTCAACCACAAGGCTTTTAAGAACTGGTCTCAGCCTGTCTTGACTTTTGAACATGCAAACCGGGATGACCTGGAACTGGACATCGATGTACATCCCAGACTAGGGCTTCTAGCAGCAGCCCAAGACATATCGACGGGCACGGCGATTCGGGTCAGCAATATGTGGACAGGCAGGACAGTCAAGGAAATCAAGGCTGACCACACTCAACCTCACGAACTCCCGACACAATTTCCGATACGGTCGCTCAAATTCCTTGATCGATATGATGATGCAGATGGCGAAGTTGATCTCTGGTCATGTTGGAACGGTGGGATCGGAAAGTTCGGGTGGTAAGATGAATGAGGTGCGCCAGATGGATTCTCATTGCGGGTCTAGAATACAGCGGCGCAATTAGAAGACAACCGCATTTTTACTCAGGGCCGTGACGACAGGTCATTCAAGGAGTACAGAAATATGATAGCGTGACGTGGACATCTTTCAAAATCACCGTGGTAACCTTCTGTTACGTTACCTGGGAATAGTCCAATCACGCATTCACGTACGCACGAGCGTGAATTTCCGTTTGCTGCAGCCTCGCACCTTCACTTCTATTTTACAGTCCTCAGATTCAAGCTCACAACTCTGCACGAGTGTGAAATGCGACAGATCGGGGAACTGTACTGACACAGTTCGTAGACCTGTGAGTGAGTGTAGATTTTCACATCCATTAATCATCCAGCGCTCAATAACGACAAAAACTGCCCTAATTACATTGAGATCGAACTTACTACAGGAAGCGACCAGCAAATCTCTCCCGAGTCTCCAGCTCAACCATGCCACACGTCGATCTCGAAAAGGGAGGCGTTATGACCTCCAAAAAGCACGACAAAGACCCTACGAGCATCAACAGTTCCGTCGTCAAACGTAGCAGCACCTTCCTCGCCAACCTCAGCACCACCATCCCCCTAATCATTGCATACACCAACCTCTACCTCATCAAGTACTACCTCTCTCCCTCTGGTCCTGGAGCCCGTCACCGCGAAGGCGACGAAGGACGTATTAAACCACTCGCCATCATCCTCATGCTTCTCGGGCCTGATATCATACAGATTACGTTCGCCGCCACGACTACATTTGCACCAAATGAATTCCCGTGCTTTAGCTTTGGATGGCTGGCTTATAGCACATTGTTGTTGGTGTCTGCGGTGTCTGGGAGTGGGAGGTTGTTACCGAGAGAGGAGTGTGGTGTGAAGGTAGTGGATACGAATGGGAAGATGGGAAGGAGGGGGAGAAAGAGGAAGGTCAGGGTCTGGAGATTGCTGAGGGATCTAGAGTCTCACCATGACCCGGACAGCATCGACAGCGATATCATCATCGAGATCCTCGAACCCACCAGTCAGCCATGGACACCCAAATCGCTCTGGGCCATGATACAAAACCGCAGCTTGGCTACCGTTATCTTTCAGTTCTGGCTCGCAGGGATATTCTGGTATTACTACGGCGATGTATCCATCCTCTTACTGCTCAGCACGTCGATCTTGCTCTTGGAAGCCACCGCCAACCTACCTATCTGGTCCGCGCAGAAACACTTCTCGCACACCAATGATATGGAAGATGGTGTATACACGTTGATGCGCGACACCGGAACACCGTCTCAACGTATCTTCATCATCCAATCTATGCACCCTGGAATATTCGTTAACAAAGGTGGCACCGCCACCTATGCAATGCGTCACACGTCCCTCCCAGCAGTTATACTCATCTCAGGTGGTTTTCTCTGTCAAGCACTTCTTTGCACCCAGCTTTCAGACGCTGCAGCCATAGTCCTGTTAATCATCATGTTGTGTGGTACGATCAGCAACGTGGCTATCGCTTCGTTACCAAGGGAACCAATGGTAGATGGTGTGAAGTTGCACTCTGTCGACACGATCGGCGGAGGAAAAAGCGTTGTGGAGGCGCTGAGGGAAGTGGAAGGGAGGCATGAGGGGTTTGGGCAGGTGCTACTTAGGGAGCGGTTTCCTGAGAATATCAGGAAGTGGGAGCACAGGAACGAGAAGGGAAACATGGGAGAGGTGGGGGAAATGGACTGAGGTATTGGTACGGTAGAGAATGAGGATGAGAACGTTGAGTTTGCATGTGCTCATCGCCCGTAATGTTGACATTAGGTTTCCTGAGAACCTAAGAGCACGCCTCACGTTACCACACTCTTTCGACGTCTACCCACCTCAACTCAAGATGCAGCTTTCTTCTCACCTCCTCCCAAAAGCGGTAACCTAACCTTCCCGAACACTGCGCCACCACCCCTCTGCATCTGCGCAACCGCATCGCCCAGCAAAACTCTTATAGCCCCTTCCAACCTCCTATCCTTCTTCCTCCTCATCCAAAGCAGCACAATACCCAATATAAACACATCAACAGCAACATGCTTGAAGCACGCCCACACCCATCTCCATATCCCCCTGAACAACCGATAATGCGCTGAATGTGCGAATAACCTCCTAGCTTCTAGCTGTTCTCTCAGCGCTGCGACTTCAGCCGTCATCTTCATTAGCGATTGCTCGACACGCTTTCTCCACTTCTGGTCTGCGGCTGATTCTTTGGGGGATTCTTTTTCTGCTGCTGCTGCGGCGGCGTTCCCGGCGGCTGGTGTTCCGCCCAAGCCTGGTATGTTCATCTGTATCGGTTTGCCTAATACGCCTATGCCTCTATTCCTCGGCGCGGGCGTGGGCGTTTGTATGGGTATAGGTTCCGCTCGTATCAGCTGCTGGAGATCGGTCTGTACACCGGCGTCTTCTAGTTCGGGGCTATCGTCTGGGTAGGATGTAGGGTTGTATTGTGAATCCGGGGCGTCGACGAAGACTTCGCCGCGGTCGATGTCTGCTTCTTCCTCTTCGAGCTCTTCTTCGGATTGTGACATTGGTGATTTGACGCGGAGGGGTACGTCACGTTGTTCTTCTCGCATTTGGCCGGGCGTATCTTGTTCCATATCGCCGCTTGTGTTCATGGCTGCTCGTGTACTCTGCCCTAGGTCGTGTTGTGAGTATCCGGGGGTTATGTGGTCGGCGGTTCGTAGCGGCGAGGATGAAGAGGATGATGGTACATTGGATTTGACTTGGTCCCAGACAAATTCGAGCTCGGCGACTAGTTCCCGGGAGTCGGGCGAAGGTGAGGCGTATTTGTGCATGGTGTCGATTAGGGTGGTGATGTAGCGGCGTTTGGCTTCGGTGCGGGAGAGGCCGTTCTGCTGTTTCCAAGCGTCCCTGGTGGCTGTCAGTTGCATTCACGCCTAAGGCATGAGACATGGACGCGAAGGGTATCGCGTGCCAACATACCACTTCTCCCGCGCTCGTTGCGACTGATCATCACTCCCTCTCGGACACTCCATGATGCCGTCGACATCACCCTCTGTGCTGCATCAGTCCTGGTCGTAGCACAGTCCACCTCGACATCATTTCCCCTCATTCAACGTACCCATGGCTTGCTTGTACAATCCATACAAGCGTAACCTGGTCGCAGACGGCGGTTTCTGCGACCCCGTCCGTATCTTATTAACGGTGTTGAGCGCATGGCTAAAGACTCGATCTACACACTCTCTGTTAGCGAAACATGCCTTTCAATTACATATCCGACCACTTGGACGTACCAACCGAGTCTGACATTATGAGCGTGGATGTCGCGCCCCCATAGGAGGGGAGCGGCGCATTGATTGATGTAGCGCGTGAGAATGTCTCAATAACAGGCACAAGATAGTCAGCCAGGCAGAAGTAGAAGCAGAAGTAGTATAGAACGAGGCAATGGATGGCGGACGGCGTGCATGATGCGATGACAATGCGGAGCCGTGTGGAGATGGCATTCGTTGTCGCGCGACCCTGGCGCTTGGGCCTCGGCTGTTCCGGGGCGGGCGCGCTTGCCATGTGGCAGTGCGATGCGTCGTTTCACGTGTCAACACACATCTCTTGTCCTCACCGTACTTTTGTCTCTTTGCTGATGTCTTGGGCGGTACTTTATCGCTTCTCTTCGATAAATTCCGTTCTGCATAGCAACAAGCGTGTGCATGATCGCATTTCCGAGGCAGGGATCCTGTCGACCGATCAGGCAATTTCTTCCGCACACAATCTTCTGGGCAAGGAGACCCTACAGCGACCCTACAGCGACGCGATGGAATGATTGCATGATTACCTTCATTTGCTCACTAACTCTCTATGGTCTCAACCGTGTTCCCAACAGACCTGAATCTTTTCTACCAACTAGCAACAACTGCCTGTATATCGCTTGTAAATGACCACACACCCTGGGAGTCAACAGCATGAACAATCGCCTTTCTCTGTACATCTTGCCTGCGCGTGGTCGTTGCAACCGAGGTTGATGTTCCCTGCATTGGCGTTAGCAATGCCCGCTGAAACGTATCGACGAAAACCTACCTGTACGCGTGCACCCCTCACATTCGTATACGGATTCCCAACCTCATCCGTACCAGTTGGGTACTGCACAATCACCGAATACGCAACCGCTCTCGACACCGGCGACCAGCTGACCTGGAAGTCTCCAGCATCATTGCTCCTCCGTAAAGACACATCTGTAACCTTGGCCGGACGCGAAACATCTTCAACAGCACGAATTTGCTCCGTAGTATAGCAACCATTCGCCGTCCCCGATGTTGTGTAGAATCTCCACGAGACAGGCGCTTGCCCGTTCTTGCACACACTGCTGAACTCATGCACAGCCGTGAACGCCGAGTTTCCGGGATACCTAGTGAGGAAGTTGTTGCCAAGGTAGGGGTAGAACGTATCGCTGACGCCGAAGCTGTTGAAGTCGCGGAAGGGCTTGAGTTCAGCACGGCTGCCGTCGGCGTAGGTGGCTTCAAAGGCCCATTGTACGCCTACGTATTGGTCTTTGTTGAAGCTGAGTTGCGCCGTGCAGCTAGCTAGGTTGAACGCTTTGTAGTTGCCAGGAGGGGCGCGACCTGTGTAGGGGTACCTCCAGGCTGTACTGCATTGTTGCCGTGGTTCGAGGCCAAGAGGGGATGCGGTGGTTGTGGTTGCTAGAAGCGTGGTGAGGGTTACGAGGGTGAGCTTCATGATGGTAGAGGTTGGATAAAGCGGAATATTGTGAATATCTCTACTCAAGACGTGAGCAGCCTAAATACTAAGGAATATTCCAATTCGTACACACCGCCATCGACATCACCGCCGGATCAAGCGATCTAAGCTATAAGCGTGTAACTAGGTAACTTGGTAGCCTTGCATGGAGCATTACCCATGGCAAGATGAGCACAACACGGCGGTAAATATTAACAGCCAAGACGGCGCATACAACCTTCAAGAAATGACCAAGGCGGACGGAGGCCTCACCTATGGGGTTATCTGGCTTAGCGGGTGATCATCTGCGGGCCGCACAGAGTCTATTTCCCTTGGCGCTGCAGGTCAATCTTCGTATTCAGTCTTGTCTCTTGGAAACTAATCGTTGCTAATCTAGGGTGATCTGCGCGGGCAGGGACGACGACGACCTTTATTGCCTGAATGCGTATTGTCAGGAGCGAGACTTCGATTTACGCACTCGACGTCCAGAGAACAGGCGTACAAGAAGCGCCGCACATGGGTCCCTGGATGGATCAAGTTTACAACATCTTTGTTCCTTTTACAAGGCATCATGTAAAACACAGCAGCATACCGCAGCATCATGGACAGGCCTATCGTTGGATAGTCTCATTCCATTCCTAAGAGTTGGTTCAATACCTCGATATAGGTCCACCCGCCGTAGCAGGCGCCCATCTAAGAAGACCAATCCCATGTTTAACGTCTCTAGAGTAGTACCATTACCATCGACCGTTTAACTGCCATCGCTTCCGAGAGCCACTTGCTCCGAGACAGCCATCGCACCGGCCATACGTCTTGCCCCTCAGTAGTCCGTCATCGATCAGCCGTCTAGCAGTTGTTGTAACCGCAATTAGCCTTGCAGAAACCATCGTAATGGCGACAGGTGTCGGCACGGCAAGACACATCGCAGGCTTGAGGATTGAACCAGCATGCCCAGGACTGTTCAGTGTGTCAGTTAGTAAAGAATCCTGAGGGTGACGAGATTGAAGAATGACTTACGGCACGACCCTTGGTGTAGTTGTTGTCGCAGTCCCGGCAGTTGGGTTTGTCAACAGGTGGGGGTTCCTTGGGGGCAGCGACTGGGTCAGCAACAGGGCTGGCGACAGGGTTGGCGACAGTGAGAGCGGCCAGGGCGAGAAGAAGGGTGGCAGTGGTGAACTTCATACTTGATGAACCTGATCGAGTTGTCTGGGTTTTGTGATGTGACGGTTGACTGATGTGGTTGAAGAGATGGAGTTGGGTGATGAAATGAGAAGAAAGCAGGTAATGTGGTAGTATATGTACGTTGCGGAAGGTGAGAGCACGACCAGGCAGCCAGGCAAGTAAACGGAGTATTTCACAACACCTCGAGCGCAGTTCTACGTGCGCCGACATAGAAACGCTGAAAGAGGGGGCACTCTGGGCTATGCACATACTCACAGTTGCCTTGATCATGAGATCTTGCCTGTCACGGACACGGCTCGACGGTATTATCACTCGAAAGGACAATGGCGTAACACTGGAAAACGTCTAGGACGTATGATAATTGCTTATTGAGGCGTGTATCAAGACTCACAGTATCAAAGCAATCAATCCCCAAGCACAAGCTCCCAGTATGATGCATGAAAGAGTTTATACTGCCTAGATAAGAGTTCTAATATTTTTCTCGTATCCAAAGTACTGCCCGCGCCTTAGGTGCCTTGAGTCAACCGAGCATTCCAGAAGCGTGAACGTACAGTTTCGGCACTGCCCACCACGGACTTCTACTGGCAGCGCGACCCCATTTGTTTCATCCAATCGACTTCATATCTTCACCTCCACACCCAGTTGCTCTTCACCTGAGGCACTGGGTGACCATCCGGATAATTGTCACACACACCAGGCTTTACGGACGCGCCACACAACCATTCACAGGGGCAGTTCCACATGCACCAGTCGCCTAGTTGGCCTTTCTTCTCGTTGCAGACTACCTCTGTGCAGTAATCTGCCCATGCTGGAACGTATTCGCTTGTAGGATTACCCTATTCCAAAGCTAGTGAGCTGCTGACTAGCGGAAATCTGTTCAAATGAGGTTCACTCACGAGCAGGCATTCATTCCAAGCAGCCCAACAATCATCGCAAGTATGCCAAAATGGCTTATCGTTAGGCTCACTGGCGAGAACCACCGCCGAAAAAACCACTACGAGGATGACGGTGAGCTTCATGTCGGTTGTAGCGTGGCGTTCGATAGCGAAGGTAAGCTTGTGGTGATTTAGAGAGTGACGTAGATAGATAGTGATGTGGAGGATGGTTCGAAGTTGATGAATCAAAGTGAATCGTGCAGGAGGGTGTGCGAGAATCTATTTGTACCTACTCTCAGGCGACTCATGACCGTACCACATTAGCGTTGAGGGCGAATCGCTTGCGAGGACGCTAGACAGTCATATCGTGGTAATGTAAATGGCCGGAATCTGGAGCGTACACGTTTATGGACATCTCACGAATTGTTAGGCTATTGCGTGATGCTTGGACTTCGGTAGTAGGCCAAAATTCTATCGTTAAACACGGTATATCCCCTCTGCCACTCGTTGATGGGGAACACGTAAGGTGACTTGAATCATTAGGGGTTCTGATAGGCACGAACAATTCAAATTGGGAATCGCGCATTGGTTATGCGAACCGAGAAGAGATATCTGGTCGCAAAAGCTGCGATGTTGCAACTCCGCTTCTCCAAACCGCGTAGACCTATCCAAAGTCCCAGTGCCCATTTGGTCTGGAAGAGCTGAACGTTGTAAGACTCTATCCACAACGTAAAGTACCGGTTGACGCTGTCCCCTATCGGACAAAGGTTCCTCATTCTGTGTCATATTTTACTAAGCTCAAAGATAACCTCCGTCATAAGGAGTTCTTGTACCAATTATCGTTATCAAAGCTTCGTTCAAGTACGCTTGTAGCACCTTCTCTTGTGGGTCATAATTGAAGTTCGCACTCATCGTTGCGTAAAGTGCGGATGATGTAGACGAAATGAGAAAAAGAGGTGAAAGATTAATCAGTTTACGTTCTTCAATATTAACGATTTTATCGCTATCGTAAACAAACGCCCTCGAGTGCGCGCGTTCTTCTTGGAGGTTGAGAATGCGCCTTCCTTCACTTAACAGACCTGTCAGCTCCGCCAAATGAGACGCCGGGCAGGTAAAGATTACACAAGAATCATAGTATTCTGCGCATGACGATCTAGAGGCAAACAATTTTCCGCTGTAGAGTTTTTCAAGCATAGCTACTCACGCAATCTGTGACGCATCCTCGATTTACTATGCTAATAACCTCAGACAACCGGTCTTCCTTTCTTCGGTCGCATCTGCAGCCTGAAGAGCATACACATTAGCCAGAGCGTCTACAACGTCCTTCTCCAGCAACTACGTACCTCTCCAAACCCCCTCCCCCCCTTTTGCTAGGATCCAATATCCCACCAATCCTCTCCCCATCTTCCAGTACTCAGCTTGCACCGATACTTCCGGCATTCGTCCACTGTTTGTTCGGCACACGCTTTACACGTTTCGCGGCAATTAGAGTCGACACGATGGAGGTTTTCCTGGCCACTGCATTGCTGTTGGGTATGATTAGTAACGTTCAACTGGACGCAAAACACTTCCGACTTGGAGATGGTACTTACTGTGTAGCATGTCCAGTAGTGGTGGTGGCAGGGTCCGCAGTCTCCTATTCCAACTTCCTTGTCGTGGGCAAGAGCGACGGTGATGGAGAGAGAGATGACGCCGATGATAGGGAGTGTGAACTTCATCGTAGCGATATGTGGTGCATAGTTTAAGATTGCTTGTTGGTATGTTGTGTTAGTTTAGGATGCCTCAAAGTCGCGAATCTTGATCGCATAAAACGCCTTACCTGATATAATGTTCTTGTTCATCAGCTAACTTTGCTGAGCTGATTGAAAGATACGCAGTTTCGTTATTATTAGAAGCACCATACCAGTAGTAGGTTGTGGCGCCCAGGTAGCAAAGTCATTGCTAGCTTCAGGCGAATAAAAAAGACGGCGTTGGAAAGGTTCCGAAACTGAACCGTACCTCGCGACCAAAATTTCAAGAGCTCCCGGAAAAGGCCAAAGTGCTGACATGACGGCAGATCTTGTAAAGCAGAGCTATACGAAAGAGCTATGCAGATGAGAGCCAGTGCTCTGGAATCAAGTATCGTGGTCATTCAATCAAGACTATACAAACACATGTCTCAGAGTATTTTCATCCTAATGGCTTAAACCATCTTTTCCTCGCCTTACAAATAAACGAACTCTCGCCCCCGGTCATCATCGTGATACCGCCGACTAATACTCGGATGTGTTGGGTCACCGTAGATCGGCTGTCTCATCATATCAAGTTGTATCCACACACCCTCTCTGGTTTGGAATCCATGTTCAAAGACTGGTTCATGAGATGCTCGAGTTGTTGAAAAGTCCCAGCGCCGTCCCACTATCCAGCATCCGGGCCGCCATAGCTCGGGTCGAAAAACCTGCGATGCTAAAGTGGAGGTGGTGGAGAGTAATTTCTTGGTACACGTTGCGGACGGTACTCTGGTGGGCCTTTCACTGGGTTTTCTTGGTCATGAGGTGCAAAATCTGGAGGACTTGCATTTGTGAAGCTTCCATACGAATTGTTTTCCCAATTCAGTGTCGCGACGCGGCGATGGTTTGCTACGTCCTGCCTTCTAAGGCAATCCTCTGAATCTGTATCGCCACTACCGCTCTTCTGTTCTGTCCCCGGGTGGCTCTTCAACCGGTGAGATTGGATTCTCATAACCTTGGTGGACTGTAGCAGAAGATGTACCACGGGACGCTGGTGAAGGCCTATACTCCGACTCAACAGACCCGTTGTCCATGGCATCCTTTTCTCTAGCCGGAGTCCGAACTGAATCTAGTTAGCTACCATTAACAAGGCTACTGAGGGTTCATTATCCGACACACGCTTTATCGCTTACACTCATAAACTGGTAATTACGATGGGTTATCCTTGTCCATCGGCGGGCTAAAACCGCTCATCTTGAGATCGTCGTTGTCGTCGGTAGCAGGCTCGTCGTTCTTGGTTTGAGCTGGAGTCAGGGGTACTTGAACCTCTTTTTGCTTGTTATAACCGCATTGTACTGGTTGATCTTTATGCTGAGAACTGTCTCTGGTGGTTACAAAAGTATCTCCATCGTGTGGCATATCATCGCTGTCACCGTCCCTATCATAATCACTAGTATCGTCACTGCTATAGTACCTAGCACGATCACTGTCATCTTCACTCGTTACGATCAATCGTGACGGCGTAAAGGTTGAAGCTCGCCCCACCTCTACATCTTCGCATTGCATCACATCACTCGTGCCTTCGCCTTCACCTTTTCCATTTGCAGTCGAAGGTGATGCTGTAACGTCCGAAGTCCCATTCGTGGCTACATATTCGCCTTATGTAGTATTCGCTTGTGTGACCGGCGGCAGAATATGTGGCTCACTATCCATGTCCATCAATTTGTCCGGATTTGCTGTTTCACTAGCTGACGGGGCTGGCGACTGGGGTGCAAGCTCCTGAGAACCATCTGACGACGGATTCGATTCGCTCATGGTTGGCGGGGCATTGTATCCTGTTGGGGGCTCCGCGCGATTATAAGGCTCAGAGCCCATCAATGAGCTTTTAGTTGTCATGCCTGCTTCAGGCTTCAACGGATCATAATTTGGTGGGCCTACCGGTGGAGCCGCTATTCCCGTCGACGGATTAGTAAGACTATAAGCGAGACGCCTCATCGACGAGATATCTGCCGTGGACAACGTAACCTATGGTAACTTCAGATGTTGATGGCCTGACTTTCCAGTCGGCGAGGTAACATCACCACGCCGAACATACGGTGCCGCGGGCGTGTTGATACCCGAACATTGATTGAAAGGATTTGTGTTGTTCAATCTGTTCAACAGGCTTGGATCGAAAGCTGCTGGTACGTAGGGACGTGCCTTCGATGGGTCAAAAGGGAGTGACGAAGCTTTGGTGTTGCCGTGCGGGCTTGAAGGTACCGATGGCTGGTAATTGGAGGATGGAGAAGTAAGGTTGGGCTTCGGCACTGGAGGCACACTCAGTGTACCTTGGAATCTTGACTAGAGAGAAGTGTCAGTAGTTACTGTTGAAGATGTTTGGGCTGGTACTGAGTTTGCTGGTGCAGCACCGGCCCTCTTTACCATATTTTGTAACGCAGCGCGAAAATCCACCATTAATTCGATTGGAGGCTCAGTGGTAGGAGTTGCTGGTTTATCACTAGGTTGGACATCGCCTTTTTCGATGTCGAAAGAAATTGGGCCGTTGTAGCGTTCTTTCTGGGCCAGATTCGTGCTGGAGGCGGTAGAAGTGGAGGTACTGGAGCTGGACTTATAGAAGGTGTCGTGTCATCCTTAGTTCTTCCTTTCCAAGACTTCGGCGTCAAGAATCTATCACCATCTCCAACTCTTCCCTTGTTCCATCAGTGATCATCGGATAGGATGTAGCAACTTCGTTATCACAAAAGGATGCACCGCTTTCTTCGCCCTTGTTCCCGAGATCAGCGTCTTCACTGGCTAGCTCAGAGTGGTCAATGACATCTCTCCCTTCGTTCTTCAGCACTTGTATCTTGTCATCCATTTCTTGTATTAAAAGGTTCGCTCCGGTCTCGTTGAGATCATCGCTGCTAGGTGGGTCCGATAGATCTGACTCATCACTGTTCTCCTGTCCAACTTCATGGTCAAAACTATCTCGAAATTTGGCACCTTCGGCTTCGGAATTGAACCAGTATACTGCGTCTTGGGCGTACTTGAAGTTCTCGTGATCCTCTCCAAACTTGTCGTATGCTACCATATCAACTTCTCGGAAGATGTGACACTGCTCTCCAAACGTTTCTTGTAATGAATTCATACCCGTGGATCGATGTTCTGGGTAATCAGGGTTATCGACGATCTGGCCATCCTCCCAAAGCTGTACGAGACGCGTTTTGGGTCTAATATATGTCCAGTAACCATCGACCACTTCACCGCCGGTAGTACTCGTCGTCACTTGATTAACTCCCGTGGCATGGTCTGGTGAGGTTACAAAGTCTTTGTCGATACCGTGTGCCTGTCCATAGTCGTATGCATGGTTGTCGTTGAAATTAATTCCCAAGAACCCTGCCGTGAAGTCATTATGCCAATCAGCAGCTCCATAACTCTTATGATCACCTTGGTTCTCGGAGTCTAGTAGTTGCGTATGTCCGCCTAAAGGTAAGCCGAGATCCTTTCGTGTATCTCTTTGCATGTCCTTGTCGTTCTCTGCAGTCTCAATCCGAGCAAGCTCTTCAAGTGAGGTGAAATCAACTTGTCCAGTAGGCTGAGTATGTCCATATTCACCACGGTAGTTTGCGTTCGAGAATGGGTTGTATGTAACAGACGAATGATCAGGAGGAAATCGGGTAGTTGATGATGTTGGCACAGCCGGGAGAGCATGATCACCGTTGGCGTTGTCGTAAGCGTTGTGCCAGCCATCACTAGTCTTGGAGTCTTGCACTGCCTCGAAGCCAGGTGGAAATATTGGAATTTCATATTGTAGTTCCCATGCATCCTGGGCAGCTTGCATCTTTTTCATCATTTCCTCCATGTTGTAATCCGCTAGTACTGTCGTGTTAAGATCAACAATGCTAGCAACGATCCCATCAGTATCAGAGAGTTCAATCATCTCAGTGTCGTCGTCAATGTCTGTCGTGGCAGCATTAGTGGTGGCAGTGATGCCTCCACCAGTAGCTGCTAAAGGCGCAGTTAATGTAGCATCATCTATCACGGAAGTCAGACGTTTGCCCGATGGGTCTAGATAGTTGTCGCTATCCTCGGTGATATCGTTACCCTTTTGGTTCTTCGAGTCAGATGTTTCGTCTGTAATCCTACCGTCATTGTTGCTATGATTGTTGGGATCGGTCTCGCAGTTCAAGTTTTCCCCGCTCGAAAGTTCTCCTTTCTCGTCATTCAATGGTTCAAACGCATCAGCTGGAGGTAACGGCTCTTGAGGATTTGTTGCTCCACCATGGCTGGATGAATAAAAAAGAGCAGGGGGATTGCTGCCCGTAGCCGACCGCGCCACCACCTTCATTACCACCCCCACCTTTCCTACCAGAAGGATCGCTTTCACCAAACGGAACACCAGAGCCAGGCGGCGGATATCCACCATTGCCATTGTCATGGTCATTAGCATCTCTGATCGCAGCTTCACGCTCCCGCCTCATGACGGTCAGCGTGCTCTCACCGCCTAACAGCCTGTTGTGCCATCGTTCTTCGGATTCTGCAGGATTCGGGTCGATGTTCCGGGTGGCAGGACGGCGACCAACGGCCGGAAGAGCGTACCGTGTATCAAGATCATGTTGAGTTGTGTTTTTCTGATAAGGAATCGTGCTAAATGGAGCACTGGGAAGCGGGTTCAACGCAGCAGGTGCTGGTTGTGCGGATAAGTTGGAGACAGGCGACAGCCCTTATCCACTAGGAAGTAGGGACTGAGGAGTAGACTCATCGGCTATAGATTGCTGAGTACCGAGTAGTGCAACAGTTGTTGCTACAGGCGTTGGCTCTTTGCCTTCATCGCCCGTACCTCCCATCATCACATCGTCTTTCTCAGAATTTGGTGAGTACCCTTTCTGCTTGGGGATATCGGCACCAATTTTCGGGGCACCAGACATTAGTGTGTCATCTTCATCATCATGCCCCCAATCATCAGCTTTGTCGTTATGTGGAGGTGCTCCACGCGAAGCCACTTGTAAAGGAGTCATTTCACTCCTTTGTTCGGCTTCTTTTCTCAGCTCTTCGCTGTCAAAGCCGTTATTTTCAAGGAGGGGTGGTTCGCCCGAAGGCACTTGTTCAAGAATCAGTTTGCTCTTTTGTTCGCCGTCTTGTTGCATCCCCTCTCGAAGTTTTTCGATGGCTGCAGGGATTTCATCATCCGGTAAGGTTACTGGCTTTGTGGGTGCTGATGTGCCTCGCGTAAAAGTCCCATCTTCAAAACCACACTTCCTACCATTGGAGCTGAAACCGTCTTCCTCGTTGCAGTGGTTATCGTCTTGTTCGTGATGGTGATCATGACCAATAGCTGGAGCTCTTTCCGCAATAGTGTCCTCATCTTTTATGCCCAGCCGTTCCAGTTCACTAGCGAATTTATCTTCGTCCTGTGGTTTTCTGTAGCTCAACAATGGTTCAACACCCTGAACATTGAACCCTGCCCACGACGGACGTGATGGGTTTGACGATATCTGCTCGCTCTCCGGACTGATTATCGACGTGCTGGGTTCAGCAGGCTCAGTCACGGGCGCTGAAGTAGGCTTGTAGAAAGCAGTTCCTTCCATGAGCGAATTGATAAGGAGCTTGTTTGAGATATCAACCTTTGACGAAGGTTCAGTCGTGCTCGCTGCGGGCTCTTGTGCAAGGGTGGGCGCTGTTGAGGGAGCAGCCGCAAACAAAGAACTGAGAGAATTGGATGGCCTCAGGAAAGTAGTGTCGGCTTGAAGATTAGCCGTGGTCACAGGCGTAGCCATCGTTAGAGGAGCAGGCGGCATAAACGTGAATGAAGTAGCGGGCGTGAATATAGAAACTGGCTTCGATGTATCGGCGGGCATCGATGCAGTAGCAGCGTGATCAGGAGGGGCTGACGAGGGCTCCGTGGGAGCCTTCGCCATAGCTTCAGGCGTTTTCCTCCCAGCTGTCTCTTTGCAAAGAGCAGCATGATGTTGTTGCTCAGTATCCACAGGCCGGAACAGCTTAGTAGTATCCCAGAATGTTTCAGCAGTCGGTCTTTTGCCATCGTCTCTAGGCAACCGGGTCTTGTTCGCCTCAGCTTTCATCACCCTGAGCTTCAGCAGATACTCTAGGTATATTCGAGTAGAATTTGACGACTCGTTCTCCCTCAAGCGGTCGACTTCCGCTTGATAGTCCGCGTGCTCTTGCTTAGCAGCAGCCCTGGCTTCTCTGATGGCCCTCTCGTTTGCTGCCCGCACTGCAGCGTTGGCGCGCAACCAATTCATCAATCGCTGCCACAGCAAATATGGCAGAGGTAGACCAAGAGGAACAGACCCATAGATAGCAAGCCCACCCGGAGGGTCAGGATGTGCTTCATCAGCAAGTACCTGAATCCCGGATTCAGGTTGTGGCCTGTACTGTTGGAATAGCAGCGTGGTAATGACGACTACGAGGATAATGGGACAGTCCTGAGTGCACTGCATGAGTCCAAGAGCGCCTAGGATGTAGGTGACCATGAAGCGGATTGCGAAATTTAAACATGCCCGTATCCCATGTTGGGGGTATTCTCTAGTGGAAATATTCCACCCAGTGGTGCAGAAAATAGCGGCCAAGATGATTGTAGTTGCGCATGGAAGCCACCACCAAGTTAGGTTACGACACCAGTTGTCACGACAGCTCACGCCAATATAAGCCGCGGGGCGATTGTTGTATGCGATGTGGAAGAAGGCCAATTTCATCAGTAGTGTTGCGCGGGCATAGGAAGTCAATGTCCAGGCGCTTGCAAAGCAGCTGGAAACCACATGCGTAAATTGCTTCGTGAGCCATATTCGAAAAGTTAGAGGCTTTGTAGCAGTCTGTAGCTTTGTCAGCTCTATCGCGGGAGCCGCTGTCTCCGATGTTAGTACGGTCCAAGGCGGCATGGTGTTCCAAACCGCCTTAAAGAGAGTCTGAAACAAAGGTATAAGAAAATACATGAAAGCCAAGGTTGTGGCCAGCATAGCTATAGCCGCAAGAAGAGAGCCAAGCCATTCTAGAAGGCAACCATATACCTCCACAGCGCCCAAAGCAACGTTAGCGAGCGCCCACCGGAAGCAGTCAATGACAGTCCTTGGGTGCCATGGGACTATGGCCTGGCCGTTGACGATGTTTTGGTACTTGTCGTGAATCCAAGCTCGAACAACCCGAAGTCGACGGATGACGCGAACAAAGGGTCTGTGCACAAGAGACACAGCGACAGGAAGAACCACATATTTGACTACGATGGCATAATGACTGAATGGCGGGAGTTCGCCATGCTCGGTCCTGTTGAGGCCTTCGAATGATTGTCCTGGATGGGAAGCAAGGAATATCATAACCGCAATGATGGCGTAGACTGCTATCCACGGCCGCGCCACCTTGATCGATCTATAGGTGCTGTAAACCGTGAGGGAGGTGATATTTAGTATTTGACCATGATACGAGTAAAGGAGGTATACCAGCCCTGCCGTGGTGAATATTGGAACGAAGTCCTGAACGTAAACGCTGAACCAAATGATACCCAAGCCAACAATTAAGGCGATGCAAACGCAACGCCTTGCCCTTCTCCATTGGCATATAATAGCAGTATCCTGGGGTTGTGCGTATTGACGGAGTCGGCTGATCATTTCGCTGATGAAGAAGAAAAGAGGAAAAAGGGCGATCGCAATGCGTACAACATAAGATGCCCGGTCAATAATCAAACGGTTGGCATGTTGCGTTCCGAGGACTATCGCTGGCGCCTCCAGCCGTCGATGAACGAACCCCGCAACACACGACACGCAGGAGGAGAAGAATCCAAGACATTGTCTGTACGTAGCAAAAACAGAGTTACGCAACGTTGGCCAGCGAAAAGCAAGGTAACAAAGCCCTGCAATAGCAAACGCGTAAAAGTTAACCAACGCAATGATTACGAAGTCCTGCTCTACCGAGTGGTCACCCACGAGACCTGCGCATATGGCGGCAAGAATTGAAGACATCAATACCAGCACAACGTCTAATGAGCTGATAAAAGTTTTGTAGTAGGATGACTCAGTAGGCTTTTGCTCTGCATCATGTGCCATACGTCTCTCTTCAAACGCTTGTTGAGTTTCAACCCAGGGCGTGAGTTTTAGTGCCGCTACTGTTGAAGAGGTATGAAGTGGTTTGCTGTCCAGCTGCACCGCCGACGGTGTAAAAACTGGGCCATGGTCTCCATGGCTAGAGAGGCCGCTCGAAGTGCCAGTTAAGGATTGCTTGAATGTCAACTCAGTGGAGGTTAACCTTGACGTCGATGCTAGAGTGGTGCTCTCATCCGAGGGAGTGCTGTCTTTTTCGTATAGCTTGGACGTAGCTGACAGAATATCCGTAATGACTTGGAATAGTGTCCGAGAAGAGATTTCACCGTTTGTAGCAGACACTGTGAATGTGATGCTACTGGGTGTATCACTGGAGTTTTGTTTTTTCGATTTGGTGGAAGATAGTGGACTATCCAGAATGGACTTGTCATGACTGAGTCCCTCGTGTAGAGAAATGCTTGTTCGAATTCCCAATACCATATCTGGAAGACTAAAAGCTTTTGTGTCTAATGCCGACGCAGAAGCATCAACGAAGTTACTAGCCAATTGGTCTTCCGGTTCAAAGCATCCATCTTGCGCAACTGGTACGTAGATGCTGGTTGATTCAAGTGAGAGTCGCGACGAGCTTGCCGTTGACTCTTCTGATATGATATATGACAGGACGGAGATCTCGTTACAGGACGTTGGCGCGACATGCTTGGAGGATGTGCCTAGAGTATCTACTAGGAAAGCATCGAAAACATTGTTGTGTACTTCTGGCGACATCCCCCTCGTAGCGCTGGATTTGGTTTGGGCTTGAGATAGGCCGCTTCCGGTCGAACCTGCAGAGCGTGCGACAGGACAATTGGGGAAGATATGGGCGGAATCGGATGACGCGAAAGTATCCAACACTTCAAATTCAACATGCTTCTCAACTTTGACGACTGTTTCGGAAGCTCCCGGGGCAGAAGCGTGTTGCGAGACGATACTGGCGGAAGGCCGATGAGCTTGGGTAATTATCGAGTTGACTATATCAGGTGCATCCTCAGTAACGGGTCTAGGTTCAGCGATAGGCCTAGTGGGTCTAGACTTTTGACAACAGAGCTTGGCTTCCTCGAATGTTGGACCATAATGTGGCACAGTGGCAGCAACTACACCCACAGCGTAGAGACCAGCTGCTAGCTCGGGTTGCTGGCCCCAGAGGTTTGCAATAGCTTGCATCGCAAAGCCAAGAAGAGCGGCAAACATAGTTGGACACTTTTGTGCGTTCAGTGGATGAGTGTAGCGTTGTGGTGACTTCGTAAGTATGTACACATGTATGCCGTATTATGAGACGTGTCTTGCTGAGATGAACAAGGTTCGGAGTGTGCGAAAGGTGAGAAGATGGCAGGCATGCACCTAGTGACATAAAGCGTCCTTTCTATGCTGCGAAGGACAAACAAGGTCAGAGATGAAATGAGGATAACCTAGCATGAATGTGGAGTTCAAACTTCTGTTATCCGCCAAAAAGAAAAGTACCGCGCTGATGTGGTGAAAGGATGAACGACGAGACAAAGAGCGTACAAACCATTGATCAATGCGGTATTATGGTTTGGACTTGACTTACGTTAGACGATTTCTGAGTACCAAGATGTCGGTCAAGTCGGTCATAGCGGTGTTCTATGCCAGTTTGGGGTCATAGTCAAATATTGAACTAATCCTGGCCAACTCGAGCTCATACAACCCGCGTGTAGTGCGACGAGTCCAAATCCGGGCGCAAACAAACGATGTTGCTGCCCTGAAATGGTATGCCTGCCGTCCTAAATGCATCGTCTCATGTCGAAGCTTTATTCGCGACGGCAATCAACTCCCATGCTCTTCCCCCAACTTGGTCGGCGCTTTGCTCTTCGACATGCCAACCGGCGAAGCAAGCCTTGTAGTCGTCCCAGTCAGCCTTGGGACCGGCCCATATCACCCTCTCCACACTGCCTTCGCCATGTTCTGCCAGGTATTCGCTCACCAGCCCTGCGCGACGCGGGTACACAAAGAGCCATGTTGTGGCTTCCGCAGCGAGCGGCTCGAGGAAGCGTGAACCGTGAACGACGCGATGGTTCGAGGAAGGCAGGTATTGGTTGGAGCTTGGCTCTACCTCAACGCCTATAACGTGTTGTGCGTGAGGTTCAATGATGAGGTAGCTCTCGAGCAGGCCAAAGCCGCTTCCGATGGAAAGAGCAAGCGATGGAGACAGAGGAAGGAGCGACGCGAAGTAGGCGATGAGAGATTCGCTAAGGGCTAAACAGCATCCCGAGTAGGCTGTGGGCGTGGTGGTGAGTACTGGTAATGCCGTGGAATGTTCTACTGGGGGGAATGCCTCCTCGTCCAGGGTATCCACATCCGGCTGGAGTGGTGGCATACGAGCCTCGAGACCCATGGTGCATGAGATGGCAGATAGCCGTAGACACAGTTCTTAATGCGTAGGCGTATCGCGAGATGGTAAGCATCTCTGCTTCGTCTTCCACAAATGTGATCGTGAGAACGATGACACAAGGCTTGGCGGTTCATTCTCCGCTAGGTACGTATAGGGCTAGCGCTCAGGAGCTATGATCCATCACATGCAATGCACAAGACGCGCCCCGCCACAGCTACAACCATCGAATCCACTGCATCTTGCGTCATCCTCGTCTACTGAGAGCTTTTGGAAGATACGTGGCTCCACGAGAGCTGCCATGACTCGCCTTAATCCCTTCTCGTTTACACCAGGGCCAGTCATCTTCTTTACCACCGTCATCTACGTGGGCCTCTTTGCTGCTCTGCTCATTACCCACCTGACGGTACCGAACTACCCGTCTAATCCGCCAGCCGGCATCAACCTCACCGAAGCGTGGAATGATCTCCAGCACATCACTCGCCGCTTCCACCCCTATAACAGCCAGGCCAACGACGATGTACGCCAGCATCTACTGGTGCGCATCAGGAGAATCGTCACTTCGAAGGACCTGGGAGAGGGCGATGTCGAGATTTACAACGATTTGACCTCCAACGCGACCTTTTCGTCTGGTAGCACCTCTGTCTATTTCGAAGGTACTAATCTCATTGTCGCCATCCGCGGGTCCGACGACGACGAATCCTTCAATTCTACTGATCGCAGTCCGGATAACGGCGGCGTACTTGTGAATGCCCATTATGACTCTGTCAGCAGTGGATACGGTGCGACTGACGATGGTGTGGGTGTTGTGACAATATTGCAACTTCTATCATATTTCACAGAACCTAAGAACTGGCCTAAAAGGACTGTGGTACTACTGCTCAACAACGGTGAAGAGGATTATCTCAACGGCGCGAAAGCTTTCATGAGAAACCCGATATCTCAGATTCCGCACACATTTGTGAATCTTGAGGGTGCAGGGGCCGGTGGCAGAGCTACCTTGTTTAGAAGCACCGATACCGAAGTTACTAGATTCTACAGGAAGTCGAAGTATCCCTTCGGTACAGTCGTGAGCGGAGATGGTTTTAAGAAAGGTCTCATCCGGAGCGAGACTGACTACAAAGTCTTCCATGGCGAACTCGGACTGCGAGGGTTAGATATTGCGTTCATGGAGCCCAGGGCACGATACCACACCGTTGAAGACTCCACACGCGAAACCTCGATGAATTCGCTCTGGCACATGCTTTCAGCGGCTCTGGCTTCCACATCTGGATTAGCGTCCATCACCAGTGATGAGTTCAGTGGCTTAGAAAGCCTTGATAACGGCAGAGTCAATGCCGGAACGGGCAGTGACGGTGTATGGTTTGATCTCTTCGGAAGAGTTTTTGTTGTTTTCCAACTACATACTCTTTTCGCTTTGTGTGTTACTTTGCTGGTTGTGGCACCTCTCACACTAATAGGGTTGACTTTTGGTCTCTCAAAGGCCGACAAGAACTACCTGTTGGCGCGAAAGGCCTATGTTTATTCATCCGACGACGATAATCCGGTGCACCTATACGGCTGGCGCGGCTTCTTCCGCTTCCCCGTCATCTTTGTTTCAGCGTCTGCTGTTGTGGTCGCATTAGCATATCTCATAGTCCGATTCAATGCCTTCATCGTGTATAGCAGCCCATTTGCTGTCTGGAGGTAAGTCATCCATGCTGTTACTTCATTTGGTACTAACGATCTCAACAGTATGATGCTCTCGGCCTGGACCTTTGTCGCATGGTTCCTTGCCCGAGGAGCTGATGCGATGCGACCATCTGCACTGCAGCGCATGTACGCTTTGATCTGGCTTTTCGTTGGCTCCTTTGTTCTTCTCACTATCATTACGGTATTCGTGAATGACTACCAGGTTGCTGCCGGTTACCCTGCGTTCTTCTACTTTGTGGCAGTATTCGCCGCCATCCTGCTCTCCTACCTTGAACTCTTCCTCGCTCCAGCCAAATCCTCATATGCGCGCCACTTCGAACAAGAAAACGAATCGCGGCGCAATTCAGAGTCCGCAAGCAGGCCCCTTACGGGCAGCACCACCGCAGCACGGTCTGATGATCGTCCCATGGGAGATGATGACGCAACAGAGACTACGTCGCTTTTACGAGGCGATCGACGTGGATTCACAAGATATGGCGGCAACAGGCGAGACTCCATCAGCGAGGGAGGCGAAGATCATGCACAAGGGCCTAGGCGAATAGATCTCGGCAACGTGTATCCTGGAGAGCAAGAGTGGAGCGGCAAATTACCGAGCTGGATCTGGATTGTTCAACTGCTACTCTTGGCGCCTATCGTGATCATCTTAGTTGGACAGGTCGGACTACTTCTCACCTCGGCCCTTTACCAAACGCCATCAGACGGTAATTCGCCTTTGTTCATCTACCTTGCATTCGCAGCGCTCACTGTGCTACTGCTCACGCCAACCGGTCCTTTTATCCACCGCTTCACATACCACATCCCCACCTTTCTGTTCCTAATATGCGTCGCAACCGTCATTTACAACCTTGTGGCGTTCCCGTTCAGCAGGGATCATCGTTTGAAAGTCTACTTCGTTCAGCGAGTTAATTGCGAGACCGGCGATAACATTGTGTCCTTGACCGGCTTGGACGGCTATGTGCAACGCATTGTTGGCGAGTTACCCAGTGCGCAAGGCAAACAGCTTAATTGTACGACTCCCGAGGTTGCGACGCGTAAGGAGCTGAAGACGTGCGAATGGCAGGGTCTTGACGCTAAAGTCGTCCCAAAGCCAGCGCATGCATCGTCAACCCGCAACAACACATACATCAACAACTGGCTCGACTACTCGATCCTCAAAGGCAACAGCTCTAACAAAGCGACGATACAGGTTGTTGGCCATAATACGCGCGCATGTCGCCTCGTTTTCGACTCGCCCATCACAGCATTGAGCGTCGCTGGCGCTGTTTCAGATCCTCGCTTCAAACCCGTCGGTGCGGACGGCGCCCGGGAAGTGCGATTGTGGCATCGCGAATTTGGTCAGCCCTGGAACGTTAGCGTGACGTGGAACGCCAAAGAACAATCGAAACTTTCTGGAAGGGTCGTGTGCCTCTGGTCGGACGCCAATACAGGCGACATCCCTGCTTTCGACGAAGTGCAGCACTATCTGCCTGTATGGGCAATACCGTCCAAGATTAGCGATGGCTTGGTCGAGGGCTTTAAGCAGTTCGAAATTTAGTCCAGTGAGCTGTAGTTGCGGGGATCCCTGTTATTACCCATTACTTTTGCTGCGATATCCATCACGGATCTAGTCGAGCACGGCGTCACAGGTCATCTGCGACCCTCATATTATCTGCGCATTTATGCGAGCTCCCCCTTTATCTCATCAACGCCCCGTCTCGTTCGTCTTTTGTCTGTTATCGTTCTTTTTGGAGTCGGGTGGTATGATGTTTACGGCGATTGCATCGTGTACACCCAGTGTATAGCACTTGACGTCAACCTTAATGAACTCTATTATTACGACTACCCAGGCATCTAAACCCCGCTACACTCTTCGACTCACCTAATTCTGACCTCTCGATTCTACGTCTCACCTCCGAACCGTTCCACAGCTTGGCCCGTGCCAGAATGCTCAGAGCGTTTGACGAAGCCCAACATACTGCACAACGTTATCTGTTGTCGACCGGCACAGGATCTACCCCTGCTTTACCCCGAAGCTTTCTTTTAGTCCCGGGAGATACTATATCATCATCGACAGAGCCATCTGCTCTGCCATTGACATTGTCATCCGCCCTTGGCTCGACAGCCGCACCCATTGTGCGTACCACCAGCAACCCATCTGAGCTCGCGTGGCCGATATTCATAACAGGTATGTTTCCGAAGAATTCGTCTTTGTTGCACGTCTTTTGCGCCACAACGGTTTACTAACGTCGACCAAGGCGACGGGCCAGTCATAAGTGATAACCAACTTCTCAGCAGCACACGCAACACTGAAGCTTCCAGGGTGATATCGGAAGTGGACTCTCTGATCGACGTGCGTCACAGGGTATTGGACTTTGCTTTTGACTCGCCCCTTTCTACGGTCATTGTTACAGCCTTACCAGGCACTTTTCTCCTCGTTGCCCGCCAGCTGCCGGATACTTGGGCGAACAGACATCAAACATCTATTGCAAACGCGTTGCACTTCATCGCACTCACCAGCTGCGCGAATCATCAACTCGAATCCAGCGACTTGTTGGTACTCGTTTTTGTCATGGTTGCGTTTGACGTGTTTCAGCGAGTCTTAGCGGCGGGCGCTACCGACCCTCACGGCGAATCAGATCCTCAACCCCGCTCGCCCTCGCCTTCCGAAACCCTCCGCAGCCAAACGCATTCTGATCTGGCCAATGCGAATACCGTGCCCGATCTCAAGACGACGGCCGTCGAGGATGAAGACTTCGAGCCAATTGAGCCAGTTTTGTCATCACAATCAGGGGTATCCGACACAAAAACAACCACTGTGGACCCTAAAGATAGCGAGATCGTGCGACTGCAGCGCTCGCTCACAGAATCCAAAACAGCATACAAGGCTCGAGAAGTCCAACTCCGTATCACGAAAGAGGAGCTTCATAACGCACGCGATGCGCTCAACCAGACCTTCGCGGAATACTCCAGCCTTCGCGAACAGCTGAAGATCATCAAACAAAATTTAGGCCGGGACCATCAAGCTATTGTATATCGGAAAGACATTGAGCTCTTCGCACTTCGAAAGGGCAACGAGCAAAAGGACAAGAACATCCAAGATCGCGACAGCCAGCTCGAAGAAATGGCTCGCCAGCACAAGACCATAATGGAAGTCAAAGACGCACAGCTCAAGTTGATGAGGGAGCGATTGATCTCCATGGAGCGACAGTCAAGTCCACGGTTCGCGGAAGAGGCGGAGGAAGGGGAGAACGCGCTCGAAGTGAGACTACTACGAGTCAGGAAAGGCAGAACATCGCCGGAGATCGAGGAAGACAAGGACGTGGTCATTGCAAAGCTGCAACAACAACTGGCTTCCAATACTAGGACTGACGATGAAGTTGTCAACCAGCAAGCCGAACTACAAAGGGCATGGGACATGGCTAAGAAGATTCAAAAGGCCCTGAAAGAAGAGCGGGAAAGGCATACACAAACGCGAGAGCAGCTAGAGGAAACCACTGTTAAGCTTGCAGAAGCAGAGCCACAACCCAGGAGTCGAGCGAACTCTGTGATAGGACGATTACCCACGATCGACGAGGACGAACACGACAAAGATGAGCTCGAAGCCATGTTCAATACCACTCAGCAAGACAACCTCCGTTTATATGCTGAGGTAGCTGCTCTTGAGAAGCGACTCGGCGATGCCAATGCACGATTGTTTGCCGCAGTGCAAGAAGTTGAAGCTTCCAGGGTGCAGCTCAATCAAGAAAAGGAGGTCAACGAGGATATGGAAACTGCACGTCCTAGCGTAGTGCATCGTGTACACTTTCAACGTATGGAAGGTCAGGTGTCCGAGTTACGAGAAGCGCTCGCCAGCAAGGATGAAGAGATGGAGTTACTAAGGAATACCATCGCTGAGAAGGACCACTACGTCAAGGACATCCAGGGTGAGCTCGACGCCGCCGCCAGCTTCCACACGCAGGACCAAGACGAAATTGAACGCTTGAAGCAATCTATCGACGAGCTTCAAGCGACCAAGTACCAGCTCATGCTCGATCACGAGCGCCTCGGATCCCAGCGTACCCGACAGCGCGTCATTTCGATGGAACGTACTGACCGATCGTCTGCTCGCTCAAGTGGTGCGACGCTCATCCATGAACTCAGTCCACCGCTGACGAAGCATGCAGAGGAGGCGCCACCTGTGGAAGCTCTGCCGACCATGCCAGTAGTTTTAGAGCGCGAAGGAAGCATTCAAGAAACCCCAAAACGTCATCTTCGTAGTAAGAGCTCGCCTAAGGATACACCGAACCGCTGGAGCTTGATGTCGCATGATGTCCCACCTGCGGAGTTGAGAGAGCTAAAGAGCAACCGCAGGAGGAGCCTAGGCTTGAAGGTCATGATGCAAAAGATCGTTAGGAAGAACCAGGAGGTTGAGCATCGATCTACCGAAGCCTCAACAACACAATCGGAAGAGCCTCTCAAAAGAGAAGAGTCCAAGCTGAGGCGCGTGCTTGCACCAAAGGACAGAAATCTATCCATACGTCCTTCGACCGCTGCGTCGGCCATCGCATCGAAACCAGTCGGCTCGCAACCTTTTGCTATACCGAAGACTTCGCCTCTTCCACAAGCCGTGCGTCCTCCAAACCCGAGACGCAATTCCCCAGCAACCCCTCGCTATTACGCCACTCAAAAGGTGACTGGCCAAGAAGCGAAGGAGAAGGAGAATGAAAGGCCACGAAGCGCTATGGGTGATGAGCCTGCAAGACCGAAAAGTCGACTGAGCTGGGGGGCTACGTAAGTTTAGCCTAAACAGAGAATGTCGACATGAATATCTGCTAACTGAAACTAGGAATAAGCTGAAGCGACGATCATTGTACTGATGAATGAAAACACGGAGTGTCACTTGTCTCAAGGCGTTCAAAATGGGGTTTCGCGATATCCAGTGCATGAATTGACGCGTTCCGGCTCGACGACTCGAGGAACGCTTTCAATGGTTTTATGGGGCTGATACAATAGGATGGGCGTAATACTAGATATGGGTATGCATACACGTGTAATGTGTTCTTATTGCTTTATCGTTCTTACTTCAAATATAAATGAACTCGCTTACACCAAATTCGGGTATTGGACAAAGAAGCTCGATTTTCTAGGCCACTTCAAGTGCGAGAATGCAGCGCGACGACCATATCCTATTGAACGACATACACAATGCTCCGGAGACTCTTCACGAGAGCATCGAAAAGGTCATACACCGAGCGCTCTATAAGGTGTCCAACAACTTCCCATTCATACTCCGGTTCATCACGCCTGTGTCTCATGATGAATGGCTTATGAATGACGACTAAAATGACTATCGGCTCACAGCGCGCGACGAACACGAAGAGGGTCTGATGTACGTTACCGTATCTTACTGCTCGAAGCACACATAAGGTTCACTGGACTTACCGCCAATGCCACAATACCACAGATCGAACTTGTCGAAGAGTGGCGAACCAAGACCAATCAATTGCTCGCCATTGGTCTTCATCGTGCGATGCTGCTGTTCGTAGGATCACACGGTTGTTCACGACTATGAATAGATCCAGAGTGCATCGATCAGACGGATCCTGCTGATATACAAGCCCATCTGGTTATCATGCATAGAATCTACGAAGATAGCTGCCGAACAATAGCACCATTGTCTCTCACCGTAACGGATAGATCTCTTCTTGAGATCTTGGTATCTTACCTTTACGACGACGAATTTGAATATGGGAGCGGGTTTAGGCTTCTAGCCAATGTCCACACAAACATTGGTGATAGCATGAAGTTCACGACGCTTTTCGTGTCCAAAATACTACTCAATGCCATCTCAGATGATGCGTGGCTCACACGGACTTGAACATTCCAGGAAAGACTTTGTTCCCCTTTGCTCTTCCTTTCAATTCCCACTGAGGGACGTTCCGGAATGCCAAACTCCGTATGCCCCTACATGGTAGAAACGGATCTGTCTAGATCCAGCTTAGATCCAACGCCGTTTGTCGAATCAACGTATTGCCGATATAGGGTAGGTTTGACAGGGAATAGAGGCCGGTAACCACCCTGCAAGAACCCTTGCCCGGATTTAGACCAATTATGCAACATCGATTGACTCTGGTTCACATGGTCGCTATGACTATCATGCTATTTTCTAGTCTCTGCAAGATTGCGAGAACCTTTTTGTAGCGGATCGCATTGCAATCTACGGACACGTATGTCGCTTTCGGTATCGGCTCGCTTCAAACTTGCTCAACAGTGCCGATTACAGCCTGAGCCCATGTATCAGGGCGCTGCTTTATGGAAACCTTTACAATACACGTACCGGACGTTCCGAGCATATCAAGAGAGTGTGAATCATGCTCCAGCAATAGTATGGAAGAACAAGCCTTCCTGCATACATTTTTATTCTATGGGACGAAAACAACGTGTTCGTATTAAAGTATGGGCCGTATCGTTCAATGGAGCCTGACAGAAACGATACGGATATAGGGTCTCGTCATTGGGGCAAAGATGACCCCTAACACTCATAATCTGTCTTCCTTCATTGGGAATATAAGTTAACCACCAGTTTCCGGGAGACAATTCATGTAAACGGAGAGAAGTACTCCAACTGGATACATCGAGCGAACATACACACCGTCCTCCAATTATTTGAGGAAACCAGCCTGCTTCAGCCAACTCTCACACATGACCGGCCACTCGCTAACCGGCAGCCCAGGGGTGTCTAAAGCAAACCCATGCGGCGCATCTGAGAAGACATGAAGCTCAACGGCCGCACCAGCTTTCGTGATACCTTCAGCAAGCCTGTATGCGTTCGTGACAGGCACAATGGGATCATTTCCAGCATAAACAATGAAAGTTGGTGGTACCCTCCTCTTCAACTGTGCGTCTGGCTGCATCGTATCATAAAGTGCCTGTTTCTCGGGCGGCTCCAACGCTGGCTTGTGTGCGACGATTTGACGACCCTTTGCGTTTGTGGAGATAGGCGCATAGCCGATGATGGCAAAATCAAGCTTTGGTAAATCGCTATTCGCATCTGGGTTGCTCCAGCAGGTAGGGTATTCTGAAAGTAAAGATCCAGCGAGATGGCCACCAGACGAAAGACCGCATACCGCCAGACTCTCTTGCGCGAATCCTTTCTCTTGAATCAAATTCAACGCCCGCCTTGCATCATCTACCGGCGCCTGACTTCCCGTGTCCTTGTTTGGGAAGCGATGAACTAGCACGAAGGCGTGGAATCCGAGCCCTGCCAACCATCTCGCCACCTGGACGCCTTCTCTTCCGACAATGAGCTCGACGTATCCGCCTCCGCCTAAAATCAAAATAGCCCTTCTAACCGACGAGGAAATGGTAGGCTTGAAGCCAAAAAGCCATGGACGTGTGACGCTCTTGGCGACTGCTTCATCGATGCCGGAGGCGGTATCCAGTTCGAATGCGCCTTCAATAGGCTCGTCGCCGTACAGTGGCCATGCATAGTCGGCATTGAGAGGATTCGAAGAAGTCATGATATATGGGTAAAGATGAGGCGATATGGTGAGCATCGTTCGTTGACTACAAATGTGTTCTTAACCTCGGGGTGCGATATGTTTCTCGCGGCATCATTGCACCGAGACGACCGAGGTTATGAGCAACGGAGCATCTGTCACTCTGTGCCTGGACAACGATTGCTTCAGGATAGATGAAATCGACATCTATTTCAACAGCCGTCAAGCCCATAGTCATCTCTTAGTGACATGATACATGCTGCCGTATCGATGGATTTCTTGATGAGGCGACGCCCGATTGGCCCTGCTTGTTTGCCAAGTCTCACTGGGAAAAGCTTCCGAGCTTCATAAGAGTGTCTTCATGTGTTTTTCCTTCTACAGCTCACACGACCGCATTGTAGGCGCAAGACTACTTCAGCATTATGTGAGACATCCAACGTTATCTGCGGTTTCGTCGAGGTGCGGATTGCCCAGCGTCACATCCTCAGTAGTAAATCCTCGATGTAGTACGTGTTTTAAAGATTTGGCAAGGAATATTAGAGGGTGCGGTCGCTTCGCCGCATATGACTGTAACGTGATCAACTTGTGATGTGAAGTGTCAGAGGTTGGCGCGGCTGATGGGTGCATCGCACCTCAAGATCGCGACAGCCGATGACGATAAGGCGATGACGTCGTCTGAAACCGCAACCAGCCCTGAAAAAGTCTAACATGTGAAGGGCCATTAGGTCCAGTCTGGCTACACCGACTATCTCCCGGTGCCTTTCTGTTGACAGCAAAACTTCACTTTCCATTCGTCCGAGCCACTAACTGCTGAATCGAGAGGGTCAAAGATTTTACAAGCGCGTCTCAGCCTGCAACCGACCGGTCAACAAGTAGCTCTTTCGAAGCATAGGAGACATTCTAGCCGATATCCAGATGCACGATGGCAAGCCTCAAGCTTGCGGCCCTGAAAATCTCAGCCGCGCTAGCGGCTAACAGTGGGTCCGCACGCGTTATCATCACTCCACTTAGCGCGTGAGGCGAGCGTGGCGCATCATCTTGATGTCGTTCGACGCAAATTCTCGAAACGTGCCCGGGACAAGTCGGAATGGTGCTTGATGCACAAGATTTTTGCTAGCCAATTTTTCTTTGGTGACTATATTCAGGGTCATGTTGGGAAGGGATGGCGAAGGCGGAGATGTATAAGAGGGAATGTGTGGCTCTGGGAGATTTGGCTTGATCCATCCACAGCTGCATCAATCCCTATCCGCATCGAACACATACAAACTACCTCATACTTCCACACTTTTATAATCCATCTATAAACGACATCAACATGCCTTCTTTCAAGGGTTCGTTTTCCATTCTAGGCTCAACCAACCGATCCATACTAACTATGTCTCCAGACTCCGTCTCTTCCACCCCAGCTGGTGCCTCAGGCGCCCCAACCCCAGCCTCATCAACGGCACCCACATCCACCCGCGAGACCCTCCACGCCGCATCAGCCGCACTTGGCTTGACCTCACAAGGCCTGGACCTTTGCCCTCACTGCTTCCGTGAGATGTCGCATTGCAACGAGCGCTTCGAGTTCGCTTAAACGCATCACGACTGCAGCACAGCTGCCAACAATGACTAAAGTCGTCATTGTATTTCCTCAGAACCCTGTCCTGTTTTGACGGCAACAGCTGGCGAATTGGGACAATGGGGCTACGACTTTCACATTTCTCGGCATGGCATTGGGTATACGGACGGACGGCATAGGCGGCGTTTGATCTGGGGAGGTAGAACATTATTAGGAACAGCATACCCCACTTTGAGCGATGCATACGAACGGAATAGAAGCACTTTATCGCATCTCAATTGATCCTTTACTATCGCGACTTGATGCTCCGTATCACTGTCTTATGCAAGTAAATTCAGCGTGATCATTACACACTCACTACTACCATGCTCTACCTTGTAAAAGAGCTCATGATCAGTTGTGCGACTCCATGTTGTCTTTCGAAGAACACTCTGACGCCTCTTGCCTCATCTAGTATATTTACTTCCCCATTACTGTATCAAACACGTACCTTTCTCAGTCGCCTCTATACGTAGGTGGATAGTATCAAACATAACGAGAATGAGACTCGTGCAATTCCGTTCATGTACCCTACATTTATTTGCACTGTTTTCAATCTCGTCATCCACCCCAAATACCTTGAACTTAACGAATTGCTCAAGCACCTCTTCGCCCATGTTGTTTTCGATGGTCGGCATCCACACTGGCATTTCACCAACGTCGACATCTTTGCATACAATGTCAGATACCCAGATGATTCAGTTTTTGGAATCCCTCATGAAAAATATTTTGGGCCGATCAAGGTGACTTGTTCGACGGCTTTAGATCAGGACCATAAAGAAGCAGAGCCAGTAGCAACAAATGAAGACGTCACTGAAACGCTCCATTCCTAGCCATTCGAAGAAGGAGACCACAGCAGTGCATCATGCGGTCGACGATGACCAACCAACATCTTCTCGCCACAGTAAAAAGGAAAGGTAGACTACATGAGTAGAGAAAAGAATGTGAGGGTGTTGCAAACTGTAGTCGATGTGCTTAAGCGATGGAAAGCGACATTGAGGAAGAATATCAACGCGTAGTAGAAGACAGGTTTGAGCTTATGTGAAGAGAGAAGGAGGTATTATCTAAGATAAAATGGAATGGATCCGCATGCTGACGTCATCGCCCGATTCTCAAACCAACTCGATTCAATTAACACCAATACAAAACTCTTCAGCTCTTTGAACAACCGGCCTAGCGACGTGCGCATACAGTATACATTCTTAGCTTCATAAAGTCGACGTGGGGAGGTAGTTCTGGAGATGTGCGCAGCGGCGATCCCGCCGATACCCGGATGCAGCTGCCGCAGGGCGCTAGTCAGTTCGCCCTGCGCATTACGATAAGACTTTTCCAAATACCAAGCTTTCCCTTCACACTCTCCGGCAAACCACAAGATGGCCAATACGCAGGATACTAGGCCTACTTCTGCTCCTGAAGAGACGACACCACTTCTGCCTCGCGATGAGCCAAAGGAAAGAGAAGGAAAGCAAAGCGTTTCGGTGCTATTCCGCGCTTTATTATGCGCATTCCTTGTCTCGATAACATTCAGCATCACCCAAGCTCCAATGTTGTACGCTTTCCGAATCTTGACGTGCGACGCGTATTACGAACATCATGAACCGGATCCGAACGCCACCGATATATGCGCCAGACGGGAGATCGAAGCTGGATCGGCTCGAGCTTTTGCCCTGCTTGCATCATCAACAACAATATTTGGCCTCGTCAACTTACTGGTAGCTGGATGGACCATCAAGCGCCTGGGTGTAAAGTTGGCTTTACTTATTCAGATCTTTTGGCCAGCTGTTCGTGTGCTCATTCAAAACATCGGTATCATGCATGGCGGCAAAGTTGGTATCATGATTGTGCAATGCTCGCAAATAATCACAGTAGTCGGTGGACCAAACGGATACGTCTTGTGTCTTAATTCTCTGGTAGCTGATGTAGTCGAGCATCAAGCACGAACAGGTGCATTGGGCCGACTGCAGGGCTGCATGTATTTCGGAAGTGCCATCGGTTTTCTGATTGGAGGTATTGTCGGCGACTACTTTGGCATACTTGCGCCCTTCCGTATGACCTCGGCGCTATTCCTACTTTGCTGTGTGTACGTTGCAGTTTCGTTACCTGCTATGGCGCCACCTAACGAGGATGAGGATGCGAAACCTCGCAAGAGTACTGGCATTGCGCGATTCTTTGGCCCACTGCGCATCTTTGCACCACAGAAATGGGCACTACAGACTGGAACTACGCACATGCAGTTTGGAGCCCTCACTCTTGGTATTGGAGTTTTCCTGGGAATCCTTGCGACTGGTTACATCCCCATATTACTCCAAATGTACGCAACGGCTGAGTTTAACTTTGGCACCAAAGAGAATGGAGCATTGATTTTCTTGTACTCGTCCCTTCGAGGCGGCTTCCTTTCGCTGGTTTTCCCTCGCATCGTTGCTGCTGGGCGAAAGTGGCTTGGGGACGGCGAGAAGATGAATTCGGAAGAAGAAGAGAGAGAGCCGCCAGTACATGTTCATATCATACCACCAACACCTGCAGTAACGGAGACTGTCGACCCTCTGGAAAATGAAGAGCCGGCGAACCCGGAGCCGACGAACGAGCAAGAGACGTATGCATTTGATCTGTTTTATGCGCGCTTCAGTCTTTTGCTCGATGGTATACTTACAGGGTTCGCCGTGTTTGTATCAAAAGGTTGGCAAATGTACGTCGTCGCTGCACTGCTACCGTTTGCCGCAGGTACAGGTGCTGCCTCTAAAGGCTCGATCCTCCAGATGCTACCGAACAGCGAGCGCGTGGATGCGCTGAGCGGCATCACACTCGTGGAGAACATTGCACGTCTATCGACTACAGCAGTCTTCGGACTAGCTTTCGCTGCACTTGCCGAAGTTGGTCAAAGTCATCTAACTTTCGTATGTAATGCAGCCGTCGCATTGCTTGGCTTCGTCGTGTTGCTTCTCTCTCGCTTTCCGCCAAAAGGTAGTCGTCGCATTGAGGGTTGATAAAAGGCTTGACGAACGTGCGCGGGAACCCTACTGATGATGAAAAGGAGCTCAATTCATTGGTGCTTCTGGGGTTTGGCCCCAATACGATATTTACTGCCGAAATGACTACAAGCCGTGGGTGCGGCTGACAGGCGATCCATTCGTTGTTGTTCTGCTTAGGCCTGCCAGGTGCGCCAGATAACAACTACCCGCTAGCACCAAAACTCAAATGTCACTATTTTTGTCTTATCCTCCCGTGCTTCGAGAACAGGCTTGTCAAGCTTACAGTTAGATCCCATCCTTTCATCATTAGACTATTCGAGAACGCCTTGGCAGCTGCCTACTCTGGCTTTGGTCTTGAATGTCAAAATGTGATAAATCGCAGGCGTTGCGACTGCAGGTACCCTTCGTGTTGCTGAAAACGAGCTATCGCGTTGTGTCGCGTTGTATCGGTGATGATGAACAAGCTTTTCATTGCGTCTTTGTTAGTGAGCGCAATCAATGCGCAATACAACCTCACCTATCTACACTTGATGGGGGAAATGGAGCCAACTCTTACATTGATGGCCTCCGACAGCACAGCCACTACCTATGAGAAGATCTGCCCCGAAACGACGACAACAACTCCTGCATCTTCACCGACCGATGACCCTTGGTTTGGTATGATTCGCAGACCTTTCTGTCACAAGACATGCCGCTTACCCTTACCTGAGCAGCAACGGCCGATGAGTCCGCAGTATCCGCCTCATACGCAAGCTTCATGTCTGCCGCTTTGTCATTCTATAAGACCGCTCTACCAGTCGAGACACCAATCACTGAACCCGCAGGCTGCATTCCCTTCACTATGCTTCAAGGCCCCGAGACATGGGAGTTCCACGAGACTATCCCAGGTGTGGCGACTAAGAACGGTGCCTGCAGTTGGACTGGCGCTTTCACTGAGGTTCCAATCACATGCGACGCCGAGGCTATTGGTGAGGAATATACCATCCCTAGTGGTAGCCCAACTGTCTTCTCCCAATCGGAGTTGAGAGCATGGACGTCTTTAAGATACGCTGTTGCTACGATTGTGCCGGCGACGCCCACTCTCATACCAGGAAGTACAGGGAACAAAGATGGGGCTGCGGCGACGAGTACAGAGGCTACAGGGAGTAAAGCAAGGGCGCCGCGTACATCACGGCCTACTGGAGCGATGCTACTGGTTGGCGGCGTCGCTGCTATCGGTGGAGCGGCTTGGGGATTGTGAGGATCGAGGTCGGGCATGGTTCCAGATCAGATGGCCACAGTCTAGGAAGCAGCATAACGCGACATATTGGGAGTTTCACTAGAGCCCATCATTTGATGTCTTCTACTCACAAAAGACACTTCATCTCGTACTGCTTTGTTAAAATCAAGTGCGACATCAATTCTTCCAACTCTAAGTGCCGGCCACAGCGTCATTAACACAACGACAGGGTCCAGTAGTAAGGCAGCACACGAACTCAAAGATAGTGCTGAATTTACTACAAATGGGAACGACCAGATCGTGGAGAGACGTACGGCTTAGATAACTGTTATCCCGCCATTGAATTCATGGCCAAAGCGATGAGTCGAAGGTAGGTACAAAACTACTTCGCATCATCGGTTTCGAAGCGAGCAGCTGACTTGGTGGATGGAAATGATCTCGTGATCAGTATATACAGTATGATAGCTGGGATAGGCGTTTGAAGCATCGTTGCAATGTGTTGAATCACTAACAACGCGCATCCGAAATGTTCGAATCAACTGCCTACGCTACTCACTTCCCATTGGCCATCTTGTTGATGTCGTAAGCCGGCAGCGAGCCGGTTTCGTTTCCCTGCCTCGGCACAACACCGCCGATAATGTTGGTGTCGTCTTTACCTAGCACGGTCATCGGGGCGTACTGTCTGTTTCCTTCGTCGCGGCGTTCTGGTGGTACAAAGATATTAAGGCTTCTAGGGATGATGAAACCCACAAGGACGACCAAAACGATGAGATGAGCGACCGTAAAGCCAAAAATTTGCAGGGGGTCGCCCCGTGAAGCGTAGAAGGTGGGATAGGCGAAGCAAAAAATAATGGATAGAACAGGAGCGGCAAAGTATCGTAGAACGGGAGCCCAGAATATGGGCAGTCGCCATTGCTTGCCAACACAGACAACATAGTTGAGGTCGCGCGCAAGTTGATTTCCCTATGTGGTATCAGCAGCTGGATTTGTCGTGTTAATGAAAACGAGCTCACCGAATAGAGCCCGACCCACCAGATACGGTTCAAGAGCTTATTGTGGCCCCAGAATCGGGGTGCGGGTACTGTAGGTTCTTTGGCGATGAGAACAGCAATAACCGTACCTACCACGTACACACCAAAACCAACACCCGCACCGATTTTGTCGGATGCTCCGTGGGCGACAGCATTGCCGATGATCTGGGCACCAATGTACGTGCACTGGTAAAGCCAGAAAGATGGCGCACCGACCTGACCAATAACATCGACGAAGCGATAGAAGGAAGTAGCACAAACGCACTCAGCCCATACGACGAGGATAAGAGATATGTTACTTATCCACGCGTCTACAGCGTTGGTGGCTTCGTAGCCAAATCCTGTTGAGTAGAACAATGATATCAAAGCCGAGATGATGGTAATGATTGTAGCGATGGTCGAGTGCTTGTACTTCCTTCCCCAGTGAGTATCACAGATGGTGGTGATCATGGCGTCGAGAAGCGCGAAAGATGAACTGATTCCGAGCAGGAATAGAGTCAAGAAGAACAAGACCGCCCAAAATGGGGCCCCAGGCATTTCCTGGATAGCGCTTGGAAGAGTGTAGAAACCTAGAGTATAGGTTCCGACCGGGTCACCTACACCAGGCTGCAAACCCAAGTAGCCAACGACACCAAAAACAGCGAAGGCGGCGAAGGATTCGAACAAGGCATTCGCACTGCAAATCATCATGGCATCCTGGACTGCATCGGCGAACTTGGAATTGTAGGAAGCGTAGGCGGTATAGTAGCCGAAACCAACGCCTGTAGAGTAGAAGACTTGGCTGGTAGCAGCCTGCCAGATCTTGCCAGCGGCAAGCTGACCAGCGTTGAATTCCCCAAAGTATAGTTTGATACCTCGACCTGCATTGGGTAGCGAAGCACCACGACCGACAAGGACGATAGTGAGAATGATGGGCAAGACAATGGTAATGTAGACGACGCGGGCGGTTATCGCGATGCCTTTGTACAGACAGATCCAAACGATGAACCAAGAGAAGAGTACCCAGCCCACGAGCTCTCCATCGAGATTCACACCAGGATACGAGGCGTACTGGAGGACTTCACTTCCATCATCGTTATAGACTGCGGGGATAGCGGGAACCTGGTTAACCACGTGAGCGAAGTACTCCTGTGGGTTTGCTCTCCATGGAAAATCATCCGCCGAACGGAACGAGCTGCGGAAGTACACCATGACCCAGGAAAGGATGGGGATGTAGTAGATGGCCACAGCGTAGCCAACGCAGACCATCCCAAAACCAACACCAGTGAAGCGCCGATCGAGGCCGTTGTAAGCTATGACACAGCCACTGCGGTAGGCCTGGCCAATGGCCACCTCCAAAATGAGCACGGGAATGGCGAGGAGAACAACGGCCATCAAATATGGTATAAACCATTGGATGCCGTTGTTGTTGAAGACTTGAGAAGGGAAACGTAGCAGATTTCCGAACCCCATGGCTCCACCCATGGAGGCAAGAACATATGGTGTTCGAGAGGGCCATTCTGCGCGACCATCAGGCGCTACACGAGGTGGAGGAAACATCGCTCTTACGACATTACGGATGACGTCCATAACGAGTAATTGAGCTTGTTGTGCTCAATGACGTAAGACAGATGAGGAAGACGGTGTGAGTGCAGGTATGAAGAGGGCAAAGAGGCGAGGACGGAATATGGTAGAGTGTAGGAACGGAGCGTGGGCAAAGTCCTCTCTTGTAATGATGTAGTCGCGCACCCCTGTGGTCTTGATCTTGTATTAGGATCGCATCGCACGTCACCGCGCAGCAAATGGGAGCAGCGCTGACGGCATGATACCTGTCTGCACCTACCGATAGCAATCTCCAGATCCGATGAGGCGTCTTCAGAGGGACATGGTAGGTGGGGATCCCATAGGTGCGAAGGCGCGCCTTGGCTGCCAAGTCGGGTTCGGATGAAACGGCACCTCTACGCGGTAATCCGGATTGTATTCTGTGAGGTTCTACTGAGCATATTGAATCAAGTGAAAGATAAGAAGGTGCTGATACACAAATAAGTCAGGAGGGGGAGGTTGACCTTGGACTGTGACCGCGCTCTAAAGTTTCTAGAGTATCGATGAGCTCCTGCTCACATTAGAGCAGCTAAGGGCTATTTAGCTCAAAGAGGCGCTAAACAGAAGCAAACGTACACGAGAGATTAGCGCTAGGTGCCGTTTGTTCCTTTTCTCTGAGATCTAGGCATAATATAATACGGATACGGGTCTTAGCGGAAAACTACAGGCTTACAGATTGCGCCTATGTTCGAGAACAGTCTAAGAGACTTTGACTATTCTGCGACGCACGACTATAATATAGTTAAAATCTAAAGGTCTATAATTACCCTGCTGGTAGGCCCTGTTAGGTCGTAATACATAGGACGAAAGCGTAGAAATGTAGGTAGACAAACTAGAAACGCCTTCTATTAGCATAACGTAGGTTACAAGCGAATAGAACCTTTAAGAGAGTAGTACCTTTTCGCTAAGACCTAACTAAACTTAAAGTCTACCTATAATGTCTTGAGGCGATGATGTTAACAAGACCTTAGATAAAAGAAATATACAGCTTAACTTACAGACTATCTGTTACGGCGCTGGCTAGTAAGGAACGCTAAGAGTAGCGCCTACGCTAATTAGCTGCACAGAATCTAGGTACGGACTAGCGCACCTGGATTCTGTAATACTAAAACTCCTGCGCGTACGCGTCCTGTCGTAACCTCCTTAAGCTACGTTCTTATCCTAGCCTAACATAGTACTTTTAGTTATACATAGTAAATACAGTAATTACGTGCACCTATCTTCCTTGCCTACTGCCCCTAACGTAGTTCACAAGCAAGTAACGCACCTAAGCGAGTAACGCACTTTTGCTAAGACCTTACTAAACTTTAATTGAGTTGTAACACCTTAACGCAACAGCGTAAAAATAATCTTAAATAAAGTAAATATAACGTGGTTTACAACTAAGTTGGCTACCTAACTAAGCCGGCCATTTTACCCTACTAAAATGCCTACGCAACAATAACGCGTTATGTCTTAGTCACGCAACCTGCGAAAGACATATACTAAAGGAGATATATATATATTTCTATCTCTAATATCGCATCTAAGCAGATTTAAAGCGTAAGACGCGCTGTAGTAGTCTACAAAGTCCCTTAATCTACGCTCTAAGACTAACGCGCTAGAACACGCCCTTAACGCGACTGTGAGCTAAATATAAAGCGCCTTACAAAGCTAGAAGAGAAGGCAATTATACAGTGTATACTTAAAGAGAGTCTACGTAGTATACCGCCCTTAAAGGCACACGTACGAGATATAGCTAACAGACTGCTGCGAGAGCGTAGCGGGAAGCCTACAGGCAAGAACTAGGTGGACAGGTTTATCGCGCGTACACCTAAGCTGCGCACGCGGTAGAGCCGTCTGTACGATCGCCAGCGAGCTGTCTGCAAGGATCTAGCAGTTATTAGGCCCTAGTTTACGCTCGTTTAATTAATAAAGGCGAAGTATAGTATTAGAGATAAGGATACCTAGAACTTTAATAAGTCTAGCTTTATAATAGGTAAGATATCCTCTTAGATTATTGTTATAGGCTTAGAGAAACCTAGGAAATAGAAGAAACTACAGCCTAGCGATCGCGAGTAGGTGACTCTAGTACAAGGCGTCTCTATAACAAGGCGCGTTATTCTGCCCTTCCTTATCTTTGTAAGGAAGGTCCTTATTACCTCCTAGTTTGCAGATCTACCTTGTAACTAGATTATCGCTGTCTCTCCTACTAGCTAGATTAACAATAACCTTGCGCTCGCGTAGCTTAAGCACTTTAATGTCTATATAAAGGCGTCTTCTACTAAGGTATATAGGCTGTTTATTATTAACGGCTATAATAGCTACTACTTAGTAGATTTCTATAACAACTATAAGGAGTACAAGATTATTGCTCTCTATATACTACCTTACTTATTACACCTCTTATAGCTTCTTAACGTTGTCCTCTACTTACTATTAAAGCGCTACTATAGTAATAGAATCTTGCTCTTAGTACGCAGCTGCATCTACTATATTAACAAGGAAACCTTCCTACTAGCCTTTAAAGAAGCTTATAAGAAGACCTTTACACTAGAGAATGTTCGCCTAGGCTTTCGAGGTGCTAGGCTAGTCCTATATAACCTAGAGGCTGTGTTATTAAAGCTAGATGTGCAGCTGCGTACGCTAACGCCGCCTGTACTAGGCACAGTCGCCTAGGAGTCGTAAACACTACGCAACGCCTATAAGATAGAGGCGCAATCTACGCTAATTTAAGATTGTATGTAATACTACTAAGAGTTACTAGTAAGCTTATTATATAAGCAGGTTAAGCAGCTAGGTAAAGGCGCTTAGTAGATAGCTTATAATATAGTATTAATGCGATAGGAAGTAAGAAGCCTTCGAGAAGCTGTTAACACGCTTATAACGCGCAAGACTAATAAAAGGTAGTACGTACGCGTAGAGGAGACTCTAACAGTTAGTAAGGTATCTAACTTAATTACTAAAATAGACGGTAGTAGGCGTAAGGATAGCAAGACGCCTACGAAGAGGGTGCGCGCAGACTAGCGCTACGGCCGTTGCAGCGAGGTTAGGCATAACTCTTGCACTTGTAAATTAGAAAAAGAGGATGTAGATAATAGTAAAGCTTCTAAATAATACTACACTATTACAATAGTATAAATATATGTTGCAGTAATGTACTGCATTACTGCTTAGGCGTTTTAGTAGGGTAAAGTAGCCGGCTTAGTTAGGTAGCTAACTTAGTTGTAAACTACGTTATTGCTAATTAAGTAGTATTCTTAGCTAGACTAAGACTACTAAGGAAAGGAGAAAGCTACCTACTATATGTTACTAATAGTTAGCCTATACTAGGCGAAACTATAATTATATATAAGGTTAATAAGATAACGCTCTATATCTAGGTTTACTAGGAAGAGTTTAACCTAGACGTCTTTAGACTAGCTACCTATATTATTATATTATGACCCTCCTAGTTATAAGAATATAACGTACAGATTAATTAGAAGCTAAAAACGTTCTTATTTAAGTGCTATAAATTGAGCGTAACTATAAGCTAGCCTACGTATTAATAAGACTAGATAGTAGATAAAAGGAAAACTAATAATAATCTTACTAAGGAAGAGTAAACCTTATATAAGAACGGCCTTAAGTTATAAGGGTTTAGCTTAATAGATACTAGAAGAGTACCCTTATATTATAAAGTTAGACTAATAGAGAGACGCGTAGCTCTAGATATCCTAAAAGAGTATAAAGAATTCTAGTACCTCTTTATAGAAGTTGTAAATAGTAAAGCTTTACTAAAGCATTAACCTTAAGAATACAACATTATCTTAGAAGAAAGGAAGACTCTATCCTTTAGGCTAATATACTAACTATTAGAGATAGAACTTAAAATATTAAGAGAAAAGCTAGATAAGATTTTAAGGAAAGGATACGTTAGACCCTCTACGTTACTAGTAGGATTTCTTATACTCTTTATACTAAAGAAGAATAGACTACTTTAGATGTGTTTAGACTATTATTCATTAAATAAAATTATAGTAAAGAATTAATACATACTACTAAATATTATAGAACTTTAGGATTAATTAGTTTAAGTAAAGATCATTATAGAAATAGATCTATAAGATAGATACTACCTTACTAAAATTAAGAAAGGTAAAGAATAGAAGACAGCGTTCTGTATAAGATATAGACACAATAAATACACTATTATGCTCTTTAGGTTAACGAACACCCTAGTACTATTTTTAGAACTTATGAATAATATATTAAGAGCTTACATAGATATCCTTGTTGTTGTATACTTAGATAATATCCTTATCTACTCTAAGAATAGAGAGGACTACGTTAAACATGTCTGTACAGTACTAAGGTGCTTAGCTAAGTATAACTTATAAGTAAAAATAGAGAAGTGTAAATTCTATAAGGAAGAAGTAGACTTTCTAGGTTATATTGTAGGGGCTAATAGAGTACGTATACGCAAAGAAAAGATTAAGGTAGTTAAAGAATAACTAACACCAATAATAGTTGAGGAAATATAGTCCTTCTTAGGATTTCCAAACTTTAACTAATAGTTTATTAAGAACTACTTTAAGATAGCTATCCTACTAAGTAAATTTACAAAAAAAGATATACCTTTTAAGTAGAATAAGGAAGCTAATGACGCTTTCTAGACGCTTGAGTAAGTAAGCATAGAACCACTATACTTTAGGATATTCTAAGTAGGATAACTACTACGCTTTAAGACTAACGCATTAGATCTTACACTAAAAGGTTGTACTTGCTAATTACATGATGGTAAATAGCACCCTATTACCTATTACTTTTATAAATTCTTAAGGCTATAAGACTAATACGACGTTTACAATAGAGAACTAGTAGCTATTATCGTATGCTTATAGTACTAGAGAGTATACATAGAAAGCTATTTAGAACTAACAATATTTATAGATTGTAAGAACTTAATTAACTTCATAACTACTAAAGTACTTAACTAACGCTAGGTTAGATAGTTAGAAATACTA